TCCCATTATATTTTCGGCTACTTTACAGGTTCGTGAAAAGACATACGGATGATGCCAGTGACGATTTGATCAACCTTGGCCGCGGTTGCACAGTTGCCGCCTCTGTTGGGGTAATCTACGATTGGGGTGAGCAAGTCTGAGTATGAAAGAACCGCTGACATCCCTATGGTATTCTCAGCGCTTACTTTCGGACAAGAGGTAGGTCGATTCATTCCTGGTGTAGCCATCTTGCTGAGAATAAATGATTTGATAGGTCGAACTGTTCTGGGTGAGTAGATTCCGATATCAAAAGAATGTCGTACAATGATATCTAATCGGCGGCAGAGGCGACGCTGGTCCTTGATGACCATTCTATATCTCAGTGTATGTATGTTTAAATATACTTAACAAGTCGTGCTGACGTGAACACATCCTAGGTACGCTATGTTGGAATAATATATGTCATGTATGTGTGAAAGGCTAGAAAATTGGCACTGTGCTCATCAGCAATCTCTCACAATCAGCCTCAAGATGTTGAGTATGTCGCCTCGCATTCACCATGTTTGTTTCTTCTGACTGGTGACATACAGCCAATGTTCCGACCATCTCAATCACAGATTCAGTGAGTGTTTTGCACCGATGGTTTCGATTCCCGCCTCAACAGTTGAACTTTCATGTAGGGGTGAGTGAGATTCTCAAACAACTTGGTTCAATATAATAACTGCTATAGTTGTGAGTTTGTTTTGGACGTGTGGTCCTCCGAGTCCGAGGCTGATAACTAATGTTGCTGGATTTTCAGGTCGTATCATGTACGTTACACTAGAAAGCACGAATGAAGTTGTAAATGTAATGCTGGGTGGTGAGCGATGCACCTCTGTGACATCGACTTGACCATGACATCAAGCAAGTCATCATGATCGCTCGGCTGAATGCCATGTATCAGCGATCCAGAAAGGTGCTAGTATTTCTGGTTGTCATCTTTCTGGCCATCAGAATCGCCAACGCAGCGATGGCCGCAATATCCATGATGCATATTTCAGTGGGTAAGCTTTAATTATGGACGAAATACTTGGTTGCATCCGGCTCATTGACAAATACCAGATGAAGCCGCCCTCTCCGGCACCTATATATGCAACATCGACTACGTGGGAGATACCGTACTTCTGTATACCATCACTTGGATACTCGCCATTGTATGGGAGATCCTTCTGCTGTATCTCGCAGTCCGGATTGCTGCAAAGCACTTGCGTGAACTGCGACAACACTCACCAAGTGATATTTTTAGGGACTGTTTCACGATGCTAATGAAAACTCACGTGAGTTATTTTGCGAGGTGAGTTCATATGTGAAGGTGGTTCTCTTTTCCGCTGAAGTTCTGCATGTGTTAGCTGTCTTGCAGTTTCTTGTTTCTACGTCGGGTTTTCTTCTCCGACGCTCTCAGCGGTATGCTGATTTGTCGTCGATCTCTGGATGCAGCCATAATTCATCATTTTCATTAGAACCCAGATTCCCTGGAAACTGAGGTTTTTCTTGGTTTCGCCCAAATATTCCAGTTCGCGCAGTTGTTTGTGCTGGGACCACGTCTGATCCTTAGCGTTCGAGGACATCGTGCTGAGCTCCTAGACGACCCCGATACAGCAATCGCTATGGTTCCAATTGCTTTCCAGGAGCGTGTCCGTGTATCAACTAGCGACAGTGTATAACACTGGAGATACTCGATGTGATTGATTTACAATGAGCGGGTAGTCTGTAGGGGGATAATTTGTTTTAATTCATTTCAAGTCTTGTCGTGGTATTTGTTCAAGTTATTTGACGTTGCGAAGTATTAGACGTTCGCGATTTTGTGATGGTCTATGTATCTTGGGCTCGATACAAGTATGCTTTGCAGTAGTAATGACACAAGGTGAGGATAGTCACAACATTAGGGATAATAAGTACTGGCAAAGTTTTCTCGACATATGTATGCTCTGCAGTGATTAGGGTACTGCACGGGTAGGGGTAACCCGCCCGGGTCACGGGTAGGGGTACCACCCGGGTAGGGGTAGGGGTCTGGGTTTGAGGTACCCGCACCCCTACCCGTACCCTGCTTCCGGGTTTTGTATAGAAGTCAAAATGTGACTACATAAAAATGTGACTACCCAAAGAGGGTACTGTACAGCTGAAAATCATATCAAACTCTAAAGCATATTCGTGAACTACACTAGTCCAACAAGTAAAAATTTAACAGCCACGATGCAACTCAACATGTTCTTGGGTCCAGCAAAACAGATCAGCAAAATGACAACCAAAGCCAAAGTGGCCCTGGAAGAGAAGGCAATAGGCACGTCAAAGAAGTGGAAACCTGAAGCAGACAGAGATCACACAATTGCACAACTAAAGAAGGCAAAAACTCACCCAGCAGCTGGGAACACCAGCAATCTCACAGTGGCCAACCAAGGTTCTGTGACATCATCAATTGAACCCTCAAAATCACCATCTCCACCTGCAGTGATGAGTTGTTGGGCCATAGTTTGCACTGAGGAAGAGTGTCATATCCCATATGCCAGACATAGATCCCATCATATTCCCACGCTTTCCGGACCTATTTCCGGACCCCATATCTGATTCATTCCTGGATCCCCTATCCTGTCCACCCTATGCACATTCTGTCCAGCAAGACATCCAGACTTTACCTCCTCTTGGATTCTGGACTACATCCACCACCTCACATATCTCAGTCCTGTTTCCGCCCTGCCTTCCAGATCCCCAGATCTCTGGACCTCTGGATATTAACTGTACTATCTCTGGACCTATTCCCACCCTCCATCTGAGATCCTGCGCCTATCCCCATTTAGGCATCTCCACCTTTCTGGTTCTTGGTTATCTCTGTTTCCATCTTGCTGATTGATCCTTGTACTAGTTTCATCTCCGAGTTCATTTACTTATGTTCCGTCTTACTTACCAATGTGTTTCCACATGCTTGTACATAGCCTTACTCCTTTGCTTACTGATCCTCTCAGATAGCCTCTAGTATATAACCCCTGTACAACTACAGTAGAGTCCTCAGTCTGAATATCATCTTAGTTCCTGCTCCCTCACCTTAGACTTGCCCAATCTTCTTCTGGACTTCAGTCCATCTGAGTTTGTCCTTTTCCATAAGGCCTAGGGATGGATTCCCTAGGCCGGAATTCTGGACCTTCGGATTTGTCCCCTATGTCTCTGTCCCAAGTCTAGGGATTGCTTCCCTAGGCTAGAGTCTTGCCTTTCCAGCACTTACCCTCTTTCTGGACTTAGGTCCACTTCCTGTCCCTCTGACTCTACCTTAGGGTAGTCTACCTCCATTTGCTTCTACATCAGACTTCATCCAATGTAGCCCCTATTCCTTCCAGACCTCTGGGCCTCCTGTCTTCTGTACCTCTGGACATCCTGTCCCTCATACCTCTGGGCATCCTGTCCCTCGTACCTTCCGCCCTCTGTACCTTCCACCCTCTATACCTTCCACCCTCCATACCTTCCGCCCTCCGTACCTTCTGCCCTCCATACCTTCCACCCTCCGTACCTTCTGCCCTCTGTACCTCTGGACCTCCTGTCCTCCATACTCCGGACCTCCAGACATCTTGTCCTCCTGTCCTCCATACTCTGGACCTCCAGACATCTTGTCCTCCTGTCCTCTGGACCTCCTATCCTCCCATCCTGTTTTCCTGTAGAAGTATTACCTTGCAGTGGGAACTCTCCTGAGCACTACCTGCATTCCTCTGGAACTCTCCTGCGCTCCTCCGGACATTTCCCGCGCCCCTCCGGAAGTCCTCTAGCACTCTCCAGCAGAGTAGCCAGCCTCTGGACTTCATCAGACCATTATCAGACTTCCTCTGAAATGAAGGGCACATACTCAGGTAAGGAGCACAGTGTACAAGCTAAGGCCAAGCCCCTCTGAGTCAGTCTCTCTCCTTTGAGCATGGTTCTTAACAAAGAGGAAGCTGTGTTATGCGCCACTGAGGATGACTTAGGGTCCAAAGACAGCAAGAGTGGATCATGAAGCAGCAACAGCAATTGGAGAGCAAAGAAGAGACACCTGAAGACCAGCTGAGTATGTTCAGCATACTATGAATTAATATGATTTTAATAAATCAATAGAACAGATGATGAAGGATTGGAGCTCACCTGTTTATGTGTTTTTTGATCCCATGCCAAAGATTGTCACAATTGATGGATGTGGGGCACATGAGTTTAAATGCCAGGCAAAAGGCTGCAAAGCCAAAGTTAGATGTTTTCTTGACAAAGGAGATGCACACTCAACTGGCAATATGTGCAAGCTGCAGATGAGGCAAAAGATGCCAATGAGGTCTGGTCCAAGATTGTTGGTAGCATTCTACAAGATGGAACAATCACTGCATCATTCGCAAGAAAAGGAAAAGGAAAAGTCACTTACTCTCACCACCAACACACGTGTGCAGAAATGAGGTATGAGGTTGTTGAACTTTTGGCCAAAGTCTAAGGCATGTTGCTGCAGGTCCAAAATAGTGTGCTGGGTGTCTGAGAGTCTGCATCCATTCAATATTGTCAAAGATTGAGGATTTCAGTCATTGATGAAGATGGGCAGACCAGAGTATTACTTACCATCTCCATCCACTGTATTGCACAATGTTCGACTTGTGTTTGTGTGGACTTGCCAATGAGTTGCTAAATTGCTCCAGGTGAGTTTATATTCATATGAAATACATGAAACTGACCAAACTTACCAGGAATACAAAGGGAGAATCAACTCTACCACCAATGGATGGTCATCACCCAACCATCAAGCCTTCATTGCCTTTTTAGCACACTTCAAGCATAATGGAGAGCCTCTATGCTTACTGTTAGATATAATTGAGGTTGCAAAGGTGGATACTTACTGAGATGGCAGAATATCAGCTGATGTAGTCACAGTCTCATACAGGCGAGGAGCTTGCACACACATTTGAAAAGATGCTAGAGGAGTTTGGGATATCAGAACAGGTAATGGACAAGAAAAAATTGGACTTACTCAGCACTAATGCAAGGGCATGCAGATCTTGTGCATAACCTGTGACAATGCATCAAACAATGATGTTATGGTTCAAGAACTCAGTGAGAAGATTCCAGCATTTAGAGGAGCAACAACACATACCCATTGTTTTCTCCACACTGTCAATCTTGTAGCCAAGTCCCTTATTCAAGAATTTGACATCAAGAAACGTGATGCTGATCAAGTGCTTGCCAAAGCAGACAATGTGGACAATGAAGAAAGTGAGGATGAGGAGGAAGTGGATGATAGCAACACTGCCGATGCAGAATTGAAAGATAATGATGAAGGGTGGGTGAATGAGGTCGAGCTGTTGGAACCAGATGAATGGAAGGTGCTAGAAAGAGAAATTCAACCCATGAAGTTAGCCCTTGTGAAGGTAGGTAAAAAAAAACACACTTACCTGAATACTCAATATCTGTGTTTCTAGTTGCGAAAGCTGGCCTATAGAATCATCCACTTGATGACTATTGTACTCCCTGCATGGCATCAGATTCTTCAAGATTTGCACAAGCCTGTGACACTGATGCCACATGATGTGGCAACTTGGTGGAATTCCACCTTCGACATGCTGGATTATGCACTTGAGCATAGGAAAGCTGTCAACAATGTGACACAATGTCACGATCTGGGTCTGCGAAAGTATGAGTTAGCTGACTGTGAGTGGGAAATAGTCAAACAGTTGCAGGATGTATTGAAGGTGTGTATTTGTCACTGTGTGACAACAATCAAAACATGCTTACCACATGTTCTAGATTCTCAAGGACACGACTTTGTACTTCTCTCGTTCAACACCAAACCTTGCTACTGTGATCCCTGCCATGGATCATATTGACCAGGAGCTCACATCATACTTGCATGACAAGACATATTCTGCTCCAATTTGCACAGCTGTTCAACTCACAAAGAAGACTCTGAATCAATACTATGAACTTACAGACAGTTCAGAAGTTTATTGCATCACTATGGGTATGTACTTCATATTGTTCCACTCCCTTTTGTAATTAACATATTTCTACAGTTTTACATCTGTGACATAAGCTATCTTACTTCAAGGTTGCTTACTGGGAAGACCAATGGATCCAGACAGTGGAGTCCCTCGTTCGCAATGAATTTGAGCATTCATACTTATCAACTGACAATGATTCAGAGGTTGAGATGATAGAAAGTCATATGCCAGTGGGCAGGATGCAGGTGTTTTTTTTTTCCTTACATTATCCTATGCCCTGATTAAATTTCAGAACAACAATATATTTGACAATCTTCCTGCACTAGCACCACCATGACCTGCTGACTTGAGTTCTGAATTGGACCACTACCTTAATTCAGACATCAAATATGTTGATAATGCCATTGCTTGGTGGTGTGCCCATTGTACATTATATCTGCATCTCTCATGAATGGCAATTGATTACTTGAGTATCCCTGGTATGTGGTATGTTACTTTGCATGATGAGGTGCTTACAGGACTCATAGCAACATCCATCGATGTTGAGCAGGTATTTAGCCGTGGACACTTACTCCTCTCCCATGTTAGGTCCCATCTCTCAGTGCAATCCACACAGGCACTTCTATGCCTTGGATCCTGGAGTACACTGAATCTTGTCAAGCCTGAGGATATTCACAAAGTCACAATCCTACCAGATGTTGAGGGAGAGGAGCAGGAACTGGAGCATGGATGGGACAGGATCATGATAGATTAATCATATCATTTTTTTTGTGTTGCATACTTAGTTCAAAAATAGCTTTACCCATGGGTATGCCCCTTGCAGGTTTTACCCCAGGTCTTTCACACTGTTACCCATGACCGAACCCGTACCCTGCTGGTGGGTGTGGGTATATGAGTGGGTAGGGGTAGGGGTATCACCTCTGATACCCAGGAGTTTACCCCTGCAGTACCCTAGCAGTGATAATGATATAAGATAAGGATGGTTACAATATTGAGGATAATAATGGGCAAGGGTGTAATTAATATGAAAGGAGTGATAATGGCAAGAATAAATACACCACCAATGATATGCTTCTCTCCTACACATGCCATACATAAGAAATGGGGGGCAGTCATTTTCTGCAATGATGGCATCTTTCCCATATGCTTAGGATGGGCATGGTCATAGACCAAGCCCACCCATGATGACCCCATGGACCTGTGTGGAGAATTGCCTGATGTGAAGAGCCCAGGCCACATCACCTGGGAGGTTTCTCAAAGGTGGCACAGAATGATCACCTCCTGATGCAGATGTTTGCTGCAACGGCTCCCCAGCATCAGAGGTGCAATGCTGTGTAATAATCTAGAAGATATGCTTGTGGGACTCATCGAGGCCTTTGTCATCAATTGAAGTGATGCAAAGATGGTTGGTGACGGAGTTCAGTTGAGCCTGAAGTGTCAATAAATTATTGGACCACCAGCTGTTGATGTTAGACCATTCTTCATAGTGAGTGAAGACAAGTATGATAGGTACATGTCTTCTGTGCAATTGGTTCTGGATCCTTTGATGAACATCAAGCACTGCTTGTACATGGAAGTTCCTGCTTGGCACACAAAGCAATGATAGCAAGTCAATATTTTGCTCCTTGTGTATTTTCCCAATCTGCCTTCTTTCATACTTCTCTGGCTATTCCTTGGGCCCCAAGGGAGTGCTGTTACTACATGCAAAACCAACAGTATTGAACACCCTGTATTCGATGTTGCAGAAAGACATCTGGTACTCCATCAGCTCTCTGGTGCAATGCCCAGCATTGTTTGATGTCTGTGCAACACTTTTCCCACAGAGGAGATCATCAGCAAACTACAAATTTGGTGACAGAAACAACACATCAATACAGAGCCATACAAGTCCATAGATGGTACATGGGTACAGTACTACAGGTTTCACAATGTTCCACAAGGTTCCACAGAGTGATACAAGAACTACAAGGCAACAAAGTAATTACATCATAAATAGAGCTATAGTACTATATGAAGGTTGAAGATAAAAGCTCTACATACAGTAAGCAACAAAACTGTTGCAATGTTTGTGTGAGATTAATTACTTTGGCTATATCATCACAGGGATGGCAACTATGAAAATGTGGATGAGAGCAATATTGTAGCCCTATATCCAGGCTATAATAGGTGTACTACATTGGAGATGTGAAAATATATCCTTAAAAGGATATAAGCAATTTACTACATGGTATGCATTGCAATGGTTTTGTTGCTGATATTTTTAAATATCAAAATCCTATCAATAGACATCAGTTATGTTATTTAGTATGTCCTATAATGTCATGTGACATGTAAAAGGGTCACCATGATATAAACAAAGCCAAATGTTAAACTTTCTCAACATTCATCATCATGAAAGCCCTCTCTGCTGACTGTTGTGAACTAGGATAGTCATAACAACAGCAGCTCAATAAGAGTGATGGCTGAAGTTTATGGTCAAGACCTTACAAATGTAAGGGTTGTAAGACAAGCCAAAGAGAGTGTCTCTGACTTGAATATTGGTTCAGATGTCTTAGGATTGGGGGTCCTAAGCAAGAGAAGATTCAGGTGAAAGCCTAGTAAGATTAAAGTAAGGAACTACTAAGTACATTGTCGACTATATATATGGAACCATAGGTGATTCAGGGCAGGCATAGGTCAACAATGAGTCAGAGATAAGGAATGAGTCATCTAGCAATGGCAGCAGTGATCATGATGTAATACAGATATCAGAGACAGGTCTAGCGGTGGCATTATGTAGCTCATGATGTAATACAAGGATAGTAAGGAGAAATTGAATAGGGGCATACATGACTGTAACACTGACACAAGCAACCAAAATATTTTTCACCTTAATTTTAACCAATTTACAAGGGAGATCTCACATGCTACTGGTGTACACCATAATACTATTGTCAGAATTCACTCTAAACCTCATTCTGACCTTCAAAAGTCCTCTGGTGGTTGTCCTTCTGTCCTTTCCTCCCCCAATGTTTAGCATGCTACATGGTTAATCAGTATAGACAAGGCTGGAAATGCCACTCAAGTGATAAGAGCACTTCAGGACATCAAGAACCAGTCTATGTCCTCTCAGGCAACACATCATTACTTGAGGAAATCTGGTATGAAGCCTGTAGTGAATCAAAAATACCCTCTCCTATCCAAGTGTATAGGAGAGTAAGACTAGACTTTGTTATCAGTCACCAGCTCTGGACAGTGGATGACTTGAAAAGAGTCATATGGTCATATTAAACCAAAATTAATCATTTGGGGTCAGATGAAAGGAAATAGGCTTGGAAAAGAACAGGAGAGGGCCTAAATAGTAGGCTAGCAGGAGAGAAGAGGGTGTTTTTCATTCACTACAGGCTTCATACCAGATTTCCTCAAGTAATGATGTGTTGCCTGAGAGGACATAGACTGGTTCTTGATGTCCTGAAGTGCTCTTATCACTTGAGTGGCATTTCCAGCCTTGTCTATACTGATTAACCATGTAGCATGCTAAACATTGGGGGAGGAAAGGACAGAAGGACAACCACCAGAGGACTTTTGAAGGTCAGAATGAGGTTTAGAGTGAATTCTGATAATAGTACTATGGTGTACACTAGTAGCATGTGAGATCTCCCTTGTAAATTGGTTAAAATTAAGGTGAAAAATGATTTGGTTGCTTGTGTCAGCAGAGAGGGCTTTCATGATGATGAATGTTGAGAAAGTTCAACATTTGGCTTTGTTTATATCATGGTGACCCTTTTACATGTCACATGACATTATAGGACATACTACTAATGGGTCTTGCAGGATTTAGGGAGGCATACGAACACCAGTGTAGCCAAAAACAACTCCTCAACATGCTGAGGAGCTGGCTGTTATTGATAACTAACAGTATGATGTCACAGATAAGTATCTGAGCCCCAATAATGAATGAGCCCAAACAAATGAAAAAATGGAAGGAACAACCACTATTATGACTATTAAATGGGAGGGATGGGAGGGAGATTAAATAAAGAGAAAAATAAAGAAAAAATAAAGAGATATAAATACAGTGACACACAGCAAAGGCTACACATTGGCAAAAGGTGGGTCATGCATAGGACGACCATGAAATAATAATGCTTGCAACAGCATCGGGTTTTTACACACATAGTGCTCCCACATGCCTGAATTCCAGCATCTGACTGCCTGAATATGTTCTGGAGAAACTCCAGCAGCAGCTAGAGAGGTTGCCCCTCCTGCCTGCATGGAATGGCCCAAAATGGAGTCAGGAAAGAACATCCGAAGCCTTTGGATGAACCAAGAACAAGTAGGTGGACATCCATCACTCCTTAACCAGAGGTAAGGATGTAACAGAAATTTTGCATCACGAGAGGCAAGGAAGCATGTAAAGAGAGGAAGAGGATCTGAACCAACTAGCACTTGTTGGATCATCACCTTATTTCCTTTGTACCACATGTCCATCTTGTCTCGCTGGATCAAGAAACCAAAGTCAGTGTCTGAGACACAGACTGAGGTATGAAGAGAGAACTTTGTAAAGTCCCTCATTGATGGGTCGTCAGCAGCTACCAATTCTCCTAGGTGAAGAAGACTGTAGAAACCGCAGTGAAGTTGAGTGACTCACAATAAATCATTGTGAGTCAAAGGATGTGGTAAAGTGTGAATCACACAAGCTAAATCATCCCTTATTATTGGTTGTTTGTGTATGATGGGGCATCCTAGACTGCAGAGTGCTCCTTGCATTGTGCATTTCACAAGGGTAGAATGCCAAGACTGATGATGTCTTAATAACCAAGGGTCTTATATAAATGTGTGTAAAATGTAATGACACCACAATTACACTAGGATAAGACTTCTTGCCAGTCCTCGATTAACATGGTCTACAACTTTTCTTCTTTCAGTGGTAGATAATGTGTGAGTTCTTGGGAGGCTCACTAAACCAATCTATGTGATTAACTTAGCTGGAGCTTTTGTGTTATATCCCAACTTATAAACTTGTCTAGGATAAACTGTCTAGACACTGGAACATGGTTCCTCATTAAGATAATCCTCTGTAGAGACTACAGTCTCAAATACAAATACGTTGACCAAAGACTGGTTGGTCAAATAGGCACAAAGTGGTGAGAAACTGGTCTCACAAATGATCAGATTGACCAAAGCTTGTGTTGGTCAATATCAGAAAACTAGGTGAGAAGCTGGTCTCACAAACAAACAGATTGACCAAAGCTCATGTTGGTCAATATCAGAAACTAGGTGAGAAGCTGGTCTCAAATAAACTAAGTTTCTATTGTAAGAAACTTATGTAATCTCAAGGGAATGTCTTTTCCCTGCACTTGGTACTTCAAAGGGGCTTTCTTTGTAAGCAACAATCTTCACAGTGAGTAGCTCAAACTAAGATTCAAATGATTGCAAGTGGGAGATCTTATTTTTGGGGGGAGAATGGGCCCTCCTTATATACATATTGTGTGGGAATATTATGTAAGTAAAAAAGCGGAGCAATGACATCAGAAGTGGAGCAGAACATTCCAGAACAAATGACATCATCATGACATCATAACTTTCAACAGAATACTTGCAGGAGTATCTGTGGAGCCATATGACATCATTATGACATCATACCCTGTAGGTACAATTTTGTGAAGTATCTGATGGATCAGCATCCAAATAGAAAAATAAATCAAGGAAATACTAGAGAAAACAACTCAGAAATAATAATACAATAACAAGACACAAAACACAGGCTTTTTAGATAGGTTTTTGTTAGGCTTTGAACTTTTCTCTATGGTTTTCTCTAGCCAAAGTGAATAAGCCAAAGGCAAGGCAATACCTTAACCTTCTTGCTTCACAATATCAACTAGGTCATTATGTGATTCCCATCTCACAAATGACTTTTCTTCAAGATATAATAAATTCATGAATCACAGAGGGGAAACTGAACTATATGACCAAGGTTTGAAACCAAGGTATGGGTTGACTAGCCTGATGCCTAAGCTAACAGACTTTGTCTTTTAGGGGGCTACCTAGTAGTCATGTCCATGCATGATTCCCAAATTATGCAGGACAACAGACATGAGGAAAATGAGGTTTGAGCTGATTGACTATCCCTGAGAGGTAGGCTTCAACAGAGCAAGGCTGAATATGATGTGACATAAATGTGACATAATAAGAAAGTGTGTCAGGAGTAGGATCAATAGGCAGATGATGTTGGTTGCAGAAGGTGAGGTAAGAGTTCAGGTGTGACAAATATGCATGGCAAGTACTGTTGTCCAAGGCTAATCCCAACAAAACTGAGCACTCATGAATTAAGCTGCTCCAATGACCAAGCATCCTGTAAAGGCTGCCTGGCCCAAGACGATATAGTAATCATTTTTCAGCAGCCCCCAGCATATTTCAAGGGGGTGAAAAGGGATGGATCATTAATCCTGGAGAGGTAGACTGTGCCTCAGCATTTTTCCAATGAGACAAGTGATTAGCCACCACATTGTCAATGCCAGAGATGAAAAACACTTGAAAGTCAATCTGAGCAGTGAGAATGGCATCTACTGAGGTAATAAGGAGCCAGTTGTAAGGAGGCAAAGCTGCCAGAGAATTGAACATGGATACCATGTTGAGATGGTCAGTGAATATAGTGACTTGCTGATTAGGACAAAGTCAAGCCACTGAATTAAGTAACACTCCCATGATGGCTAAGGCTTCATGGTAGAATATTGTTCCAGTCAGTGCTGACCCAGGTAAGGGCAACTGAAAACCTATATTGAGAGAAGGAACCAATATGCCAAGCCAACACCTGACACATCAGTATAAACTCTCAACACATTATCCAGAAGATGAGCAAAGTTCCAGGAGACAGGTTTGAAGAAGAAGACGCCTTCAGTGGAATGGAGGTAATTAATGACCCATGTTAGTTCCCGAATGACATCCTGGTTAACCCAGATAAGAGCTTTAGAGACTAGTTTGCCAGAGGTCTTAGCATAAAGAGCCAATAGTCCAGGCCTAAGCAGTGGATAGACATTGAGAGCCCAGTTAAGCCAGCCAGCTAAATGCTAAAAATCACTGAAGAGACCTTCATGACCCTTGTTGTGCAAAATCAATCAACTCCTGAATAAGGCAAGTACGAGAGTCGACTGACATGCAGGCATGCATTAAGTTAGGGTCAATGTCAAACCCAATAATAGGAAGTTCAAGGCCGAAGATTTGTTTCCATTCTTCATGCAGCAGTCCAATTGCATCCCAGAGTCAAAGAAGCTTGACAAGATTTGAAGGAAGGAGTTTTTTGTAGGGAGCATAGAGCTCAAAACTGCATTTATCTTCAAATGAGAAAGAGTCATCAACATAGATGTACAAGACATGAATAAGAATCTTGAAAATCACTGATCCAGATGACAAGAGACATGAATGTGTGATAGATCCACTGAGAAGCTCTTCCTCCAAAAACATTTCTTCAGTCAATGTATCAATGCCCTTGAAAACTCACAATTTGCTTTACCTGCCACAGAGGGTGCATAGGCATATGCCAATAAGCTTCTGACATGTCTGCCTTCCAAAGGTTGAGTTTAGTGTGAGGTCTGCAGTGCCTAAACACCTGTAGACCATTAGCTAAATCATGCACATTATCCAGAGTGATGCTGGCAATGTCATCATGCAAGATCATGGCATTCAGGTAATGTTTCCCAGCACTATGATCAGTAACCAGTCAATGCTTGTTAGTTCCTGGTTTAGGTACAGCGTGGATAGGCATGCTGTACCAGGAAGCAGATCTGGTCCAAATGCCTGAGAATAATGCCCTACTTCAACTTCCTTCTCAATTTGCGCATGTAGAAACTCTTTCTTGGCCTCAGTCTTGGGAGGCTGATCAGAGTTATCATAGATGAGAGGCCATTCCTCAGGATGAGAATCGGCAAAGGGCCAAAAACCTTCCCTAAGTCCAGTGCAAACCAAATGAACAAAGGGTTGATTTGGATGGTCCAAAAGTAGAGATTTGAAGATGTCAACTTTGATAGGCATAGAGACTTCAAACAAAGAGAGATGTTGCTGAATAGTATCAAGTGCTCCATGGTTCAAAAATTCACATTCAGGTGGCCCAGGCATAGGAACTGCAGTCTCTGTCCAGAGTGCAGTTTGGCTACAGCTGGAGATTCCTCTTTCTGATACTCCTTTGCGCCAAAATCTTTGTCCTTGCACGATACTCTCATTTAGCCCCTCCTTTATTCAGACATTCTGATTTCCAATGGGGGCCATAACATCCTCTCTGATCACAGCAGTGCAAGAACCTGCATTCACCATCTGGTTTCTGGCAGGTTCCTCTATTCCATTTATGACAGGGATCATCCCTTCCTCCATATCCATCTCTCCAATTCAATCTTTCCCTGGAACTAGATGTGGATGAGGTGGAATTGGCACCAATGCCAAAGGAGGTGAGGAAGGTCATTCTGAGGTGCTCAAATTGGGGATAATCAGTGAGGCATAGGTTTCTTTGCATGGCCACTTGGTTTCTAATGGATTGGTCAAATTCAATGACATGTGAGTGGGGTGGATTTCCATGGCATGGAAGAGTCAACTAAGGTAGGTGTTATATTGTATAAATTCATCTCTTTGCTGAGGGAAGATGAAGGATATTGCTTCAATGTACATGGAGAAGGTGATATTATGGTTGGAGGACATTTTGATTCCCATTGAAGACTTTGAGACTTGCAAGGTGAGCTCAATCTCGTCATCAATGACATGGGTCTTTTTGGGATCCAGCTCAGTCATGTGAGCTGAGCCAAGGACCTTAGTGAGGTTAACGTATTTCCATCGGACAATGTTGAGCCATTCACTAGGTGGGAAGGGTGGACACCCTGGAGTGGATAGGATGTCATTAATGACACTCTTTGGGTCAGCGGTGAAGTTTTCAAGTTGCTGATAGGTTTCTCTGATATCCGGAGGTAAAGAGGCAAGTGCTGTTGACCATCTTTGTCATATCTACATATCCAGATCTCAGATCCAAACCTTATCTCATCTCAGATCTGATCCACAACTTATCTCCAATCATATCCACATCTTATCTCCCTCCACCATCTCATCATCCATCCTGTCCACCTGTCCAGTCTGGTCCACAATTCATCCAAATCCACAACCAGCACTTGTCTCTTTTCAGTAATCCCCTAACTCTGGTATTTTGGCTATCTGTATATCCATCCTGCTCCCTGACCTGTTACCTATGTTTCATTTCCATTTCATGATTTGTGATCCATTTCTACTTACCAATAGACTATCCACATGCTTCGTACATAGCCTTAGACTCTGCTGATTGATCATTCTGTTAGATACCTATAGTATATAACCTCCTGTAACTTTCTGTAGTACCTCAGTTCAAATATCATCTTAGTTCTACTCATTCCTGTCCTCCGGACTTGAGTATCTCTACTCTCGTCACCCTCCAAGACTTAGGATTGATTCCTATAGTCTATCCATATCTGCCTCTGTCTCCGACAGTCCATTACCATTAGTTTCTAGTCTGGACTTGTCCAGATTAGCCCTACAATACTTATCCCTTATCTGGAAGTCATCCAGATCTGCTACTGCTACTCGTCCAACCTTCTGGACATGTTAGTCTTGCCTTCCTGAAATAAGGGGCACAGCACATGAGCTGAGGCCAAAGCCCTTTGGATCCAGTTATCCCTTGAGTACGACCTTAACAGTCTTTGTGTCCAGGGAAATTTACTGGAATCAACAGGTTTTGGCTCACTTTGAACTGGGCTCATCTTCATCCTCTGAATCAGTGATAACTCTTGGCTGCTTTCGCCCTGCTTCTGTTTCTTCAGGGTTGTCATTTCCCCTATCCTCTCTATTAGCTTCCTCTTCCTCAAAGGTCCCACTACTTCAATGTCCTCTTTCCAAAGCTTGTGCTTTTGAGGCATCAATACTGTAAAGAATAAAGAAGAAGACATCATGGGCTTTGTTAATGTTTCTTCTGCTCCTAACAGCAGGAGACTGGAGAAGACTCTCTTAGATGTCAAGTATGGTGATGGCTTTCCCATTGTGTCCTAAGCCGATACTGATTAATGAGCTCATTGCACTGTTCAATACAGTTGAGATCAGTTGAATGCTCTGTAGTTTGTTGCTCTGTAGTTTGTTCTGTTGAGGTAGCAGTTTGAGACTGTTTCTCCATTGTCAGACATGAAGAAGAATTCTGATGATAATAAAGTTATGATAGTGCTCAAAACAACTAGCTAGCAAAGTGACATGAAAGGTTAGAAAGAGGTATACAAACCAATCTAATGACTAGCTCACCTAGTGAAGCAATGGGAAAGGTTAGAAAGAGGACAAACCAATTATAACCTGAGTCACTCACTAAGCAAGCTCTACTCCACTATAGGAGTAACTGAGAATGAAACAGGGATTAACAACTCCCCAACACATGAAAACACACTGATCATGGCTGCCAACAACCAGCTCATATCACGCCCACTGAATGGAGAATATTTGGGTCAAACTCAAACAAGGTTCACATTGTTTGCAACAATGCTGGGAATCACATGACCCATTAGCTTATAGGACATACTAAATAACATAACTGATGTCTATTGATAGGATTTTGATATTTAAAAATATCAGCAACAAAACTGTTGCAATGCATACCATGTAGTAAATTGCTTATATCCTTTTAAGGATATGTTTTCACATCTCCAATGTAGTACACCTATTGTAGCCTGGATATAGGGCTACAATATTGCTCTCATCCACATTTTCGTAGCTGCCATCCCTGTGATGATATAGCCAAAGTAATCAATCTCACACAAACATTGCAACAGTTTTGTTGCTTACTGTAAAACTGAGGTGGATGCGGGAGACTATGTACATTGCATACTGAAGTTGTCTATGTAAGTTCAATGCAATGAGACTGGATAGATCATTATGCTGTATTGTAAGTCCTGTTGATGATGCAGTGCTGAATTCTTTGAACATGATTTTCCCATCTGGAAGAGTGCCAACAAATTCGTGGTTTGTTAGCAAAGTGCTGGTTTTGGTGTCAGAAAGAAACGATTCTCACCCTGAGTTCCTCAACTGCCTGTATCTCTCAAAATCTCACTGCTTCACTTGCAAACCAGTTGGCACTTCCAAAATGGGTGTGTGCAGTTTGAAACTCCATCACAGCACAAATTGGCAGGTGACATTTCTGCATGGTTTTGGCACTTTCAACTATCTCACTCAATTCTGCTTCAATCATGGTCATTCAACCTCATAATGAGTTTAATTAGAGAGATAATGATATCTATACTAAGAATTTTGTGTTGAAGTAGCTAAAAATACAATTTTTGTGAAAGTGCCAACTTCTGTGGGGTGCCAATTGCAGTGGAAGGGATAGTAAAGGACTGATGCATCTTAAAGGGCTGGCAGGGATGGTGGAGGATTCCTCATGCCAAGACATAGAGGCCCCTCACACTGTCCTACATAGGGTATATCATCCCAAAGGACAGAAATTTGATTCTGAAAAAGTGGCATAAGTATTAAATAGCATGCCACTGGAGTATGCACAGTGAATGATGATGCAGTATGAGAAAGCTGTCAGCCATCAGTGCTTGAGGCTTTTTTGATGACATCATCCCAATGATTAGTATAACTCAAGTTCCACAAGGAGTGTAGGTGTTTCATAAAGTTGATTGCCATTTCATAAGTAAAAATTGCACAGAGTGCAGAGCCTGAAGAGACATTCTCATGAAGATTTTTTTTGGTAGATGATATAAGGATGGTGTGCACAGTGTGGTGGAATAGCAGTGGAGCTGGTAGGATGAAGTAGCCTTGCCTGATTTATGCACTGTTTTGCAGGATCATTTCAACTTAATGCCATACCTCTAGTGTGGATAGGTGATGCATGCAAGGCCACAAGGCCTGGGGGTCAATTGATCATAATCCACTTCCAAGTTGCAGGGATGCAGGCACCCAGATTTCTAGCAACAAAATTTTCCCATCTTGTCAATAGCTTGAATGAGGTGTCTCCCCCCTTTTTTTAGCAGTGTGGTGGAATAGTGGCAATGGAGCTGGTAGGACAGCTGACAGCACTGCCCTGCCCAGATTTGTGGTGGGGCATCCCTACACAGGAACAGATCAGTGCACCATCTTGTGGAGTTATTTCAACCTGATGTCACACCTCTTTCAGTGTGAATCAACATCAACTGCATGCACAAGCACAACACATAAGCAGGCTTTGAAAGCTTGCAAGGCAAGTGCCTGTTGCAGGGATGCTGGCACTCAGATTTCCATGATAAATTTAATGCATTTCCTCACCAGTAGCTTGAATGAAGGCTCATATATCCCCTTCCTCTCGCATGTGCACCATTGGCAATGCCACTGAAGCATTCCTGGTGACCATACCAGTGACAGCATGGACAGCAGACACCATGCTGTCAATGTTGTTGGCACTCAACATCTGTTTTGGTGACATCATCCTAAGGTTTTTCTTCATGGGAGTACTGGGTGTCAAGCTCCACACAAAGAGTGGGAGCATCTGGGTAGATGGTCTATAGGATAGATAGCCCTGTAACGATGATAGCAATCAGCGATGCCTGCGATGCACCAATTGAATTACACGGTGCTCATAGTCAGTTTAAATTTAAATTATTTAAATTACGAAAGCCAAGGAACATCGGAGTTTTAAAACTATGTAATGTGAGTTGCCACGTGGGTGTCTGTTCTTCAAGGAATGAGTGGCTACCTTCTCCGGTGGACATGTCATCTTCATTGGGTTTACATATTGTAGATCCAAGAATTCTAAGTGATCAAGTAGGAGATGTGTGAGTCCCTATATCATTCTAGTATATGGAAGACTTAATCTGACAATAAACCAGTCCCTCTATCGTACCACCCATTTCTCTCACAGCTCCCCCTCCTCGACATCCTGCAATGTCATCCATCTCTCAAGATAATCTTTATTCTAATCTCGCAACTTTCACTTTTGGTGAAGTTCGCTCGACTTCATCAGATGATGAATCACCAGACGCAATCAGCCCACTTACTCCAATAACACGCACAGGCGCTGACAGGACACCTCGTCCATCAGTTTCAACTTTTAGCAGTCATCCTTCGCAGGGTCTAGGGCGCCCAGCTTCAACTTCCTTTCCATCATCTTCACGCTCTCAACGATCATATAGAACAGAGCACACAGATGAAGAAAGCAGCGAAGATCCCTCATCACCCGATCTCCACCCGAGACGCGGCTTTCAAAGAGGTCGTTTCATCACAGACAACGTCAGCCAGAACACATTTGGCCATCCGGTAGTACGCTGCTCAACCGCCTCAATCAGCTCCTCCCGCTCAAGTTCACGTGCAAGTCTCCGCTCAGACCTTCAGTTTAGCAGTGACGAGGAAGTAGAGATCGCTTCATACGACGGAGGCTCCTCTCCCGTCACTTTCGCCCGTGACCTCGATAACATCGACGAGAATGAGAATAGCCCTATCTTTCATCCTCGTCCCCTCTTCGCAGAGCCCCGTCGTGGCAGCCTCCCAGTGGCAATCCCAGGTGCCATATCAGATGCAGTCAGCAATCGCAGTCGCGAAGACAGCATACTCACCATCCGTCGTCCATCTCGCAGCCTCGACGATGACCTTATATCTTCCCACAGTGGAGAGGATCCAGTTGCTGTCATACCACGTAGCGAACCTCTCACTCGCGCTGATTTTCGTTCACTCGAGGCGCAGGCGCAACAGCAGCAATCAGAACCAGATACATGGGCATCAGGCTGGGACCTGTCCTATGTTCTCTCCAGAAAGAGTGAAGGAAGTATCCGTTCTGTCCGATCAACCGCACAGCTCTCTTTTCTCGCTCCTACGCGCAACAGCGGCGAACCCTCTTCCTCTCGTCTCTCCAATATGTGGAGCGGCAGTGGACGCCGTACCAGCACCGGTACACTCCAAACCAGCAACAGCGGTGAAGATACCTTTGCCAAGCACATCGGCATGTACGACACTCAAAACCCGTGGGCTTTTTTTAGGGAAAAGGCAGACGCCCAACCCGTCCCTACTGTACGCCGTCCGAACGCTCAGGGAGGCGCCTCAATAATTATGGACAAGGCAAAGAACACCATGTACCCCGGCACACAAGAAATATGGAGGAGCGGGCACGTCGGTCGATATCGGGTTGACAGAGTCGTCTTCAAACGTACGTCCTTTTTACGTCCTTGTTTTATGTACTAACATCCCCCTAACAGCATCTACAGCAGACCCAGCCAAACCCGCCCAACAACGTATCAACGTCCGTCATATCCCCGATCCCTTCCTCAAGGGTCCCAAGACAGGCGGACCGAGCACCGTCATTCATAAACATTCTCGCGCAACTGCATTCTCCATATTTCGCTCATATACGCTTTATACGCCTAAACGCCCTGGGGCTGGATCTCGTAACATCCATATGCACACGAGCGGGGGAATCATGCTTGCGCCGAAGAAAGTGCAGGAACAATATACAAGTACGAGAACGACGAGTAAACTGAGTACGCATGGGTTACTCGAAGATGGATCGCGCAAGGCCATCGGCAACGGGAACGGTGATAAGTCACGTCGTGGTACGCTTCCTGAAAAGGAAAAACGGCGAGAGAAGGAAAAGGAAGTTGCAAAGAAAGCAAAGGCGAAAGCAAAGGAAAAAAAGAAAGAATTGAAGAAGAATAGTGATCGTGACCGTGCGAGTAATACGACGGAGGGTACGGAGTCGAGCACGGCGACGAGTAGTGCGGGGAGCATCAACGCTTCTCAGGTGACGCCTCCCCCTGCACGCGCGGGGGCGTCCAAGATCACATTCGCGCCTTCGATCAGGTCCCATGTAACGACCCAGTCGACAAGCGGACCGTCATCACCAGAGACCTCGTCAACATTTGACCACTCCTCCACGAAACCCCTTCAGTCTGATTCGTCTACGTCTGTGGCGACCTCGCACGTCCGCAGTCATCGGGACAGCATCGACTCCGACGAACACTTCCCTACACGTACGCCGCACGCCGAAGCATTCGGTACCCTGGACCCGAACGACATCGAACACCTTCGACGCGCCCAAAAGCCCACCGACGGCAGCAGCAGCTTCGCGAACCGTATACTCCGACGCCTCCGAGGCCGAGCAGACAACATCACCCAACCAGTTACGTATAGTCCCCCGTGGATCGTCACTGCTGGCAGAGACCAGAACGAGGAACATGTGCGTGTGCTCACGGATCTAAATAATTCGTTTAGGGATGTTGGATTGTTGCATACGCAGCCGAGTCATAGAGCAGGAAAGAGTGCGGGTGCGGGTGCGGGAGGGACGAAAAGGAGAGCGGTGACGCATGATATTTTTGATTATGTCCCGGAGGACTCGCTTTATATGCTTCTGCCGCTTTGGGCGGGGGAAACAGATTCGAGTGGGGGAAGCGGTGTGGGAAGTGGGAGCATCATGGCGGGGTGTAGCAACAGCAGCGAAGCTAGCACCTCCACGACTGCGACGACCGCTTCGACAGCCACGAGCGCCACACTCGTCACAATCCCCGAAGACCGCCAATTCCTCCTCGTCTGGTACGTCCCCTTCGAAGACAAGGAAAAAAAACCTTCCGACTCCACTTCTAACTCCAACCCCAATTCCGTATCCTCATCTGCCAACAAGAAAAAATTGAAACAAACGCAATCGACCACCGACCCTAGCGCCGAATCTAACCAAAAGAATGTTTATTTAAGAAATTTTCGGGTGAATGCACGGTTGGTGGGGTATGATGAATTGAGGGGGACGGGGATCAGGGTGCCTAGTGATGGGTTGGCGGTTGCGGCACCTACCTTGGATGTTGGTGGTCCTGGTGGAGAACGGAATCAGGAGGAATCAGAATCACAGCTGGGATTAAGACAGCCACAACTAGGACCGCAGTCAGGGACCGGGGCAGCGCTAGGACTCGAAACCGTCATCTGCATGTGCAGCTCGCGCGAAAAAGGGTTTCATTTCCAGTCTGAGGGACTGTCCAAGCTTGGGTTGTGTCTCCAAGAAGAGGTGACGTTGCCTGCTGCTAATAACCCTCGCGCTGTTTACTTGGAGATTGAGACGTTGGAGATCAAGCACTTGTTGACGCCGGTTGGGAGGGCTGCTGTTGAAATGGTTTGGTTGGGGTGTTTGGCTATCACTAGTTTTGGGCCGTATTGAGGTGGGAGGGGGTAAGGAGTGTTTTTTTCCCTTGTATCTTTCTGTATCGGCATTCCAGGGGCTGGAGTTATTTATTTCCCCCTTCACCCGCATCTTCCTTTCTCATTCCATCTGAATCCTTATATCCTTGTCCTGAGTATAGTCCTGATTTCTTCATCTTTGATCATCCCTTCAAACTGTCTCCATATACAATCTCACCGCATCATCATACCACGATTTCCCTAGATTTTTAGTTGTATACTATCATACAGTCACTATGGCTATGGCTAAGCATTCATTCAGTTTTGTTTTGTTTCTTGATTCTGAGTGCATACTTATATTGGTATTTTTCGTGCTCACCTACTTACATAGTACTTTGCGGTGCTGGAGGTTGTCTGCGGGGCTGTTATGGTGCTGGAGGTCGTCTGCAATACCGCCCTTTTGAAGACTATGGATGACGCTTTTGATGATGATGTATTTAATTACTTTGTATGCTTACTTGGTTGTTTTTTGTATCCATGGAATGGATGGAGCGAATCTTGCGATGCGAGGTTGTTTATATGTTTTCATGTTGTTCTGAATCAATTATTCAATGATAGCTTGCCCTGAAGAATGATGTCAACCGTGGGAGATCTGCGCGTGTATATGAGTACCTTGCTTGCTCGTCGTTCTTTGTACTTCTTGTTCCTTTATGAACTACCATGATGTCGTTTCCAGACACGAAAGTGACTGGGTTTCATATGTAATTTAATCCAGTTACTTTCGTGTCTCGTCGCTTCGCCACAATTTCGAGTTTGACTAGGTGCTTGCTCCCCATTTTTACGCTTCTTTAGCATCATGTTATGCACCATCTTCATGAATGTTATTCTCCTCCGAGACACGAACATGCTTCGATATCTGAGGACGTGTTCACAAAGATCAAATACTCCTGTGTCTTATTCATGCGCCTATCAAGATGTCGTGCCGTCCTTTGTAATCTCGAGTTGGACTTTTGGCGTCTGGAAGTTTGGGTGCTTGTTTGCCATTTCTAATTTTATTGGTCTAACGTTCCCGAAGACCCAAAAGTGTGTGGACTTCTGCTAGTATCAGTCAACATCGAAGGATCAAACACTTTTGTGTCTTATTTATGCGTCCAACTTGCCATCGCAGCTGAAGCCTTGATGCACTGATGTTCCAGATGATGACGAAGCCTTTAATTCTTAGACTACTGAGGTTGGCAGTGCTCAACTTAAGTACTACTCACTACCATGATACTGTCGCCTCTTTCATCTCGTTCCACACGCAGCATGCAAAACGCCTAGTGTATTCTCAATTGTACTGTCCGTCAGAGCGACAGAACTTGATTGGCGGGGAAACATCTTGGTTTAATCAAGACGACGAGGGTCACGGGCAATCGCCAAAGCTGTCTATGATGCTGGTGATGATACAAATGTAGAATGCAGATAAGTGTCTAAACTCTATGGTGAGTGCTCCAAATGACTCCGAATAAGGATATTAAATATTTTGATGAACCACTCCGAGGGGCACATCGGATCTCCCCCTCTAAATTCGACCGAATTCCCATTCCTCCAGCAGGCAGCACATCTTCGTTTGAAGGTCGCATTGTCTAAACTGCCAGCTGATCTCAAAACGTTGGCGGCGGAGGTAGCGGAGACATTCCCATACCCAGTTCTGGGAGTTCCATCGGGGGTCGTGACGTGTGATTGGCACGCTTGCGAGGTGCCTCTCTAACAAAGCCAGCTGATGGGTGGCCACTCTTCCAACAGTAAAACTTCCGCGCCAGTCATTGGGGTTTACGTGTGGCTGGTTGCGTTTGAACTCTATGGTGTAGGTATCTGTATTTCCCAGGATGTGGTACGTATTCCCGATACCAGGACCAGTCGGGATGTAGATAACCCAGTGAAGGGGATAAGGCCGAAGGTACTCTTTCTGGCCTTGCCAAAACTGGACGACTTCGACGTTATAGTACGTAGCTGGGGCAGACATATTAGAGGGTGGCTATGGGTCTAGGTCAACTCCAGTTCGCTGAATTTTTATTCGGTGTACTCACCAAGAGGGCAGGCGACGGGAGAGGTGAAGGATGGGTGAGTTTGAGTTTTGAGCTCATCGATTGCCTGGATTTATATCCAAGCAGTTGTGGAGTTTGGTTTTGAGAACAACGAAATGTGGACGCGACATTGAACGCGACACGTCCACTTTCTCTCTCTCAGAGAATGTGTCGTGCGCTTTGGGTCTGCTTTGATGGATCACGGATCGTCTTTCCAGATCGAGCGATCCACAATGACTCCGTCGCATCCACCATGCTAGGGCTTTGACCCCGGCCACTATTGTCAATCATCCTGTGGTGGAACGCATCAAAGATTAACGTGATTTACCAAGTGTTCTAGGCTGTTCTAGGCTTCTAGAAACAGACTTCGTGCGGTGGCTCGTTAGAGTTCTTTGTTATGTCTTATCAATCAATCACTTGAATTAAGGGATCGAACTACTCAGACATTCATTTGAACAGTTTTAGGCGGCAGGAGGAGCTCACACAATTCTGTCAGACATCAGCTGTAGTACGAGAATCCCGTTTCAAGAAAACTACATATATGATACATGCAATATACATACCAAGGACTCCTTGCACATGTTAGAGTCCGATGTGAACTTTTTATGTCGACACCATAGGGTATAAGTCGGCCACTGCAAATGTAAAATCGAGGAATGAGTACTAGGTTTTCGTAGAAGAGAGACACGATCTGACATGCACCAACATCGTCCGAAAGCTGAATCGCTTGAACTCTTCACCAGTGTCACCGGATACAGAAAGATCATCGATCATCTAGCGCACTTGATAGTGTATTGCGCAATTTGTTTAAGTTCGCTCTGGGGTATCGTATTTTCTGGGCTAAATGGAATGATTTTCGAGCGCATATAGTCAACCAAACGGAATGAAAACCTAGGAATATAACAAAGGATTCCCTCGACCTCTTATCTTTTTGTGTCTCGTTTTTTCGAAAGACGCCGAAACACAGCGATAAAATCGACGGCCTCTGGTCTATTCGTCCTATATCTTCACGTATCAGCCATATTCTTGTCTATTTTCACTGGGACTGAAGGACAAACGTGGGGTAAGCCTGAGGAATGAAAAAGCTCAGACTAGGAACGGAAACGGGACTAAGTGGTGTGATAGTCAGGAAAATGTACGTAGAACTGTGAATAAGAGAGCTCACCTCAGTCTTGGATCAAAAGACTGAGGGAGACCATTCGACGGGGAGAGGAATCAATACGCTCAGGCTGATTGAACGTGTATGAGGTGTGTAACGAGGAATGATCGCATATGTAAAAGAAAAGGATGAGTACGTACGAGAGTCACGTCTTGATGATATGATCATAAGGCGAATGAATTCTATTACAATATAAGCGATACGTCCGTGACTCCGATTTGTGCAAGTTGCGTTGTGCTGAGGGGCTACGGATAAAACACCCTGTATGGAAGGGAGGTCACCGTCGACTCGACCCACTTGGGGCAGCTAAGTCTCTTAGGTGTCCTTTCCATACGCGCTCTCTCAGAGCTCGTCAGTGTCAGACTGCGGGCAGCGAAGTTGGATGAAAACACGGCGCACGGATGATTTTTTCACTTACCCAACGTAGGTCTTCTTCCAGCTGCTCAACGTCCATTGGTGAAATGGCAAATACGCGACTAAGCATGCTAAGAGATCTTGAGAGATATTTAATTATTAGGGGAGCTCGAAGTTAAACGCCCAATGCTCAGCGCTCAAGCCCAACGCCCAACTTGAACGCTTGAACACCCGACCTCGTGACGAGAAGTAATTTTACATAAGCCACACAACTGATGCTTGAACGTCCAAGTTGTTTCCTCAGAAGACGCACTAGCAGTACTGACAAAATTTTTTAGCTTGTTCAAGTGCCCAGCGTCAAAAGCCCGTATATATTTTCGTGTCTTGTTCGTGCATCTAACTTCAAGTCGCATCGCGTCGCAGCTGCAGTCCAAGCTTGAAAACTTGAAGTTCTACTGGCAGATTCATCGCTGTCAACTCCTCGGATCGCAAGTACTTCACCCCGACACATACGCAAGCGATGCGAAGGGTTGGGACGTCATCTTGTCACGTGTCGTTTCTGTCTGTCAGAGCAGCAGAAATCGAGTGGCTCTTGAATTTTGATCCAGTCAGGACAACGAAGGCTACTCACGAGCGCCCAAGACGCCTATTACGCCAATGATAATACACATCCAGAATGCAAATGTCTTAAATTTATGGTGAGCGCTCCCTCCGAATAAAAATATTAAATATTTACCCACCACTTGGGAACACCAAATCTCCACCACCTCTAAATTCGACCGAATTCCCAATCCTCCCACAGGCAGCACATCTTTGTTTGAAGGTCGCACTGTCTAAGCTCCCAGCTGATCTCAAAACGTTGGTGGCGGAGGTGGCGGAGACAATCCCACACCCAATTCTGGCTATTCCATCGGGGGTCGTTATACGTGATTGGGACGCTCGCGAGGTGCCTCTCAAACAGGGCCAGCTTATTCGCAGCCACTCTCCCCATGGTGTGGCTTCCGCGCCAGTCATCAGGGTTTACGTGTGGCTGGTTACGCCTGCACTCCACAGCGTAGGTCTCCGTGTCTCCCACGAGGTGGTACGTGTTTCCGATACCGGGATCGGTTGGGAGGTAGATGACCCAATGAAGGGGATGGGGGTGAAAGCACTCTATCTGGCCTCGCCAAAACTGGACGACTTCGACGTTATAGTACGTTTGTTGGGAAGACATTAAGATATGGCTATGAGACTAGGTCAGTTGCAGTCCGCTGAGCTTTTGATTCCGTGTGCTTACCGAAACAGCAAATGACAGATCAAACACGGTTGGGCTTGAGGTTTGAGTCTACCGATTGCCTGGATTTATATTCAAGCCGTTGTGGATTTTTGTTTTAGGAACATTTTCAAAGTGTGGATGCAACATCAAACGCGACATGTCCACTGTTGTTCAAAGAGAGTATAGTGTGCGGTGTGGGTGGACCACTAATCGCCTTTCCCGACGAGCCACATCTGACACAATAATTAATTTAAAGTTGAAACGCAGGTGGATGCTCCTGAGAGCTAGGCCGCAAGTTCATACCTTCCTTTAATTCCACTTGCTATTGGCAATCATCACATGATGGGTTAGATCAACAATCAACATGATACATCTGTGATTCATTGTATTGCACGCAAGTGTTCTGGAGCTCTGAGATTATGGAAGTGGTCCTCGAGGGATATTACCGGCTCATTGGAACTCATAACATTGTTCGACTTGCCAATGTGGGGATCAGTTATAACACCCAGACCGTGTTGGTCCAGTGGAGAGTTACGGTGCAGAAGAGTCCATTGTCCCTAGTGTTGTCTTTGCGTTTTTGACTTGCAAGAAAATTACTTGGCATATACAACATACACAAGGATTCCGCATACCGATACGTGTGCTAAACTCAGACGCGAACGCGAACACTGAATGCCTATGAGGTCACCAACTAGTCTTTTGATGCCTAGTCATGGAATATGCAGTCTTATAAGGGTTCTACACGCATTAATACTGTGTCGTCCGAAAACAAACTCTACTTGAACAATAGGTAGTATACATGAGATGATGCGCAGGGATCAGTTCGCCCCGCAGATAGATAATTCTCTCATTTCCTGTAAGACCGCCTCGACCTAACCACCACCGATGAGCAAAGAACATACTCGTAACAGCTGATTATACCTGTGCATCCAGCTGACCTGCAGCATAATCATCCCGCACATTGTCTGCAAAATACCTGATCATAGCATAAGTCAGATCCCCGCCCATCATTTCCCAAACCCCCAACTCACCTCTGTACAGCGCTCATCTTCTCATATCCTTCCTCAGCAAACTTACATTGCATGCGAATCATAGCCTCAAAACTGGGATCAAAATACGGTATACGCAGATCCAAGAGCTGCGGGAGCTCCGAGATGAGTTGATCGTTCATGAGCTCGAAAACCTCTTTCGCATCGTCGTGTTCTTGTTGTGCTTTTGGAAGCTTTGTAGGATCTTCACTCGGTTTCTCGATCGTCTTTCGTAGTTTGCTACGTGCAGCGTCGAAGTCCAGGAGCTAAGAAACCGTTTAGTCGAGTCGCTGAGGCCACCGATCAAGAGCAAGGAGCATCACCTTCTTATTCCGTTTGGTGATATGCTCGTTAACAACGGGGAAGTATGCGTTCATCTTTCCGAGGGGTTCCATGATGGTCGTGCGATAAGGACCTTCCTATAGAAGATAATAAATAAATGGAATCAACAGAAGCAAGTATCACTTACAAGTTCCCTTTGAATACCGCTATCGAGCTCCTCCACTGCACTCGTGAAAGCATGACTTGCCATAGCACCATCTGATGTGCGATCTGCAGCGCCGTAGAAAGTCTCGACGGTCTCAGCTAACCGCGCCTGTGTGGTTGTCATCGCTGCGGCACTATTTCAACATGTTGCATGACATAACGAGGCCAGATAACTTACAGCGCATGGCATCCTGATATTGCTTGGCGTCCCTCTGTAACGCCTGACACTCCTTCTCGAAGCTGGACCAAGTCAAATAACAAGGAGACGGACTGCGGATGCACGTACGCTCTGTACTTGGCCTCTTCATCCGCAAATTCACGGTCTATCGTGCGTTCGATCTGTCCGGTCTTTTGTAAGACCTGAATGGTTGAAACGAGTCATGGGTGCTCCGCGTAGGATCGAAGATGTGTTCCTACCGTGGTACCCGCCCTATTCAGCGACTTCTTGAACCTAGTGGATATCAGACCTCAGTGAGCTACATCGAGATAGGAAACAGACCCTGTCCAGCTCATGGTACTTAGTGATATCACTCCGAAGAGGTTGTTGGAGTGACAAGTAGTGTTGATCAAGTTGGATACTCCGAAGCGCGCCCGTCTTGGTCCAGGCACCACTTCATAATGGCTTACGTAAATCACGATTGTACCACGACAAGACTTGGAATAAATCAAAACAAATTCTCTCCCTACACACTACCCGCTTATTGAAGGTGAAACTAAAGACGAAGTCTAGTGGAAAATTAATTTATATAAGAGAGAGCCGGCGTGCATGATAGACGAGAAACATACCTCAGCGTCCGACAAGAACTGCTGAGGTAGAGCCTATAAGGTGGTTTACGTAAAGGTCCGTGATGACAAATGAGAGAAATAAGGAGAAAATGACGTTGTACATCCAACACCACTCATCGTAAATCAATCACATCGAGCATCTCCAATGTCACACACTGCTGCTAGTTGATACACGGACGTGCTTCTGGAAGGTAATCGGAACCATAGCGATTGTTGTATCGGAGTCGGCTAGGAGCTCAGCACGATATTCCCGAACGCTAAGGACCAGGCGTGGTCCCAGCACAAACAACTGCACGAATTGAAAGATTTGAGCGAAACCAAGAAAAACCTCAGTTTCCAGGGAATCTAGGTTCTAATGAAAATAATGAATTATGGCTGCATGCAGAGGTCGACGACAAATCAGCATACCGCTGAGAGCGTCGGAGAAGAAAACCCGACGTAGAAACAAGAAACTGCAAGAAAGCTGGCACGTGCAGAATTTCAGCGGAAAAGAGAACCGCCTTCACATTATGAACTCACCTCGCAAAGTAACTCACGTGAGTTTTCATTAGCACCGTGAAACAGTCCCTGAAAATACTACTCGGTGAGTGTTGTCGCAGTTCACGCAAGTGCTTCACAGCAATCCGGACTGCGAGATACAGCAAAAGGACCTCCCATGCAATGGCGAGTATCCAAGTGATGGTATACAGAAGTATAGTATCTCCCACGTAGCCGATCTTGCATTCATAGGTGCCGGAGAGAACGACTTCCTCTGGTATTTGTCAATGAGCCGGATGCGACCAAGTATTTCGTCCGCGATTAAAGCTTACCCACTGGAATATGCATCATGGATATCGCGGCCATCGCTGCGTTGGCGATTCTGATGGCCAGAAAGATGACAACGAGAAATACCAGCACCTTTCTGGATCGCTGATACATGGCATTCAGCCGAGCGATCATGATGACTTGCTTGATGTCATGGTGAAGTCAATATCACAGAGGTGCATCGCTCACCACCCAGCATTACATTTACAACCTCATTCGTGCTTTCCAGTGTAACATACATGATACGGCCTGAAAAATCCAGCAACATTAGTTATTAGCCTCGGAGGATCACACGCTCAAAATAGACTCACAACTGTAGCAGTTATTATATTGAACCAAGTTGTTTGAGAATCTCACTCACCCCTACATGGTAGTTGAATTGCTTAAGTGGGAATGGAAACCATCGGTGCAGAACACTCACCGAATCTGTGATTGAAATTGTCGGAACATTGGCTGTATATCACCAGTCAGAAGAAACAAACACGGTGAATGTGAGGTGGCATACTCAGCATCTTGAGGCTGATTGTGAGAGATCGCTGATGAGTACAATGCCAATTTTCTAGCCTTTCAGACATACATAACATATACTATTCCAACATAGCGTACCTAGGATGTGTTCACGTCAGCGTGACTTGCTAAGTATATTTAAATATAAGCTACATACACTGAGATACAGAATGGTCATCAAGGACCAGCGTCGCCTCTGCTGCCGATTAGATATAATTTTACGTCATTCTTTTGATGTCGGAATCTACTCACCCAGAACAGTTCGACCTATTAAATCATTCTCAGCGAGATGGCTACCCCAGGAATGAATCGACCTACCTCTTGTCCAAAGGTAAGCGCTGAGAATACCATAAGGATGTCAGCGGTTCTTTTATACTCAGACTTGCTCACCCCAATCGTAGATTACCCCAACAGAGGCGGCAACTGTGCAACCGCGGTCAAGGTTAATCAAATTGTCATCATCCGTATGTCTTTCCACGAACCTGTAAAGTAGCCGAAAATATAATGGGAGTTGATATCCGAGACTAGGGTCATACTGTTGGAGGATGGGAGTGAAGGAGCGGCGGCGAACTTGGTGGATATATGACGATCGCATTCGTGATTCAGCTGATATACCACCATCCAGTGCTTGAGTTGCCGAAGTGAGGTTTGATGGATGATATCTGATTGACCGAAGTAAGTATTTCAGCATGAACTAAAGGAGGAAGGGAATATGCATCCAGAGAACAGTACCGATGCGGAGTCAAAGTGGGAGTGAATCGCAGGGCAGTGTTGGACGTACTGCGGGCCAACCCACTGATGTGACACTTTCATTAATCCAACACAGGTTTGAAGACCTCGTGGCAGACATTCCCTTAAAGGTCAGCGCTTCAGCAACGTTCTCTGACCTCTTACGAGAGAAAAAATACAACCTCAAGTTCATGTACACGCTGCCAGTGATTGTTACAGATGCGGGTAAAAGTACATACATTCGTCGTATCCAACTCCCTGCCATAGAACACGATTGACATGCGTAGTGACAAGGGCAGTCTCACAGAGAAAGCGGGGAGGCGGAGCGGTTGTACAAAAGAGCCTTATCTATAGGAGTCTTACAAGAAAGAACAGATTAATCCAAATGGCCGGGCATGGCTAACGTTGTGGAAATTTATAAAGAGCGACTCGAGGAAACTCCGGTTCTAAAAATGTTCATGTAAGTCAAATGTAAGTAAGTATGACCGCGGGAATAGATCGGGACCTCCCGAAGCGATCAATGGATATTGATGAACGTTGATGAACCCGTATGAACCTTCCAAACCACATGCCTTTTGTGAAATATAGATACATTAATTGGTCCGTAGTTTGGAAAGCATTGATTGCGACGAGGTACGAGACGATACCCCGACTTTTGGATCAAAATCTAGGATTCTAGATGCTGCAGAAAATCACCCAATATAGCCCCAGTGACTACTGATCCAGCCATCTTACTAGGACACAAGAAATCCGACGAGCACAGTGCACGTGTATCCGTCCGGCGATAATCAGATGCCTGTCGATATCAATTCCTTGAAACATTATACACAGCCTATCATGATACTTTGGCAGATAACCTGAACACTGTGGTTCTTCCCTGACGATCAGAATTCCATATACTGTGACGGCCTTTGCTAAGTGTCAGTTCTCTTACATCCAGTGCTGGTGTGGGAAGTTGAACCAATCAATTTCAGCGGTTTGAGTGTTGTACCCATGAGCCTCAATTTGCATAATACTGAATCTTAATGATTTGATGCATGAATTTCAACGGATCACCAGAAAATTAAAACAACAGAATTTGATAGTTAGGCCAATGAATTTTGATGGCGGGGGGTGTGAATTTCATTGGCTCATCAATCAGAATCCACTTAACATGTATAGAAAGATACAACAGACGAAGGCAGGTTAGTCCAATCAGTCGGAGCCACTAGCATGAACAGCATCGTCCGTCCTAACATCAGCCTCGAGTTCCAACTCCGCAAATGTGATCTGTCGGATGTGGTCGGCGGCACGTTCAATGATGCCCCAGCGCCTTCGTGTGCCTACACGCCCAACAGTAGCTCCGATATTCCAAAGGTCCGTTATATCTGGAATTAGTAATCGCTTGTACTCGATGCTCTGAGAAGATGGATCCAGCCCGTCTGTCGCACATGGAATGAGAGTAAGCAACAGTGTCAAGTTACGCAGGTCACCGTAACGATTGTTATCGTCAAGGTGACACTTGAGGATGTAATTCAGTTGACCACAGCAAATTACAGCAACATGCCGAGATGTAGGGCACCTCGTACTGGGCAAGAAAGATCTGGTCAGAAGGTTACCCTTCCTCCAGTGCTCATCAGAACTCACCCGCACAAATGTACAATCTCTAAATGAGAGTTTGCTTTAATTTTAAGGTTGGGGTCAACGCGCAAGCCGAGTCTCTATATCAATTGACATGGAGTTGCCCTAGCCTAGAGACATTGTGCGTGGAAGTGCAACGATCAGTTGGTCCTTCCGCCCGTCAATGACTGAGTGAATGTAAGCACGCTACCTGAATATTCATAAGGGGGTGACGAGCCGTTTTCTCCTGTTCAGCAGAGCTCATCACTGACACGGATTGACTGTGTGTCATGGGTGTGCTTATCCGCAGGTTGGTGGATGCTTGCGACGCTTTGACGTTTGAAATATAGTCCGCGTTCTGTAAAGTTTCCATAATGCCATGCCAGCTCTCTCCTAGGCTGCTACGAGGAAGAGGGCAAAAGATACCAACACTTTGAGACATGCTAGATTTCACTCGAAAAGTCCCCTGGAACTTGGATAGGTGCCGTCAACCTGTAAAGAAAGTTGACGTTTGGAGCATCGGAGGTTCAACGTAGGGCTCCCGACTGGACACTACTCACGAAGGTATCGCAAAATTAGAAAGCAAGTTGAACAATGCGTCGCGCAACATTCGTCAAAGCTCGATAGCTGCTAAGAACGTCTATGAGGAGCTCGCCTGACAGATTTGTTGAGATGATGATAAAAGAAAGGGCTACAAGAAGCGCAAGCCAGCCGTTCTCAACTATAAAATACACGATGATGAGGTACTGGGTTGCAGAGTCCATCATGCAGGAGTGCGGAGAGGCTAAGAGCGGCACAGGGTCGCCAGTCGCTCAGGGATGTTGAACCATGATGAACATGTACAGTGGACCAGTGAACGACGCGAAGCCTTCGCATAGGTGAACAATAAATTGCACAGGGAGAGGGTAAATGTATGCTTTAGGAATTGGTGGGGAGTTCGCTTTGTCTGATTCATCGACACTAGTTAGGCTCAGGATGATCCGCAAGATGTGAAATGGGAACTGTACAATTGGAGCTTTATAGCTGTCATTTACAAGTTCACCATGTTGAATTAGTCCCCTGTAATCAGACCTTGATATAGGACTGATCATGCGCATGAGTACTGCAGCTGAATACTAACGAGTAGGACTGATCACCTACAAATTAATGACAGGCACTTGGACCCCATAAAAGGGCCTAATATTTCATCGCCGCTGCCAACCCCATCTCCTAAAACTCCGCTTGAGGAAAGTGTTAGCAGGCGAACGGCTCGAACTCCAGGTCTTGGACGGACAGCCAAGACGGGATAGTCTTGGTCAAAACGTGATCACGTCACTCCGCGCCTTCTCAAACTCCCCATCCCGCCCTCATCTACCAATTCAATTCACAAACCCGCACACACTTCCATTCTATCTGCATCCTGTTCACTCGACTCAAAATGCAACTCTGCTCCATCACATTTCACCCCTACATTGACCTTACCCTCCACCTCATCAACTCCAGGTTCGTCTAATTATAACGCTTCATCCACGCTCACGCCAAACGACACACCCAAGCCAACAGATACGCGAGACGCCTGCCCAAACGAGTACCGTCCAGATCAACTTGTAAACTCAAAAGACAGCGTGCAGCCTGAACTTGTTCTCTCTGAGCTACGCCAACCAACTCCCTCGGATCTGACATGCCTCAATGCTGATTACCTGGACCAGTATGAAGATCTCCGCACTGAAGACTTCCGCGAATAAACACCTGCAGATTCCCTCTTTCGAGATGAAAGGCCGTCGCCGCAGCACTCACAGCCCTATTTCCTTCAGTAGAGAGTGGATCCTCGCCCCCTGCCAATCTCCCCAAAAGGTTCGTCTGTGTGTTTACCTTCACAGCCAGAATCTGAGGCGTCATGTCTAGGAGTCCAGGACCCAGAAGACAGCCCTCTTTCACAGGAACCAACGGAGATTCTTGATGGCAGGGACGATATTTTTCTACGACGTTTATCGATTCCATGAACACCTACACCAATGGAGCCACGTCTCCTCTGAGAAGTACGTGTACTGAGGACCTTGTGGAGCAAGAACGTGCAGAGACGCATGTAGAGCACGAACCTACAGTGATAATTGATCATCAAGTACATTTCGAATCGAAATCACTAGCATCTGCCAAACTTTCAGCCCCATTTGAACACACGGGTTCCGTCCGCTCTCCCCCACCTTCACTGCCGCACCCCCCGTACTCCGCAGAGGCATTTCCTTTCGATGTACGGGATGTTGGCATGTCCTTTGCTACTGCGACTGCTTGGTTCTGGGATTGCTGACCTCAATGTCATCGGCATCCACATCATGAAACCTGTTCTTCTCGTCCCTGATAGCGCATTTCACATGGGCGGCCTTGTGATTTTAATATGAAAGACTTGGTACGGGTTCCTATGGTTCAGGCGCCTGAATGTCCTCATCGCATCCATATCACGATCAGGCTACCTAATTATACTAGTTCATAGTGTATTAATTTCAGCGTTTGATTCAACTATTTCTTATCTGATGGGCTTGTGCCTGACTTTCACATGGGCGGAGAAGCAGTCGGTCAACTGACACCTTAGATCAAATGCTACAGATGAGGACGCGTTGCTCATTCACGCCTTGTCTCTTTTCCCCACCACCTCCTGCCCCCACTAATCCTATCCCACGTGATCATAATGAATAGGGTTAGGGTCCGTTCCAGGACGGGTCATGTGATCATACTCATCGTGCTTTGTCCCAGGTTCCCAGAACTCGTCCCACTGTATTGCTAGTTCTACCCTCCTTGTGTAGTAACTGCCTTCGGTGTAATTGGCTCGTTCGTTCCTGGGAGGTATGTGATATATTCTCTGAAATTCATAGGATTAACAAGCATCATGTTAGCAGAGAATGTACATTTCCGCGTCACTATGAATGTCCTGCCTGCTCAAGCTTTATCTGCGCCTTCCAAGCGCATATTGTCATCCAGCAAAGAGATATGCACTCTACGGCGCAGCAACTTATCTCCGACCACACTGGAAGCACTACAAGTCCTGAAGTTTATGTACAAGCAAGACCGCCTTAATTTTAGAGGACCTGGTGGCTGATGAGCAGGACTACACAATATCTGGACCTGAGACTCCCAGAGCAGTTGATGAGCTAATGGCTGCTGGTGTTCTTCGCGAGCTTGACGAGTTGCTCAGAATGTAAGGGACATTGATTGTAACGAGTATATCTGCTGGTCGTGTACTAGTATTTTGCAAATAATTATCGTTGTCGGCATGCAGAATCCCTAGCTTCTCATTGGTTGGACTACCTGTTTGTATCACTCCCGAACTCGTTTCCGCATCACGAGTTAAATGAGGTACGCTTCGTTTCAACTCGTTAGTCTGAACTGTGTTGATTTACCAGAATTTTCCATCTCGATTCGTTTCGCCTCGGCAACACTAGACAAACACGAAAAAAATGGCATATAGCATAGAGAACATGAGACGACTGCAAGACATGAAAGGATGAACTTGAGAGAAAAGATCAAACCTTACGAATACCAGGTTTCCACCCTATTTCGCGATGCGTTCCTCCAAGGGCCTCGGTGGCAATGGCTGTTGTGGGCGACCTCGGCTACTGGCACTACCTCTTCCTCTCTCAATGTCACCTTTACCGCGCCCCCAACCGCGGTTGGTGTTTCCACGTCCTCCTGGTGTCTAGAAATGTGTTAGCTCCTTACTTCAGGCCCTATGCAGAGAACCTACTGAAAGTCGCCCTAGAAGTGAGGGCTCGTCGCCACGAGGATCGCGCTCTTCACGGCGAGTGGAACGCTCTTCCTTGCTGTATCCCGAATCGGAGGGACGTCGGACATCTGCGGCGTTGGTGTAATCCGGCCTGTAACTGCCCTCATGCCGCCCACGCTTATCAAGTGCATCCCGGTCACTGTACGGCCTAATTTGACGGGAGGGTGAGGGTGACCGTAGTCGATCGTGAATTGAGCTGCGCAACTCTGGTGAGGTAGAACGACCCCTTCGCCACTCCGTTTCTGCAACAGGGGAGCGACGGGCAAGTCCACGAGGATTCCGATAGTCTCGTTCTGGTACATAATGATCGCCTCGTGGTCGACAGCGATCACGATTCTCATCTTCACTGTCGTGCTCCGCCGGCCTCTTTCTGCCACTGTTCATCGGCGAAATTGGACGGGGAGGAATGGGGAGCCTGTAAGCTCTGGCCTCGTTCTGTTCGAGGTGCCGATGATGAGATGACGTCGCAGATGTAGGAGGGGGGGAATAGTGGTCCGGATAACGAGGAGCCCACTGCTGATGCTGACTACGAGACCCGCCGCTGGTACCATTACTGCGGACGAAACCCGAGGGTTCCGGGGATCTAGTTTGTCCGCTAATCTGAGAGTTCTGTCGAGAGCGTTGGTTGGGATCGTAACGAGAGACAGATTCCGATGACTCAGAATGAGGGGATATGGCATCTGGAGTCCATTGCTGACGGGCCACAGAGGCATCCATGACCCAGGGATCTGGGCTGTTTCGAATTGGTGCGAGCCCTGTCACAGACCCTGATGTACCTGCTGAACCAACTCGAGCATTGGAGCGCAAAAATGCACTTGGCACTTGACCGATGACGAGTTCGACGGAAGTTTGAGGGATATCGTTCGTTTGAGAAGCATTGATGTTCGAAATTTTGAACGGCAGATTGTCATTTGGAATGTGAACTATGACATCCGCAGATCGGGCGGATGCTCCTTCCTCAGGGAGACTGCTAGTCTGTTCTTGATCACGCGATTCCTCGACCACCACTTCTTCTGTTTTTATCATCTTGATAGGAAGCGAGTCGTCAGGTCGCTTCACGCTCCGATCTCCAGCAGCACTCTTCTCGACGCGTCTATTCTTCTTGATGTGTCGCAAATTCGCGTCTCTCTGAGCTGGTGAGACATTCGCCTGTTGACTAACAGTCCATTCAGTCCACTTGTTGGTATCGCTACCGAGGATGGTACGTGACTTGGGAGTACTGGGCAACGCAATTTTTTTGGAACTCAGCAGTGGCTCATTTGATAGGGGAGAGACGGACGAATGCAGAGAGAACTCAGAAGCCAATTGAGTCGAAAACAAAGGCGCATCTGTAATCACCCGTCTCCCGACGTCAGTAGAAGCCGACACAAACGAGGGTGTCTTATAGGAGGCTGGGGCAGTTGATGATGATGTGGGTGTTGACATTGATGATGAAGGGGGACCATCCGAGGTTGACAGTGCGCCAAGCATAACGTTGCCGGAAGTTCCCTGAGAATGAGAGGTCTTCTTTGCTCGCGAAGCAGGCTTCTTTGGTGCGCTGCCTTTTTGACCCGGCAACAGGACAGTACGTTCGAGCGGTGATGCTAATTCATCGACCTCTACCTCCACATTCATACCTTCTATGTTGCCACCATCGGTCGTGGAAATCACCAAGTGTCCAGCACGCCCAGCACGGATGCGAGCAGCCTTTTCCAGAGCGGTCTGCTGAGCGAGGAGCTCTCTGTGTCGCAGTTTTTGTTCTTCATCAGCCCGCTTTTCAGCCTCTTCGGCCTGGACCCTCTGCTTCTTTGCTTCCTCTTCGACCCGCCGATGCTCTGCTTCAGCAGCCTGCAAACGCGTCTCCTTCAAATGCTGGAGTGTACCGCAAGATTGACGAGTCCAGGCGATTTGCTTTTTCAGATTCTCGGTCAATTTGTGTTGGTAAACCAAAGAGTTGTTATGGTTATCGACCACCTTAATCTCTTCTTCAGTCATACCATCCTCCTTCTCAACACGAGGCTCGATATCAGCAGAAAGCTGGAGGGGCGATGCATTATTTTGAGCCAGAGCCCTGTCTCTCTCGATACGCTCCTTCTCTGCTTCCCACTGTGTCTTCTCAGCTTTTACGTCTTCGAGAAGCTTCATCGCTTCGGCAATTTCTTCCTGGATGGCCGTCCGTCTTGACTCATCCTCCAACTTTCGCTGATCGTCTTGTGCACGGCGTTGAGCATCTCGAGCGCGCTTTGTTTCCGCTCGGAGTCGTGATTCCTCCTCCAGCGCCACAAGTCTCTCCTCCCTGGTGCGCAACTCCTCCCGCTGCTTCTGCAACGTTCGCATCTGAGAATTGTATTCCGCCTCCCTCACGAGCATGTGTTCATCGAACGCCTTTCGGCGCGCATCGAAGTCCATGCGCTCTGCATCAAATACTTGATTCGCATCGCGCTGCTGTTTGGCGGCACCCTCGGCAACGAATAGGAGCTCCTTTATGGCTTCGACCAATGGCTCAATGTGGGTGTTCCGCGAGGTTGGTATATTGGAAGGTCGCGAACTCGTCAGGACAAGAGCGTTACCATCATCAGCTGGTAACATTTCTTGATCCAAGGGACCGTTTGAGGTGGAACTGCTCTGAGGGTACGGATGTCGAAGAACAATGACGCCAAACTCCTCCTCATTCGTTTCATTACGAAGCCCAGCAGCTAACTCGAGTATATTCGAAGGCGGTGCAAATGGGGATGGGGTCCTGAGAAGCGGTGTAGGAAGGGCAAGGGATAAAGCTTTGTTCTTTTCTAGAAGCCTGGCATGTAAAGCGGACAATGAGTCTTGTGCGACTTGCTCTTGAAATGTTTCAGGCTGCACAACGTCTGGAACTTGGCTTGAGCTGGTACCAGTCATTTTAGAATTCGGAGGAAGAGATGCTGATAGCGTCGACGAGGGTGAACTCTGGGTTAGTTGAGGAAAGAATCCTGTGGAAGAATGTAGTTTTGGCGACCCAGACGGATGGGACGATGAGAAAATGTCACGATTGGATTGTTCAGTGGTCGGAGTTACAAGAAATGAGCCGGGGTAGACGAGTTCGGGTGTTAATGCCTCTCTGACTTCGTTGGCGGCAGCATTTGCGGGGGTTTGCATTTGCAACATGTTTGACTCGGAAGTAGTCGGGAGAACCTCGATTGGAGGAATTAAATGAGGGTTTGCAGGAACGTAACGGTTGCGCTTTATCCGTGGTGCAGGGGGCAATTCACGTGTTGGATGAAGATTTTGGGATTTTGCGGATGAGTTGAGTTGTGAATGATCCATTTGAATCCGCTCAGCCAGCTTTCGCGAATTTGGAACTGGGGCACGGGTTACTGGAGGTGGAAGATGCAACGTTGCTGGTGAGGGAGAACGAAAGGACATTTGTCCCGGATCTGGCGCAGAAATGCGACTGAGTAAATTGGGCGGTTTTCCGATGATACCGAATTGGATATCTGTAAAACTAGGTGGTGGTTGGTGAACAGGGGCCGGCATACGGACCTCATTGCCAGTCTGCGCTGACTCAGGTGCAAACTCGGCAGTTAAGAGGTGAGATGGAGAGCCGAAAATCGACTCGGACATGGTGTTGTTGTTAGAATTGATGACGATCAATTGGTACGCTTATATATACCTGCAACACTGATATGACAATGGTAAGAACTCGAAGAGATTATCTGTGCGTACTGATCTGAAAAAGATTGCAGTCGTGTCGCTGGTAGACAAAGGTAGTCAATAGGTTGAAAGGCGTTGAACGATTCAAGCTAGTCAAAAAAAAGTATTCAGTCCAAATGGTCATGAGACAAAGAGCTTGCAATTACATACCGACCTGACGCGTGCCTACTGTATGGACCTTCGGCAGAACCCGTAACAAAGGGGTTCCTGAAATAGCCTATCTTCAAGTTGACCAACTCATCATGCGAGTAGACTATAAAATTTTTTATGTAACGGAGACTTGCCAGGGACTCATCGAGTCATTCGGTCGTATGACTGACAGCGACTGACAGAGATGGTCATACTTGAGAGGGTGCTATCCATCTCGCTGCCCGCAACTCGATTCCTGTCCATCCCCCGAGGACGGACCGTGACACTGTGCGAGCTCAGGTTCGCCATATGGTGCGGCGCGCAGAAGATGAAGCTTGAATGGACTGGATTTACCCTGTCAACTTCGAACTTTGGACGTCTATCTCATGCTCATCCATCAAGTAGGTCACCACTCCACGAGTTCAATGCTTTGGCGACCTAACAATTTGGTTGAGCCGTACAGACCACTCTGATCACGAGTTATGCGTCTCCGAGCGTAGCGCATTGAAAGTGAAACACAGGCCGGGCACCTTTGAGAACCATTTCCGATTCGATGAACTCTATCCTAATCATCAAATATCGCTTCCTGCAAGAACGCTTCGGCGACTTAAGCTCAAAGCGCATTACTATATGTACTCAAACACCACCCATAGAGATGCCGCATCTCTGTCCCTCTGTAGCTGTGGTGGGCACAGCCTTGACCTTTCCGTGAACTCCAACAGGCTCCTCACCAATCACCACTTTTATCAAGGCCAGACACAACGATCGGACTGTTCCCTATAGCCTTGCGTAACTTAGTATGGGTACAACAAATAGCTTAGAAGGCTCGGCGAACAATTTCGATCTAAGGCTGGTCATCGGTCCGACTCAAGTCTGTGGGCTCTTGAGTGCCGTACTGTTCGGTTGCCTTGCTTGCCAGTCCTTCATGTATTTCGCAAGATTCACAAGTGATCACTTCGCCCTTAAAGTAACTGTGAGTCGGTCGATTGTATAATTCACTGTTGATTTTAATGATCGCTTCGTACGATTAGGTATCTGCAGTCACGTGCGCTTCATGTTTGATTTGGTTCCTCCATTGTTTAAATATTGGTGTGTTTTATAGTTTACTCCAGCGGGGCCACTTCATCTGCATAATATCAACATTGTGGACAATGACTATCAGCAGTTATGGTGACCCCTCTCAACTCATGGCGCTTCCTGTAGCGATAGTCGTAGCTATTCCGTTGAGCGGATTTACGGTATTCATTGTGCAGGTAAGTGATTTCCAGCTTGGTATTTTCACTATTGGGTGCTTACGGGTAACATCAGTTATTTTACATATTTCGACTTTGGAAGTTCACAAGAAATGTTTTAATACCCATTCTTTGCGGGATACTCGCCATGGGTGCACAGATTTTGACACTAATTCTCGCGGTAACGGCGACCTCGACGACGGACCTCATGGCTTTTGGAGACTTTTAATTTTTTTTACTGATGGCGATTCTTTTTATCGTACGCGCAGCCTGCGACATGGTCACCGCCGCTGGCACCGTTTGGAGTTTAAGAAAAAAACGATGCTCTGGCATCAGGGAGTATGACTGTTCATCACTCATTTCTCATGTCAGCTTACATCTGTTACGACTCATAGCATGGCGATGATGATTGACCGGTTGGTTTTGTGGACAATTGGTAAGATAGGCAGCATCTTCATCGGATGGATGCGCTTTTAACATTATCTCTACACAGAAACTGGGCTGATCACCAGGTATTTAGTTATTGTATGGCTTTATAATGTGTTTCCACCAACGATTCATTAGTCTGATGGCCATTGCATTGGCGACGTGGGTAAGAGCTTCACCACCTATATCTTCCGGAGCATTCCTTCACTAGCTTCAAGTTTCTAGTCGTGAAGCAGAACTGTGAGCATGCTGGTACCCTGCACTCTACTGCAGCTGAAATGACGTAGACGTGTGGTTTGGAGTATGGTTTATGTGGCCTAATGGTAATGATACGGAATACCTCAAAATTTAATATATTGACCCGAACGCTGTGCAGTTGTGGGGAACTCTTTGTTGGCCTCGTCAGTCGCCAAACGGGCTCGACAAATGACAAACACAATGAACTTACCGATGTGACATACAGGTTAAATCGGCGGTTACTTCTTCGGGAGAGTTGGAGGGGCGATGTCCAGATTCGTGGCGATTTTGTGAGCACCTTCTAAATACCTGCATGGGAATTCTAATTCTGTTTCAGAACACGATTATCTTCAGAGCCGGAGCTACGCAATCACAAGCAGACCCACTAGAGAATTTTAGGAACCAAGACGTTGAAATGTTCCAAGAAGCAGAAGGTTCGACCGACCAGTAATACGGGCAGGTTTCCAAGCCTGCGGTGGTCCATATGTAGACGACGAGACTCGTTGCTGAGTATCGGGCGGTGTAGGCTCACATTAAGCATGCGTGGGTCCATGGCGATATCTTTTTCAATATACGGATCCACGAGACATCCTGAGTCTGCGGGCAATGTTCACCTGAAGGATATGTTACAGTACACTAATATTAATTCTTGAACGTTAGATGTGGATGCTCTTGGGCTGAGGAGTGCAGGTTACTTTTTCAATTTTTGCTCAAGGTACCTCTAAGTAAGTTACATACTGATAGCCGCAAGCCGTACTTCCCATTTTGGTACGTATACTGTATCGGTAACTTAACTTGAACTTGAACGCGAGTCGACCACACGGCCCACTGTCGAGGACAATGAACTCGAATACTCGATCGACACAGAACTTCTCGTCCTACTTACCGTGACCGGTGCACTCGATAGAGCTCACAATATTTCTTGATGCCGGCACTCGAACCGCAAGTGTAATCCAATCGTTGTTATCACCATCAGAAGTCACCAAACGTTCTGGAATCCAGCTAGTCCAGAATGGGGGTTCAACTACTGCCAGGGAGAGTAGGCTTGTACCAGTAATAGGAAGTACTTATTCTCGACACTATGTGAGTCCGAGCTGCTTCAAGCTGGCCATTTGACGCGTGCAGTGTAATTGAAGCGGACACTACAGGCACCTGCAGACACACTTTTAAACCTGGCCTACTTGCTACAAATTATATTTCGATGACGTTATGGCTCGAAGCATCTTTACCGATCAAACCATCAAGGATACGTGTTTTATGAAACCTATCAAGCAACTGCGAAGCTCCGGGCTGTGCAAGCTCAACACTGGCTAGCTGATATTCAATATGTTCGCAGCCATCAAACTAGGCTGATAATTCGTCTGTACGGACGGCTTTTGATCGATCTGATAATGCACGCACGATGTACACCGAAAATGATCAAGTTCATACCAATGTCAAGTGACTTGTACATCTCCGAGTATATCGCAAAGGGAAATCCCGGCTGGGCAATTTTCAAAAGGAAGATAGAGAACAGTAAAGAAAGTACGTGATGCACGGTGCACACGTGCTACTCTCATCACCTAGCGTACTAATAATTCTAAATTCGTCCTGCAAATATCTCTTTGCACCAAAATAGCCACTAGTGTGAATGCACCACAAGCACAATTGGACAGGATTCATGATCACACAGCAGAAGTCATGGGTATATAGGTACGTATCAACTTCATTCTAATTATTGTCCTCTGAACCTGCTTCAGTGATTGCTCCACTTCGCAAGTACCGTCCATATCTTCACACGGACCCTTCGTGCCATTTCGTTTGGTCCCTCACATCTTCATCTAGTACTGAACATCTTTGTAAGTTATATACAATGATCAGACCGTCTCCTATAATCTTGCATAATTCAGTGTGGGCACGATGAATAATTTCGGACGCTCAACCAACGATTTCGATGCAAGGCTGGTCATTGGGCCGATCCAAGTCGGTGGGCTTTTGAGTGCTGCACTATTCGGTTGTCTTTTTTGCCAGTCCTACGTGTATTTTGCAAGATTCCCGAACGATCACCTCACCCTGAAAGCAGCTGTGAGTCAGTCAACTGTACAACCCATCGTTGATTTTATTGATCACACTATATAATTAGGTCTCTGCAGTCATGTATGTCCCTTGTTTGCCTTAGGGCCTTCAAACACTGACACACTCCCTAGCTTCGTTCAGCTAGGTCACTTTATCTGCATAATATCAATATTGTGGGCAATGACTGTTAGCACCTACGGCGATCCATCACAACTCAGAGTGCTTCCTCTAGCGGCAGACCTGGCCATACCATTGAGCGCTTTCACAGCATTCATTGTGCAGGTAAGCGGTTTCGAATACATTCCATTCTATGTTGCTTATGGGCAATGTCAGTCATTTTACGCGTTTCGACTTTGGAAGTTGACTCGAAATATCTTCTTACCCACTCTTTGCGAGATCATCTCTGTGACTGCACAAACTTCTACGCTCATTCTCTCATCGTACGCGTTTTCTATGACGGACCTCACGACTTTTGAAGACAATCGACTCCTGCTGATTGCGCTCTCTCTCATCGCACGCGCAGCTTGTGACGTGATCACCACCAGTGGCATAGTCTGGAGCTTAAAAAGGAATCGAGGCTCTGACATCGGAGAGTAAGTGCAACTGACATCATCTCGTCTACCATTCCTTACATTTGTCATAGCGTGACGACCACGACGATCGACCGGTTGATTTATTGGACAATCGGTAAGATAGAAAGTGCCTTCATGGGATACCCTTTTAACGTTACGTCCACACAGAGACTGGTCTGGCTACTAGGTATTTAGCTGTTTCATAAGACGTTTCTATCAATGATCTGTTAGTTTGATGGCCGTTATAGTGGCAGTGTTGGTAAGGACCTCATCACCCATATCTTGCCCAAAATGAAGCATTATCTAACTAGCTCAAGTTTCTAGTCCTGAAGCAGAACTGTGAGACTCAGTGTTTGTACCACATTCTGTCACAGCTAAAATGACGCAGTTGTGTGGTTTGGAGCATGGTTGATGTTGCCTAATGGTAATGATATGGAATACTTCAAATTTAACATATTGACCCGTGCATCGTACAGTCATAGGGAACTCCTTGTTAGCCTCGTCAGTCGCTGGACGGACTTGACAAATAAGAAATACGACGAACTTACCGATACAACACACAGGTTAAATCGGCGATTACTCCTTCGAGAAACTCGGATTGTCTCTGCCCAGAGTCGTGGTAGTTGTTTGGCAAGTATCATTTTATCAACTGCATGTAAAGCCTAATTCTATTTCAGAACACGATTGTGTTCAGAACTGGATGTATCCAATCACAAACAGACCTACTGGCGAACCTCGAAAACTGGGGCGTTGAAGCATTCCAAGAAGCAGAACGCTCAATGGATCGGGAACAAATGTAGGTTTCCGTGCCTGCGATAGTTCATACGCGAGCATGTGTTCAACAAATGATGAAACTCGTTGCTGATTATGGGGCGAATGTACGATGAGATGATTTACTCCTCACATTTTGTAGGTTGACTTTCAGGCATGCGCTCTACGTTAAGGTTCATCGATAATGATGTCGGATCCAGTAGGTGGCCTGAGGCTGCGGGCCCACCTGAGTACCACTTGAAGGATGTATTACAGCGCACAACTCCAGCGATTTGTGAAAGTTGGATGCATATGTCTCAGGCAATCATCATCACAGTCAAACGGCCTCACTGAAGGTACAGATGATCAAGCATCTGACAGAGTCTATAGGCGGAGGCAGAGATGCGCATTGTGCATGCTCCACAGGGACTTGACTCGAGACCCGAGTACTATAGACTCAACTTGACACAACAGTACACAACAACTAAACCGCATTTCCGCCCTCGCTCTCCAGAAACTCCACCGTGACCTCCGCGTGTGGCTGACTCCGCTTGAATTTTCCGAGTCTGCCAAGGGGTGTCCAACCGTCACAATCCAATTCCTGATGCCTTGTATTTTCGACACTCGTTCCGGTGCGAGTCCTTGGCTACTTCAAGTTGGCTACGGTTGGCTTTCTGGACACAGCGTACCGTCCGAGTTAGCATGACATCTCCAAGGCCGAGCATATCACAAGAGTATAATCCTGGCTGGGCATAGAGGACCGTATGGAAGTACGAGCGGTGCACACCTTGGTGCACCGTCCAGCTTACTAATTATCTAGATTCATGCTACAAAAGGTAGCCTCCAGCAATACATCAATCTTCAACGCACAATATATCTAGAACATCGGAGATCAATCCCAATCGCGTAGCTAGGTGATGATGGCTGTGTACGAACTTTGTTGACATTTGTTCTGATGATATTGGATATTGTCATCCTGCGAACATGCTTCGGTGTTTCTGAAGGTCAAAGTTCAAACGCACTGTTCTCTATAGTAAGGCTGGCGAACAATTTCAATGGCCTGTGATTAGTTCCTGTAAGGCTGACTATGAGTTCAAAGGGGAAAGTGAACGAGACGACGACGAAATAAGACGTATAGTTAGATAGCAGGAAAATGACAAGACGAGACGTTTGTGAGACTTGAGACTTTCGTTGGAGTGTGCTTTGGAGCGGGGAATCAGCGCATGAGATTCTGCTGTTCTGCTACATTTTCTCTGGATTTCTCTATAGGTATGAGTGTACATGGGTTGTATATACGTTTTTCGAGTAATTAACTAGGCCAGAATGAGAATAAGGAGCTATGGTGAACGGTCAAAGCAAGGGAATCGTGGAATCTGAGCACAAAGTAAGATAATGAAAGAAAATGGAGAAGATCTGATGCGAAGAGTAACATCCGCGAGTCACGTGTTCGAGCGCCTTTGTTTTGAAGCGTGGTGCGTAAAGGATATGCGATCTTTACATTCCAGTGAAAGCCCGTCAATCACTCCGAACACGTACTAGTCCTGGGCAAACTTCAGAACCTATCACTACTAGAGCTGAACGGCACAGGCGGTCATGGGGCTGCTATGAATCGGAAAGGCTCGGCCATCGGGCCAAGTGGAACGGTCCAAGTCGGTGAGCTTTTGAGCGGTTGCCCTATTCGTATTTTGCAAGATTCACGAGCGATCACCTCGGCCTAAAAGCAATTGTGAGTCCGAGTTGATCAATTGCACAATGCATTGTTGATTGATGTTATTGCTTATAATAATACGACTAGGTGGGCGCCGGTATTATCTGCAGTCATGTGCACTCCATACCTATAAATTTCCATCTTGCATCGCACTGCGATCAAGTACGGGCCATCAGTTTTATCACCGCGCAGCGAAAGCTATGTTTTGTTTATATTGATTGCTAGCATTTGCCTCCGACGCAGGTGCTATATCACGCATTCGCACTGATATATCCTGCCAAAGAAGTTGCGTTTCTGTACTTTCTTCAGCTCTGGCGGGCGCAACCTTCGACCGTCCCTCGTATCCACAACTAATCAACGCTTTTGTAAGCCAGATGCATCTGAATGGTCAGACTATTTTTTATAACCTTGCAAAGCTTAGTGTACGCACGATGAATAGCTTCAAGCGAGCGAGCGATTTCAATCCAAGGCTGGTCATCGGACCGATCCAAGTCTGTGGGCTGTTGAGCGCTGCATTATTCGTCTGCCTTGCCTGCCAGTCCTACCTGTATTTTGCAAGATTCAGGAGCGATCACCTCGCCCTAAAAGCAAGTGTAAGTCGATCAACTACACACTTCATTGTTGGTCTGATTGTTCGCTCCATACGGTCAGGTGTCCGCAGTCATGTGCGTCCCATGTTTGACTCGATTCCTCCGAATACCAACACAGACTCTGCAGCTTGATTCAGCTAGGCCACTTTGTTTGTGTAATATCGATGTTGTGGACGATGACTGTCAGCACCTATGGTGACCCATCTCAACTCACCGTGCTTCCTCTAGCGGCAGACCTCGCCGTTCCGTTGAGCGGTTTGACAGTATTTATTGTGCAGGTAAGTGGTTTCCATATGTATATATTCATTATTGAGTGCTTACGAGTAATATTAGTCATTTTACGCCTTTCGACTTTGGAGGTTGACTAGAAATGCTTTCTTGCCCATTCTTTGCCAAATGCTCTCCCTGATTGCACAAATTTCCACATTCGTTGTCACAGCAAAGGCAATTTCCATGACGGACCTCGTGGATTTTGGAAATAATCAAATGCTGCTGGTTGAGCTCTCTTTCGTCGCACGTGCAGCCTGTGACTTGATCACCACCGCTGGAATCGCCTGGAGCTTAAAGAAGGAACGAGACTCTGGGATTGGAGGGTGTGCATATTCATCATCTCACCCCAAGTTGTTATTTCTTACATCTGCCATAGCACGGTTACGATGATCGACCTGTTGATTAAATGGACAATCGGTGAGATTAGGAAGCGACTCCATCGGATGATTGCCACCTCCTAACATTGCCTCTACATAGAAACTGGTCTAGTCACTAGGTATTAGACTCTTTTATGGCTTACAAGACTTCTCATGAACAATTCGTTAGTTTGCTGGCCCTTACATTGGCAACGTGGGTGAGGACTTCATCATCGACATCTTCCCCTAAGTGGAGCATTCTCTAACCAGTCTCCCAAGTTTCCAAACCTAAAACAGCAGTCCTGTGAGTGGGCTGATATCCCGCTTTCTACCACAGCTGAAATGACGCAGTTTCGTGGATTGGGTTATGGTTACTGTGGCCTGATGGTAATGATACAGAATACTCCTCATTAGATATATTGACCAACGTATGGTGTAGTCGTAGGGAACACCTTGTTAGCCTCGTCAGTTGCCAAACGAACAGATGATAAACCGACAACGAAACTTACCGATGTCATACAGGTTGAATCGTCGGTTGCTCCTTCGGGACAGGGCCTCAAGAAGCGATACCCAGAGCTATACCTTTGCTTTGGTGAGCACCATGCATTTAAATAGCTGTATGTAAATTATAATTCTATTTCAGAACACGATTGCATTCAGCACTGGGCCTACGCAATCACAAGCTGACCCATCGGAGAACTTCAAGGATCGAGATTCACAAGTGTGAGCGCTCAATCGGTCAGGAAGAAATGCAGGTTCATATCCGAGCGTGTGTTTAACAGATAAACGAAATTCGTTGCTGATCTGGGGGTAAATTGCAGACGAGATGATTTGTTCTTGACGTTTTATAGGTTGGAATTAGGCATGAATTGTATGTATATGTCAAGGTCCGTTAGTAACGATGTCAACTCCAGAATGCCAATGTACTAATGTACTAGGCGTCCCGTGAGGTTTTGTTTGATGCTATGCAGTCCCAAGCTGCCATTGGAGATTTCTGAGTCCGCAACGGTTCATTATATGCGAGGGTGGCTTTAGAAGATGAAGAAGAAGAAAACTCGTGTCGTGTTTGCCCTGCCTGACAGCGATGGTGACTTGAATCAAAGTGCGGGCGCGAATTTAGAAATTCTTGAACATTTGTAGAGCTGATTAACTTAGTTGTGCTCGGGTATATTGGTAACCCCACACAATCATCATCATGGCCCTCAAGCTGGCCTTAGAATAATCCCAGATGATCAGTGGATGACTGTCTTTCAAACTGAATATGTAGAAACTGTGACGGCGTATGCAACAACATTTTTGTGTAACATAGTGCATTAACGCAATGATGCGGACCACTACATAGCACTAGGAGGCGATACTCTCCTCAGGCTGCTGACAGATATTAATGCCAACATACTGCACGATTTCTGAACATCAACACTGTATAATAGGAAACCAACAGCGTGCCAGTGGATGATGGTGTTGGACTAGGGGTCCCAAAGCACGAACCAGAGACCTAGCTCTGCGGAGATCTCCAGAGCTTAGTCAGACATGTAGACAACCAAGTCGGTTCTTGTAGTAGCACATCATCATCACGCTTATCAGAGTCCTTGGTTCATCACTTCGGCACTACTACATCGTGGTGAACAGATCAGATTCGAACAAACCCAGCTTAGCTTTAGCGTTTAGCAGTCACAGCTTGCAGTCGCAGCTTAGCCATTGGATTAGAAAATAGAGAACTTTGATCCAGAACATCGAACAAGCTATTTGCAGAAACAAGCAACCTTATTACATCGAAAGACAACCAAAACCAGAAATCATTATAGAAACAATAACAAAAAGGCTATGTGTATCCCATTTTTTTTTATGTGAACACCTGATGCAAGATACTGAAAAGTTACTAAGACCTAGAACAGCAGCAGGGAAAGCAGTAACCAATGTGTGGTCAAAAATGAATTGGGAAGACTGGACAGCAGAGACAGCAGTCACATCCTCCCAACTAGACGCACCTGGCACATCCTCACAAAACACAACAACTCCCTCCAGTGAGTCATCACTTAGCAGCCTCAAGGATGATGAGAGAGACAATAATGTCCCATTCCCAGAACTAGAAGTCCTGGAGCTAGAAGTCCTGGAGCTAGATTTAGAGATACCTTGGCCTGAATTCAAGCCCAGACCTCGTCACTCAAAGACAGAACCACTCTCATCAGTCACAGCAGCACCAGACTATGAACTCGGCAAATTCTTTGAGCTCGCATTCAACACACATCCAAAGGTCATCATGCCCATGGAAACTCCTCAAATATTTCATGGTGATGGACGGCCATCTGAAAACCCAGCTGACTTCTTGAAATCGTTCAATTGAGCGATGAGACAACAGTCCATAACTGCGAATGGAGACAAACTAGAAGTGTTTGGAGATTATTTGGGCACCAGTTCACAGGCAGAGGCTTGGTTCCAAGTGCTACCAATCATGAATAGAGCCATGTGGATCCTGTTTGTTACAGCATTTGAAGCATGCTGGCCACCAGTTAAAATTGCAGAGAAGACAAAAGCAGAATATGAGAAAGAGTTGTTAGATCACAAGTTACAGCACACGGAGGTCGGGAAGAAGACGACGTTGTATGACTGCGAATGCTGGATGCATGTAGCATGGGCTGTGAAGACATTACAGCTGGCCACAAGCATGGGAATCACGCAGAGCACCTTGATGATCTGGCAAGTGCACAGCACATTGCCAGACATAGTCAAGGACTTGCTTAAGGATGAAGAATACACAGATTGGACAGAATTCATGAAGGCAGTCACAGAACTTAAAGGGAGCAGATTAGTAGAGAAACAAGAACAACACAATCAACAAACGCAAGAATTAAATGCCCTGAAAACAGACCTCACACGCATTTGTCAATGAACACCGATACCCAACCCCATTGACGCACTTCAGAATCAACTCAATTGGATGTCAATCAACATGATGAAATTGCTGATAATGCCTCCAAGCAATAACAGATACACAAGAGCACCTGCGAATCAAAATCGTCAGAGCATGCAATCCACCTACAGTCATCAGCCAAGCAACATCACAGCCCCACAACAGCCAGTAGTAGTAATGGACAAACTGAAAGCAAGCATCAAATGCTTAATTGCGGCCTTTCCACACCATCCAGACACTCCTGCAGGTAACGCAGCCCACACAATGCAAATCACACAATGGAATATGAAGTGGGGAGAGAACACAAGAGTTACACACAAAACAGGTTACCTGCTGAAGCCAGGAATGGTGACCATATGTTCAGGGGAATGTTTCGTGTGCGGAACGCATGGACATAACAGCTGCAGTTGCATACTCCCTCCAGGAGATGCAGCACGCTTAGAGAGGAAAGAAGCAGCATGGAGAGCAGTTTTGAGTCAAGTCCTAGGCATGTTCAACCATTTCTCAGCAACCCCCATATCACTCATCATGAATGATGGATATGAGACAATGTCAGCATGGATCGAAGAAGTATCAGAGCAGCAGGGAAAAGTGGATGGGTTGGTGTAAGACAGCAGAATACATCGACCCATAGTCTTAGGAAAGAACAAGCAGGTGTCAAGGTCCTTGCATGTGGAGAGGCAAGGTGCGAGGACAAACACAGGATCAATAGCCCCAAACTCTCAGCAGAACACATAGCTACAAACAACTCATGTAGTAGTGAGCCCCACAACACAATCGAAATCAGTGACCTATACTTGATTGGACATCAACAAGTCACAAAAACTCAGCTAGAGAATGGGGAAGCAGTCCCATTCATACACAGGATAGAATTGGATGGTCCCAAAGGAGAGGTGGTTAGGATTTGAGCGTTATTTGATGATGGAGCTATGGTTAGCGCAATGTGTGCATCAATCTTCCAAAAAGTCAAGCATCAACTACACAACTTGATGCAATCAAACAAACACCTATGAATGGCAGACAGAAGCATTGTCAAATCAATAGCAAAATGGACAGGAATAATCAAAATCAAAGGAATAAAGACACAAAGCACATTTGAAGTCTTTGACAGCGGAAAAAGTTGGGGCTTCTTGCTCAGAAAACCAACTCTACATGCATTTGCAGCAATTCACGATTATAAAATGGACACAATCACCATTTCAGACGAAGAAAAAACAACAACATTAGACAACCAAATAGCAGATCAGAGAATGATACAGCGCAGAGATAGCATCAATTTGGCATTAGACGAGAAACAACAATGCACGAGAACCAAGACAGATGAACAAAGGTACGAAGACCTGAGGAACATTGTGATGGGAGAGTGGAGACCAACAGTACAATATGCCAAATGGAAGGAAGCAAAGAGAAAGCAGTGGACACAAGAAGAAAGAGAGAAAAGACGAGAACGAGAAAACACAGTGGGGAGCGAGATGCTCCCCTCAAGGGAAGTCAAATCAGTCATCAGAACTGCATCACAACAAAGATTTGACATAGACGACCCTGCAGAACATTCAGCACACGTCAATGTGTTAATAGACCAAGAAATAGAAGAAGAAACAGACGGGCAATTGCTGGGAGAGGTACCAGAACTACAGCCAATGGAGAGCAACACATTGATATACACGTGACAAATGGACCCATTCAAGCCAGCAAGAGTCAAGGAGATTCTGCACCAAGTAACAATAGGAACCGACTTGTTGAAGGATGAACAAGAAGAATTAAAGCAATTCATAACGGACAATGCAGACTGCTTCACATTAACGTTAAAGGAAGTAATGCCCATTCCAGGTGTGGAACTAAACCTGAATGTCCCAGAGAACATGGCATTCAACCTTAGAATGCATCAAAGACCATTGACGCCAGAACAATCAAAATTCTATAATGAATGAGCTAATGAGATGCTAACAGCAGGAAGTATAGAATGAGCACCTCCAGAGTTAATCCAATGCACAGCAACAACAGTCATTGCCCAGAGAGCACATGAGGCGGGTGGTCTATCATGGGACGAACTGAAACAGAGAGTCAACGATCAACATCGAGCAGCAGGAAGACCGCCAGCATTCAAATTACCTCCATGAGAAGTAGATGCTCCAATAGCTGACGAAACCACAGATAAAGGCCCAAAGAAATGGCGCATATGCCAGAATTTCACACAGCTCAACAAGGTGACAGAAGTAGTGCCAATGCCACAAGGAGACATTCTGGCAAAACAACAGAGGTTAAGTAGACACAAGTATATATCAATATTTGACTTCGCAGCAGGATATTATGCCATTGAGGTACCAGAAAAATGGCGTCCCTACCTAGCATTCTATATTGAAGGACGAGGATATTTCTGGTATTGAAGGATGCCAATGGGGATAACGGGAGCGCCGACAGCATTCTGCAAAGCATTAGCAGCAAGACTTCACAACTTATTAGTAATGCACTTCATGGAACTATTCATGGATGATGGCGGTTGCACGGCAAGTACGTTTCGAGAAATGATCAACAAGCTGACAGTTTTATTTCGAAGATTCCACAAATGTAAATTTTCAATAGCGCCAAGCAAGACCAAATTTTGTATGTTGGAAACAGAATTCGCAGGAGGGACAATAGGACAAGATGGAGTCAAACCAGACTTAACGAAGCTGACGGTCATAGTAGACTGGAAACAACCTCAGAATGCACAGAACTTAGCATTGTTTTTAGGACTCACAGGATTCTATAGAACGCTCATCAACACATATGCAAAATGCGAAGGCCCACTGCGCAATCTGCTCCTTAAAGTACCAACAGACAACACAATGTCAAAAGCTGCATACAGACGAGCCATGAGCAGCTTCCAATTAGGTTCTTGGTGGAAGCAAGAACATACTAATGCCTTCCTAGACCTCAAAACAGCCATCACATCAAGACCAGTGTGACAATCATACCAGTGCTAGGCATGTATGAGTGTCATAGGCATATTTTGCCTTGTCCAGAGGAAAAGAGTAAGGCGCTAGTCACCAGCACTATTCAGCTCCCAAGCTATCCGCTTTGGAACCACTTTTCTCCCATAGCGCGCTACTCAGTCCGACACCTAGGTATTCCATCCTCCCATGTCCTGCCTATGTCCACCTACCTCCACTGGTGCATTATTTTTCCTTAAATGTCACTACTCATCAGTCACAGGTCTTATTACATGTGTCCTCATGTCCCACAGTGCTGCATGTTTTATTACCTGTCGCTACATCATGCCCTCACCAGTGTTGCTACTATACTCGCCTATGCAATCCCAAACCCCTATGCAGTATGATAAAATGACCTGTCCTACATACAGTACAGTACTTCCCTTCTCCGGACCTTTACTGGTGTAGGCATCACTTTAGTCGCTATATCCTAGTTTTAGTGCAATCGATTCCACTCTTGCCAAACTCTTTGATCGCATGTTGCTTGACTTGTTTTAAGTGCACGTTGCTAAAGTTCCCTCTTAGAAAGTTTGACTTTTGCAGCGTCGGGGTCGCTATTGGTAGTTGAGCTATAATCTAGTCACTATCAGGCATTCCACTTGCACTGTCTTACCTTACTCCTCATTTTCACTCCCCTTGATTTCTTCTTGCTGTTGCTAGTCAGACGTCGCATAGCACTATCACATAAAACAACTTGCATAGTGCCCCTCACTTATATGCACATTTCTCTTGTCAAAACCCGCTAGTCGCTAGTTGCTGATCACTATAGCGCTACTTATTGTTTTTTTTTTCTTTTTGGTCTTAGGTCACTATAGGTTATTAGTCCTTCGCACTATTGCTCCCCTTGCATATTAGTAGGGAGTTGCTTTATTAGCAGTCCTCTTGGGTCGAATACTACACTCACACCTATTTGGATAAGTAGTGCTAGTTTCTAGCAAGCCTAGTCACTATTTCTCTTTCACACCAGTGTTACAAGCACCAAAGTATGATGGATCACATTTTGTTATCACGACAGACGGATGCGCAGAAGGCTTTGTGGCAGTCCTGTTGCAGAGAATCAAAACTCAAACACCAGCAGGAAAGTGGGTAGAACGTCTACATCCAATAGGATTTGCATCAAAGAGGACATCGAGCACAGAAAGGAAGTACAAATCTTACTTATTAGAATTTGCCACACTGAAATTCGGATTAGATAAATTTTCAGGCATTGTCTGGGGCTTCCCGATCAAAATCAAGACAGACTGTAGTGCAATGAGAGACACACTACTCAATCCAAACTTGAACATAGTGCATGCAAGATGGAGAGAGGGAATCCTGGCATACCACATCATGGACATCAGACACATACCTGGTAAGTTAAACGTAGTAGCTGATGGGTTAAGCAGAAAATGAGAAAACACAAGGGCAATAATGGGAGACAGAAGTGAATGGACCGTAAATGAAGACTGGGAAGCAAGAACAGGATTAGTCAACAACATCATGCACATCACAACAATCGAAGCGACAACAGATGAACTACGCACAAGATTCATTGAAGAACCAATATTCCTAGAGGTTGTAGAAGCACTAACCAATTTAGATCAGAACATGGAAATAAGAAGAAAGAAGAAAGCAAGACATAGAGCATCACAATACATTATAGAAAATGGTAAGCTAAGAGGAGGAACAGCGACGAGAGCAAGAGCAAAGGTAGAATGTATATCAAAGGAAGAAGCGAAAATATTAGCAACACAAACTCACACGGAAGGAGGGCATTGGGGTAGAGATGCCATCAAGATGGCACTCTTGGATAAGATATGCAGCCCAAAACTAGATGCATCAATCCTAGAAGCTATAAAGAACTGCGCTAAGTGTAAAAACTTCAGTCCAACGCATATACACTCACTATTTGAACCAATCACTAGGAGACATCCATTCAAACTACTAGTAGGTGATTACCTCAGCCTGCCGAAAGGGAAAGGAGGTTACAGCACCTTGGGAGTATACTTGGACACCTTCTCACAACACACATGGGTATTCAAGTATAAAGTGGCAGGCAGCGTGAAGACGACAATAGACAGTCTCAATGGTATCTTCAACACATTCACACCATTGGAGACATTTATGGCAGATGGTGGAAGACACTTTAATAACAATGCAGTATGGGCGTTTTGTGAATCAAGAAAATGCAAACTACACACAGTAGCAGCATATTCACTGTGGGTCAATGGCCTAGTAGAAGGAACAAATAAGTTATTACTCCATGTACTAAAAAGACTCTGTGCACCAGAACTCGGAGAAGATCAACAAGAGGAAGCAGCTTGGGACAAGCTACTGAAATCTTGGCCAAAGCACATTGACGACACAGTTCACGTTCTTAATTATCGATTGTTACCAGCGCTGAAATTTTCTCCAAAGGAACTTCTTTTAGGACTCATCATCAACACTCCAAAAACAAACATAGAAGACAGCACATCGAGTCTATGCACCATAGATGCTCTCACACAAGTAGCATATGTAGAGCAACAACAGCTAGTTGGTTACAATGAAATCATAAGACATGCAATAAAAAGAAAAACAGCGTTTGACAAGAAAGTATTGCAGCACACCCCAGGTGAAGCCATATTCAAAATTGGTCAATTAGTACAAGTCTACCATAACGATTTAGATTATACCTTCAAAACAGAACAGAAGCTGATTCCAAGATGGTCGGTCCCAAGAAGAATATGAGCGCACACAGTAAACTCATACACACTGGAAACATTGAACAGGGCAATCATCCAAGGAGATTTCAGCACAAGGTGCTTATGAGCATTCACACCACGATCGGGAATAATGCTAGCAGAAGAACAAGAGAAATACGAGAGCAAAATCAGAGAGAAAGAAAGCAATGAAGGGAAAGAGACAGAAAGACAATAGAGAAGAAAACGACAATGGAAGAGAAGAAGAAGACGAGGACAAAGAACCAACAGAAGAATCAGAAGATGAAGATGAAGATGAAGAAGCAGAGACAGAAGATAGAAGATCAGAGAATGGAAGATAGAAGGCGGTGTCGAGGGCGGCACCGATTGTTTTTAGGGGGGTGCATGGACTAGGGGTCCCAAAGCATGAACCAGAGACCTAGCTCTGCGGAGATCTCCAGAGCTTAGTCAGACATGTAGACAACCAAGTCGGTTCTTGTAGTAGCACATCATCATCACGCTTATCAGAGTCCTTGGTTCATCACTTCGGCACTACTACAGTGTGCTCAACTGCAACAGGGAAAATTACTCGACAGAATTCTCCCGAGATTACGATTCGTAGGTAGTCATGTTCATTCTTCTGTGCCAACACCCAACTCAAGGGCATCAAGGTTGGCATCGGCGTCTAGTGCGAGTGCTCCTTCAAAAGAATCCTTGTTGGAGCCGGTCTTTCTGTGAGACTTGGGGCCCTTGGTTTCTTTAGTTTGAATGTTAGCGGGTGGTCGAAGTGATGCTGGGTGATTTTCATAAGATATCAAAAGATGAACTTCACATGGCACGCACCATGAATAACGGGCTGTAAATTGTATAGACGATATAAATGAAGGACTGCTTGTTCCTTGTCTTTTGCCTCGATCATCAAATCTGTGCTAACGTAAACTCCATAGTTCCATGTTAGAAGTGTTCTAACACACCCATATCATCTGGTAGGGCTTCTGGTAGCCTCTGACATCTACCTGCATGCGCTCTGCGTTCCATGACGGTGACGGCGCCTTCACGAGGTTCGCTTAAGTGCTGCTTAGGCTTGATGCCACGCCTGGCGAAAATAATGTTGGTACGTGCAATAATCTCCCGGGGAGTGAGATCAGGAGATGGATTGAGCGTGTCGTGATGGTGGTCGAAAATAAGTGGGATGTCCAACTTCTCGCATATCGGCAGTAGATCTGCAGCATTGTAACAAAGCTGAGGGGACAGAAGGGATTAGCGAATAAAGCATCATCCACAATGAAGTAAGGCTGACCTCATCATTTTCTAAAACTAAGCGATCCCTGACCGCCTTGGGAAGGTCTTCCTCGACTGTCTTGCGAATCCTGGCGAGCGCTGCCTCTTTGTCACCGTAGACTCCTCCTCCGTGAATGATTATGACGCCATCAGGTCCAATACCCATGAGGCTGAGCATCTGCGCATGGTACTCAAGCTCGCGGATGCTGGCTTTGACCACTGAATCCCTAGGAGAGCCCAACTGAGTAAATTGACCCGGATGAGCCGTGAGCCGGTGACCATATTTGTTTGCCAGGGCGCCGACCTCAGCTAGAACTGGGGCACAGTAGTCTAGGGAATATCCATAAAGCTCGTGGGATGCAAATGGGAACATTTCGGATGATCTGGGGACAAGGATTCAGTGTTTTACATTGCTGTAACAAGAATGGATGCACAGTCTCATAAAGCGTATGTTCTGAGTGTATGGGCAGTGAGTAGCTACAGGCATGTTAAGACATTGGAGCATACGTTTTCTTCATTCCACTCGATAATCTTGAGCATATCCTCGACATTTCGTCGACCAAGGTCCTTCACCCACTCTATGCCGTTCTTTTTGATGGTATCAATGCTGGTGTGTTTAAGTAAATACTAAAGAACAGATTACATACGCTTACCGACAGGTCCGCGAGCAGAATACCGCCTTATCTGCAGGTTTCTTGTTGCGTAAAATGGTGTTCAAGCAAGCATACCCTGGAAAATATGAGAAGTATCCAATCTTATAAGCCAATTCACCTACCTAGACGCCCATGAAACGTGGTCTCCTTTCTCTCAACCTCTGGAATGACATATACAGGCTCTGCTTGAGGAGCACGCTTACGTTTCTTCTTTGGGGGCTGGTCATCAAAAGACTCTGCATCATCATCTGTCAGAGGAGCTTTTCGGTTCTTTGTTCCCGTTCCCTTAAACTGTCTCTTTGCCTTGAGCAATGGAAAATCTTCATCAGAGTCAGGGAAAGCCGCTGCTTTTACGTCTCTCTTACGCTCCGTTTTCTTGTTGTTTAGGAGGACACTCTTATGACGAGATTTTGGAATCTTCATTTTGTGCTCTTCCTCTTCCTCCAGGGGGTTTGAGTCCAATTCATCGCCCTGTTTCGTTGCAGATGTCATCATCTTTGTTACCTTCTCAGCTCTGGGCCTAGGAGTCCGTCGAGGCTGTAGCTCTCTAGCGGCTACTTCCATGGTCTCAAGATAAGCTGGGAGGACGGATGAATATGCCAGAGTTTGTGTGAGATGACGGAATGTCGATGGTAGAGAAGAAGCAGCACGGATTATCCTGAACCGAGAAACAATGGCTTTTGAAGAGTGAGTAAATAGAGCCAGTACGACTGCACACCCGGCCCTGCTAGTGGTTCGGTTCAGAATCTTGCTTGACAGGATATGTGAAGCTCAGTTTAATCCCTGTGTTAAGGCGGAAATAAATAATGATAGTACTTCCTTCGACTATTGTTGCAGGTGAGAGAGCAAAGTTTGCGTGCATTAATGTGGAACCCTGTCTCAATTGTGTGCTCGTCATGATCATAGGGGAACACTGCTGACTCACTTGAAGCCAGGTGACGTGACGTTTCGTGACTAGTTGACTTATTGAAGCGACGAAATAACTGCGAGTATTCATAACTCTCAAAAGATAAATGGGATAAGTACTAGTGTAAAGGCAGAATGATACATAGTTGCATAAAAAACACTCGAGAATGAATCATCCGCTTGCTTCCATCTCAGCGAGAGCTGCTTCATTGAGTGCCTCTGCCTCCGCCATGATTTTCTCCTCCAGTACAGCAACCCTGGATTCTGCATCCCGACGCTCGCGATCAAGCTCTGCGTACCGCTCCTGCAACAGCCGCTCTCTCCGTGATAGGGCGTCTACCTCCTCACTTAGCGCCTCCAATCTCCGTGGTCCGGCTGCAGCCTCGTTGATGCTGAGCCGAGCGAAGCTCTCATAGTCCACTTTCGTTTGCACGAGCTCATCAAAGGCTTCAGTAACACGTTTGGAAAGAACTTTTGAACGTGCTTGATATCCACCAAGGGTAATGTCGAGCTTCTTCTCGGCCTTGCTGGCTTTGCTGGCCTCTTTCGACATCTCTCCACGGCATTCCTGGAGCACTGTGTTATAACCGGTTATCCTGGCTTCCGCGGATAGGCTGCTGGGTTCTACCCATGTTCTCGAGGCGGTATCGAAAGCAAGCTGCTGACGGATACTTGCCCAAGACGCACTCTCATCAATCTCTTCGCTGCTCGACAGCGTTGACAGTCCCTCCTTGACCTGGGCTTCATTAGCATCGGGAAAGCCTATTGATGAGGCGAGTTCAAGATGGATCTGGGCCTTAGCAGCAGCGAGGTCATCATCTGGCGGTATCTGATAGGTTGATGGCGTGCCACCAGGAATATTCGTGCCAGGGAGAGGATGCACTATCGAGTCGTGCAACAGGAGATCCGCAATCTCCGAATTGAGTAGTCTTCTGACCTCCGCCATGTCGTCATCTTCTTCCCCAACATTCAAGTCCCCCTTCAGCTGCTCCACGTCGACCCGTGCAGGACGAGGCAGACCACGGGCAACAACCTGCGTTCGTCTTGCCAAAGCTTTTCTCTCCTCCTCCTCGCGCATCCGTTTCAAGCGTGCATCCCGTTCAGCGGCATCCTCCTCTGACATCAGACCCGTGGTGCCATCATCTTCATCTTCATCTTCGGGAACCAAAAGTTCGAAATTGTTTTCAGGCTTGGGAAGACTCATGAATCCGGCCTTCAAAGCACGCTTGGCAGAGTCGGCACGCAGCCGGAGATCACGTGGTGTCTCACCAACTGGCATGCCCGTAGCGGGATTGATGCTGAGGGTATCACGCATAGGCGTCCGCAGTGGGGTTGCGCCCCACGATGCACCATCTCGCGGCGTTGCAGAAACATCACCTGGACCGCCATGCATAGGAGTTGCGAGAGGATTTGGGGTAAAAGCAACTTGATGCCGCGGAGTTGCGCTTTCGAAACCAGTTCCTCCCCCTGGCCCAACATGAAGGGGGGTGTTCTCATCTCCCAACAAAGGTGTCTGTGCCATGGTCATGTTCCGTAAATTGCGTGCTTCCAACATAACATTATCCTCTATGATATAGTTCAGTTGCCGCGATGAAGTGAGTACTAAAGAATACTCACGTTGGGGTGCAGTACGAGGTGTTCGTGCCATCTTTGCGGCCTCTAGTCCCTCGTAGTCACTCAAGAGTTTTGCAGTTGCCACGCTTCCACCACCAACCAATGCCTTGGCATTCTCCCCTGTCTGCCCGATCTTGACGATGTCTTCTAGCTCCGCCTCCCCAACCTGAGCGTTCGGTAACACAAGCTTCCGTCGCCGACCGATGCTCTCCGCCTCTTTCAACTTCTGTATCTGTGCATCACGAGCAGCGATAAATTTTGTTTGGTGACCATCGTTCTCGCCCTTAGCCTCTGCTCCGCGACGTTGGCGCTTCCTTCGCTCAGCTTCTTCTTCATCAGGTTTGCGTTTGTTTTCCAGACGGCGAAGAGATTGGCCGACTGGAGCAGAGGTAATGCGTGCCTGTTCTTCTGACGTGTCGTAAAAGCCTGCCGCTGGCTTCTTTTCAAAGGGAATGTCAGCATTGTAGTCCATACCCTTATTTTTCGTTTTATGTCGCATACTAAAACATATTACATGAGGAGGGCCATAGCGCAAAGTAAATAGATCGACGCACATGATTCCAGCAGCCTTCAGCTCACGCTTTTTCTGTAAAACTGCAAGTCGTCTTGCTTCTTCGAGCTGACGTTCACGAGCCTTCCGTTTAGCTTTCTTGCCCTGTGTATTTGCGAGACGAGCACGGGCTTCGGACAACATTTCCTTCTCTATATGTAGAATCAGCAAAAACTCACTCCCGAGCAGAAGAAAACGCACCATCCTCGTCCATGTCAATAGGATCAGGACGCGCAGGCTTAGTTTCAGGGTCAGGGTCAATCTCTCCTGGTCGCAGGCGCCTGATGTCGTCTGCACTCGGCGCCGACTCTCCCGCTGGTCCCGTCAGCCCCAACTCCTCGTTCTCCTTCGCCTCAGCCTCATCCAACAACTTCTGATATCGCTCAAGACATTGCGTAGCCGTACGGCCCACTGCGGGAGCTATTGTCCGCCATTGTGTAGGCATGATTTTTGCGAGATGCATCAACTTTTCATCCTCGGTCTGGGTAGTACATTACAGATTTTAGCACCAAAACAGGGGGCTGCGATACACACCTTTGACCATTCCGTCTTCTTGATAGACGGATCTAGCCACTCGTACCACCGCGCTTTACATTGTTTGGGTGTCTTCCGGACCAGCAACGACGATATACGCGCCCTAGTAATGTTCAGTACCAGAGCGGGGCAGCTCACAATGAATAGACAACTCACCATTGATTCTTCCCGTACTTGGCTATCGCAGCCTTGAGAACTTCGTCCTCCGTGTTCTGGATGAGTGTGTCAGATTCGGATTCCGGCGATACTCGAACTGAAGTTGTAATGTACCTTCCAAACACCTAGTTAATTTACAAGGTTACAATTAACATGCGTCAAAAAGGCTGGATAGAGTTACTTGCCTCCTTTGATGATAATTCGAACCATGGCTGGTGGTGGACGGGTACTTCTGTACAAGTGTTCACTGTTTACTCAGGAATTAACAATCGGTAGTGTGATTCCTTTTGCAGTAGCTTAGTAAGCTTCACAACTCGGGAGGCAAAAATCAAGCGTTGAGACTTGGGAGGCCTAGGCACTGCGTCAGACGATAACAGCAAAGCGGGTCAGGCGATGAGCAGTGGGAAAATTCAAACCACGTCATGCATGCTTCCTATGACCTTTAAACTGAATAGATACAAATATTGTGGGAAAGACTAAACTATCACAGGCACGACGACACCTTCCAAGTTCCAACCTGAATTGAAGGTACATGACAATCAAACGAACCATCCAGACCAAGAGTCTTCGAGCAACACCTTTGCTATACTCCTCTTCTCTGGGGGCAACTGCAGCATTTCAGCTCAAGTAACAGCTTCCTACCTTCACCTTCCAGTGTCTCCATAGAATCCGCCAAGGTAACGCCTCGTGTGATGAGATTTGGGTGCTTGAATGATTCTGGCGCACTGTTAGCAGGTGGCCTGTACGTGGCAACATATTTCGTACGACTTACCGTCAGATTCAAAAAATAGGATTCTGAAAAGCACCTTGGGTGGATAATAATGAGCTGAGTACGATGTGCAGCTTTTGTGTATTCTTGGTGTTCCGGATCGAATCCATCGCATTGGTCTTCATGTTCTACATATATCCGTGATGCTGCGACATCAGTTCCATACAGCCGGTTCCCAAGCTTACCATAAAACCCAGATTCCAAATATCTGTGCTGTATGTCCAAGGCGCACCAGGTGTGACTTCTGGGGCATGGTATCCATCGGGCCGTGTAAAGTGTGCAAGAGAGTACGAAACATCCCTGAAGATATACGGTACGGTCGACGAGGACCTCCTGGGTTGAAAGCTCTCTGCTTCATCGCTGACGACCATCTGCGATAGACTTGAGTGATCAAGCTAGGCACAAACAAACTCGGGCCCAACCAGTATGTTGCCGCGTGTGATATCTTTCGAATCGAGCAAGGGATACTCACAATCGATGTCGTATCATTAGACTTCCAGGTGCAGATGACGGATACTCAGAATAGTCTAAGCCAGACAAAAGATACATGAGCGTCCACCTGAGAAGATCGGATGGATATCGTTTAGAATAATAAGACGACGTTGAAGCAACTAGACAGATTCCCGCATGGGTTTGTAGATGAGGCATTTATGGTTCCCGTGCGGGCCTTTCAAGCCTTAGACGAATCGACAGCGGTTCACGCAAATACAGCCCAAGTTCATTTTTGCGATGGGCTCGACATCTGCAGTCAATGTGAAGCAGATACGCCATGGGCATGTTTATTGGTGCAGACTTTCAGCGTTAAGTAGCGAGTAGATTGTCTAAGTCGTCTGGGAACAATACAATGTGAGAGCCCCTTGCTTGAGGACGACTGGCACATACCGATAAACATCCTTGGCAAGGTACACTGTTGAATTTCCACCATACCCTAGGTCTCACGAATCACATCTTCCAGCTTCAAAGGACAAAGGTGTTTGGAGTCATAATCAGGATTACGTTCTTCCTCAATTGAAATATCAGGAGGCTGCATGTGGAGGGTTTGGATGATATAGAAGTCTGAACCATCGAAATCGATGCCTGCAAGCACCCGACGAGTTTCCGCGTTGAAGGAAGGTTCAATGGGTCTCTTCACTGTACACTGTTTGACCAGTGGTAAGGACAAGCTAGGAAGAACCTCGCTGATGACTCGGACACCCAACACACGGCATCGTGAATCGAGACAGCACCTAGCATCGACCGCCACGTTGAATGAACGAGCCTACGACGTCAAGAGTATACGAACGTGGACCTATCCCAAGGCCTTGTAGTCTAGAGGTACGATACTTGCTTTGGGTGATTCACAATTGCAAGTGGCCTGGGTTCGATTCCCAGCAAGGCCCGTCTGTTTTTTCTTTTGCTCAGTTCTCAACATATCAATATTGCAAGCCTGGAGACTTTAAAAATTATTTCAAGTATGTACGTAGGTCTGGTGGCTTAAATTTTTTAAAGGTCACGATGATGGAGATGGTACTATACGGGCTCTGGTCGAATGCTTTAAAGATGCAGCAAGGAAGGTGAACATCAAATTATGCAAATGTCTAGAAGCTATTCAAATAATCGCGCTACGATAATCACCTTCGAGACCGAAGTTCCGCAGCGCTCAGCCCCTGGCGTCAGTATGTACCGAAAAAGAAGAATTGCAGCAAGTTGTTGACTACATGGACTCCCATCATCTAAACTTTCGATGAATGTTCTGCGTCATGCTGTGTTGCTTTGTTCTATCTCTTGTTTCTTTCCTCACCGTGTCACATGCTATTTTGCTGTCCTGTATGTGCATCAGTTGGTATTGGGCAAATTGTCAAAGTTTTATCGAACGTCAACTGAGCCTGCACCACGTTTATCTGATCGCATGTCCAGCCTTGCAATCGCAGCGCAGCCTACCCGGGAGGTCCACCGTAAGGACTCCCTGAGTACATTATCGACACTTGAGGCTTCAGATAAGAACGGCAGCGTTGTTTTTGGTCTCTTTCTGGCCTTCACGAAATCGATGACCTGCGGAGAGCAAAAGACCTGGTGAGCAACGCGTGTAGCATTACCGCTCCGAAGCGACCAATTCTAATTGCGCGAACATAGTAATAATATCACCATGCAATAGCTTATACCCATCGTGTACTGCCGCCCGAACGGGATTGCTGCACGTATTTTGCTCTCTATCTGTCCAGACTGCTGGTGGTTCTGCCAGTGTGTAGGGTCAGTGTTGTGGTATGTCGCTGTGACGGCGGTTTCTGTATCATATTCACAATTTTCCTGCAGCTGACCGAAGGGGAGTTTTTGTAGACAATACAATGAATTGCAGTTGCATATGTATGCAGTGAAACCAGTTAGAGTGATTCTTACATTGAAGTTTCTTACAGAGCAGCAAGCTTTTGGCCCCTCAATGACCGGCTGTGCTTAGAATCGATGCAATAGCTGCCAGGAATGTGACAACTTTCCTGATGAACAGCCTACATTCAAAGAAGGTGCCGTGATGATGATTTCAACGCTCATTTTGGTTTAATACTAATTGAGACTCGGTGCCGTGCTCTTGCGCCGACACAGGGGGGAATGGAGTGACGCCAGTAGTGATCCCCGTTGTTTGAAACGAGTAGGATGGAGCGAAAGAGGCGGCGCTGCTACCCACTCATTTCCCCAAGATCGAACCAAAGCAATGATATTCAATACAACGGGAGCGGACACAACAAAACGCAGTACATCTATGTACTATTTGGCAACACTTTCGAACACCCCTTGCAGGCAAGGTGGTGCCTAGTAGCGACAACTAACCGATCAGCGGCTGGAGATCAGACACCCGGACAAATTGCCACTGCTGGCGGGTACTTTCTATGTCGTAATTCTCGAGTTTCACCTGGCGAACGTTATGAGCAACAGGCTTTGAAAAAAGAAAAAAGATCCACCAACTTACTTCAGTGTGCTTTGAGCCCGGAATGGATAGCATCAGGTTCTCGTTCCCAAGAGTGTAGCGAATGCTGTACATCCGAGTCATTAGATCAAAACAAAGCGAAAGGTCGCTGAGCACCGCGTCGGGTTCTCACCTATAATAATCGTCCGGGCGTCCAACAAGATCGACGACAAACGCCTGCCTCGTGTAAACGACCAGTTCATCCGAATCCTGCCCGCGTCCGCGTCAACGAGAAAGAAAATGAAAGTGAATGCCAATCCAACATACCTCGCTCGCAGTAGCGAAGAATCCATTGCCATTGTTGCCGTCATTGTTGGACTGAATACTGATGGTCTTGTTGGCAGACCCTGGCGGGTTCTGTCTCTTGATCACCCACTAGGATGCGCGATGTATGTGAGAGCCGATCACAGAGTGGATGAGAACGCGTATAGATACCTGTTGAGCCACGGTGCCATTGTTGGCGTAGCCTTGGATCTGGTTGCCTTCGGCGGTGCTGTTGCCCCTCAGATCGAGCATGAGGCCTCTGCCGACGTTTCTGATGGTATACACTCCGTCGCTCGGAAAAGGCATTGTATGAGATGTAGCAAGTGGGATGATTTGACAATGAGACGAGGAACTGATGAAGGAAAGGTCAGAGAACGCTGTGCTTTTATACCGAGCATCTCTGGCTGTTTTCGACAATTGAAATGAAGTTCACGGTGGATCCACCCTGGTCTACCGCGGGGAAGCGGTAGGGGTCAGGGGTAGAAGTACGCAAGTCAGAGTTCGAAGGTCTGGTCCATTCAAAATGTCGTTGTCGATAGATGACTTCCCGCAGCGTTTAGAACGTTATGTTCTAGCCCCCCCTCTGGATTCTAGAACGATAAGCCAGTCCCAAAAAATAAAACATGAGTCGGCAAGAAGTCGAATCACGCACTTTCAGCTTGAACATTGAACGTTTGAACTCACGATTATGACATTAAGTGCCTAGGACGTTACATACTCAGAAACTCGTGGTATCTGATCGGGCATCGCGATTTAAACAACGCCGACGGTCCTGTTTTATTTTGACGATTGGCCTAGCGTTCTGAAGTACCTAAGCTACTAGGACGTTATGACATACCCAGAAATTCGTGGTATCTGATTGAACATCACAATTCAAACAATCCCGACGGTCCCGTGTTGCTTTTGGCCTAGCATTTTGCAAATGGCTGTTAAATGGTAGGGACACTCCCACCTACAGATTGGATAGTATTAGGGATTGTAAGCATAGGCACGGATAAGCATAAACCGTAAACTCCCAGGTGTGAGCGTCCCTAGTAACTGCTAAACCTTGTAACTTGGGCTCTAGACCGTCTCCCATGTGAATGTTTAACCGACACTGTGGTGACAAAATCGAGGCCAAATGATCCACATTCATGAGAGTTAATATTACATCCAGTTTCGAATCCAAGAAATAAATCTAAAGTAGTCACGCAATCCGGTTGTAGATCTTGATCATGGGCTACAACATAATCACGGAGTTTGAAAGGCTGTTTAGGCATGTTTTGAACACCAGTTTGCCCAAAATCAAACAGGATCGTCATCGGCATTGTTTGAATTGCGATGTCACGAGTTTCTTGGTATGCCACAACGTCCTAGGTACTTAACGTCTGAGTGAGAATTGACAGCTGAAAAGAGGTAGATATAGGGCGATAGAAGTTGAAGAAGTTTCAAGCACTGCGAATTATCGATGTGCTTCGAGCTCTTTAGTCAAATGAGACTTTTCGTACCACACAAGATCGAGATCGAGGTCGTGAATTGTTTAGACTTGAATGCACGAATTATTCGTTTTGGTTGGGACGAAATTGCATAAAGTTTTAAAACTCCGCGCTTCCCCTGCCAGGTCGGTTTTTAGGGGGGTTGCCGAGATCGACCAGTCTGCCTATGGCAGAAATCACACCATCTCAAAAAACGCACGTAGCAGAATATTTGGTAACGAGTCTCCTGCGTAACTACTCTAAGCTTATTTCTTGAATTCAAAACCAGATGGGCCAATTCACCTCATTATGGCCATCCTCTCGTAAATGCAGACCCTTGATTTGGCTACCTTTCCGTCAGTTAAATCTTCGCATAGGAGACGTTCTAGAGCCCAAGCCAAAAATAAAACAGGACCGTCATCGGCGTTGTTTGGGTTGCGATGTCCGATCAGACACCACAAATTTCTAGGTATGTCACAACGCCCTAGTAGTTAGGTACTTCAGAACGCTAGGCCAATCGTCAAAATAAAACAGGACCGTCGGCGTTGTTTAAATCGCGATGTCCGATCAGATACCACGAGTTTCTGAGTATGTAACGTCCTAGGCACTTAATGTCATAATCGTGAGTTCAAACGTTCAATGTTCAAGCTGAAAGTGCGTGATTCGACTTCTTGCCGACTCATGTTTTATTTTTTGGGACTGGCTTATCGTTCTAGAATCCAGAGGGGGGGCTAGAACATAACGTTCTAAACGCTGCGGGAAGTCATCTATCGACAACGACATTTTAGAACCTTCGAACTCTGACTTGCGTACTTCTACCCCTGACCCCTACCGCTTCCCCGCGGTAGACCAGGGTGGATCCACCGTGAACTTCATTTCAATTGTCGAAAACAGCCAGAGATGCTCAGTATAAAAGCACAGCGTTCTCTGACCTTTCCTTCATCAGTTCCTCGTCTCATTGTCAAATCGTCCCACTTGCTACATCTCATACAATGCCTTTTCCGAGCGACGGAGTGTATACCATCAGAAACGTCGGCAGAGGCCTCATGCTCGATCTGAGGGGCAACAGCACCGCCGAAGGCAACCAGATCCAAGGCTACGCCAACAATGGCACCGTGGCTCAACAGGTATCTATACGCGTTCTCACCCACTCTGTGATCGGTTCTCACATACATCGCGCATCCTAGTGGGTGATCAAGAGACAGAACCCGCCAGGGTCCTGCCAACAAGACCATCAGTATTCAGTCCAACAATGACGGCAACAATGGCAATGGATTCTTCGCTACTGCGAGCGAGGTATGTTGGATTGGCATTCACTTTCATTTTCTTTCTCGTTGACGCGGACGCGGGCAGGATTCGGATGAACTGGTCGTTTACACGAGGCAGGCGTTTGTCGTCGATCTTGTTGGACGCCCGGACGATTATTATAGGTGAGAACCCGACGCGGTGCTCAGCGACCTTTCGCTTTGTTTTGATCTAATGACTCGGATGTACAGCATTCGCTACACTCTCGGGAACGAGAACCTGATGCTATCCATTCCGGGCTCAAAGCACAATGAAGTAAGTTGGTGGATCTTTTTCTTTTTCTTTTTTCAAAGCCTGTTGCTCATAACGTTCGCCAGGTGAAACTCGAGAATTACGACATAGAAAGTACCCGCCAGCAGTGGCAATTTGTCCGGGTGTCTGATCTCCAGCCGCTGATCGGTTAGTTGTCGCTACTAGGCAGCACCTTGCCTGCAAGGGGTGTTCAAGATTGAGCTATCGAAAGTGTCGCTAAATAGTACATAGATGTACTGCGTTTTGTTATGTCCGCTCCCGTTGTATTGAATGTCATTGCTTTGGTTCGACTAGATCTCTTAGGGAAATGAGTGGGTAGCAGCGCCACCTCTTTTGCTCCATCCCACCCATTGAAACCAACACTGACAGGGATTATCACTTTGACTCCCTGCTTAGAACATTCACAATCTTCCCCTTCGAGACTTTGACAGCGCAAGAGCGCTGCACCGAGTTCCCAATTGATATTATTCAAAAACGAGCGTCGAAATCATCATCACCTCTTTGAATGCGCGTTGTTGACACAAGTTACATTGGTTCTCCAGGCAAGCACAGCCGGTCCCTGAGGTCTGAGGGGCAACAAGCTCGCTGCTCTGTAAGAAAGTTCAATGTGAGAATCACTACAACTGGTTTCACTGCATATATATGACTACAATTCATTATATTATCTATGATATGTTTGACAAGTACACTACAAACAGATCGATTTGTATCTACCGGAGTGATCAAATACTACCATCGGGGTCCGTCGGCAGCCATACTACAATGAAACATCAACGGGACCCGATATTCGTACATACAGTGTACTGACCAGTGGCAGCCTAAAATAGCGTGCTGCGACCCTGGTAGCACGTCTATGGGCAAGCTCTTAAAAAGTAGCCGCAAGCTCACGTGGCCAAGGTAGGCTAACTGACATGTTCTTGACTCGAAGTCCGTTCGACGGTCAGATGTTAGGTGTTGTCTGCAAGGCGTAGCCCAGGGCGTCATCATTGAAGGGGAGGAGCGATGTCTTCTGTGCGTAGTCGTTGCTATAACTTGAATGACTGCCAACAATATGCCAAAAGCAGCTTTTACTTACGAGCGCATCAACAAGTAGAATTTCCCCTGCAGCAGCTTGTACCACGGGTAAAAGATAGCCGAGCCACGAGCAAGAAGTGTGCAACATGAGGAATCGATGGAAGATACGCTGGCGTGTCCGTTCGTTTGTTGTAGCATGCCGAGCCAAACGAAGTACGATGATCCTGGGCACAACCGTGCATCACGGGAAGTACATTCGGCAATGTCACTAAAAGGTCACTAACTCACCACGAGGGAATGCAATATATTGCCAATCAAGAACATGGCCCAATGGCTGAGGTCATAGCATTCTTCGCCGCGAGGTCCAGTTTCCGTGCTATCTGTTACGCAATCGAGACAGCAAGGATAAACCGGCGTCTGCATCCAGAACTCCACGGCGAGAACCCAGCAATTGTGGGAGAGTGATCATGGCATAGTGATAGGAGAACAACGACCAGCTTTCCAACCTTGTCAAATACAAATAACCCCACTGAAGCAAGAGTTGGCTTTCCCCTAGGACGGGGTCGGTTGAGTCTTACTGTTTCAGCTGGCCTATAGAAACAGGTTAGTAGAATGACGTCGCTGTCAACACGTCTCCTGTGAGGTTGTTTGTGAATGAAGGAGAACGTGCCATCGACATAAGACATGGAGACAAAGAACTCATCCGAGGAAGCTTTGGGAATGGTGACGCGGAATACACGACTTCTAGTATATATTAAAATAGTACATCAAGTTAGGAGCAATGCGGAAATCGGGATATAGAGATGAAAATGTCAAATAACAAAGACAATACATGCGCTGAAGTCCAAGGGATAGAAAGGCTGAAGGCATACAATACTAATTAACCACAAATACCGTTGTCTATGATCATCCCGCAGCGCTTGCACTTGACCCTCCGGTCAAGAAGGCAAAGGCCAATGCCCAATGGGAACCAAACTATTGCAGCCAAAATGCCTAAAGAAAGGCACGAGTCAACTGCTTGCCCGTTAGGATGTGATTATCCCTACCTAGAATGCCGAACTTGGTTTCATTAACATGTTGCCCTTCCTGCAAACATATCATTTCTGGGTGGTCTGGGGGAAGTAGCGAGACGATGCGCTCGCCAGTCAAGGGATTCTGATAATGGTAGACTGTGGGTTGTTGCATCAGGGGCGTAGTACGAGCGTGAACAGCCATCACGGTGTTGGGAGGTATTAAAGGCAGCTGCACTTGCTGGCTCACAGTCTTGTCAGTGATCAAAGGTGGCTGTTGCTGTTCATCTGAAATCATGGTAAACCACTAATCATCCAGGATAATATGAATAAGACAGACTTGAGCTAGCCTGACCTGCGACGCAGTCGTAGGAAGGTGGGTCATCTGCATTGCTATGCTTGATCACCTGAGGGTCCATTAACACCAGAGCCATCGAGTTTACATATGTTCGACAGGGACTCACCATGTTTGACTGAGGATCGATGATCATTGATAAGTTCTGCTACGTGGCTTTTGTATGGGGTTCGAAAGCTGCGCACTGCGGCACATAAGCGCGGCGCTGCAGAGGCACTGAGTCATAGAGCAGCCGATTAGAATTTGTTTTCCGTTGTTTGTCTTGATCATCGCATCTATTATAAGAACACGCTGTTCCATTAAAAAGTCGAGACTCTGGACTCGGCAACGTATAGAGTGAGCTGCATCATCATTAATATTGAGAAATATATTCTTGGAAAGTATTAACTGACCTTCAGGAGTGAGGAAAGTCGTCCATCTCGACTGTATAGTTTTACCAGAATTTATTCTCACGGGTCACCCCTTGTCTAAGATACCGTGGGAATCGGCGAATTTTTATCTACAAGCAACAAATCCAAGTGACTGTATCTTGTGCTTCACAGCTTCACCCAACTGCTGCTTCGATTAAAGATGGAAAGTGCAGGACCATCGACCCACCATATCGTCCCCGATGTTACATCGGACTCAATGACTTCCAGAGACTAGTTCGCACATTTGCGCATATCTTCTCAAGGAAATTCTAATATCTAATTTTTGATTCCCTTCTTCCAGTTATGCGGATTCATACGCGCATTTTGGTTTGTTGATCCATCTGGTCGAGTTATTATTACTCTGACATATCCTGACAGGTATCCACGAGGAAATGCTTAAGGATACTGTCCGGACAGGATCCTATCGTGCTGCGATCATAAACAATGGTCACCTCTTCAAGGGTAAAACAGTCCTAGATGTTGGTTGCGGAACTGGCATCTTGAGTATGTTCGCTGCAAAAGCAGGTGCTTCACACGTAGTTGGTGTAAGTGCCACATCCATATCTCGCTCGTATCATCTCCTGCATGCCTTTGAAGATCGACATGTCGAATATTATCGATCAAGCTCAAAAGATTATAGAAGCAAACGGCTTCAAAGACAGTATGTCTCACTGTATGCTCCTGATACCGTCTTTAGTAACAATGCATTAGCAATTACCCTTGTTAAGGGAAAACTTGAGGAAGCCGAGCTTCCTATCGATCAATTCGACATCATCATTTCAGAGTGGATGGGTTATTTCCTTCTCTACGAATCTATGTTAGACACCGTCTTGCTCGCAAGAGACAAATATCTCAAGCCGAAAGGATTGATATTCCCCGACACCGCAAAATTACTTTTTGCTGCCATTGAAGATCAGGACTACAAAGAGGAGAAGATCAACTGTACGTATATCTGTGTTATATGCGCGCCTGGCTAAGAACAGTATTTGTAGTCTGGGATAATGTGTATGGCTTCGACTACTCGTGTATCAAAGACATCGCGCTCCGCGAACCTTTGGTGGATACCGTTGAGCTCAAAGCGGTCGTTACTGATCCCTATGTTATCAAAGTTTGTCGCCATCAAGTTATTTGATAATACTTGACTAACACTATGCAGGAAATCAATCTCTTGACAGCAACAAAGGAGGACCTGACTTTCACAGCACCTTTCAGCCTTGTTGCTACACGCGATGACTGTGAGTATAATCGTGTTAGGTGTAATTGCAACTTTCATACGCGCTACTATAGATGTACATGCATTCCTCGCTTGGTTCGACATCGTCTTCGATTGCACACATAAGAAAGTCAAGTTTTCAACTGGCCCTCATGCGCAATACACGCACTGGAAGTACGTCAGCAACCCAAATTTCTGTTCCTCAGGTATTTATTTCTTCAAAACAGGCAAACAGTGTTCTATACCCCCTCGACAATCACTATCAAAAAAGGGCAGGAAATTACTGGCGAAATCTCTTGCGCACCGAACAAGCGGAACAACCGCGATCTTGACATTGCCATTTCGTATGCAGTTGGTGGCGAGGAAGAGGAGACAACAGTGGATTACAAAATGTGCGTGATTTTACATTCTTGCCGCATCTCTTTTCTCCCCCAGTCCGATTCGTGGCGATAATGACCGTACGCTGACCGATGATAGGTCTTGATCGACAAACAATTCACCGACAATGGCTTTCCACGCTTCGCCGCGCTGTCATATACATTCCCCATATACCATTATTTACCTGCAACCTGACATCTGGATTGGACAACAACAGGTATTAGCTTGGATACACTGACATTGCAGCCCATCTGGCTTAGTTCTTGTGTTATACATCTGCATCAAACTTACTGTTGTTTGTTGCATCATTAGAGTACACCATCTCATTTACCGGTTGGTTGACCATGTGCGAGTTATGCCGGTCACCCAAACAATCGCCTTCCTTGAGTTTACAGATTCCGTGACAGCGCCAATAAGTATCAATTCGTTCCTCAACAAACGCGCACGATTTGAGGAACTCAAATGGCTGGCTAATTCAATTCTCGTGTTGTCTTCGTCTACAGTCGCCCCCGCGTTCCATGATGTGCAAACCAGAAATCACCCCTTGATTTACAACGTCTTGGGTGAGAGTTGGGCTCGGGTAGATCGTGAATTTGTGATATACGGCTGATGTTCATGAGTCTTCGTGACCAACCCGCGTACGTTGCTCAACAACTTTGTTGTAATGTATCGTAAATCCAACCCTCAAGCTCTCTGTTGAACGTTTCCGGTTCCTCCAAGTGAATCCAGTGTCCTCCTTGGAACTCTACCATCTTGAGACCTCCCGTCGCGTATTTCTTCATAGATGATACGGCGTAATCATACACGCATACGTGGTCTTTCCTTGCGACCGCGAAGAACGCGGGTTTCTTGATAAACTGATTTTCTTCTGGTATCTCTGTCACCGCAGCCAACTAAGATCAGACAATGCAATATCGAGCAGTGTGCTGGATATCGCGTCTCACCTTCCATGATGCGGGAATTGACACCACCGAGCGTGCACCGGTACCAGTTCAGGGCACTCGTTAACCCATCCTTCCTCAGTGACTCTAACAAGCGTGAGTGGTGCTACATTTTATGGACACAGTCAATTCTGACAAGCCTGACAGAGGAATAAGAAACACCTCGTCTGTGAGATAACTAGCTCTCTTTGTCGTCTTTCCATTTTCGATAAAGGCCTGTATCTCCCCGGGTTGATTCATCAGAGTCAGCCAACTGTCTGGGTCATCCGGATAAAGCACGGAAATCAATGATTCCAGCTTTGCGTCTTATGAATAACAAGAGATTAAAACGTTGGCTAAACACTCACGTTCTTCTCGATGGTTTGGGGAGCGCTTTCTTGTTCGAAAAACTTCCAGTACCCCAGTAGCGGCCGACCGAATTCTTTAATATTCATCTCCAAGATAACATCAATGGGAGGGAAGGGACCGTACGGTTGGTATGTGACGACAACCCACGCGAAACCCAAGAAACGGTCAGAGTGTTTCATTGACAGGAGGGAGATCATGCGTGCGCCCCTGATGACGATTCTGAATTTAGCTAGTACGCGTCTAGTTATATCTCACCAGTCATGCCCAACGGCTATGGCTTTTTGGACTTTCTCGGCATCAAGAATGTCAAGCAAGTCTTGCGCGATGGCGGTGTGCAGAAAGAGAGACATATCGGTAGGTTTAGACGTGCCGCCGTATCCGAGCATGTCGGGCGCTACTACTCCGAATCCCCTCTCAGAGAAGTAGTTGATCTGATGATACCAATCGTATGAAATCGAGGGAAAGCCATGAATAAAGAGTAGAGTGGGCTTGTCGTCCACAGCTGGCAAGGACAGATAGTGGTAAGTCAATCCTCTGGAGGTGACGATATCTTTGTACTTTGAGACAAGGCTCTCGTTCATGGTGGTATGAACACAAGCTGTAGGAATGGGCTGTGTTTCGTAGATTCTGTTTTAAAATGCATGCATAAGTAACTAAATGATTTGAGAGATTTATTCTAAAATGAGAAATCAGCAGTGCGCTCGAACCGGGGTCATGACTCATGTAATGGAGAAGCTGGGCGGTATGAATTAATCAGCCTAACTCGTGTGAGAGCAGATGATGCATAAACTCCATGTTGGGCATTGTCTCGTCATAATCTAGCGGATTGATAAAACGAACTCGTCTCTGCCACGTGAAGTGCCAAGTACAAAGGAAGGCTGTGAAAGGAAGATGGTCACTGGAGTAGACAGAGTCATCTAACTGGCGTGTTCTGCATTTGTCAGTAGCTATCATTAAGGTATGCCCCCTCTTCTGGCATATTATTCAGTCTGTTCATCAGCGAAGCGCTAGAGTGCGTCTCTCCTTTCGGTAGGGAGTATGTGGGGTGGGTATGTGCAGATCTGCTCAAATATACGGTAGTGTTTTCTGTATAAATATGACAACGCACCAAATTTATGTGGGACTTCCGATGGCCTATCTTATTAATGAATCGAAGGAGGTGCGGGCCGGCTTTCGAGGACATGGCGTCGGATCGAACTGTATTGGGAAAAATGTGTCATTCGCGTCAGTACTGAACTTGAAGACAGTCGAAGAGGAAGGAGTGGTGCAATAAGTTTCCCATCGCGAGCGCCAGGGAGGGTATGAACGACACCGACTACCCGACTACGGGCCGCGTATCTGCCGATACCAACAAGAGGAATTACGTGCAACGCACCTCAGGCGTAAATCTTTGGATGACACTTGCCCCTGCATTGAATATCTAGACTCGTGTAGCAAACGTAGCAGAATCTTCCGGAACAAGATACTTTCATGAAGATACTAAGCAACGTTTGCAACAAAACATCGAATATCATAGAAGACAAATAAGGAGTTGAATTTCATAGGTTGGACTGCGCAGAATGGCAAGCCTCAACGTATGGTCGCACATGCAAGGTCCTCAATCGGATGCAATGGATCAAACGATATGGTGAGTCGGGCACAAGTAATGCCAACGAAGGCGGGGAAAATCCTTTGGACACTTGCTATTGACTGCCACCAGACATCTGCTCGACGACCAGTACTCGATATTCATTTCTCGTGGGAAAGGAAGGACTTCTGTCATTTTCTCTGCGACTTGAGGCCTTCATGTACTATGTAACCGCTTCTCTCCAGGTCAGCCCTACAACGACAGGAGACAACAACTGATGATCCGGTGCAGAAGGTCTAACACAAGCTGTGGTTGCCAGTCAATTATGCCAACGGAAACAAAAAAAGACTCCGAACTCCGACCAATTACAAGGTTACCCAATTTGGAACTGCTTATTGTGCTTCGTCCTCCTTCGTCCGAGTCCCCTTGAAGAACAATGAGGATGTGGAGGACGTGCTGGGACAATGATGATGTGGTTCTCAAAAGGATAAAGAATAGATTGCTCCAGCGCTTCTCTCAGGGCTCTCTTTCTTGCTAATTATTCTATCTTTCTCTCTTCACTGCTGACGACCGCCACTAGTTGGTGACTAGATTTTTATTCGCCGTCGCAGGTCGACTATCATCATCTCAGATGTCCTTCTCTTTTCGCACTCAAAGAGGAATATCTCCTCCGCCAGTTTATGCCCCTCATTCTACAATACAGACTTCGAGTACGACTCTCAGACCTTACCTTCAACTCCCACACATCCTTTCCTTAGCTTGGCTAGGCATATCCAATTCTTTCGCTCATCTTCGTGATATTTAGGCTCCAGTTGTCATCCCAATCTGCTCAAACTGCTGTGGCTAATGCAAAGGGTGACCTCTTGACCGCATGTCAAGCAGCAGAGCAAGCTGCTACAGCTGCGGCTAGTGCTCCGCGGTATATGGCAATTGCCTCAAATCAGTTAATCACGGATACTATCAATGGCACCATGAACGACGCGCGCGCAGCTCTGATTCTCTCATTGACTGTCATGGAAGCAATCATCAACTTCCTTATTGACATCTACCGCTCTACGTTTTTATGTTTCCTCGAACTGATTGTTGGAGGTGGGCTTGCACTTCTCATTGCTGCTGTTCAAGAGGTATGAAAGTTTGCCTTCCGATGAATTTTTGTTAATAGTAGCTCAGATCACTTCTTTCTTGCAAAGTACCCTGACCAGCATCGTGTCAGGTTTGCAGAACGATGCCACTTCGCTCAACTCCGCCATTACAACCATAGTCGACGAGCTTAACAAGGTCAATCCTTTCGGGAACATCAATGCGCCACAATTCAATGTCTCGAGCCTGGACTCTCTGTCCAGTATCACTATTCCAACGGATTTTGAGAATGCGTTGATTCAGCTCAACAATTCACTGCCGACTGTGTCGTCGATCAAGAACTCTATTGAATCTCTGTAAGTATCACATCAAACTGACCATCTGCGTCTACTAATTCCCATCAGCGTCGATACACCTTTCGAGGCCGTGAAGTCTGATATCAATAGCACGTTCCAAGGCCTTGTCTTTGATGTAACGACACTTCCTATCCCTGCTCAGAACTCGGTTTCATTTTGCAACAATTTGGACACGTCCTCAGTTGATGATCTCGGAAATGACCTCCTCACGATTACGAAGATTTGCACCATTATATTGATTATTCTTCTCCTCGCCCTGCTAGCAGGGCACTGTGCCCTCGAGTGGTACAAGTGGCGCTGCTTGCAGTTTCACCTCCGTCGCACTCGTGAGGCATGGGTTTCTGATCCCACCACGGTGTACACCGGCTCCGCTAGCGTCCCTTCTATCACGCTCACTGACCACAATCTCCTCATGCTCCAGGCGGATGCGCAACATCCACTGCTTACTCGCATAGCCAACACCCTCTCAGTTAAACTGCGCATGTCCCCTTCACAACACACTCACCTGCGATGGTTTCTGCACTACATTTTCCATGCGCCTGCACTTGCCTGCTTCTTGATCGGTTTCTTTGGTCTATTATCCGTTCAAGTGCAGCTTCTTGCCGTCGGCCCTTTGGAAGCAAAGTACTCTGCACAAGCGGCTGCGAGTGTGCAGGATCTCTCCAGCACGATCTTCGCGCAGGTGAACAGTTCAATGTACAACCAGTCCTCATCGTACGCTGGCACCATCAATGCACGTGTTGAGACCGCTCAGTCCTCCGTCAACAACGGTCTGTTCGGCTGGGTTAATGGCACCACCACGACACTCAATACAACGCTGAACAACTTCTACACCGATGTTCAGAATATCGTGGCGAGCGTGTTTAATGGCACTGTCCTGGAGGACACTGCGCAGGACTTCGTTCGGTGCATTATCGGCTCGAAGGTCGATGCACTCGAGGAGGCACTCACGTTCCTGAACGAGAACTTGAATGTCGATCTTCCGACTGTCAACGAGACCGTCTTGGTGCTTTCATCGTCCGATGTTAATGAGATCACTCAGCCAATTGCAACCGCCGCGATTGGTGGCGGGCAAAGTGACTCGAGTGGCCTCATCGGAAAACTTGTGGCAACGTATGTTGACTCCCTCAAGCAGGAGCGAATCATGTTTGTCCTGTTCCTGATTCTCTGGGGCGTCGTCGTACTCATGGGTCTTGCTGTTGTTTTATGGCATTCCTACGCGAGAAATTGGGTTGAAGCGTACAAGAAGCGCAAATGGCGCAAGGAGCAACGCGACGATATCGACGATATCATAGCAGCCTTTCCCAATGCACCGCCTATCGTGCACGTCAGCAAGGATGCGGAGAAGGGCGAGAAGACGCCTGATTTAGGTCTTCGTTCGTTTACGCCTCTTCCTGAGCCGCGTTCAGCATTCAGCCTTAATCCATTCAGCCGATCTGCCAATCATCCGCTGAAATCGCTTGAGCCTAGGTTTGAGAAAAGCTGGGATAGCCTTGTCCGCCAGGGAGCTGAGCCGAAAGTTGAGCAGAACCAGCAGCCGTCGACACATTCTCGCACCATCAGCAGGCTGATGCGTTTGATGGGAGAGAGGAAGCAGGATGGTGACAGTGGGGACAGAGAGGACTTTCCAAAGGTGGAAGATGAACAACCCAAATCGCACTGGTTCAAGCCCGTGACAAACCTCTTTGCGAAGAAGGCTGCTCCCTCTGAGGAATTTGTCGTCAATAGGCCGATAGCCCGACCTCCTAGACCTCAATTGACAATTTCGACCGCGCATACTTCCTCGTTCAAGCCGGATGACCTACCACACATTGAGCGATCTCCGACTCGAGAAGAGCCTTCCTCTGCTTGGTCTGTCTCACCGACTCCACCCTCCCTGCCATGGACGAAGAATACAGTTGTTGCTACCAAGAACACAGCGCTTCCTTCTATATCCTTCTCACCACCGCTCCATCCAGAGCAGCGCAGGAAAGCCAGCGTGCCTACTGACATTGAGCCATTCGACGAATATGGCTTCACTCCTCCGCAGGCCAAGGAACCAAGCCCGCTCGCCATGCCGCTCCATCACGCCTTCGAGCGGGTGCCCCCACAGCATGCAACTGTCCCATTGACGCTCTACCCGTCACAAGTGCAAGCTGCGCTCCTCGCTGCTAAGAACAAGCCAGCAATGGCCCCTCCCCAGCCGGGGCTTGCGCCGTCCTTAAGCCTCCCACAATCCGTCACTCCCGTATCACGGCTTCTCACGACAGCTCACGCTCGGAAGTCTAGCAACACCATAAATCCGTTTGCAACTCCGTTTGACGACGACGCCTGTGCAGTATCTCCGACGCAGATGAAAAGGATAACGAATCCCTTTACTGGCCTTGCATTGTAATCATGCGGACTTGACGCTTTGTTCTATATGTTGTACGCTACGCATCACGGATACTGTTAATACCTATCATTGTGCATTAATGTTGTGCTCTTCCTCTCTTTTCATATATTCTTAACTAGTTGTAGCATTTCATCTACTCCCGGTGTCGAGGCGCACACTTCATTTCACATATGTAGCTCTATTCTACTGACTCTGCATTGTTATCCGCTGGAACTCGGACTACGCTGAATCAAGTGACATTCGATCATATTGAGGGTAGTGAGGGGAATTGTGCTGATTGTGGCCTTCGAGCGTAGGTTCCTCAAGTGGAAGTCTTGACATCGTGTTCCAAGAAACTAGCTTACCGTGTGGAGGACATGTAACAGTCGTATTACAGCAGTGGTGTGTTTGCAAAGGGACAAGAGGTGACCAGTAGATAGAGTTACTATAGCACGCAAAGTCGTCCTCCAAAGTTCGTGCCGAAAGCTGGTGGAAACTTTCTCACCTTTGATGACGATAGCGACGGCGACGACGATCTGCCAAAATAGTTGTTTCGAGTGCTTGCTGTAAACATTCGATAGATTGAATTCCATCCCACTGACACTCACAGATCAGAATACAACATAATACATGGTAGCGGTCGACGAATAACAATTAAATTATACTATGTCCTGAGTGAGGTGTTCAGACACAATTGTATTAACTCTTGGATCGATGTCTCCAAGGACTTTAAGCGTCTCATGCTGTTCAGTTGATATTAGCCTGCACCATCGTAGTCAAAAATGAGCAGTACGTACCCACAAACGCTTCGAAACCTCCCTTCCTTCCGCGCTGAGAGCATAATCGCTCTCTTCGGCAACTTCGCAGCTCGACAGGTAGTGACCGTGCCGCTCCCTCTCACCTGGCTCGATTCCTGCATGGACAAGTGTCCGACTGCCCATCTCAGTCGTGCGTGCCAATAGCCCTTTGTAAGTGCTCACGGCAAACTTGAGGATAGGATTCGATTCGATTTCTCGCGAAAGACGGGAGTGACAAAAGCCGGGATTGACCGCCGAAACAGCGACCAAGGTTGGTGTGGGAAGTCGAGAAGACAACTCACGGATGAACATCACTTCGAGGACTGCGCATGATGGTGTGGTGAGCATAATAATGCGTGTACTCCATTACTCACGCTTGGATAGGGGGTAGCGATTCATCATTACGCTGCTGCATGTTATTACTGCTGCAGAAAAAGACGCTAATGAAACTTGCCTATAGGTACAATACGCCTCATCATTGATTGTTTCGATGATACTAGGCCATTTATCTGCCCCTTTTAGTCTGTTGGCTATATAATGAACCTCGCTAGACACAATAACGAGTCTCGAGGCACGTTCAGGAGTCCCCATCTTGATGAGGTGAGGCAACATCAATATGCTCAACAGAGCGGTCGACAGGTAATTCACTTGAAATCTATAAAAATTCTCAAGGCAAAACAACAGTGGTAAGGCAAGGTGCTCACGTAGTTTCATAGCCATCTGGAGTTTTCGCATACTTCGTCGTCGACATGCCAGCGTTGGCGATAAGAACATTGGCTGTGCAGCCCTTTGCTTCAAAATTGTCCACGAAAGAGCGCACCGAATCGAATGAGCTTAGCTCAAGAGGCCAGGATTCGATACCAGTCATGCCAGACCGAGTCTCCACGTCTATACAAGTCATGAATTCCCCTGATAACCTCCAGAGGGTTCATGCATACCTGCTTTTGTTAGTTCGCACTTGCCTTCATCTCTGCTGGTGATCAACAGGTTCCTAGGCTTCAGCTGAGCTAAATGCACAGCAGCTTCATTTCCAAGCCCGACATTGGTACCGACTACGACCAGCGACTGGTCGCTGACGTCCGCAGTGGAGATCGGGAGCTCTGTCCATTGCTCGCGAAGAAACCCGACAACGGTGAGCTTGCCCATAAGTTATGCCCTAGCCTGCTGGGAGTATGGTGGGTGTTTGGTGAGAGTTCGATTTCTCGCGTTTTCCCGGGGTATCAATACAAAGTCAATTATTAATAGTGCTGCTCAATTCTTCGAAGCGAAGAGTTCATGATAGCCTGTAGTTATCAGAAGTTCGGATCTTTCTCGGTACGACTCCGAGCACACATTAATGTCCGGACACACAATGAAAAGACCCCAGACTCCGTTCAACATCTTCGCTTCAGCTTAATTGAATATTTGTCGTTGCCGTCACCGAGCAGTCTCAAGATATCCTTAGCATGCTTCTCTCACCCAACATTGTCGGTTCGATCTTGTCCTCGTCACGTCTTCGACATGTTAACTTCTTGCACTTTTAGTGTATTCGCTCTTTGTAACAAATGCAGACTTGTTAACATATATAAAACATTCAACTCTCCGAGCAGATTGGGATGTGAGCTGGGAATGCACTTGTGTCCGTCGACAGCTTCCGCATGACTCCAATACCGTCACACTGGGTGATACATCTACCCTCTGCGAGTGAGTGCAGTATCTCCTGCTCTGTCATAAACAGATTCATAGTTCCTCGGCGAGGATAATAGTAGAACCACTGGCGACGTGCACATCAGCAGATGCGCGGCTGAACTGTTGTCGTACTGCCGGCGCCGGCTCATGCGCAGCTATAGTGGCATTTATGTTAACAGAGTTCAAATACTGACAGGAAATACTATTACCTGTGACCCGACGACGACGAATAGAAACATTACGGGCGGCACCGCCTCGCTGGGGATGCACCGCTGCTGAACTTGGAGTGCTGCAATAACCTTCAAAGTATGTGAAAAGCTCAGCAACCAGCGCCCCGAATAACCATACCATCCTGCACACTTGTTAATACCCTTTGACCAGATACTAGAAGAGTACCGGAGCCGTGTCTGTGGCCGCGGTATACTATACACAGTCATATCACTGCACTCGTGACTAGCAAGTTTGACGACTCACTTGTTCCGCTCCACCCCGCCGATGTTCCTGTCTCACATTTCCATACTCTCGATGGCGCACTGTGTGGATGATGATAGCCTGGGCGTCACTCAAATTTTAGTCTACTCAACCTACAACAAGACACTCTGACCAATTTTACGGTCATGAGCAGGTTTACTGTGTGCCCTTCATTACCCATCTTTTCACTTGTCCAGAGTTCCCCCCTTCTTCTAACTCGTGACAAGTAAAGCTCCCTCATTTTGTCGCATATGTACTTCGCGCACCAAACTCCATCCTTCCGTAACTTTCGCCGCTCAAGGCGCGCTTTATTTTACGGAAGTCGGACACGCGCCCTTGTACAAGACTATCCATCATATAATTGTACTAGCTAGACACCTATGTGAACAAATACGATCTGCTGTTCTAGTGGAATATTATTGCGCCGCAATTTCTTCACAGCTTTGTTCAACGCCATCGCAGCGCGCGTGCAATCCAATCTCCCAGAACCATCCACCAGGTTACCGTAAAAAGCAGATGCAACCTCCTGCACAACCTCGTCGTCGACAGACCATATGGAACCAATCACACTGCGAAATCCAGAAAATTTCATTGCCGCAGCGAGATGGATAGACTCGTCAGGACTCTTTTCATCGCCCACGGTGGTGTGGCAAGCCTATAAGAATGCGAACTCCAGATCCTGCCAGTTCGATCGGATGATGTCCTTGATCATCAACGGCCCGTCGCGCATTGCGAAGGAAGATTCAAATGGTCGTTGTTGATTAGGCATTCCGTGGCAGGCCAGGTGAAGCTACTGGTTATGGTTCAGTGCATCAAATGCACCTCGATTGTTGCGTCGCTGTCCTCGAGCGACGTGAAGGACGACACGACGGCAAGAGACGCTAGGTGACAACGGCTAGCTCGGGAGCGACACATTCGAGTGGCTTCCCTCTGTCTAGATTTCCTTGACCAATCCAACAAAATGTTGCGGGGACGCATCTCGAGAAACCTGCTGTCTCGCACGAACAAGTGTCGCCAAAGTGGGGGTGCACGAGGAGATGTCGAAAGTTCGTTGTCGTCGTCGATATTACAATTGTAGTAGAGGCTAGGAGCTGCGGCTCAGGCCATCGGCTTTGGTTTTTGAGAATTCCAGGCTAGACTCGTGACCAGTCCGAGATGTCTATGAAGTAAACCGTCGATAGACGGTCTGATAAATGTGGGTTTGGGTTTTTCATAGATGGACTCGGGCCAAAGCTCTGGTGACGTCAATCCCGGCCGCGCTTGAGCTGGCCATGCACATTGCACATCATGGCTGATAGCAATTTTTTCGTAAGTCCCATAGAGGAGAAGTCTACGTGCTGGCATCTCATGGCAGAGTCTCGTCGACGATTTCAGCCGCAACGATGCGTTCCATACATGCGCGCAATCAGATTTTTTTTTGGATGGTCATATAATCATCTTAGATACTACCAGGCAATAATATTTAGCATCGAAGTCTCACTCTCGCATTCGTCATCCAACAGTACCGCTATATCGTTATCTATCGTTTCAGACATCGCGTTTCATATCATATCATCTTTGTTTTCGTTTATCTAACTCTACAGCGCACCTAAATCCTACAAAGCGGCCTCCACACCCCTACGCACTCGCGAGACCCTACTAGGTTCTTACACACAGATTAGAACACAACATGATATATGGTGGCGGTCTATGAATAACAGTCAAGTTATGCTGTATCCTGGGTGAGGTGTTCAGACACAATTGTATTAACTCTTGGATCGATGTCTCCAAGGACTTTAAGCGTCTCATGCTGTTCAGTTGATATCAACCTGCACCATCGTAGTCAAAAATGAGCAGTACGTACCCACAAACGCTTCGAAACCTCCCTCCCTTCCGCGCTGAGAGCATAATCGCTCTCTTCGGTGACTTCGCAGCTCGACAGGTAGTAGCCATGCCGATCCCTCTCACCTGGCTCGATTGCCGCATGGACAAGTGTCCGACTGCCCATCTCAGTCGTGCGTGCCACTAACCCTTTGTAAATGCTCTTGGCAAAATTGAGTATAGGATTCGATTCGTCTTCTCGCGTAAGACGAGAGTGACAAAAGCCGGGATTGACCGCCGAAACAGCGACCAAGGTTGGTGTGGGAAGTCGAGAAGACAACTCGCGGATGAACATCACTTCGAGGACTGCGCATGATGGTGTGGTGAGCATAATAATGCGTGTACTCCATTACTCACGCTTGGATAGGTGATAGCGTTTCTTCATTACGCTGCTGCATGTTATTATTACTGCAGAAAAAGACGGAACGAAACTTGCCTGGAAGTACAATACGCCTCATCGTTGATTGTTTCGATGATACTAGGCCATTTGTCTACCCCTTGTAGTTTGTCAGCAATATAATGAGCCATGCTAGACACAATAACCAGTCTCGAGGCATGTTCAGGAGTCCCCGTCTTGATGAGGTGAGGCAACATCAATATGCTCAACAGAGCGGTCGACAGGTAATTCACTTGAAATCTATAGAAATTCTCGGGGCATGACAACGGCGATAATAGCAAAGCGCTCACGTAGTTTCGTAGCCATCCAGGTGTTTTCGCGTACTTGGTCGTCGACAGGCCAGCTATTGGCGATAAGAACATTGGCTGTGCAGCCCTTTTCTTCAAAATTGTCCACGAAAGAGCGCACCGAATCGAATGAGCTTAGCTCAAGAGGCCAGGATTCGATACCAGTCATGCCAGACCGAGCCTCCACGTCTATACAAGTCATAAATTCCCCTGGTAACCTCCAGAGGGTTCATGCATACCTGCTTTTGTTAGTTCGCACTTGACTTCGTCTCTGCTGGTGATCAACAGGCTCTTAGGTTTCAGCTGGGCTAAATGCACAGCAGCTTCATTTCCAAGCCCGACATTAGTACCGACCACGATCAGCGACTGGTCGCTGACGTCCGCAGTGGAGATCGGGAGCTCTGTCCATTGCTCACGAAGGGACCTGAAAACGTCGAGCTTGCCCATTATGCACTGGCTGGGCAACTTCAGGCTGGGGGTGAGTGTCAGTTTGAAGTCTATTCAGGGGTCACCAGTCACCAATCAGATCTGACTCGGGTCAGACAGGATCAGACACGCCGTGACCGTCGGGCACGGTGTACACTGCATAGAACAAGATTACATACCGGACCAAGTAGTAAGAGCCGGAAGGGGCCTGGGTCAGAATCCGAACACAATGGAGTCGGTTAACGCCGGTCGGGTTCCTCGTAACCGACTGCCTCAACAGTTATGAACAAATGAACGCAGGGGAGGCACACCAGTACATGGAAGTGTCGAGGCGGATCACTCAGAACGAAGTTCGGCGTGGAACGCGAAAGTGTGGAGGAGAAAGGTTGGGGAAAAGGAAATGCAGAACTCTTGATACATGAACGAGCATCTGCAAAAACGTGGAGGTAAAGAATAGTACTAGTGATGGAGTAGGACAGGGTATCATTAAGGTATCAACAGAAAAGACGATTCATGACATGGTCGTGAAAGAAAACTGTGTGGTAAGCCGCAGGGCGTCTACATACATGTACAACGACTGGAGGAAAAGCAAAGAGGAGAGGAAACCATTCTAGACTACAACCCTTGTCACTCAATGAGGACATTTCCAATCCAGGAGACTTGATCAAAGGTAAGTCAAAGGTACCCGCTTGCTCGACAAGCACGTCGCCCTAGTAGACGCAACCAGCGTCCCAATGTCATGGGCTCTTCAGGAGACTGTCCGAAGTTGGGCTGCAGAACAGATATTAATAAATGACTGAAAAAACAATGTCGTAAATTCGCAAACTGACATAGCTGAGTAATGCATCAGGAACGCCTGCAGGACTGTGGTGGGGACGATAGTGATCGTCTGTGAACATGGAGGACCCATGCTCTGAGGCGTCGTTACTGGAACAATTAGAATGACCAGAATTGAAGGAATTCAAGCGTGGTAGCCATGACGGTTCTGTGATGCCGCTATAGTACCTGACAGACCTGTCGGGTGGCTATTGCACATAAGTCATCGACGCGTATCAAGTGTGGCTATGGTGCTCACGAGTTGTGTCGCAGCAGTCAGAGCCAGAATATCAGGATCTTCGCAGTCGGCCCAACTGAACTGCTGTCTCTGTAAATGTGGCATTTTTTGTATGGGCAAGGGTTAGCAGGGGCTGAGTTATAGGACTGAGGTGTACAAGAAGCAGAGCAGGGTGCAAATCGCGGACTGAAGGTCAATTATCCTGAGAGCCTCGAGCTCTCCTCGCGGCAGACCACGAGATAGCGGACAGCCGACATCCAGAAGCTGTGCCGATCGTCAAAGATTCATAGAAGATTATCCATGCTGCCGCTTCGGCTCCTGAACGCTTATCGGGGAATGTGGATATGTTCTGCTTTGGAAGAACACAGCATTAAGCAATACAAAGCTTCACAACCTGAGATCGATATAAAGGAACGTGGTACATAGCCCCCTTAATCAATACTAGGTCATCAACGTGCTCGCAGGTGCTCGTCAACGATACGCTGAACCCTGGAATCGACTTTGCTCAAGACCTCGATCGTCTCCAACTAAAAATTTATGACGATGAGTGAGATCCACAACGGTCAAATCAAATAGAGTAATACCTACCCACAGGCGTCTAGAAATCTCTCTTCCTTCCGTACTGATCACATAATCACTCTCCTCCTTGGGCTCACAGCAAGACAGGTAACGGCCATGTCGTGAGATCTCACCCGGTTCAACGGCAGGGTGGACAAGCGTTCGGCTCCCCATTTCCGTTGTGCGAGCGAGCAAAGTCTTCATGGTTGCGACACCCAATCTCATGAAGGGATTTGTTTCGGTAGAACGGGTTAAACGGGAATGACAAAACCCAGGATTGACAGCTGAAACTGCCACAGGTGTTGACGCAGGTAGTCGGGAGCTGAGTTCGCGCACAAACATCACTTCTAGCACTTGAATTGAACAAAGGATCAGTTACAATAGCAAATGAGACGTGTAACTCGACTCTCACGTTTTGAGAGGTTGTACCTATCGCTCATTATCCTATCTCATTGTCAGTTAAGGAAAGAGATATGATTTATAGGTCCCTACGAGGAGGTGCAGTAGTCTGGGTCATCGAGCTTGTCCAGAATGCTCGGCCATCGGTCAGCTCCTGAAAGTTTGTTCGCAAGGTAATGGAGCTCGCTTGAAACAATGACAAGTCTCGACGCGGACTGAGGTGCCGAGGTCTCAATGAGATGAGGCAGCATGAGGATGCTCAATAACGCTGTTGATAAGTAGTTCACTTGAAGCCTGTGCAAGACATGTTTAGGGAGCTACAGAATAGACTGGAAAAGATCACTGTACGTCGTCTCCCAGTCATCCACAGTCTTTGAATATCGCGTAGTTTGCATCCCAGCATTAGCAACTAAGGCGTTTATCTGAAAGCCCTCCTCTTCAAACTGGTTCACGAATTGGACTACCGACTTGAATGAGCCGAGCTCTAAGGGTCGTGCATCGATCGCACTGATGCTTGCTCGCTGTTGGACATCTTTGCCTGTGTCATGGCAGTGACGTAGACCATCTTTGCAAATACCACACGCACCTATTATTGTTTGCTGGCACTTTGTGACATCCCTGGCAGTGACGAGTAAGTGTTTGGGCCGAAGTTGGGCCAAGTGCACAGACGCCTCAAAGCCCAGGCCCACATTCGCCCCGACTACGAGGATTGACTTGTCACTGATATCCGCAGAGGCTACTGGAAGCTCCTGACGCTGTTCGCAAAGGAATTCTGATACAATGAATTTGCCCATGATGAGAGCGTGGACCTTGAAGTGGGAATGTAAGATTTCTAACGGGCCCCGCCTTTTATGTGTGGGGTACTAGTAGAGGGCATTCGACTTGATGCTCAGGCTCTTGCCGTAGAAACACATCATGGACGGCAAAACGTATCAGAATGATGAGCTTCAGTTGCCGTGCTATAATCGTGCCATAGAAACACATCAGCTACGGCAAAGCCTGGCTGATTCAGTATGTCAGAAAATTGATGAGCTCCTGTGGCGGCACTGTGGCCGCGCTGCACCGTCATGACCATGATCGCGGCTACATTCATGTTGAACGCACACCCTCATTGCCGTCGAGTTATGCCAGCATAGAACCAAACAGTAATAAACTTTGCGATAAGATAAGATTAGATAATTTGATCTGGAAATTTTGCAAGAGTGATTGATCAGATCTAGTACTTCGACAACGCTTGTCCAAGTTCAGTTGAGAAATTTAGCTGACTGCGGTGAGATGAAAAGCCAGTACAGTGAACTTTATGCAGCGCTGACATCATGCAGGCATGCTCGTTCTCCCAGGCTCGTCTGCACTCTCCTCGTCGAAGCGCCAGACACTTCTCCAGCACATCAAAACTATCAAATCAGATGTAATCTCTGTTGATGCAGTCTACATTCACCTCGTCAAGTCCCCGAGCCAATCGCTGCAGGATGAACTAGACAATAAAGCATCGCCACAAAGACAAGCTATTGATCTATTGCTGAACTATGGCGATGACATTAGACTTCCATCAACATCTGAAGCGCTTCACTCCGGACACAATGTCTTCTACGTTCTACCAAGAGCCGGCTCTATATCACCGTGGTCCAGCAAAGCGACTGACATCGCTGGCATATGCAACTTATCACAGCATATAGATCGTCTCGAACGCGGGGCCGCATTCATCTTTCAGCTGGCAAACAATGAAGATCTTAGGAAGGAAGAGTTGACTGTGCTGTCCCATTTGCTTCACGATCGTATGACGCAGAGTGTTCATATGTCTCTACCTCACGAGAGTGTGGTCTTTCAACATCACTCCCCAAGCCCCCTGCGGATTGTGGAGTTGAGAGGTGAAGAAGAGGAAGTTGATGCTGGTGCTGCACGCGAGAAGCTCTCGACCGCGAATAAAGCACTGGGACTCGCGCTCGCAGCAGACGAAATTGATTACTTGGTGGAAGCATTTGTATCTGGATCGTCACCGATCAACCGTAATCCCACCGACGCAGAGCTGTTCATGTTTGCTCAAGTGAACTCGGAGCATTGCAGGCACAAGATATTTAACGCATCGTGGACGATAGACGAGACGCTTCTCGACTGGTCACTTTTCCAGATGATCAGGAATACAGAAAAAATCAGTCCGCTGGGAACAGTCTCCGCATATTCTGATAACGCAGCTGTCCTTGAAGGCGCACAAGCTCCTCGATTCGGCGTACATAGTTCTTCTACCGAGCATATTTATCAAGCTTCCGTCGAGAACATGCCAATTCTTATCAAAGTCGAGACACACAACCACCCCACTGCGGTCTCTCCTTATCCGGGGGCAGCTACAGGCTCAGGAGGGGAGATTCGAGATGAGGGAGCAGTAGGCCGAGGATCGAAACCCAAGGCCGGACTAGCTGGCTTTACTGTCTCCAACCTTCTCATACCGGGCTATGAGCAACCTTGGGAGACGGATTTTGGCCGTCCCTCACACATCGCGTCAGCCCTCGACATCATGATTGAAGGCCCTTTAGGCGCGAGTGCCTTCAACAATGAGTTCGGTCGTCCAGCACTTTCAGGCTACTTCCGTACATTCTCTGAATCTGTCCCTGCCTCAGAGGATGGATCAAAACAGGAGGTTAGAGGCTATCACAAACCAATCATGATCGCCGGTGGATACGGGAATGTCCGTCCACAGTTCGCGATGAAAACACAGATTTCCCCAGGGGCGAAGATTATCGTCCTGGGCGGCCCAGGTATGCTCATCGGTTTGGGTGGTGGCGCAGCATCTAGTCAAGTGTCTGGTGCTAGCTCCGCAGAATTAGATTTTGCATCTGTCCAGAGAGAGAATGCAGAGATGCAGAGGAGATGCCAGCAAGTCATCGATGCTTGCGTTGGCTTGGGTGAGGGTAATCCTATCCAGAGCATCCATGATGTGGGCGCCGGTGGACTGTCCAACGCACTTCCAGAGCTAGTCCACGACTCAAGACTCGGTGCGAAGTTTGAGATCAGGGACGTACTTGTCGCGGACAGCTCTATGTCTCCCATGGAGATATGGTGCAATGAAAGTCAGGAACGCTATGTCCTCGCTGTGTCGGCAGAGAAGGCCAGCGAGTTCGAGAGAATAGCCCAAAGGGAACGGTGTCCATTCTCCATTGTTGGCGTCGCGACAGAGGAAGAAGAACTCATCGTCACCGACCGCCTCCTTTTGCAAGATGTCATTCACCTTAAGATGTCGACGCTTTTCGGGAAGCCCCCTCGCATGTTGCGCAAGGATACCACGCGAAGGATTGGTTTCACTAATTTTGATACTTCCCTTTCCACATATCTTCCGAACTCTTCCACCTTGTCCGACCGCTTATCTCTCGCAGTGGACCGCGTTCTTCGTCTTCCGTCAGTAGGGTCGAAGTCTTTCCTCATCACTATTGGAGACAGAACCATCACGGGCTTAGTGACTCGCGATCAAATGGTCGGACCGTGGCAGGTCCCAGTCGCTGACGTTGCCGTTACTCGGTCATCATATGGCTTTGATGTCCTGAGTGGTGAAGCCATGGCAATGGGTGAACGAACCCCTGTAGCTCTGCTAAATCCATCTGCATCCGCTCGGATGGCTATCGCTGAGGCGCTCACCAACTTGGCTGCAGCTTCCGTCTCCAGCCTTTCCCGCGTCAAGCTCAGTGCAAACTGGATGTGCGCCGCTTCCAAGGAAGGCGAAGGTGCAGGATTGTATGCCGCCGTGGCCGCTGTCGGTATGGAACTTTGTCCTGCGCTGGGCGTCGGCATCCCTGTCGGCAAGGATTCGATGTCGATGTCGATGAAGTGGAAGCAAGGAGAGGAGCAGCGTGAAGTTAGTGCACCGTTGTCTCTCATTGTCACGGCGTTCGCGCCGGTAAACAATGTCGATCGAACATGGACGCCTCAGCTGCGTACAGATCTGAAAGAAACAACCGTGCTCGTCTTCTTCGATCTTGCCCATGGCAAGACACGTATGGGTGGATCGGCGCTTGCGCAGGTTTTCAAGGAGATTGGGTCAGAGGCGCCAGACGTCGAGAACCCTCTTACAATACGAACGTTCTTCGATGGGTGCCAGAAGATCAAGGAGAGTCAACCTGACTTAGTCCTCGCATATCACGATCGCTCGGATGGAGGGCTCTTCACAACTTTGGTGGAGATGTGCTTCGCCGGTCGGGTAGGGGCTGTGATTTCCCTTGACACTCTCCATGGTGCTTCTGACCCTGTGACGGCCCTGTTTAACGAGGAGTTGGGAGCTGTCGTTCAAGTGCGTGAGTCTCACCTGGGTAAGCTCATGAGCGAGTTTGTCGATGTCGGCTTCCCTTCCACATCCATCCACGTCATTGGGCGCATCAACACCGATCTTTCTGACCAATTATTCGCCATCAATCATGAATCCAAGGTGCTATTTTCGAGCACACGTCAGGAGCTTCAACGAGCCTGGGCAGACACTTCATACCGTATGCAATCTCTGCGCGACAACCCTATCGGAGCACGGCAGGAATTTGACCTCATCAAGGATCACACTCACAGGGGCTTATTTTATGACCTTACATTTGAGTACACACCATCCCCCTTACGAAGTCTCTCATCGCGGCCGAAGGTTGCCATCTTGCGTGAGCAAGGTGTCAACGGACATGTGGAAATGGCTTGGGCATTTACAGCGGCAGGTTTTGATGCCGTGGACGTTCACATGTCTGACATTCTCTCTGGAGAACTATCACTTTCGCGCTTCCGCGGGCTAGCAGCTTGTGGTGGCTTTTCCTACGGAGACGTGCTTGGCGCTGGAAAAGGCTGGGCTCACTCAGTACTTTTGAACGACATAGCGAGGAAGGAGTTTACTCACTTCTTCGCAGATAAAAATACGTTCACTCTCGGCGTATGCAATGGTTGCCAATGGCTCAGTCATTTGAGAGAGATCATTCCTGGCGCAGACCATTGGCCCGACTTCAAGCAGAACGCCTCTGGACGCTTCGAGGGCCGTGTGTCCATGGTCGAAGTCACTTCTAACGAGGTGACGAAGGCCTCCGTCTTCTTGCGAGACATGGTTGGGTCAAAGCTTCCTGTTGCTGTTGCTCACGGAGAAGGAAGGGTATCATTTTCGAATGATGCCCAGAGAGAAGCCCTGCAGAAAGCTGGCCTCGTCGCACTGCAATACGTCGATTCTGCGGGTAAACCCACGGAAGTTTATCCATTGAACCCGAATGGCAGTCCCGACGGAATTACTGGAGTGCAGACCATTGATGGCAGAATAATGGGTCTCATGCCCCATCCAGAACGCGTCGTAGCACTGGAGAGTTGCAGCTGGTATCCACCCGCGTTTTGGGACTCCTGGGATGGCTCAAGTCCGTGGTTCAGGCTTTTCCAGAGTGCTCGTGCCTGGGTGAATTAGAGGGTGAGCGTGATCTCATGATGTGGTTAATGTCAGATGTTTATACTTTGTCATACAGAGAGCACAGAAGTGCACATACTAAAGTGAAATTGAATTACCGAGATAATAGATTGTATCATGATAAAATATGGCTGTAGCTGGTCCGAAATATCATATCAAGCAGTGACGAGTGACTCAGATGTGACAAGTTGTGACAGCTGCGTGGGTGACAATGTGGTGTTCACGCTGAGACTTGCACCAACGTTAACAACGACATGACAACTGTGTCGCCATTCGCTCGCAGCAGCGCGTTCGACGAGCCCCGCATCAGCGGGCGCGAGCAGACCGTAAGCCCATCTTGCCTTCATCATCCCATTTCTGCTGCATAAACACAAGCAAGCGCTTCCCAGATTGAAGAAATGTACAGCGTCCCTGAGAGCTTCTTAGAAATTGAAGTTCGCAATCCTCAAACACATGGTGAGCAATATAAAACTTGCGCGGTGGGATCCTACCTCCTTACCATTGAATAATAGGTTTTGGTAGAAAGATGTATACCGACTACGAGATCGTGTGCAAGGTGATATATACTGTTACTTCGGCTTTCTAATCAGCCGAGTGCTCATCTTCCGCTATCTTCACGTTCTATAGACAAACATTCCTGCATTTAAGCTGCGCCATTCCCTCGTCCGGCGCCGTTATTCTGACTTCGAGGCGTTCCGCGATATCCTGGAGCGCGAATCCACCCGCGTCAACATCCCTCCACTCCCTGGCAAAGTCTTCACCAACAGATTCTCTGACGAAGTCATTGAGAGTCGGAGGGAGGGACTGGAACGGTTCTTAAGCATTGTTGCTGGTCACCCACTCCTGCAGGTAAGCGACTAGATGAGAAATATCGTGCAAATGTCCTGACGGCCTTTTCAGACCGGTAGTAAGGTTCTCTGCGCATTTATGCAGGATCCTGCCTGGGAGAAGTCTCAATGGGTGTAAACCACCTAGGTCATACTTGTAATAATCACTTCGGAAGACAACCTTGACATACGTTATGTACCCTTCTGCTACACTCTCTTGTATATTTTACGTTGTTTGTTTTATGCCGTGCCTCACTATAGATTCATTTTTATCTGTCGATCACTCAGCGTAGATTGGAAGGACTACATCTGATGATGCTCGTGAACAACAATATCTAATACAGATCTACCACAAGTGTTCAGCGCGCAAATCAGAACTTCAGAAGTCGAATCACTTACCGCAGATCCATGGAGAAACCCGTTTCAATATCCGTGAGACTAAGAATCTCAACCGAATGCACACCAGGAGTCATTGCAAGGAAGTCCATTCTGACTGACTGGCAGGTAGAAGGACGCAACGGCCTGTAATTTCAAGAAACATCATTAAACAACAGCACAACAAATCACCCAGAAATGCTATGTACATACCCAACACGCACGCGGTTTTGCAACGGAAGAATCCCAGGAGGCGTCATCACACTCCTTAACTCCTCGATAGTCGTCTTGCCACCCAGCGAAGCTCTCTCCTGCTCGATCTTCCGTCTACGTCTACAATCTGGATCTGGGCAACTGATTTCGAACCTTCTGGTCCATGAGCTCTGATTGAACACGAAGACATCAAGCGTGAACTGATCGCATGGATATAATTTCCTAGATGCGGCGGAACCTGAAGGAGGTGGGAGCAAGCCAACGGAGACGATGACAGGCTCTCCACTAGTAACTGGGGCATCTCGAGTGGGATCGAATGTACCACCGGCGATGGTTGGTCCAGGAGTTTGCGGCATAACTGCCGTCATTCCGAGACCACGCTCCCTGCGGATTTCGACACTTGGCCCAGAGGCTCCTTGATGGTTACTCAGTGGCGTTTGGAAGTGAGACGTTGCTGGAGCAGTAGCTGGAGGGAATGCAGGGTACGCAGGAGTTGGCGGCGTCACGAACGTTTGAGACTCTGATGGGCCATGTGGACCACCGTTGGGTATACTCACGCCTAATAGGGGCGTGGTTGGTGGAACGCCAAATGTAGTGGACGGAGACTTTAAGAAACTTTGCACAGTAACAGAGGGAGGAGTGTATTGTTTGTTAGATAGGATGGGTGAGGCGGAAGATTGGTCGCGATATGGCATCGGGCGGAAGTTAGCATTCGGGTTGATTGCACGTATAGCTGTGATATTGTTGGGAAGGGTATGTTGTTTATTCCCAGTAACAGATTGCACTTTCGGGATCGCGGATGCCAGAGCCGCTTGCCCTGGGAAGGGAGACGCAGGCTCTGGTAACACACTACGAGCACCACCAGAGGGGTCTGAGAAGTCAAGAGGTTCTTCCGGTGGTTTCGAAGAAAGATCCAGGATACAGTTCCACCGAGAGGAAAATGTATGTGTTGGATATGACAGGGTAGGACAATCGCTGTCCTCAGAGTCATGCTCGCTACCTGCCTTCGACAAATAAGGTTTGCCATAGATATTGATCGCGACCGCCCGCTGCAGATCTGAGTTTGCAAAGACGGCACCAGACCGCCGACCGACCAGGGAGAAATCCGAGTCTGCAGAAGGCTTGAGGAATGAAACAGCGTATAACAAATTGTACTGTTCCATGGACCCGATCAGAAGTGGGAAGGTGTGCGTCTCCACTTCAGCCTCAAAAGCACCCTCTCCCCAACCAATCAGTTTGGCGGATGCACCTTCGCCACCGATTTTTACATCTACCCTTTCCACTGAGAAACCAACACCTAAGCCTGATTCTCCAGAGTTCTCGACTTCAACACAGAGAACGACGGTACGTTCGTTATTCCCTGCTTCTCGTTCCTGCGCATCGCTATCATTGTCGTTTAGGCTACCTGTATTCATCTCCGGAAGGAGGATATGGGGAATAAAAACGGTTCGCATCCGCACCCGAAAGCCAGAGACTGTCTGGAGAATTTTGCGGAATGATTTCCGTAAAGTGGCATTGGGTGGACGCTTGGGACTTGACGCAAGTGGCTGGGTAGATGAAGGTTGCACAGGTAGGAGAGAGAATAACTCTCGACGCGTGACATTTCCCAGGCGAGTGGATGGAAGCCAAAGTGGTTCCGAGCCGGGCGTAACGTTGGATCCTAGAAGACGCGTAAGTGATCCCGCAATATTGGTATGGCATGAAAGACTACCAGTTGAAAGACCTTCTAGTAGATTGACTTCTTCAAGCCCGGTCTGATCATTCTCCCCGGCATCGTCTATCTCTTGGTTCTGTTGCTTCGAGAATGAGCTTATACCAGAGGCAGAAAGCTTGGCAAGAATGCCACTTTCCGACAGAAATATGACAAATGGATGGTTTGCTTGTGACAGTGAAACCGCCTTCTCTCGTAATGTAGTTGACACGGTCAAGGACAGCAGAGGATCTGAGAACGAGAGGCGAAGAAACGCTAGAAGGGTGTTTAGAAGAAGTAGCAGAGACATTACTTGCGCACACTTACACACGGTCAAGGAGAGTTCATATACAGCCAACCAAGCCCTCTTTGCTTCTGAATACGAAAGAGAGAACTTCTCTTTAGACAAGCACGCGGGCCTGTGACCCCATATACTGGCAAGAAGAAGAGTTCCTTCGGATTGTGCGTACTTGCGGTCCTTCTCCGTAGAAGACGGTGTAGGGTTTGGTGTATGGGGAGGGAATAAGGAGGGATGGAGTGATGTAGGCCGAGGTTTAGCTATAGATGAAGTGCGTGGTGGAGTAAGGACTCGGGCAGTCTGGGGAGTCTCAGGGAGAGTTGTGGGCGTTTGCGAGATATAAGTAGCTTCAAGTGAAACCTGCACATGGGCAAGGAAATCAAGAACGAATGTAGGTGGATCCTTTGGATCAACGTCCGCAGATGGACTGGGTATTTGTGCAATCAAGAAAAGGTGTAGTTGTTCATCTGGATCAATCTGATGAGCATCAAGACTGATATGTTCGATGAAATTTTGTACCTTACCGAAGAACGCTTGTCTTCTTTCAATACCAGACGATTTGAGCGTGACTAACCAGTCATCGGCAACTCCTGGTTCGGGAAATTTTATGGAGGTATCTGGGGCTATCACTTCCAGAGTACATGACCCAAAGAGATCCTCGAAACTGGGCACGGACATGACAACGTCGTGTCCAGCGGTCTAGGTGGACCTTTGCTGATATGAGAGATCGATGTTTGGGCCTAGGTTAAAAGTTAAAAGTGAACACATACTAGTGTGCTTTATGAAAACCGGCGAAGCAATACTTAAATGAGTACCAGTATGAGTGCTTTGTTTGTGTATGTAGTAGCTGAAGTGGGGCGTAACTATTTTGACGCGGTCCACAGTGCCGCGTCTGCGACCTCCGAAGAGCAACATATACAATACATAGACGATTCGAAAGTCAAACGGTTTCTTGATCATGCAGTTTCCTGCGCCAGACCTAGTTTCTTCTCGTCGTCTGCTTCTAATAACAGATCAACTTCCAGCTCCAGCTGACTTTTTACTGCATCGATTCCTTCACTTGCACCTGAAGCAAAGCAAAACCGCGAAATGTATTGTTCTCGCTGTATCCGAAAGCCTCGAGCGCTGGAAATCAGTAGCTTCAAAGGCCGTACGTCCAGTCTTCATCGCGTTGATCTAATAGCAAATGACTTCACCACAGAACACCAATGTAGCCCATAGCGAATTTTTTCAATTCATAGATGTCTTCGACCAGCATCCACCATCACAAAATCGTGGAGAGGGACATGAGAATAAAATCTCTTTAAAGTGCATCTACGATCTGCTATCAGTCAAATTGTCAGATTCCCGAACCAATGGCCAAATACCACTCGTAATCCTGGATGATATCACATCGCTCGAATGGTTCGGGGTTTCGCTGCTTGACTTGTCCCGGTTTGTTCGTGCTCTAAGGACCCTCTGCGTCAAGGTAAGACAATGCTAACTTCGAGCACTTACTGCTTTTACAACCAAAACATAGATGGATGCAGCATTAGTCGTCAGACATCACATCATCACTCCACCAGAGCCAGATGCACTCTTGCGGCACTTGCTTCAACTATGCACCTATCACATTGAGGTCAGGCCCTTAGCAAGCGGGCGAAGCGGTGCAGTGAGCGGGGAGGTGCGTTCTGTTGTGTTGCTTTTGATGCATCGGAACTCACAAAACCATCAAGATATGCGTACACTTAGGGCCTAGCATGAAAGATACAAATGAACATGTTATATCCCGTACGTCGGCATTGCAATATCGTCTGACGGAGTCAAGTGCCGTGTTCTTCGACAAGGGTACAAGTACAGGAGTTCTGTAAACGTTGTGGCACGACAGGACATGATCATGATGCGCAATTCATGAGATCGCGGCATACTTGTCGAAGCTGTGGGGACCAAGAGGCAGTGGACGTGGACACCTCCGAGAATGAGAACGCCAATACGGAAAGATCCACCATAGGTTGAAGGAAAGTACAGCGTACGCTTACTACATGTACTCTTTTAATAATCCGTGTATATCTCACCAATCTAACCACTCAGTATGTACAGTGGGTCACTTGAGCCAATGTTGAGCCCACCTGTCTCTTCCTAGGCTCGTGAGCAGGCTGGACCACGCCACAGGCCTTTACCTTCCCGTCGTTAGTGAACATGATAGAACAAGAAGGTAATGCGTCCAGTCATTCATCCATGGCCCCGAGCGATCCGACTCAGCGGTTTTTCAGCTCCTGGGTCGACTACAACGCTGCACGTAGCAAGCTACGAACATCGATCAAGAAGTCGAACGAAAATCCAGTCCCATTGACTCCAGTAACGAGTTCAAGTTGCTGTGTGGGCGTCTTCAATATAAGCACAGCCCTTGAAGGCTGAGCGCTGAAGACTGACCCAGAAGTGCCCATGGTCTCAGTGACTCACTTTCGCATCAATCTCACCGGGCTTGTGCTGGACTATCATATTGTCCCGTCACAGTCAGGTTTTGTAAGACCACCCAGAGGACGGTCATCCCTCGAGTCGTTTTCAAGTCAGGACTTGGGACTCATCTATCGTTTTTCTCGGAGGTGACTACTTGAATTTCTGCTCGCTCTGTGTGTAGTATTCGCCCTGGCTGTCCTTGATTTTGTACTGACACACAATAGTGAGCGCTGCCGAGGCATTTGCAACTTGACGTCTTGTTCACTTTGTGCCGCTCATTATTTTGATGCCCCCTAGGTTCTCTGCCGTCCTCGATTAACTTTATATATTTCACTACAATAACATGGCAGACAGTCTGAAGCGGTGAGGAGTGATCTTTTTCATGTCTCTTAAGAACCTTACCAACAGTCTTCATGACAGATTCGAGCAATGGGGGGCACTGTCTGACCTCGATGAGGCCATTGAGCACCATCGAGCTGCACTCGCGCTCCGTCCCAAAGACCATCCCGGTCGATCCATGTTTCTCAACAACCTTGCCATCAGACTTCGTAGCAGATTCGAACAACGGGGCGCACTGTTTGACCTCGATGAGGTCATTGAGCACCATCGAGCTGCACTCGCGCTCCGTCCCAAAGACCATCCCGGTCGATCCATGTTTCTCAACAACCTTGCCATCAGACTTCGTAGCAGATTCGAACAACGGGGCGCACTGTCTGACCTCGATGAGGCCATTGAGCTCGATCGAGCTGCACTCGCGCTCTGTTTCCTTGGCCATCCATCTCTCTCAACCACCTTGCCGCCAGCCTCTATGACAGATTTGTGCAACGGGGCGCGCCGTCTGATCTCGATGAGGCCATTGAGCTCGAACGAGCTGCGCTCGCGCTTCATCCCCAAGGCCATCCTGATCGATCTATGTCTCTCAACAACCTTGCCAACAGCCTCCAAGCCAGATTCGAACAACGGGGCGCACTTTCTGATCTGGAGAAGGCCATTGAGCTCCATCGAGCTGCACTCGCGTTCCGTCCCCTTGGCCATCCTGATCGATCCGTGTCTCTCAACAACCTTGCCAAAAGCCTTCGAGCCAGATTCGAACAGCAGAGTGTATCATCAGACTTGGAGGAGGCCTTTGGGTTTTATCTGCAACTCCATGAAATATCACATGCAGTCTCACGTAAGGATCTTTCTACTGCGAAGTCATGGGCCGCCTCTGCCGAGCAGCTGAACCACTACTCTGCATTGGTTGCCTATCAAACCGCATTGGGGTTCCTTGATCGGCACGTTGCTGCTTTATCCTCTTTTTCCCGCCATTTCGATGTGATCAGGGAGGCCACTTCATCCATTGCAATGGACGCTTTATCGTGTAGTGTTCGTCATGGTACTCTCACCACTGCTGTGGAGCTGGTAGAACAAGGCCGTGCAGTATTCTGGACCCAGCTGGCCCGCTTCCGCACACCGCTAGATGAACTTTCTGCATCAGGTGACACCGGTGAAGCCTTGGCAGAAGAATTTAAGCAACTCAGCTTTCGCATTTGTAAAGCGTTAGACGCACTAGATGTATCTCTTGAAGACCAGTTCTCGCAGATCCGGGAACTCATAATTCAGTGGGATGGTATCATCTCCCGCATCCGCATGCTACCCGACTTTGCCAGGTTTCTGCTGCCTCCGCTGTTCTCTGACCTGCAGAAGGCAGGAGAAGATGGCCCAGTCGTTATTGTCAACGCAAGTCGTTACAGCTGCGACGCCTTGATTATCTTGAGTTCCCAAGATCCTGTACACGTGTCACTTGATATCACCCAAGCCGAGGTCTCTGAGTCGACCTCCGCATTTCAGTTCCTCACATCGCATGCTGGCACCTCTGATCACAAAACCGAATTATGCAAAATTGTCAGTGTGTTACGCACGATCTGGAGGCGTGTAGTTGCCCCCTATACTTGAAGTGCTCAGGAAGTTCATCCCTCGCGGCTCACGCATTTGGTGGTGTCCTACCGCTGAGTTCACCCTGCTTCCTCTCCATGCAGCTGGGCCTTACGAGCCGAAAAATCATAATTTTTCTCACTTTTATGTCTCCTCCTACACCCCAACTTTGGCCACCCTCATTCGCGCAAGACGGCAGGGTTCTCGAGATACCTCCGCTCAGCATTTTGTTGCCATCGGTCAAGCGAGCCCGGACGGAGCGAAGGGACTTTGGTGTGTTGCTGCTGAGTTAGGTATCGTCGCTCAGCGTGTCGCACCCTTCTTGTCCTTTACATCGCTTGCGGACAGTAATGCAACAGTCCAGAGAGCGTTCGATACATTAAGCCAAAAACAGTGGCTTCACCTGGCCTGTCATGGTATGCCGAATCGAGAAGAACCGTTTGAGTCTTCCTTCGCCATGTACGACGGATCTTTAATGATCAGGGACATCATACGAACTCGCTTGCAGGATCCGGAGTTTGCATTCTTGTCTGCTTGCCACACTACCGTGAGCGATAAGAAGAGTCCGGATGAAGCGATTCATCTTGCTGCAGCTATGCAATTCTCCGGATTTCGCAGCGTGATAGGTTCCATGTAGACGACGATGTTGCAGGCCAGATCGTCTCTCTTTTTTACGACAACCTGGTTGACGATTCAGGGAGATTGGACTGCAAGCGTGCTGCAGGGGCGTTGCACAAGGCTGTGAAGACGTTGCGCAAGCAGATTCCGTTTGAACAGCAGATTGTATCCATTCACATAGGCGTTTAGTTTGTTTGAGACCCGTTCATCATTTCCCACTTTTTATTTGGTGTTTTCAGTGACTGATAATACCCTGTCGGCATTAAAATTTTGCATTGGACTCTAACGCGCACAGAATCTTTCCTGTGTACGTTGCGTGTATCATAAATCCACTACCCTAGCTGTAGTTTTCTGAAAAGCGACTTAGTTATGTTAACAGTGTGACGAAAAAGCAAAATGAACTTCTGCCAGTGAGACCTGAGGTTCAGCTGCACCATAACTCTCCAAATGACCGTCTGAGTGGTTCGGTCCCCTAATTCACTTAAGTGCTAGTACTTTATGTGCCTTGCGGACTCTTCCGGAGCAAGGTCGTGTTGGATGGGCACTGCCGGTCCTGCCAGTGGTTCGGTCGGTGCTCATCTTAATATTGTACTTGCGAAGTTGTTGAACCTATGGGGACTGATAGACGACGCACATAGGCACCCCCGGGAAGGACAAGGACAGGGCTCGCTCTAAATTCAAGCACAGTATAGTACGTTAATTACATATACTCTTCAAATAATCCCGCAGACAGTCTTGCGAAAATACGACTGTCTTCATCGCCCCCGCATACATGTTCCATACCACATTTTGGAACTTGAGGTAATCATCAATAATCGCCTCCTCTATATGCGTGACTAGCACAGACACCGTCCGATCATCCTCGAGGTACAGCCGCAGCTTCGTCACGAATGACCGCAGATCCCGTTCGCAGGCTTCGACGAAGACTTGATGAAGATTCTCCGCGATAGCTTGCTTTGCCCACTCTTGCTCCGTGAGGAGTGGGGCCTGTGACCCTGGCAAGAAGGCTACGCGGGCGTCATTGAATGCTCGTACGCGGTCCACCCACTCTTGCAGAGGCTCACAGGGCAATTTTGCACAGAATGAGATGACTTCCTGACAGGCACGTTTCAGGTCTTGATCTATGTCCTGTATCAGGAGTCGATGTCAGCAGGGATGGAGAGTCAGAGAAAGAAACGCATCGTTTACATGTCGAGAGTCTGAAAGGGTATCATGTCCTCGAGGCATTCCCAAAGAAGCGAAAAGAGCATCTGGTAGTAATGCGGTCGTGCGATTCAGAACTGACGCCAAGGTATCTGTAATCGAGAAAGTCAACAGGATGATCCAGCGTCATGAAGAAATACCCACCCGTCATACCGCCTATATCGAACCTCGGCTCTGTATCTTTCGGGGTATAATCCAAATTATTTGCAACCTCCTTCAAAATCAGGAGATGGCGAACGAGAAATAGCTGGCCATCTAGCACGCCGGTAGAACTTCTTTGTTCGACCAAATTGGACGATGTGACTAGTGATTGACGACAAAGGCTCACAGCCTCATGCGCGATATCTTCAAAAATAGCGGGCTGCGTGAACTCAGCATCCAGTCAAAACGCACAAGAGAAGTGAATACCTTGACGAGTCATGCAGTTGAGATAATACCCATACCGTCTTTTGCAAGGTCGGAAACCACGTTTCTTTCTTGTCTAATGAGGGCAGCTGGAAAAGCTGGCTTACACTGTCCTTTTCCTTGATTTCGTGTTGAGAAACAGGCTTCCGCGCGGCTGACGGCGCTTATCAGACAGTGTCTAGAGCAGGTAGAATCATGCACTTACTGACGAGCTTATCAGGATACGCCAGATCTTCTGGTTTCGGCGTGTAATATCGAATATCGGACTGAATAACCGACTGTGCTTTGAAGAACAACCGGGTTTGTGCATCCTGGAGGACCATCTGCAAAAGGTGACTGATGTGGAGTTGCCCTAGACCTTTGGGTTTTGGCTGATCAAAATCAACGATTAGGTTGCCTTCGTCAGGTGGCTCCTCTGGGAGCTCTGCCACATCAAGAACCATCAGAGCTTGAAGCACCGTGCATACTTCGCAGAGTGTTGTGAGGCGAGTTTCATGCAATATCCGGGGGCGCAGGTCATCGTAAAGGTAGTCGCATAAGTTCTCAAGATAAGTGCTTGATGTCATCGATGAGTGTAAGCAGAGACAACAAAATGCTACTCACTAGAGCTGGTCCTCGCCAGAGTTGAAAAACTCTCGGTAGAGATTAAACTCATCCGTGCAGAGGTGTTTCAGATAACTGCAACCGGCATTCGTCTGTTCTTGAATGAGTAAATCACCGAGCACAACCGCTTGCAACTCACTAATTCAACTAGCTCAGTGTGTGCTGGATCGAGTCCACGTATTTCCTCCATCAGGCGTCCCACCAGTAAGCCTTTACGTGCTGCGAAATAAGCATAATGACATTCTGAAAGCAGTGCTGACAAGTCCTCTGGATGAGCTTCGGCACGACGCTCTAACTCGCTAAGCAAAGGAGAAAGCTGAGAAGTGACACTGCGGAACCTGGTGTAAAGCAGGTGCATCTGTGCTGTCGATGACACATCCTGAAAATCGCGGTGTCAAGAGACCGTGTATAAGTAATGAATAAGTTTACCTTCTCTGACAGTCTTCTGGAAACGTCGGCAGTCAATGCCCTTAACGAACCAACGAAAAACATCTTGATGAGTGTCATGGCTCTCGTCATGCACTGCTGAAAGCGGAGTAGGTATATCTCCGCTTCTCTGTAATATCGCTGAAAGTATTCAGTCAGTATAACATCTTGGCAAATGGCATAAGGGCTCACATGAGCCTTGAGATAATCTATGCAAATATCCACGCGCTCTACCATGTACAAGAAGTCGGTCTGAAGGACAAGGGACTCTCCAGGATGATTGAGCATGCGCGTTGCGTGTTCCAGTTCTTGGAAGTACTCAAGTCTAGTTCCGATTTCTTCAGTGAGTTCAAGAAGCCTGTCCTAGTGTGAAAGAATAAGCGATTAGGATATTCCAGCACCCAGTTGCTTACTCTTTCCTCCAGCAACCGCTCGCACGCATCCTTCAGATTCTTTCCGCCCTCCTCCACACTTCGCCAGCCTTCAAGCAGCCCACCAACCTCCCTGTCAACCTCGTCTATACGCTCAATAAGTGTGTCTGCTGTGTTCAGGTGTTCGGATACCACCGCGACATGAGCGCGGAAGTGCGCTTCCTGGCTATGTGCTACGGACCTATCTATCTGTGCAACCCAGTCGTAGAATTGTTGGGGAGTTTGTACTGGCTGCTTCGGGTGCAGCGCGTGACTGGCAAACTGGCGAGTAAATGCTGGCACTGGTGTTGAGGGACGCGACACCGATCCGACCTTCCCCCGTAGATTGGGTGTAGAAGGACGCGAGGACTCGTCCTCATCGACGCTAAACTTATGTGTATTCAGCAATGAGCGGCACAATAAATCATTCTGACTGTACTTTGAGCGGGAGAGGTGTTCTCTCGCTGGCAGCTTTGACCGCCGCGACGCTCTTGAGCGCCAGGTCAGTGAGAGGTGCTTTAGCTTCCCATTCTTCGATAGTGAACTGCGGCTTGGGTCGTGGTGTCGATGCAGCAGGAATGCCTGCGCGGCGATGGGGTGCAGGCGCCTTTGACATAACGCTGGTTCTCACCAGAACATGACGTCGAGCTCAGCTGCTGTAAAGTTCAAGTATAAGCACGTACGACTATGTACTTCCTATTCGGGATTTCTATGATGAGTTGAAGTCCTCTCTGTTTACTACCACAATGAGTAGCTCTATCAAGTGTTCAACCCAAGTTTGCAAGTAGTAAGTAATGCTATTGCATCCAGTATGATAGATGGTTTTAACTTTACCATTAGTAGTGGTTGGGTCCTCCTAATATGTCTTTAGTTGTACCGACAAAATCATATCTCCCAACTACGCCACTGAGTCATTAGCCTCATGACATTGTCATGGCAGACGAGACTCCCGCCATATTTTATAAAGCACGCTGACTACCGCGTCTGGAGCTCTGCAAGCCAGCGTATTGTTATGTCAAAGGGTCGCGCCCCATCGTTTAGACAGGTCGTGGAGAATCCTGCAGGACTAAAACTTAAATTAATTGAGGGTGAGACTCGTTAAATGTGTGTTTTTGAAGGAAATTTCGCTGCTTCAGTAAATTATCTTCATCGCGAACTCTCCAGCCAAGCACAATACCAATCACCCAGTCCTATGTTGAATTGCACTCCGAAGGACAACATCATAGTCTGATCCCAGGCGAGGTGTCGAAGTGTGTGGCGGGTAATGGCAACGGTGCGTGACGGTGAGCGTGCGGGTATTGCTTGCTTATCATGCTGTGTGCTGGGCAGGCCCCCATGTTCTTCTATACCTCCACTTTCTCCTTTTCTTCCCTTGCCCCTCCATCATGGCTACCACATCCAAAGTATCTCATGATAGCAAGTCCGTTGTTTACACACTCATACGACACTGCAATGTCAGGAGATTCCATCCGATGCAGACAGCCATCTGTATTGTCCTTCCTACGAACCAACAGAAACGCATTGCTCTATCTTACGCCTGTAATAACATACTACAGCAGCAAAATAGAGTAATGCGTACAAGTTGTATCCGGTCCTTCAATTGCCTCAAGTGTCATGTCAACGTTGCTGCTCTCTCAGCTACGGAGTTCTCCGACCTTCTGCAAACGCGCAACATTCAGGGTCACAGCGATATATTGTGCATAATAAGTAGCGACCAGGCGTCGTTTGTGCAGCTGAATCTGGGACGTACTATCAATCGTAAGTCTACGGTAACGTTCACCTGAGAGAGTATCAAGTAACTGATTATGCTCCATCAGCCAAGGACGAGACTTTGAGATGCTTTTTAGGTTGCCCTCAAGATGAAGTTCAGGTGCATGAAGGGGATGGCGTAGACAGGAACCAGTTCGTTGCTTGTTTCCGTTCGGGATGTTCTAAAAACGCATGCGCATTATACGGGAAGGAGTTCTTGCGAGGGGTATGGGTCCATGTATTCCAATGCTTCCCATGCTGAAATGATGATGCCATTACCTATATGGTTATTGCGCTTTGATACGGGGTCTGCTTACAGGTAGCGCGCCACACTTGGTCTTTCTCGGGACAGCAGTGCAGCATATACGGACACTGTACTTGTGATCGCGGCCCACAAAGGAAAACCTGGATGTGAAACCTCACCTATCATTCCCATGCGACTATTCTTCGTTGCCCCGTTGAGGATGCAGGTCATCAAATGATAGGGCCGAATTGTATCATCCGTTGAGCGATTGGCTGACGGACCAGTAAGTCTTCTCCCTTACGCATCCTCAGCTCGATTCATGTCACAGGACGTCTGATTTCATTGCTTCATTACTCTCCTTCAACGACGTGAGCTGATTATTGTTTTTAGCAATACTCTACATGTGGACTGCGATGGTAGTACCAAGCTGAAGCTACTGTTAGCAGGTTATTTGCTAAGTTTATGGCACTTGTTGGCTGACTGAGGGGTGTGCTGGTCAATGGTATATCAACCGTTCAAATAGCAGTAGACCACTTTGTCAAAACAAAGGTCTCTAATGTCTATGTCATGTAGCGAAGGCTGCTCAAAGAATTCCACATAGTTCGCCAGCTATTTCGTCGCGTCAACAAACGGACGTGATGCATTGCTGGGACAGATCACGAAGAATCCTGCAGGACTGGAACTCGAACCGATGAAGGACGCGACCGCGATAGTACCTCAATACTTGGTATATAAATCACAAGAGAGATATAATTTAGCGGCTTGCGGTTTTGCCCATTTTCAAGCTGAGTTATGATGGCAAAACGAACTGGCAGCTCTCAGAGAATGCGTTATGCAAACCCCTGCTTTGTGCACTCTGTTCAAACAGGTTCAGATTCTACTAGTACCCGTCCAGCGTGCCACATCAAAAATTCAACATCCTTCTATTTGATGTGATGGGTAAATGAGATTCCTATGGCTACAACAATCAAAAGTGAATATTATCAACAAGCTTCGGGATATGTACTAAGATCAGTTCCAAGGGGATGGTTCATCAGGTATAAAAGATACTGATGTCGGGCTAGCGAAGCCTAAACCCAGGGGAGGAGAATTGTCTGGAAGGCTGGAGGTTGCTTTCCCCACGGATTGCGTTTTCCGGTGTGACGCTGCAAATGGAGGTTTCGGTGCTGGCTCAAGGGCGAAGTCTGTAAGATGCTCCGGATTGTCTGACGTAAACGAGGCGGCACTCGGCGAAAGTGCCAAGGGTACGGTAACATCATCAATAGCCGAAGATGAGGATGAAGGAGATGTCGGCGGAGACTTTATTGCATCTCGCGAAGAACTTCGAGAATGTGAAGATGGCGGTTGTGGAGTTTTATCCGATATTCCTCCTGCAGAAAGCTGCGCACCCCGAAGTCGACCATTTTCAACTTCGATCAGTCGCAGTGCTTCCTTAAGTGCGTCCTTTTCTAACCGCACTTCTTGTAGTTCTTCCTCTGTCTCGACGCGTTTAATGCGCTCAGTCGCGACCATCTTGTTTGCCTGGAATATGTATAAGTTTGCTGAATAACTTGAGACGAATAGAAACCATACCTCCTCAAAGAGTGCTTGTGACAAGGACTCTAGCTCAGCTTCGATAGCAGCCTTCTCTGCAGTCGCTAATGTATGTGCAAGGCGTTCCCGTTCAAGCTGCTCTCGAAGCTCAAGAAGCTCTTTCTCTCTTGTGCTTGCTACAAGAGTTGGCAAGGAAGGTGATGTTAAATGAGAAGGGTGTTTTTGAATGTGAGCAGCGGGAGGTTTTGATCCTGTATCAAGATGTAGATGAAGAATGAATTATATGAGGGCAGATAAGCATACCACTACTGAACCTGAATCCGAAGAAACGACCCTCCTGGTTATTCTGGGAAGTTGCAGATGAAGTCGCCGGAGAAGAGGTAGTTGGAGATAGCTCTGTACCATTGACAGCAATTGATGGAGCATTCCCGGGGTGGGACGGTGCGCCCGACTCATTCAAAGGGCCATAATCGAGACTCCTTCTATGTTCTTCCTCTGATACACGTTGCATGTTCTGCGCTTCTCGTGCGCTCCAGCGCCGCCACCCAACATCTTTCGCGCTGCAGGGAGTTTCACGTCTGAGAGCTTCCTCGAGCATCTCATTGTTGGACATCATCAGTTGTAAATTAGATTTTGCAACGCTCAGTGATGTCTCTAGTTCCGCTTGAGTCTTGTACGCGATCTTGAGCAAGGACGACTAGCGAATCATGACCGATTTATTACTACCACAGTGAAGCAGACCTATCCACGCACTAGCTCTTCCACTCTCTTGATTACACGATCAAGGGCATATCTGAGATCTTCTTCCTGACCATGAGAGTGAACACGCCAAGCATCACGGAGTTCGTCGTCTATGCCTGCGAATATGGAAGATGTGGGCGAGGGATGAGGCTCTTGAACTGATGAATGACGCGATTGAATGGTTGGCGATCCAAATGTCATATTTGATAACATGAAGGAGCAGCAATATGGCTCGAAAATAAGTATATATGCAGAGTTCAACTTGGACAACAGACTTGTTAGACTGTACCGTTCTTATTAGGTAAGCTGGGTCCTGCTACTACACCACGGTGTGCACCCGGTCTGGGAGACTTAGCAAGGTTGATTTCGCCGCAGTATTGACTGCTCCGTCGTCGAATACACAGCAAGAAAATGCAGTGTCACCCGCAGGATTGAGCTGAGCGCTCAGCCCTGAGCCCTGGCCGCCCAGCCTGGTTGTGTCGCTTTTAGTACTGTAACTGCAAGGTTCTTATGTCTCATTCCAAGTCTGAGATGGAGAAATTTAACAGCGTCGTCAGTACTCAGCAATACTCTCTCACAAGGAACTGACGCTAAACACACTATAGGCTGTCCTTTCCGTGTGTTGATTCATTAATATCCGACAGTCTAAATGAAGCCTCAGCCTATTCAGATAGCGACTGAAACATTCCTCGAGTCGCAACCGCTTCAGATCTCACCTCTTCAAGTTGGCCTCTGGAATTAGATCTCATGCGTTGTTCGACAACGTTCAACAGCCATTCTCGTTGTGCCGGTGATAGTCAATTACCTGTATACATAGCAATCGCGCGCTACAACTTATTTTCATTTCCCTACTATTTCGTGGTCGTTGCTGTTGTTTTTAAACACACGTTGAGAAGCTCACGTTCACAGTGCACACAGGCTTTCATGTAGAGCTCTGGGATCAATGCCCAGATCCCAGACACCTTCTGGTCCTTCGTTCACATTCCGGCGATTAGCCCTTCTCACACCCACGAAAATCTATGCATCAAGGGCAGATCGCAGCTGTGTATGGGAATATGTCTAGATTCACGTCCCTCCGATTTGATATTCGTCCGGGATAATGATGTTTGCTCCACGCTTTCGTGACGACCGGTCAGTCTCGCACTGCTATCTCATTTCCTGACACGCGATATCATGCGATAACTGTATGAAACCGGTAATCACATTCGCACAATACTCGGTCACGTATCGGCGGCCCTCTGTCAGCTCATAAGCTTAATAGCTTGCTGTTTTGTCTAGCCTGTGCCTTCATCACTTTCTTCTTGTCGTACTTCTCTTGTGCTTCTCATTCTAACTCTCCTAATGTCTCGCGGCGCACCCAAGCCCCCACCATCGCACAAACTTACTTTTGCTACCAACAGCGTGCGTAACACTACGTTCGCCGAGGACAACAACAAACTCTACTATGAGATCGTTACTCGATTTTGGCACCCTCACCTCACCAAAATCAATAGATACGACTACGAAGCTCGTGTGGTCAACTGCGTCGCAGAGATTGAGGATCAACCTCAGAAGGATGTGAAAGTCCGCTTCAACACGCCTGATGCCGAGGGAGAGTGGGTTAGAGCTTGTGACTTTATCAAGAATGACGGTACAGCAATGTGAGTTCTTGATCACAATAGGCCAGTAATCATCATTTTCTAATGATCGATGGTAGTGGAGGTACCTTCGCCCACGAGGACGGCACTGAGTACCGCTGGAAAACACCCAAACGCAATTTACAGGTTAGCTATTTTTCCAACTCGTGTTTTCTTTATCTAACTAGCCAAGCTGCAGCTCATTAAATCAGATGACGAGGAAGAGGTCCCCGTCGCCGAATATCACCCATATAAACGACACTTTGGCGTCTGGCGCATGTCGCAGCGGGCTTTCCTCGAAGTTAAGCCTGAAGCGTCTACTGCTTTGGACAGGATTGTCGGTAATTCATTTCCTGAGGCATTGATGCATCAGACATCGCTGACTGGAGAACCTTCTCTAGTGAGCTATCTTCTACTGGAAAGACGCAGGCGTCAAGCAAAGATCAAAGTCAAGTTGGAGACAAAGTAACTCACACCGACATCGCTTTCTCCTCTGTCACATAACAGTCACCGCATCCCCCTGTGTCGTGCGATTTATTCCTAGTAAAGTCAAGGAGACTGTCAGCCTCTGGCATCTCATGACGGGACTTCCGCACAAGGAACCGTCAACGCTTCTGCATTCTTCTATTTGTTGAACCTACGTCATTCCAAGGATTTCTTCGTTACAATAACTTTTCACTTATGTACTATTTATCGCTCCTTGTCAATTAATTTTGATTCATAGTCATATAGATTTCTTACTGGTTTCAAAGGTGTAAGGTTGTACATATTTACAGCGTGTTTCGCATTTTCGGGAGTAGCGGTGAGATACAGTGCTAAAACTCGCCAAATTTAGATGGAAGGATGCGAATTCGAATCGTGGTCATGCACGATGGCGTTATGCCTGCTGATCATGGCACCAATTCATGCTGACGGAGCTTCCTTCGCTCTTCCGTTTAACTAGTTGCTGACGACTTGCAATGGCAGCTAACTTCTCTAGTGTCCCAGTCCTCGACTTTGCTCTCGTGTCCGATAATACCACGAAACCAGAGTTCATCTTGCAGCTCCGGCATGCGTTGATAAATGTCGGGTTCCTGTATCTCAACAACCACACCGTCTCACGGAAAGTTACAAACGATTTAATTGACTATATCCCCCGACTCTTTGACCTTCCCCAGGAGGCTAAGAACCGGATCCTTATGGCGAATTCACCGCATTTCCTTGGGTACTCCAAGTTAGGCACGGAATTTACCAAAGGCAAGACAGATTATAGAGAGCAATTCGACTTCGCAACACCTCATGAGACGCAGTGGAAACCCGGCGCCCCTGAGCATTTGCGCCTGTGGGGACCTCCCCAGGTGAGGGTTCTGTATTCAATCATTTCAAGCTGCGCGAACTGAACTGAATCCACCCAGTGGCCAGATGAGGACCTCATCCCAGGGTTTAAAAACACCATGGAGACATATCTCCAACAGGTTCAGGCTCTGAGCTACCAATTCATCAGCTTACTCGGGGAGGCTTTTGGCCTTCCTTCCGATGCATTGAGCAAGTTTTACGATACTGATAAATTGATGCAGCACCGCGGAAAGGTGAATATCAAACGAGGGTCACTATGTATTATATGGAGATCGGGATTCACCTGTTTTCAGATCGTCAAATATCCCGCCAATGATGGTTCTCTGACTGATCAAGGCGTCGGCCCCCACTACGACGCTGGCTTCCTGACCTTCCTTCTTGTCGCGTCGCCCCATCGCGGTCTGCAGGTACAAAACCTTTCTGGACAATGGATCGACGTTCCTCCTATCCCAGGAACGTTCGTTGTGAATATCGGAAAGGGTGGGCTGAAAATTGCCATAATGCATTTAATTTCAACTCTGACTTCTTCTTTGTTCCGACGATCTAGCACTCGAGTTCGTGACCCGCGGATTGGCGAGAGCCACGTCGCATCGCGTCTTATCTCCCCCTGTGGGTTCGACTCCCCGCTATTCCGTGCCGTTTTTCCAGAATATCAGTCTGAACGCTCGCCTCGCTGATGAAGTCTTAGACTGTGAGCGCCTTAGACAAAATACTTGCTTTACATTCCTTGATGACTATTTTACAGTCCCACCTGAGATCCTTCAGCTTAAACAGCTTCGAGGAGATCCTGTTCAGACTGACTGTATGTTTTTCGTCGTTTGCTCTTGTATTTTGTGAACAGCGTTATTGATGCATACTCTACAGCTGTCAATTTCACAGAGTTTGACCGCGAGCCATCTGGAAAAGTGAATCTCATCGGGCGGGTGAAGTAAGTTCTCCGATTGGTTATCTGTAGCGGCAATGTTTGAATATATCTCTTCTCCCGTCAGGAGTCACCCTGACGTTGCGCAACGCCACTACCCGGACCTTTTCGCACAATACTTTCCCAACGGCCCCCCAAAGCAAGTGAGCGCATATTAAGGTTGAGAAGAGCAGATCTGTACACTAGATATCTCCTCCGCTGTACTAAATCAAGGAAACTTCAATTTGCAACAGATGGATGTCCGTTAGGCCATTACAACCTGAATTTATGGGGAAAGAAGATATCTCGATTTCCTCCCGAGGACATTAAGAAAATTCTGGCAAGCGAGAGATAAGAGTCCAACGTGCAGATATACATTGACCAGACTACCAAACAAGATAACAGCACTGCAGGGAAATTAGATGCGAGTGGAGGGGTGGAAGCGGTGCGAAGGAGGAGGTGAGCAAGATATACAATGAGCCGGGAAGAAACGACAATATGAGCATGCAATGGAATTTGGAATAGTTGATTGTATGAGTGTCAAGACAAAAGAAACAAGGCTTCGCAAGTCATTCTAAAACCCCTAAGCCCGCCTCCTCCGCCCAACGGGATTGAGATGCAATAGCATTGCGTAGAGATGAATGAAATAGAAATGAAGCATATAATACACTAACGTGAAGCCTCCAGCATGACGGAGCGTCAGAACGTTGGCCATTTGAGCGGGTCTAGTAATCATGGTTTGCGTCGTCGGTTGTGTGACGTCCCGTGGAAGTGGATCATCATGCGGGAATGCCACAGTCGGCTCTAAGATGGAAACATCAGGATCAGGTGCATCCACAGCAACGGGATCATCTGCAGAGAGTCAACTCGAATCGGCAACTTGGATCCAAACCGCTTCAGGTGGAGTGAAGGGAGGTGGGACGTTTTCCTCGTCGCTGTCGTCATCGGTAGAGGGCTCACCCTTGTTATCGTCAACGGAAAGATCTGGAATGGGGATAACCCCGTCCTTCTTGTCGGCTTCAGCCTTGTCTTTGGCCTCCTGTTCCTGGAGCTGCTGTCTGAGCTTGGTAAGCTCAAGTTCTTTCTTCTCAAGCTCAGCCTTCTCCTTCTCCTTTTCCAGGAGTTCCTTGCGCCGCTTCTCACGCTAAATAGAGTACGTCAGTTCGGTTGGATAAACAGGAGCACGGGCGACGTTCAGCAAGGTCAACAACACCCCGAATACTCACGTCTAGTTTTTCCTTGAGTTCACGAGCCTCTTTTTCCTTTCTCAGGCGTTCTCTAAGCTCCCTCTCGCTGATCACCCAGGCAGCAGCTCCATTGGCAGCGGCTTCAGGTTGCGACTTGTTCTTGAGCAGATCTAAAGTCGTACAAAAATGTGTCAGCACATGATTTTACCTCACTCACCACCCCGCCCACAGTAGATCAAGTAAAGTACAATAGAAAGGAACATCAAAGCACAAGGGGCGCCATAAAATTAGAAGAAACTCACAGCCTTGCAGCGCTGCAACGCTGAACTCGTCATCCGGAATCGAATCTGCAAATATCTTTGCGAGCTGAGCAAGTCTGGCACCATCCAAAGGCTTGGCAGAGTGCTGGCATGCGGTGAGATGCTCCTCGACCGGAGGCGGCAAGTACGCTTGGTTTTTGGAACCAAAGCCATCTCGCGGAGGCTTTGAGGGTGAAGCATCCTTGGAAGACGCCAGGGATGACGTCGACGACGAGAACGAAGGGGAAAGCGACCACAACGTTGAAGATTGTGAAGACGGTGATGGAGAGGACGACTGGGGTGTGGGCGTTGTGGGTAAGTCAATTCCCTCTATGTCTCCTTCTATGACTTCATTGTCTTGATCCGTGGACGGGAAGAAGTTGCGGAATAAAGCCTCCGCTTGCCACTTTGAAGAGTTCTTGAACTCAATCCAAACGTCCATACGACCCGGACGTGAAAGTGCAGGGTCTAGACGCTCCAAGTGGTTGGTGGTGCTACAAGTACACGTCAGGACGTGCTAAACCGAAAAAGGATTTCAAACTTACGCGAAAAGGATGCGACCTTCAGCAGCAGCTACACCGTCCAAAGCGTTCAGCAGGCCGCTCAAACTCAATGTGTTTACATCAGAGATGTGGTCCTTGTGACGTCTGTGCCTCGAGCTGCTGCTCGTCACCGGCTGTTCCGGGGCGCCCTCTTCTGAGCTATTGCTCGACGAATCTGGAGTGCCATTGGAACTCTTATCACGCGTGACGCTCCGCGTAAATGCCGCATCGAGATCCTCGAGAAGCACGATGCAGCGAGCTGGGACACGACCCATGAGGGTGGTCAATGTACTATCGCTGATCCACGAAGAAGACAGTGACACAACGTAAATGTCAAGCATGAGTTCGCCCGCAATGGCATGGATAAGGGAACTCTTTCCAGAGCCAGGTACACCGTGCAGCAAGTAGCCGCGGCGGAATGGAATGCCGCGATCCGCATACCACTGTGGAATTATGAGCAGTGAACGTGGCTTTGATAAAATACCGAAATTACCTTCTCGGATTTCAAAAAGTCGCGCGTGTCGTTGAGAAGCATCTCCTTCACCCCGGGGTTAAGAACAATGGACGACATAGGGCGCTTATGACGAGAGTCGGTCCAGCGCCAGCTACCGTGCGAGTCTGCAAAGTAAATCTGGATCCTGTGGATGGCCTCAGCCTCGTACTCTTTCTTGGCTTGCAACACAAGCTGCTTGAGGATAGTGTTATTCCGTGCAACAACGCTGTGATCCCAGCATACATCAGCCACGAGGCCAAAAATGAGTCAAAAGGGGAATTTGAATATCACCTTATTGACAAGACTTCGCATCCGCTACCGTCTTGCTTTTTACTGCGACGGACCCTGAGCCAGTGACCTTTGTAATAAATAGTGTGCGTGGTGTCGAATGTCGGCTGGAATACGACACGTGTCTTGACTTTGCCGGGGGGTGAATCTTCATCGCCCTCCTCCTCTTCATCGTCACCAAATGAATTGTCTGCTTGGCGAGATCCTGAGAAGCCAGGGGTTGTGGTGCGAGTAGTAGTTTCGAACTCCCTAGAGCGCTGCCACTCAGGGCGGCGTGAGAGCCACAACATGAGCCAATCATAAGGATAGTCCTCTTCCGAGAAATGCGCAGTGAGGAAGAATGCTGTGTCAGGCAATAGCATGTCAGAAAAGACGTCAAATTACGGGCGACTTCTTACAGTTGAGGAAATGAGACCTTTGAGGCGCGCTGTCGTCAGTAAGGAGGTGGATGAGAATGATTCAGGACATACCAGGCTGAGCTAGAGGCTCTTCTGGCTGTCTCGACTGTTCCTCCCAGGACAACAAGCTTCATGCCGTCAATGACTGAGGAGCCTCCTGCGCCTCCGACGAGGGGTTGAACGAGTGACTTGAGAGCGTCCATGGTAATGGTAATGTCTCAAGGTGAGTGGACAAGCCAACGCTGCGAGGAAGGACACTTTGAGTGTAAATAGTGGGAATGTAGGTAACAAGGTGAGTGTGTGAGGATAAGAAGAGGATGGTATCTAATAAACGCTGTAAGGTGATATATAAGCTGTGTCTGTCTGGTGCAATAGGCTATAAGCAGCAAACAAGTTAGCTTAAGTCTATTAGCGTCTAGAGGACAGACAAACAAATAGTCAAGCAACGAAACAAGTCGGGGACTGTCTCTACGGTTCCGTTCGGACTGAGTCTGCAACGAGGAGAAAGCAAGTCAAGCCGCGTCACCAGAACGTGGGTATTCTTTTACTCCCAGATTTAAGCGCTCAGGTCACGCCACCGCTAAAACTTCACAGCATGGTTCATAGCTTGTTGCAAACGTCTCAGAAAAGCGAAGGTCTACGGTAGATACATGTGTACTCATAAGCGGAATGAATCGAGAATCACGATACCGCCAAGTATAACCCTTCTACTGCAACATTGGCCTGCCATATTCCCAACTTCCGAACAATTCTGAGAATCATTGGCGCGGGAAACACCAGCACATATGACACAGGAACCACTACCAGCAGAGGGATGGTCAGAAATAAAGTGATACTCGGTTTGATAACCAAGAAATAAAATAGCGCCTGATAGGATGTCCAGTCCGTGAACTATAATAATAAATGGGCGGCCGAATAACGGAGGTAAGAGGGCTTTTGGCTAGAGGGGGAAAGGCGGATTGGACACACCATGGCTATCGTGTTCTTGTAGAATGAAGATTCGTGGTATGGTGACCCTGACTCTACGTCAGATGATCGCGGTGGTCGCACCCGCTGGAAGATAGGCCGTGGCGGATATGGAGGTGGGTAAGCAAGAGGCCCATGGAATGTTGTTTGGAGACCGAGCTACGAGTGATGCAGTTTCATATTCAATTTGAAATTTAAGATAGAAGCTAAACGCACTTCTCCCCTCGCAAACGCCCTGGCGCCGAGTAAATTAAGGAAACATAGGAGAGCACCCAAAGGCAAGGCAATTAATAATGTTGTACCAGTCTATAAAGGCCGGTCAGAAGTGAATACAATTTTTTAATTTCCAAACTGAACGCCAGGAGACCGAAAAAATCAAAGGCTAGAGCAAAATGCTTACCAAAGTAAATACAAAAAGGTAAACCCATGCAAGGAGGGCATAGGGAAAATTGAGCACTAGAAGATGGAATGCAGCCGAATGGTATGCTCTGCGAGTCATGGGTCGGAAGTAATGAGACCAGCAGCGCCACGAAAACGGCGACCGCCTGTGTGAGCCTCCAGACTGTGACTCAATTGGTGCACTGGGACGTTGGTGACGCCTCTGATGACCATTGTGTGCACACGGATAGTCACGGTCATCCCCGATCGCCTCATATATGTCCACGTCAGACTCGATATCTGGATCAGAATGGAGCAGCGATAGCACTGTTTGCGCTAGCGAGGGCGCAAACGAATTTGATGAAACGATTGTGCTCGACTGCGAATGTGTCCTCTGACGCCCCGACGAACGTTGTGCGGAGCCTGACAGAGAATCACCAAGTAGTGGTGTCTGCTCTGCGGCATCTTCAGTGCGAGGGAATGAATGAGTTGAGACTGATAATTGAGGGGAAAGATGTCCTGAAGCACGATCTGAATCTGGTGGAACCTGTGGTAATAATGGCGCTGGTAAGCGATGCCTCCGACTATGTCGAGCCGCGCGTGAGCGCCGTTCTTGCGATGGATATGGCGGTGGTGGATCGTGAACCGCAGCTGCCTGGTTGAATACGTCTCGAATTCCAGAACGGTTACAAGACTCCTCAGCAGACATTCCTTGGGACATCCTTTTGCAATTGGTTGAGGGAAGGTCGTGATCCAACCCACGCACGTGATTTAATAGTAATAAGAGTTGACAAGGGCTTATGTTAGCACAAAACCTACATAGAATATTACATAATTTAGCGGCAAGCCTTGTCACTTCCTGCCACGGAGTCCCGTCAACTCACTGGCAAGCAGCGGACAGTTACTAGGGCTCGCCTCAACTTTTTTTCCGCATGGACCTTTTGCTTTACACCCAGGATTGGTACTACTGACTGGCCAGCTTCCGCATGTGTCGATGCACAGATCTCATTACAATTTGATCAAGCAAATGCCATTAGACCAGTGCGCTGTCTTCCAATTGAAATATTTAATCAACAACTAAAGCTACATTTACAACCACCGAGATGCCAGGTACATTCCCACTAGGGCGATGATTGTAGCTTGACATTTTCTATTTGCATGTATACATTGACAGAACTGTAGAAGCGGCTCTCGAATCCTGCTCAACAAGAGTCTAGACTGGAGTGAAGCGATCTACTTACATGTAGCATACGTAGCTTGTAGAAGATGATCAACGTTAACATTAATAATGGAATATGCTGTCAGAGTTCTAGGTGCCGAAGCACATACAATGCCGAGAAAATAATTAAGCAAATATAATAAATTCGGAGACGGTGACCATGTTAGCGGTTTCTTCTTTTTGCCTGCTAACTTCCCACATCCGCTAATTATTGTTGGATCACCCGCTCTTTCGAAACTTTTGATCTCTACCTTTCATCTTCTTGTCTGCATTCTTCCTTTCTTTCTTTCTGTTCACGCACGACATTCTCTCTCTCTTTCTAAATCATGGGTTGTGTTCAATCTACTGGCGTCGACAGCGAGGCCAAGGCTCGTGCGTATTCATCTACCCTATGTCCGAACGAAGACCTGACTTAAGCTCGTCTTTTGTAGGCAACGATGAGATTGAAAACCAACTCAGACGAGATCGAATGATGGCAAAGAATGAGATTAAAATGTTGCTGCTGGGAGCAGGAGAGTCAGGAAAGGTCGGTTACGCACTGACCATCCCGAACACATTGTTGACAAACCATGTTTTCATAGTCTACCGTCCTCAAGCAGATGAAACTCATCCATCATGGTGGCTATAACGACTCTGAACGAGATTCCTACAAGGAAATAATTTACTCCAACACCATTCAGTCCATGCGGTGCGTGTTATAACCCGTCAAAACTCGATTGTAACCCTGAAGGGTCTTCTAGCGCCATCCTCGAGGCTATGCCTCAACTCGATATATCTTTATCACCACAGAATGATGCTCGTCGTGCCGTAATTCTCGCTCTTCCTGGCCAGATTGAGGGCGATGTGCTCCCAAGAGATGTCGCTGACGCCATTCGAGGACTTTGGCGAGACTCAGGTGTCAAGGAGGCCGTTCGTCGCTCACGAGAGTTCCAGTTGAATGATTCTGCTGTCTACTACTTCAACGCAATCGACCGCATGTGCGGACCAGGGTACATGCCGACGGATCAAGATATCTTGCGGAGTAGAGTGAAGACGACTGGCATCACTGAAACCACATTCAAGGTCGGCGAACTTACGTACAAACTCTTTGATGTCGGAGGTCAGCGGAGTGAACGTAAGAAGTGGATTCACTGCTTCGAGAACGTCACAGCGTTGGTATTTCTGGTATCCTTGAGCGAGTACGATCAGATGTTGTATGAAGATGAGAGTGTTGTAAGTTCAAAGCTCCTGATTTGTGTATCTCCTTTCAGATTGATTACGCCTGTAGAATCGCATGCAAGAGGCTCTGACTCTCTTCGACTCAATATGCAATTCACGGTGGTTTGTTAAGACATCAATTGTACGTACCTCTACCTCGTGGCGTATTACATACTTATTCCCTGCACAGATTTTGTTCTTGAACAAAATCGATCTGTTCGCTGAGAAACTCCCACATTCACCGCTTGGTGACTACTTCCCAGACTACACGGGCGGCAACAACTATGATGCCGCTTGCGATTATTTGCTTCACCGCTTCGTTGCACTCAATCAGAATGCCGCGACCAAGCAAATATACGCCCATTATACTTGCGCAACGGATACTCAACAAATCAGATGTAAGAATTCTCCCCTTGCGCCCGTGGTTTACATAGATTGACTCTGCCTTCATAGTCGTGTTGAGTGCTATTCAAGATATTCTGCTACAGATTCATCTTCGCGAGTGTGGCCTGCTGTGATGGCATCATAGCGCCACTCTTCTCTCTTTGGTCTTTGTTTTACCCCATGCATCATCTGCCTCTCGCGCATGCAGTTCGCTCTACCAGCTTTCATCGCATCAGACATTTACACCTCTACATCTTGGTCATCCATCTCTCTTATTTTGAGTTACGTCTATCATCGTTCTGTGCGCGCTTCTGAACATACACGTACCATGATGGGTTCGTGGGAGTGTCTTATATCGCTGTGTCAATTCCCTTTCCTCTCTCATTTCCTTCTACCAAAACACGGATCGACCAAAACCTAGTATACCCTTCTTATACGATTCCTATGTAATTGGAGCTCTTATCTTGACCGCTCATTAATTCTTTGTGATTTGAATTTATCAAAATTTCAGGCAACACATCGGGTGGTCCGGCCATGGGTGATATATATTAGCCTAAGGTGTGAATGATGCGAAGTTTGGGATGATATTATTGTAAAACACTGATATGATTGAGCACATGGTTCACCCAGGCCACATAGAGAACCCCATCAGTCATCCATCTAAGTACCACGCGCTCGGGGGTCGACGGTGGTGCTGGATCTACGACCGTGTTGGGTTCTGTGGGATGATTGGGTTATCACAAGAGCGGTGCCCTGTCATCGACTCATGCCAGGTTGACACCGCCGGATCCAAGTATAGCTCCAATTTGATAAGGAACTGTCATGGGATCTCGATATTAATGGCGCAGCACTCTTGGAGTAGAAGATGACGACTGATGGCGAATTCTGGCATCTGCGGACGCCGTAAGCACCATTCCCGAGGAGGCATAGGATTCAGTTAGGCGCTCATGTCAACGGACAGGTTGTAGCGCTTTGTACAGGTATGGCAGAAGCTTATTTACCTTTCAAGCATAGTTGAACATCCGTTCCCGTTCCAGAACATGCATCACGAGTCTGCTGGTAGTGCAGATGCCGCTATAAAGGGGAACGCCACACAGCTGGCGAGCAGAATCATACCCACACATGGCAGGTGATGACGCTGTAACTAGGATAGCGCTCCGATGACTTGCTGGCGAACGCCTGGATCAAATTTCTGTCAAAAAGGTATTCGTGCAAATGCAAGATAGGGTTGTGATGCAATAGTACAGCCTGTACAGGTGCGTTTGAACGACGGTTATAGCAAACTGATGAGTCGGCGATAGAGCTCAGAGATTTATCGATTTGGATGATAGTTATAGATTAGAGAGATTAGAAGCTGAAGTAGGTATATCTGTAACACGTCCGACAATGTTGTAGCGTTTCCTGTTAAATGAAGATAAGCGTCATGGCATGTTTGTCTAAGCGACCTTGTTCGGGACATACTGGAAAAATAAGAACCAGTCATTGAGGACGTTCTTCTCGTTCTCTGGTAGGTCGCTGTAGTCTGGTACAGCATCCTCTGGTTTCAAACTAGACATTCCAAGTCCCTTTGAGCCGTCCTTCCCGGCAAAGATGTTGTATGATTTTCCGGGACCGTACACGTCGCTTTTACGTGTGACGTCAAAGACAGTGCCTACAAGAAGTGAGCGGGAGGATCATCACCTCATACACGAGGACAAACCCTTAACAGACACGTAGATCGGCTTCGAACTGTCGGAGCCGTCGAACTGCTTGAGTTGATCAAGGGTGAAGGGGTCATCTTTCGGGGGGTCGAGATCGTCTCTAGGTGGTTGCATGATGGTCTTAAGGGACTTCTTCTCCTCTAGTTGTGAGTCTACTGGTGGAGACTGCTGCGATGGCGATAAGGTGCGTCGTTGTACGAGAAATAGAAGAGGCAAGGCTAGCACGAGTCCATAGATCACCACTAAAAACATGACTGGCTAACCACTAATTCGGCATTTGCCGCCTCTTACACTTTCCTGGTGTGCTTGCGGACCTTCAAATTTCACGTCCATCCTGATCATTGCTGTCTGCTTTCCTCAAAGCTTGATGTTAGCCAAAGTACCATAGACCACTGGGATCCACCGGGCCCCCTTTATGTATCTGCAGCTTGGATAGTGCTTGTCAAAGTGCTGTGACCCTGGCAGTCAAAGTAGCCACACCTCTCGACTATAAAACTAGGTCGCATCATGGTGGCACAAACCATCGACTCGCAATCAGTGCGACTGCTGTGTTTTTCGTGTATCTATCATAATATCTCGCCTGTCTCTAACGTCCGTGCACCATGATTCCCCCGTTTTCCGTCCCTGTCTATGAACCACTTCCCTATGCTCTTTCAGGTCTCAGCTTCACGCGGCTACCGATGTACACACAGCGTTACCTGCTAGACATTGCAAAGTCGACACCTCCTCATACGCCCAAAGTGAACCCTGTGTTGGACGAGCGCTCAATCATATCACTGGCTCTCTCCATGAATCTTATAGGGAATGACATAGCCCTCGTTAATCTGCGGCACGAGACCATCACCATGGCCCGTGATCTTGAAAGAGGCATCTCGCCTCAGGCTAGTGCACAGCGGCACCTGGCAGCGCAGAATAAGCGCCTCCAAACAGTATTGGGTACATTGCTGCCAGAGCGAGAGCTCATCTTCAACGAATTCATGATCAAGTTTGACGCGCTTGTCTGGCTGGATCAAGAAGGACGCGAGAATCATACCCCTGAGGATTGGCAGAGGTACAGGAACGCGCTGCTGAAACCTATTCTTGACCATACAAGCGAACAGCTTGTCGCACGGGACGAATACGTCAGGAATCTGCCAGTGATTAACGAATATTACTACCGGGCGCCTTCCTTACCATACTCACGACTGGGTTCACCCAACCCAGACGCAAGCCGCACACGCTCCTGGAGATCTGCTACCCGTGGACCTGATTCCGGACAGGATTGGTCCAGGGGTCGGATGTTAAGCCGGCATTCATAAAGGACTTAGTATCATATTGTCCACAAATCGAACAATTCATTATACAATGAAGCACACTCATTAATGCTGTTACATACATACATACATACATACATATTCTATATACTTGATCACACTGGGATATCTATACAGCGTTGCAATCGTTATCTCTCCAGTGGTGTGAAGTATTATGCCGTGTCCGTAAGCCTCGAGTGGAAAATTCAACTGCCCCCATGGGCTTCTTAATCCCCTGATCGACCTCGTAGTGGTAAATCCAATCACCACAAGAAGCCCCGAAAACATTTCGGTACCATTCAACTCACAAAAGGTAAAAAGTTTGCTTCATGACATCAGGGCATCCTCCGCGGGTAAAAAGTCGTCACTGGTAATGTTATTGAAGAACAGGCTCACGACAAGCGGAATCGACAATCAACGGGGGTATCGGAAATGGTACAATACAAACAGGTTTCGAAACCATCAGGTGATGTAAATTATTGCGAAGCTTGACCAAATTATGGAGAAAGAAGGAGTAAGAGAGATCGAATACAGTAATAACCAAGGCTGCAGAAAACGAAACAATATTGACATAGCATCTGACGTAAACTAACAGGGAGGCAATATTTGCGATGGGTCGTGGGCGAAGAGGCGTTGGATATGAGTTGTTGAATCTGAGATTGGTCATGGCCCACCCCGGAGAAGTGGAGGGAGCGAACAGTTGGGTGGCAGTGGCGCAACGATATTGACGGTGTGGCAAGCCTCCGTCACTCGCTTCCGCAAGTCGTCGCATTTGCTCAATAACACTAAGAATTTCCGATCAGATCAATGATAATGATGAGAAAACTTGTATTACTAACTTGGGCAAGGCCACAACGTATTCAACACGTCGACTGGCATTATGACGTCTTTGGCAACTTCCAAAGCATCAAGAAGGGACTTGTCCTCCTCCCACAAAGAAAGACATCTGCAGGTATGGTTTCTGTATTAAGCAGGTGAAGTCTCTAAATGTGCGCTAGACTTACGTCGCTACTTGGCTTGCAAACCAAGTCACCTGGAACGGCTGCCTGGTGAAAAGATGGCCATCTTGATCGCCAAGATGGTGAATTGACATCTTAACTCTGCGGATGAAAAGGGTCTGGTAGTACACTGCCGTTGCCAACATCACAATCAATCAACACATCCCGAAAATAGAGCCACTTACGCCACTGCTCAGCCTGCTTGCGGTTGAACTGAGGGGAATTTCCAGCTTCTGCATGGCCACTAGATACGCCACCATTAGCAAGAATGATGACATATCAAAATCAGATGCTTACGCTTGTAAAAGCTGAGTAATTATGATCTGTGTGCTGCAGAAAATTGTTATCATCAATGGAAAACACTGAGATGAAATAGACGTACTTGTACACGTACTCCCGACACATGTACAACAATGCCATATCGAGGTTGCAGGTGTGGGTATCCAAGGCATCTTGGATTTCAAGGGTCTCCGACCAAGCTTCAACCGCAAGGTCGGTTGTCTCTGTGCTGCTAAAAACATTTTTCCGCAGACGGGTGGTACAGAAATTCCAAAGGAGCATGCTGCGGCAATAGAGTGCCCATATTGATTCTTTCGGAGACTGCGCCTTGTGCTCATTGGAGCCTCGTTGTGATATCTCACCAGGGAACAGTAACCGGAACTGTACAACTGTCAGCCTGAACTAAATGCACGGACAAGGAACAGACATTGGAAGGGTCGGTTAGGAAAAGATCGCTCGGCTCTTTCTGGAACGCGATGCAATGTGACGTGTACCTGGCCACGAGGTTAAGGGCGCTCCAACATAGCCTCCTACAAGATTCCTTGTGCATCTCCTCAGGGGTCCACGAGGGATCCCAAGGTAGCGTGGATGACCATGAAGATGAAAATTGTTCCGTAGCGATAGATGAATTTGGAAGGGGTATACAGTCGCACTTGCGAGGGATGGCATGAGGGGTACGGACCCCGTCCTTAGACATTTGATCAAAGGGGCGGCGTCTGTGAGCGATGGGTACAGCATTTGGGGTGAACGTCGACACGTCTGGCTCATTGCCGTCCAGGAACGTCAAGCCTAATTGGCGGACAATTCCATCGAGATAGGCCAGAGAGCGTCTCGCGCGTTCGGAGGTATAGTGTGGGTGAGCCGAGGACTCGTACACAGCAATAATCTGGATAGAACGTAAGCAACAATTGAGAGAAGCTGGAAGCATGCACTGACAAGAGCAGCCTTCGCAAGGGTCATGTCTATCCATTGGGAATTCAACGACGCTTCGAGCCAAGCCTGCGCCTTATCACGAAGCCAGACGGCGCGCTCGCGACCTGCAGACCCCAGTTCCATCTCACTCGATTTCATCAGGGTTGCTAAAGCTAACCCCGCAAAAACAAGTGAAGGTTGCATAAGCGAACGTTCTTCAGGGTTGTATAGGCTATGGACGAAGTCTGGAACGTTCACGAATGATAACCAATAACCGCTAGTGGTGAACCTTAACAAGGATTAAATCAAATCAATTGAGTCATTAGTCGATGACCTACAGTGTTGAGAGATCTGATGCTATGTCCTTTAAGCTGATAAATAAAGCATCATTTAATTAGTCTATTCATGCAATCGATAATGCAAATGACGTACGACTGATCCCGAGTAGTAGAGTAGCTCATAACCAAATTATCCCACCACTCCTTGCGACTGTATTGTACGGAGGGCGTTGATGGGATGCGGTACTTCTCCACTTGATGCTGGATAAGTGATCGAATCAAAAAATATTTGGCAGATGAAGAAACACGGTGAAATAAACGTACTGGATAACTATCGTCTGAGGCTGCACGCGTTTGCATAGACGAAGAAAAGTCAGGGCCAGTAGGCGAAAGTGAGGGCTGGAGTCGAATTCGATCCCCATCAGGCCGCAAGGCGGGAACATTGGGAAGTCCACGAGATTCCCGCGGAAGTTCGAAGTCGTCATTCCTGACCGAAGTACGTTTCCGTTTAGACGGAAGGGAAGGAGGGGAAGAGCCATCGGTCGGCCGTTTCTTACATGAGCGCTGGCGAGTGCCTGGCCTTTTATCAGGCCCTCGCCGTTTGGGTGCTGCATCATATTGACATTCATTCGAGCGGCGCACACAATTATGACAAATTGGTCTTGTGGAGTCGCACCGAATTTTCCTCGCACGACTTAGCAACCACGTGAATGAGCAGCCTGAAATAAGAATAAGAATGAACGCACCATTGCCGACAAGCTATCACTTGATTCGAAATTTCCCTGCGGGGCGGATCCTGGGACGTAGATGCGGCTGGCTGTGGTTGGGGGGTTGACTCTGACGTTGGAACAGAGGATCGAGTGCTCTCTGGAGTTTGTATTACAGGGGGTTGTGTTGAACCACCACCCGAGGAGTAAGATTGTGGGCGCAAGTCCTCGGCAGAATATCTTCGGTTTGGGGGGCCTTGGTAGGACAAGTTGACGGCGCCGCCATGAGCTGGAGGGGGCGGAAGACGGGTGTTAGGGTAGGCATGGGGCGGGATATCAAGACCAAGGTGATTTCTTTGTGGAAGAGGAAACTCAGATTGATATGAATTATGGTGGTGAGGATTCTGATTTGAATGAAGATTCAAGGGGGTTTCGAGAAGGTGAGGGTGCGGGTGGATGTTGATATTGGTGTAATCGAACTGAGAGGCCAGGATGCCCGCTGCATGTTGTATATCTAGTTGATCTTGGTGATAGCGGACTTTATTGTGGACAACATGTGAAATGACGATTAACGTTGTTTTGAAAAGACTACGAATTTTGATAGGGCTTACTGTCTCCGTGCGGCTGAGGAAATTGAGCCCCGAAGATGGGTGAGTGTAGGCCGGAGCCATCCTCACTGGACTGAGGGCCGTCCTCCATCATTATGCCTTGTGGAAATGGAGTATAGATATCACTGTCTGTGCTGATGACCATAAGTACTGAAAGAAGGGGGGATGAGAGTTTAGAAGGAAAATGGTAACTGGTAATACGGCACTGGTTTTCGATGCTTTGCCACGCGAGACTTACTTGTAAAACTTGAAGGAGAAAGTACTTGTTAAGGGGAACTCATGCCCACGGCAAGCTCAATGATTATCAAATCTTGGTACAATCATCAAAATCACATATATCATACATACATTTATATTTTATATTTTATCTGGAATATCTTTACGAAAAAGGGGGAAAATCTTGCACCTCCATGAATTCTTTCCTTGGGGTGCAACTTGCTTTTTTCCATCACATTCATACCCACGACGCAACTTCGGGGCCGCCTTGAGCACCGTGTACGTGTGCCTGGTCGTCAAGTGTTCCGAACAAAACTCTAATTATTTTCCTCCACTTTTGTTCTCAACATGGCTCATTGTGTAAATTACCAAATTTGATCACCCCTTCTCATCAGAATTGACTATCTTGCTTAACCTTGCTCAATTTTCAATATCAACTTCCATTACATGCCGCGTAGCCTCAATCCGGGTTATCTCCTTCAATTGACAGTCCTGCACATTTGATGTTTTTTAAATTCATCTATTTCTCTTACGGCCCCCGACCCTCTCTCCGTTGTAGTGAAGACACGTCCCCCCCTCAAACTTCAGGGTCACTTGACTCACTTCATTCTAACTGTCAGTCGGACTTCCGACCGCACCTTCCCGCGACGATTAACGACCGTCGGATGGCCTCAGTCTGATTGTGCCACGTCTGAAAACTTTAAAATTAGCCGGATAGCCGTGCTCAATTTGGAAGGTACCGTACGCAAACCGCATGGCACAGCACGGCACATACAAAAGATACTTAAGCGCTGTTAAGTTCCTCGTCGTAAATCTGCGATTGAGGGGATTAGATACCCCACACAGATGCAGCTGAACTAGGCTGAACTACGGTCACAGCTCATTTAGGCTGATTTTAATCGCGGCTAGACACGTCAGCGCGGGGGATTCTCTGGGATTTTTGGTATGTGGAGTCCCTTACATGTCCGAAATGATCCCAAATGTTGTTACTTACGTCAAATCCTATCGTGGTGATTAGTAGGTGCGATCACCGTCCTCTCGTTAACCTCATGCAGGTCCGTGCTAGTGTGGCGACGTGAAGGTCATGATCCAAGTAGAGGACGGCATAAGTTCACCGCGATTTTCAATGTCAATTCCACGAAAACATAGTACTGGTTATCTGCCATCGTTACAGATGTGATGTATTTGGCCGCATCCATGCTATTTACAGTTCGAATGTCTGTATCTCAAGTCAGTAGCTACCATCGCGACCCAACACTAGAATTTTCAGGGCGGTCACCTTTAGTTTCACAGGCGCATCCTTTCATGATAAGCCAAATTAGGATACTTGTGCAAAACATAGGGCTGTAACACGTGACGAACCTTGGCGTTGAGTTGCTGTGCAGTACAAGCTTTTGCATTTTTATTGGCATGCTTCTCCTCCGTAAACGAGTCAACTTGACAGTCAATCGATCTGTCACAGATACACGTTCCATACGGCCGTTTGACCATTTGACCTCGAAACTTTCTGATCGCAAACTATCACAATTGGCACCGAAATTGCTGTATATGGTATCCTCTGTATTCGGGGATACAACAGTCCTCGTGTCTTGCCTCATCCATGTTCAATTTCTTGTTCTCGTGTTGTGTTCGTCAGCGTCGGCGCGACCTAGTGTGTATGATGAAATGGGTCATGGAATCAATATACCTAACAATTCAATAGACGGCTCCTGATGAACGCACCTTTCTAATACCCGCCACCACCGCAAGCGAGACTCCTACGCAAGTGTCCTACACTTTACTCTTCACTGTCTCTTTCTCAAAGTCGGCACAGGCCTCAGCCGCGGGTGGTTGACCACCAGAAACTAAAAGAGAGGTTGGGTACTGTCGTGCGCTCAAAAGAAGGGTGCGTTTCCTTTGTCTCTATAATTGCTTTTTCTTTCTCCTACAGCGTGCTTTCTGACGATGCCACACAGAAAAATGGTTAATGTCAATGCCGCCTTCCCATTTAACCTCCACAACCAGTCACTTGGCGATCCTCCGTCTCGCAGTGTCTCAGGCGGAACCCTGGATAGCAGTCGGCAGGCCTCGCGATCTCCTGCACGTCATTCGCTACACACGAGATACTCGAGCACTTCGCTGCAGCGGGATGCGGAAGGTCCCGCTTCTCAGAGCAATGACGTAGTGGAAGGAAGAGGTGACCCGCACAAGCCGATATTAAATGTTAGGCTTGTATCAACTCCAGTGAGCAACAGTGCAAACAGGGCAATTAATAGCATCTCTCGGGGGCGACCAGGGCGTGGGATCGAACATGGACGAGTGATGGTTGTCAGTGCTGACCACATTTCTCATCCTGACGAGGACGACGAAGAACATGACCATGTGGCTGAAGACAGTGATGTGCTGACACCTCCTCGTCCACAAGTGTACACGTCTGAAAGAGATGCAGACAATTCATCTGATAGTGTGAGCTATTAATCTATGGTTAACATCCTGCGACCCTAACTCGTTCTTTCCACAAGGATCCCTCCAAACCGTCTCCTGTTGCCAATGTCATACATACCGAGGATTTTACGATTCGTGACGCTGGTGCTATATCACGTTCCTGGGGGGACTGAATGCTCCGATCGTTTGTTCTAAAATCTGCATGCTCATTCCGGAACTTGGTCGTCCATTTAAGGTAGTACATGACCCTTGCATGTATTTCCGACTACTGCAAGGATTGTTCCGCACAGTCGATCTGCCGGATCTAAATTCATGCTACATCTGGTTAGCGTTTATACCAAAAATTTCGGCCCGATTCATTTGTCAATGCTTTCGTCGGAGCGATGAGAGTCACACAGCTATCTTTGATTGAATGATTGGACGATACACTGAAATAACTGTGCAGATGGGACCGTGAATTCCCTATTATCTTTGGCAGCGCGATGCCTTTGTATGGGCATCTTGATATTGGGTTTCCTGTGCGTCTCTCGCGTTGCGCTCTAAACCCTCAATATTCATTGGGCAGTAAATCGGGCACGGCGCTGACCAGAAATGGGCAGGTGGCGTCCACAAAGGCGATCCACAAGAAAATCAGGGCAGGGTTGCAATGGCGACATTCCCTAAGAAAATATAGGTTTTTAGACACCCACCTGTTGTAAATTGAGGTTTCATTGCGAGAGGGTCCATCCGTTGCTCTTGGAAGGCAGGGCGGTGAACAGTTTTTCATTCTCATCGGCACCCGTGCGTATGGGATTAACAGCCAACTCAGGTGCGTTCTTTGCTGAGTACTATACGTGTCCCACCGACGATGAACTTAAAATGACGCCATCTGCAGACGCCTACGGGCTGTTAAGGGAACGGCAGCCAGCCCTGGAGCTTCACAGGAAAACTCTCACAGGCCCAGACTAGCCCAGACTTTGCGGATCATTGCGACATCGAAGGTCACTCGCTCTAACATCATTCCTGAACGTGAAAATTGAACCATAACACGTGAGTACTTTTGAGTTTGTGTATGGGGAATGCAGGGCTCCGCGCCCTGGCATCCTCACGATTTCAACAAAATCTGTTCCCACGGCTCTTGCCACAGAGCTGCTGCTATGACGCTGTGTGCTCACGATTCCAGATGAGCGTGGCAGCGCACGCGTCCACCGTGAACTCCGCAAGATGCCGAACCAGTTTAGGGTTATGTCCATTAGACCTTGACTCCCTGGGTTTCTAAAGAAATTAGGAGGCCTGTAGGCTGTGAGTACCAGGTACGTAACACTCTATAGGAATACACAGTGGATCAAATTAGATCAGATCATGATTCCTGCAGTCTCATGAACCAACCACCTTGTCAAGGGTGGAATGTATAGTAAGAATCACCCATCTCAGACTTGGACTCATCAGGACACCATTGAAACTCAACCATGTTTCCAGTATTCTAATGTAGCACTCTATGTGCGTACGGTCGCATCCTCCTTTGGCAATGAAGGTCACCGGGGAATTTTTTGCATGGTAAGTCTATGGGGTTATGATTCTTGACACATCTGAAACAGATGAAAAACAGCAACCTTAAACGTGGACGGGACATACCGTAGTGTATATGATCTGGGCCATATGCACTTGTGACTAGTTGGCAGTCTCCTCTCACTCGCAGAACCAGACCGTGACAACACAGAAGGACAGTGGTTCCTTATTATGACGTCAAAAAAAATACTGGCCTGGCTCATTGCACATCGGGAACGGAGCTAACACCACGAGGAATCCGAATTTCATACAGCTTCAAGTTGCACCTATTGCACAGTTGTCAAACGACTCGGGTTTTTCTCATTGTCCTTCAAATTCAAACGGCAACTGGGTGCGCTTCTATTGACGGAAGGCCGTTACACTATTGCGAAACACCCTATGATCGGTATCGTCCTCTCCGCATTACATGCACGCTTCCCGGCTGTCATCTTGCGGTTTTGTGGCATGACGACTTGAAGTACGAGACGATCTAATATGATAGCAAGAAGCGCGTTTTTCATTCGTTCGGGACTACCCTCCGGAATATACATTGTGTGCAAACACGTTTTGATTTGATAGGGCCAAAATCTCGAAGAAATGCGCAGAATATTAGTGAGTCAATATAATTGGTGGATATAGTCATCGTCCCGACGCACCAAAGAACACCGCCAGGACTTGCCCAAGCAGAAAGCACGCACAAATATCTCATTTCTTTATGGAGTGATATGTAAAAGGGCCTACGATGTTCTCTCCGATTCGGAGGCAAGTCAATTTTTTTTAATGAACAAGCAGTCACGACCATACAACCCTACCATTAACTTACAAATTATTACTCGACTCGGACTTTTTCCAACAACCTCCCAGCGCATTGCATATTTTAGCTGCGGCGTGCTGCTTAATTAATCCAGCCATTCTTATCGATCTTATCGCCTCATTATCGCCTCTCATCTTGCTTCTCTATACAATTCAACAAACTAAGCTGAGGTATGCGATGAATTCACTCATGTATTTCACTCACTGACTCGTAGACATTCTCTCACGACCAGTTCAGGTACTTCCTACTCTTCGCCGTCTTTTTGAAAATTTTGGTTCGTACTTTAATTGTCGTCCGCACCCTCTTTCACTGAATTGAAGCTTCGTCAATTCATCGGCAATATCCCTTCAAGCCCAATATTTCTGCTGCCTAGATTACTCAAAGATGTCGTTGCGGTGGCGGAGTGTGGTGGATGTAGGGGCAGGATTGCTTAAGGTCAATTCCGCCGGCGGAACCGTACCACGTGCCACGAACACTATTTAACAATGTAAGAACCTCCACATCCCAAAACTGTCCGTCATGATGGGGAGCGGGACCGCCCTGCGATTTCGTCGTCAACAGGTTAAGTGGCACAAGTCGTTGGTTAACACACTCAAATTTTTCAAAAATATCAACTTCGTATTGCGATGCCTCGTTCCGTCGGCCAGCAGTTGTTCCATCGCTTCTTTCTTGTACTCCAGTATCACGAATGCTGGTCGATCCGCATATATATTCCGGACCGGCGAGATCGTTGTCGAGTGGTGTTTCCCACATAAATTCGGCCCCCGTTGGAAGGACCAGAAGTAACGCCCAGAATTATTGTAAATTTTGTCGGCGCGTTAGTATGATTACTTGTGAAGGAGGACGCAGGAGGTGTGAGCGCACTCGTAAGTCTAACTTCTACAGACTGTAGAGTTGACAGCTGTTAACCTAAAGTGATTCCTCACAGCCTACCCGGATTCTGCCAATGATGGAACTACCTGTGACACGACACTCCTAAAGCACGTTATAGGGGCACGCGGTACCATTTTTGTATGGGCTGGGTTTCAATGCGTATTCTCTTGCAAATAACTCCAAGACGACTTGTTGCATTCCCCTCTCAAGAACATGGTACAACGACTATGGTACGTATCAGATATACACAACTCAAAATGATATGCTACAGTTATACAAGAATAATATACGAATGTAGTAGTACAGCTCCAAAATTACAGGCGTTGATCATCAAAGAACATCAAAGGTTGTGGGCGACTATATGTCTCATTATTGTCAGGGAGGCCAGCATTTCTGTATACACTAAATCAGCGTTGTGCTGTTAGATATTTGAAAAACGGGCATACCGGCTGCGAGGTGCGGATACGCCTCCTCAATAGTAAGCACGCACCCAGAGGAGTGGTCGTATTCTGGCTCTCCGGGTACTTTCAATGAATAGGACGCGACTTGATGGTTACTTGCATTTGTGCACTGAAATTATGCATGAGATTTGAAAACGCACGCGAGAATTAGCACGTACCGTCCACTCCTCGCTCTGTGTGGCTCGCCAACTCCATTTGTACTGCTGGCCATCAGACCCAATGAACTTCCTCGTCTTTGCGCTGGATGATAGATAAGCTAGGAAAAAAGCACGCGTGACCGGGACTTACCTCCCATTGGATGATGGTTCGAGGAAGCTGCTCATGGGTACCTGAGGCCCTGACCCAAAAGTTATTGTTCCGAGGGAGTTGTTCGAGCCGAAGTTTAGGGTCACGACTGGATCTGTTCCTGTTGTCGCGTTGTAAATTATATAGGTTGCGTGCGTAGATCCCCGGGAGGTGCATCGAAGCGTCAAGCGCAAACGATCATTGATGTCCAGGAAGTGTGATCCTGTCAGCTTGCCCGTCTTGTCCTCCAAGAGGTATGGCATTCCATAGCTGGTCATGATGGGGATCGAAGGACAGATAGGTTGAAAGGTTTCGGCGAGGGGATAATGAAAGAGGAATTCAGCTGCATCCCAGGTATTTCTGCAAGTTAGACATGGCAAGCCGTCAGCCTATTTCGGCAGCCATGACATGTCAGGAGACCGTCATGGCATCCGGGCGGTAGATAGGAGAGATTCGCACTGACGTGTAACCGAGATATAAAAAAAAGGCCGTTAAGCGGTAAGTCTATGAGATGGGCACGTTGAGTTCAGGCGCGCGACATCGGACTGACCGATAAAGCCAGAAGGAGTGGAAGACACGCAAAAGAGGAAGCGTAGATCAAGGATCAGGCAAGGTATTGTCATGCACGCTATTTGCGAAGACCTGATGGTTAAAATTAATGACCTTCGTGCCTGCCATGACGTACCAAAGAGCACAGACTCTCGGGGGTCACTAGAGACAAAGCCTAATTTTCATCAAGTCCACTTCGTTCATGGTCGATGAACCTGAAAGCATGCGACTGGCGTGGTTTTACCTAATACTTGTTCCATACGAAACAGCACAGAACTAACGCGTTTTGGCTCTAGTATCAGCATGTTTGTCAGGCGCCGGGACATGCAACGAGGCAGAGTCAGGTGAGGCATTAACCGGAACGAATGATACGGTGTTATTATCGCATGGGGAATATCTCGAATTCGAATACAAATCTGTAGCCAAGAATCTCTCAGGCATGACCGACATGCACGCCAATTCGTCATCAAGATGGCATGAATCAAGGCGTAACTTCACGTCTTTGATCCCCGATTGGCGGCCCCATGCTGCAATGGTGTGGCCCCAATGCACTATGTATTAGCGTCCACCCCAAACTTGGTCAATTTCAGAACGTACTGCAGTTGACAATACCTGGAAGTTCCAGACGCATCTTTCGTTACAGCATCACAACTTCCAAAAATTGTGCGGTCAATAGTGGCCGGCGCCACGATTCTTCCCTGAGAAGGCGAAATTTGATGAGTTAGTGCGGGGCAGATGCATTGCGAAGTTCTAAGTGCGTAATATATGAACATAGGACAATCTGCTGAAATGGCATGATATTTCTTGAAGAAGACTCAGCCGGATTAATTTCGTTCATGACGGGTACTCAGCCTGTCCCTTTCATTTAACTCCCATCGCCGCCGATCTCTTTCGCGTTCTCTTTCGCGCTGCAACTTCATCATAGTCCTTCACGTATCGAGGAGCATGAGGGTGAACGACTAGCTGGTAGAGGCGAACGACTGCGCCGCGGTGACGACGCCTGCCGTGATCAGCGTCTTTGCTGGGTTTAGGTGAGCGCGAACGAGTCCGATCTCTACGGGAACGTTGTTCGTAATCGGCATGGCGAGACTCCCGATGTGCCTCTTTGCGAGCTTTTTTCTGTTCCCTCCTTTCGGCTTTCTTACGGCGCTTTTCCTCTTTCTCTGAAGGATGCTGTCCACCATCTACAGCGAGGGTATGCGCCGGTCCCGATTGAACACTTGAGGGGGCTTTTGCAACGGGAATGCTACCAGATTGTGCAGTGGCAAACCCACTGAGGAAGTCGTTCAATACCGGTCCGACATGTTGAGGATAATACTCACAGTGCTGCAGAAAGTGCCTCTGCTTCCGCTTCCTTGATCTTCCTTATCTCTTCTTCCCTCTCAGACTCATCCTTGTTATCTCTATTATACCAATGAACATCTTTGTTCTTCTGCCATCTCCCGGTCGGGGCATTGATGCTGTGACCCAGATAGTTCTAATTGACAATTAAAATCACTAGAACAAAACGTGTAACAGTCGACGAACCTCTCTGTCTTTGTCTGCGGAGACATCCGTCCATTTGAACTCTGCCTGGCCTCCTCGAGTACCTCCCCGAATTGGTTCAAACATTAGAAAGAAAACGTCGAGAAACCTGTACTCGGTTACCCTGACCGAGGTACCGTGAGAACTTTATGAGCTACTTACTAACATGAACTCATCCTTTCTTCCATCTCGGGGTAGTATAGAATTTTCGAGCCTCGTGTTCTAGGCTCTATAAACATGCTATCTTGACGCCAGTACTGCGTCGGTTTTTCTTCACTAATCCACATGTGTCTTCTCCTTCGGTACAGATAAGTTCAAAGTAGCCAATTTTTATTTACTTTATTTATGAAACTTACTGACTCTACTATGATGGACAAAAAGTAAGACTGAAGTTCACCCAGGACACTGCCCAACTGTCATCCTGTGGCCTCGTTCCTCGGCCAGCAGGATGGCAAGGCCATGCCCCTGATGAACTTCAGTCATAGGTTAATTTTTTCATGAACTCTTACGTGTGAAAAATTGACGGTCCAATGACACCGTAACTGAGGTTTGCAGTCCGAGATCTGCAGTCCTAAGAACCTAAAGGTGGCGAAAAAATGTATTCGTTGAATGTCTACTACGGGAAGATGTGCATATACTAGTATCTGTTGTCCCCCTGTCAGCAATAACCTGCTCAAACACACAAAATACTGTGTTGTTACATATATTCACAGTAGTGGAATTGAGTGAGATAGTTGAAAGTAAGACGCAGAAATGTCGCCTGTCGATATGTACCGTGGCGAAGTTTCGCGATACTGGCACTTTGGAAGTGCCGGCTTGTGCTGGTGCAGCGCTGCTGGATATTTTCATCGATTCTGCGCTAATCCAGCTCTTCACGTCCTGCAATAATACATCTGGCGGTCCTATCACATCATTAATTATCGAACCATCTCATCCATGCAATGTACGATATGTACATGATCGGAGTTTCGGCTCACTACATCCCCCTCAATTATACAATTCATACACATCTACTAGTATATAGTAAATACTGCACTTGCTCGCTTATGCCGAATACTAAACTCGCGCTCTTGCTTGACTGCCGAGCTCAGTTTGAAACCAAACTATGTGACATGCTGTGACTTATCACTGTGACATTTGTGTGACCCCGTCCGTCCGCAGTAGTTTACGCTCAGGGAAATACCAGACTGGGGAATTTAGATGGTCCAATGTCGAACAACACGTGCAGGTTATGCCTATGTCGTACACAGAGTCATGGATCTCAGGAAGAGCCGTTATTCGTATGACGCGTCATTATGGCTTTTGATAAACCACACGACTCTCAGGCCTGACTTTACGGCGTCTGGAATGGAGACCCCAGCTTCACGAATCAGCGTGCAGTGTGACCTTATGCCATGCGTTCGATCGTGTTGCGCTTTAACGTTTAACACACTGATTAGCATTATTGCCACCATGCTAACGTTAATCGAAAGTTGCTCTGAGTGCAATTACATGTAACATGTAACAATGTATGTACGAGCCTCGTAACGCCTTATCTCGGTTCGAAGGCTGCTTTGCTCTAGGCTCACTACAGGATTGTTGCAAAGATTCCCATGTAATGTTCCCAAAGTCGTAGCTTAGGTGTGGAAGTTGTTTCGAGTTTTTCAAAAATATTTTGCTGCTTTATTCTCTCGCTGCTTCTGCCATCATATCCACTGGCTTCTTTCGTCCCCATATACAGCTGCTGTATAATACGCTGGAACGGTCAGAACACAGATCTGGTGCATCGAATGTTCATTTCGAACCCAACGCGGCATTAGTCCGATACCCATCAAAGTCGTACAATCACTGCAAGGGGTACCGAGCACAATCCTGTATCTACGACATCTGAATACCATGCCACAACCAGTACCAGTGATTTGCTCTATGGCGACTTCTATGAGGTTACTGCAACACTGCCAGTGCTTTACGAATAACCATGGCTGCCAGGCTGCTCTGCCTCCACTCTCATTTCGACGCGAGGTCATTTTTTGGGGTTGAAGTGAGTAACCAAAATCGTCTCATAACCCGGTTATTCATTACTGCACGTCGTCGACGGTACTAGGACGCTTGACAGACACCATGTTCCCCTGCAGGTCGTTTTGACCAGTTGGACTCCATAATGTGCGGCCCATTCACTTATCCTTCATCTAAATAAGGCAAGGCATTAAATTATTCCAAGGTTTATCCGGCTTCAACGGACTTCTTGCGTAATGGCGCAAGGACCATGAAGTGTATTGCATGGAAAGCAGACGATAACTCGATGCATTTGCGTTGACCGAGTGCATGCTGCGTGTGTTTCGATTCCGACTGCAGTCTTTTGCGGAACTATTTTACTGATTTGAATTGACTATTTGTCATTGATCGGTCACGAGGGCGCACGGGCCCTCGTGGCAAGAAACGGGGGTTTTGCTGCATGTGGAAATAGCCGAGCAGAACCTTCGTGTTCTCCTCAACCATCGTTTATCTGTCGCGCAAACGTCAAACGCACTCTACATTTGTCTCTTTAACTTCTGCGCCATCTTCGACGATGAGCAAAAAGGGCAATAAAACGCAGCAACCAGAGACTAGCTACGCAGAACGTGATATCGTGCTAGCCAAAGTACGCGGCTTTCCCCCGTGGCCAGGCATGGTATGTCGCGTCTTTTGAGCTTTTTTGAAAGATATTCGTGCCAATGGCATGTACAGGTCGTAAACCCTGACACAGTCCCCTCCCTTGTGTCGAAGGAGCGCCCAGCAGGCAAGAAGACTACGTTCCACTGTGTCAGGTTCTTCCCCGCAGGCGACTAGTATGTCAGTACTGCTCGTTCTTTTTAACTTTGTTGAACTTTAGCTTCCAGTGCCTGGCTTGTGTCGAAGGATATCTCCAAGTTAAAGCAACATGAGATCGAAGCATACATCAACGAACCTCACAAGAAATCTGGCGACCTTCTGACAGGCTATCGGATTGCACTGGACCCGTTGAAATGGGAAAAGGAACGTGAAAATGCAGACTTGGCAGCGGTAGAGCAGGAAGACAATGCTCCAGTTGATCAGCTTGACAGCGACAATGAGGACGATGAGACAAAAAAATCAGCCAAATCCAAGAAACGAAAGCGGGAATCTGAGGCGCCTCCCCCCAAGGCCAAGGCCAAATCCAAGGCCAAAGGCGAGAAAAAGGTTCCCTTATCTAGAGGGAAGAAGAATGGCACCAAGTCGAAGGAAATGGTTGAGTCAGAAGACGACGGTGAGCCAGAAGCCGAAGCTGAAGAGGACGAGGAGGCAGGATCGAGTGCTAAGGCAGCCCCTCCCCCATCTAAGAAGCCCAAGCGGGAAAAGGAGGACGATGTCGATCGTATGTTCGCCATTTGCCATCACGCCACTCCCTTTGTGCTCACTTTTCCATTCAGCTGCCCTGGAAGGGGATAGCGAAGCTAAGAAAGTTCGAGAATGGAGACACAGATTGCAGAAGTCCCTTCTGGGGAGCAAAGGGTTGCCTCCAGTTGATGTATGTTTTATTTGTTATCGGCCAATCAGTCGTCAATCAACGTTTCTCCAGGAGATGCCTGCTCTTGATCAACTTTTTTCCACTATCGAGAATTATAACCATCCCAATCTCATACTATACCTCTCAGTGCGTCCTGCATCCCATTGTTCATGTTTGCAACGTGTACTCATTGCTTCTGTTGCCTAAATCTCCATGCAGTTTTCCAAAATCGGTAAGGTCATGCGTCACATTGCTGCTTTATCCACGGATAAGGTTCCCCGCGACGACGAATTCAAGTTCCGGACACGAGCGAAGTCAATGGTCGATAAATGGCACGCTATTCTCGGCGCTAGCAAAGGAAATGAGAATATGGTTGAAGGCGTTGTCAACGGTGCACCGGCAGATGCGAACGCTGCTACAGAGCAGAAAGTCGATATTACGCAGACGTCTCCAGTGGAGAACGGGCCTTCCACTGCTGTGGAGACATCGTTGGGTGATGTTACGATGACAGAAGCATGAAATACTCATAGGCCTCCTCGATGCATTCAAGCGTCGTCCTTGTCCTTTCATATTTTCTTTCCAGCGTGGCTTGTGCCCTCGTGTTCAAGGATACGAACGTCAACTGTATGTATCACTCGCACGCTCATCGTTGAAACTATTTTACATTTTCACTTGACACATTATTTTCTCGTGACAACATATGCGGTACATATGTTCCAATGCCATGCTACATCGTATGCTCTTGTGTCGTGGGATTGGTTCGAGCGTTTAAGATGCAAACTGATTTCGTGCAGCCATCTGATGAAACACATGTCGGATTCCATTTCTGCACCACTAATGTCATGATACCAGCGCTGAGCGCACATGGGTCCAAGCAAACGTTACGCACCTAGAGCAGACCGTTGTGGACTCTATGTTTCATCCCACAACACATCTGCTGGCTGTGAATAACATCCTGTGGTCATAAGTAGGGCCCGCCGACTCCGACTAGAGTTTGAATTTGAAATTTGAGCGCTTTAGCAGGCTGGAGGCAAGTACGTACTCGTCCTCGCTTGGGCGACCACGATCGATCGTAGTACTACACACTCCGAATCTGGACAAGACCTGCCACACGTTATTATCCGCATCGTTCGAAAATGAGCTCTATTATACAGGGTCTCTTCAACTTACCCAGTCGACGCTTGCTCTTAGCAGCGCAGGAGTCCTTGCATTCGTGTGTATATGCTACGCGTTTATACTGCAGGAGCCGACCAACAGTCAAAGTGGAAACTTCATGGCGTCGGATGCGCGTGCAGCATGGTGCCCGAGGTTATGCAAGTTCATCCGTCGACATTCTTGAAGACAACGAATCTGAAGGCTTCCGAGAAGTGAACTCTGGTGAGTGGGTTGACTTTGGTCAGTTGTTGATGAGTTATGACCAGCCACAGAGAGCATCTTATCTTCAGCAGGTATTATCCATATCTACAATGACTTTGGAGGAATTTCTTGAAAACATTTCGTATGTTTAGACACCTCCGCCCAGAAGCAACATTCTATGGAGCCTCTCGAAGTGCAGGATCTTCCAGAAATACCACCATTTCCCACTAGACCAACCCTCCATATATCCTTGGAAGATGTCACAACGTATATCCAACCACTGGTTTCGCGTCAGTGGAAAGTCGGCCACATCTCCACAGGAGTCGGTGAAGATGAAATACTCTCTCTGGACAGACATTACAAATTCAAGGGCTTCAATGATGTCATGGATTTTGTTCAGGGAGTCGCAGACATCTCACGGGCAGAAAAGGCGCGTGTCAAAGTTCCCTCATGATATCCAAGATAATTGAGTTGTCACGTTCAAACTAGCATCACGCTCGAATCGCGTTCGAGTATAATACTGTGGACATTTCCTCGCACACGCATTCAGCGTACACCTTCCACCGCGTAGGAAATGGAAAACCCGAGTCTCAAAAAGTTCCTGGGCTCACGCGGCGCGATATTCGATTCGCTATCAAGATCGAGGAGTTGCATGAAACATTCAAGGAACGAGGGCGCACGATGGAGTTTGTATCAGCAGCCCTTGCACAGCTGCAACGCCGGTCTATGAAGTCAGTGCTACGAAGGTATAACCAAAAGCAGAGAATCGCGAACACCGAGGACGTCCACAGCACGGGCAATGCGATGTAAATCCAGCGTGAGGCCTCGTTGAACGCTGCTACATTCGTCGTTGATCAATTGTCAAGATTTCAATAATAAGTCAAAGAGCACGCGTCGGGGAACTCTCGTGTTGTGAATCTGCATACTTGAATATCTGGAATCTGCAATTACTGGAAAACCGAGAAGATAGTCTTATGCGGAAAGGGTGTGTTAAGACCTGTATACAGACAGTGTGGTACGAAAAAATCATCAGAATGTACCCGTAAAAGTACACAAACTATCATTTTTCAGATACAAAGCAGCATATGGAGTTGAAGGTCGTACGAACTCTTCTTAGGCTATGGAAATCTCATTCCCCGGTGTATGATTAGCAAGGGAATCACATTCGGTTAGAACATCTGAAATTGGTGAAATCCCCTCTGTTTAGATTATGTGCACAGGATTAAATAAAGGATACCCAGATCAGAGGCCTCTTTTTCATGCTGCCCCTGTGCCAGTCTGAGTCGTTCGTTGCTGTACATTGTGATGGTACTTCTCCGTCTTGGGACGTCACTCAGGGTATCCTAGCTTTTGAAAATGACTCTGTTATAGGGTAACTGTGACATGGCAAAAGACACAACAAGAGGGTGATCCATGATGTGGGTATATGGGTATATTCGTGCAACAGAGTGGACGAGTCTATATAGCGCTATTGATGGCATCGATGAGAATATTGTTGTAGTCTCCACCCGCCTCCCACATAGCATACCCCAGCAACCCAGCGTTTTTGATGAATGTGCCCTTGGCTGTGAACGACTCTGCGTTGTCATAGGAAATCATGACCTCGGACGTTTCATTGTAAACGTAGGGCTGACAATAAGTTCATCAGAAACGGAAATAGTTCCTTGTTCAAGGATGTACACACCGTTTGGCTGCATGAGTCAAACCGATAGTAGATACCTTGGGCAGTCGTACCTTCTGAGTTAAGGAACCCACCGTCGACCAGTCCCCAGAAGTTGAAGGTACCTCCAGATCCTTGGTAAACACCACAGGAATCCACGCTCCCGGTATTATCCCATGCATCCCCTAAAGGCTGATTAGATGAATTGAAGACGGGGTAAGCGGCTAGCGTCTTCGTGCCCGACACGAATGCACCAGAGGAGTTGACACTATAAGAGTATCCATACGATGGAACGCCCAGGACGATCTGATCAACGGGCATGCCTGCATTTGACCAGGCCTTCACTGCGGAAACAGCTGAGCCTTGCTGCTCAGATGAGCTCGCACAGGAATCATTGAGTGGGGCGTTAGGTCCAACACCAGGGGACCAAGACTCGGAATCCCAAACATCATAGTTCATGATAGCAATGTAGTCAAGAACCTTCGCAAAGGCAGAGACATCAGTCGATGGATCACCATTGGAATCACGAAATGGTGTCAAAGATACCGCTGCCGAGATGGTGAGATGAGAGCAATCCTCACGAAGTTCTCGGAGAAAGGAGAGAAAGTTCGCGGTGTCATTAGAGTTGACAATATTACAGCCAATGCCTTGTTCATTTGGATACTCCCAGCTAAATCAACAGTGGGTCAGGATATCTATATGGTGGCTGACATACATACTCGAAATTGACACCATCTAGATGATACTGTTTGACAAAGTCTATCACCGTATTGACGAATGCAGTGCGATTCTCCGCTGTTGCAACGTTAGAAGAAAAGTAGATGCTACCATCCCAACCTCCAATGGCAATGTGGGCTTCAACACCCTAACATGACATCGGCTCAGTGACCAAACATGCACACGAGTTATCATTCTTACGTGTGCGTGTGCTTCTGACACAAAGACAGGAAACAACCAGCCATCTGACCCTTCAAGTGATATCTTGTTCACATCTGAAGTGGTTGTTCTAAAAGTCGCCGATCAACATTGTCGTTACAGGCCTGCCACTGTATGGTAGCTTCCACCTACGCAAAAGAGTAGTACATCGTGTTGTACTTGTCCCAACTGACATTGGACAGCGGGTATCCTTCAGTAGCATGCCAGCCAGCATACCAGGCACCGGCAACCTTGGACGCATAAGCGGAAGACAGGAGCGTAAGGGAGGTCGCTAGCAGCAGCAACATGGTACACGACGCTGAAAAGATGGGTTTCTGTAAACAGCGAAAATGACCTCGATACTTATACTACAGCTGGGTAACACTATGACTACTAGCAATGGCTAGGATCCGAGTAAGTGCAGAGTTGCACCCGAGAGAAGCTATCATGTCTCAACAATGAACGAACATTTTTCCGATTGGAAAAAATGTTGCGCATGCTTGTGATGAATCATGACATGTACCGAGGACATGAAGTGACCTCAGGCTGCACAGGGCAAAATCAGCACTTGGACTGCAAAGTTTGACACCTTAACTTGAAGTACTCACCAAACTTCATCAACATAACTCATTGCAGCAGGCTAACGGTCGGGAATCGGGATATTCAGTGCAATAGAATTACTTATTTTGGCACAGCCACATGCATCCGACCAAGCATGTAACCACCAATGTCGGAAGGATTTCATAAATTCATAGCTATGGTTACTATTCTCTTGTTCTTATAAAATAAAGTATTACAGTGGTGCACGGCATGCACTAGTTCTATCTTCCTCATTTCCATATCAGATCTATAATTCTTTTATAATCGTCGAGCACTTCCTCCTTGAATACTATGCGCTCTGCAGCGAGATCTTGCTGCATGTGCAGTTCACTTGTGGTTCCACTGAGAGGGATGACGTTGTTTAGTTGGGCAAGTTTGAAGAGTACCTGTGCAGCTGTGACGTCTAGTTTATCTGCAAGAGAGGTGGTGTGTGAGTGTGTCAGCAACGCCGGGGAACCCGTCAGTGTCCAGAACGACCTATTTGATTGACTGTCAACCGGTGAACAGCTCTGCAATCCGAAACTAACGCACTGGTAGATAATTCCATTCGCCTTACAATACGCCCAGACCTCTTTGTCCCAGGCATTTCCTTCATACCACCTGTTCTGTACTATCTGCACCTTTCTTTCCTTTTCTAGCGCTTTCAGCACTCCAACATCGTACACATTGCTAATTCCAATGGCGCGCACAGTCCCCTCATCTTGTGCAGCCATAAGCGTACGCCAGGCTTCGATCGTTAAGGGCAAAGTTCGGAGAGGAGAGTGGAGAAGGTAAGCATCGAGATATGACGTATGCAAGCTAGCCAGTGATTTGGCAAGGGAACTTTTGATCTGGGCAGGGATACTATCTCGGGGGTTATATGGGAGAGGCTTGGTTGGGTCTTGACCAGGAAAGGGGGTGAATCTAAGGAAGCTTCACGTCATGCTGCTGAAGAAACCTTCGACTGAGCCGACGTACTTTGTTTGAATGTAGACATCTTCTCGCTTTATACTATGCTTGTCTTGGAGAATTTCCAAGGCCTCCCCCACAAGATCTTCTCTGTAACATGCCTGACATTAGATGAACCAACGAAGCACTCAATGCAATACATACCTGTAGTGTTTTAGTTGACATGCTACACAATTTGTTCACCATGAACAAAATTCAGCTGAATTGAACACCTGGGCCTACCTGTATCTACAGCCCGGAAACCTTGGAGGAAGGCGCTTATCACAAGGTGAGCCGTTCTCTCTCCTTTCCTGCTTGCCAATTCAGCATGTCGCGTGCTCGCTGGCTGGAAGCTCACCATGCTGTTCCATAGATTAATTTCGGAGCTAGATTCATGACAGTAACAGGATTCAGTCTTGCAGGACTCGATATAGTACCAGAAGTACGAGGCTCATAGGGCGGCGTTTGCATGCGGTGCATTACTAGTGGAGTAAGTTACCGACATCTGTTTCCGCGTCTGTATCTCGTGACGACGTCATAAGGTTTGTCCTAGTTAGCTTAGTTAGGAGATTGTTTCCGCCTGCATAAGTGCAAGAATGATATCTGTGATACCCACAGGCTCGCTTCAGGCGTTGAACCCACGTCGTCGCCGAACTTGCGAATAAAACAAAATACAAATTCAAAGTCAGTAGGAACTCGATAGTTGGTCTATAAGGGGATCCCGGTACTCAAAAGTAGACGACCTTCACCTTCGCAGAGTTTCCGACAGGGGTGCCAAAAGCTTTCACCGTTCCTGTATATGATGCAAACTTTACATCGGCCTTTTTCTTTGCTCTCTCATCTTTCTTTATATCGCTGTCTACATCCGCATTTCGCCGCTTGAATGTGTGGAAGTCGTCTTCATCCGCACCTGCGCTTTGGCCCGTCCCAACAAAAGTTGCGGTTCCAGATTGCACTGCATCACATGTGTTACTCAGCTGATCACCGTAAATTGGTTCCATAATACATGCCTTGTTTTCTCAGTCCGCAGTCCTTGGCCAAATGAGATGTTTCGCGACAGAGTTTGCAGCAGCCTCCATTTGGATAGACACCCTTGTCCTTGTTTTGTGGACAAGATGATGCCAAGTGACCCTTACCAGAGCACACGAAACATGATGCAAACGGAAGAGGATGATGAGGATCTTCTGGGGCCTTGCATCGCGAGAGAGTATGCTGATTTGAACCACAACTAACAAAACCGAGTCTAATTCATCAATCGAAGGAACAAAGTAGAAAGACGCACCGATAACATATTCCAACAGTTTTTTGTCTCGCCACACCACCACCACCACTGGCTTCATTACGTATGGTTGGACAGTCTCTTGCAGTGTGCCCTTTTCGGCGACATGCAAAACAAGTAGTGTCTGCGTATTTCTCAGCAATTCGTTTCTGGCGTCTCGATTCGGAACGTTGAGCAGGATCTGGCCGAGCTACAAGCGTTCAACGTTCAGTATATGAGTAATTGCTCATAGTGAAAGATATACTCTTCGGTTTCCGTTTATCCTTCAGTTTCTTCTTGGGCACAACTTTCGCTGTTTCAGAACTACCCGCATCCTGTGCCTTGTCCTCATCAGCTTTTTCGTCACCATTTTCTTTTGGTTTTTTTGTCCGCTTTCTTTTCTTCTTTGGAGGAACTTGATCATGTGGCTGGCTCTCGGATGGTAAAGTGGACGTCGAAGCGTGTGGTTCTGCTTGTTCTTCAACAGGCTCGGAATTGTCAGGAAAGCCTGCTTGCACATGCGTGCGCTTTCGACCAAAATCCGTGATCCGCGTCATCGTTAGCTTCTCAACGCAGCGCAGATTGAGGTATGCACTTGATGTAATCGTTGCGCGCAAAACTTAAATCGCACCAAATTTTACACCCTTCGAACCTTTTGGGAAAAATACCTCCTAAATTGATCGCCACGGCCCCGACTCGCTTATTCCCGGCATGTTTTGTGTCCATCGAATCAAACGAAAACTAGTCTTTTTATTCCATTTTACAAACATCTGCACGAGCGAAAAAAAAGGAGAACACCATAAATCTGAGTGCCTACGGTAGTTGAGTCCGCGAACATATTCCTCCTGGAGGTACATCTTCATTTCTGCGAGTAGCATGAGATGCGATACTGAAAAACTGCTTGCATGGAGCAGAATTTAGACAGATGGAGAGAATTGGCTGAGCAATTTTCTGGAGGGGCTGGAATTCAGGCGAACTTCAATCAGAAACACAAAAAGACGCCTAGCCGTGTCTATTCCAGCTCCAAAGAAGGCGCCAGCAAGATACGCCATCTAAATCTCTGTCAAGCTATAGAAATGCCCATTTTCAAGAATGTGTTTTGCAAACGAAGGGCTAACGTCCACATTGATCTGCTGTGGAACAACTCAGACATCATGCGAAGAAGGAGAGGCAATGCATACTATTTGCTGTTTCACGTGGTTCAGCTGGTCTGTGTAGAGTCGCTTGATCCTCTCGGACTCATCCTTTAATTCTGGCGCATACCAAAGAAGGTATTTGAGCCACGGTATCGAGTCCACCAAGTAATAACCATGGCGCAGGATTGTACGAAACCTCGTGATGAGCTGGCAAGCCTCTTTGACTTCGGGGTCAGTTGCGGACGTCGGCGTGGTCTTCCCATATGTGACTTTCATGATGGTCGCTGCAGCATAACTTCAAAGTGCCTATGAGTAACGTACAAGTAGAACAACACTTGCGTTGCCGCGTGGTTCTGGAAGTTGTATGGATCGTCAAGAATGTTGAGGACCATGTCCTTTGCATGTGACACCTGCAGAGGCTGACTACGCCTCAGCTGATTTGGGCTGGAGATGTGTATGGAGTACTCTGCACCGCATTCAAAAGTAAGATGAAGATTGTTTGAGCATTTACAGTATCGCAGAGACGAACCTGCGCTTCCGACGGAACCTTTCCCCAGCGTGTGACACAACGGTGGCCAGTCCGCATGTAAGAATTTCTCCAGCAACAAGGTGAGGTCGATCAGCTAGCAGTCCACCCTGTTTCTCCATTATGTCCACCGCGGCCTGCCACGGGGTGTTGAGTCTAGAGATGACCTTGTCATAAAGGGACTACCTTTGTGGCGGCCGATAATCACAATATATTGTCTGGATTCCTGAGTGAACAGTAACGAGAGGGCCGTACTCGTCAATCCACTGCGCTACAGTGAGAGATGTGCTGATCAGCAATGGGGTAAAATTAGATTACAAAAACGAAAAGGCCAATATAAAACTTCACTTGTGAGGGGGTAGGAAGTGTCCTCGAAGTCGCCAAGTGGGAGGAGAAGGAGGAAGGCGGGATTTACGAAGGTAAGCCCGAATGATCACTCCAATTGCCCCAATGCAAGCTGTGGCACCGAGAACGAGATGAGTTTTGCTAGAAATGCGCAGGAGGAGCTGTAGCATGACTGATTGGAGGAGTGGAAGGAGATACTGACCAACCCCACAGACAGGAAGAGACGGCACCTGTCATGCCCCATTGCGCATTACTACACTTAATCCATTTGGCATGTAGCACAGTTCGGGATGAAAATGATTGCTTTGGCAAGCAGAACATGATGAGGAAGCGAACACATGACATGCGGATCAACTTGAATGATCTAAGTTTGTTGAAGCCGTGATGCACTTGCCGTTACTTGCTTATGTAATTCTACTTTAAGTTAACTGAATAGACGCTTTTGAAAAAGCACTCCACTAACGTTGGGAGTCGGTGACCATGCAGCACGTTCAGTAGACTCTTCAGTACCGATATCCTCTCAATCGTTGATCTAGTGAGAAGGATACGATGCTTCAAAGACCACAGTACTTACATTATCGCAGTAATTGTTCGCGAGCTTATTGTTTAGCTGTTTTATTCAGACCCCACGATGAACGAAACATAAGATTGCATTGATCATGAAATATATCCTTCAAATTCGACGGAAATCCAGAATTAACGGAAAGAAAAGAAAAAAACTTGCATAAACGACATCGACCCTGTAAAATCCACGATGCAATTATTCTGTTAGCCCTACGAGGTTATCGATCAACTCTAAAGCCATTCCTTGAACACCAGTTGATAAAGCGTCTTGACAACATGCACGACCATAGCATAGCCGATGATCATCGCTAGCAGGTACGAGTAGTAGATGGGCTCAGGCGGGGTGAACTTCAGGGCAGTGTTGATCTTCGGCATGTATGGGATCGCAATAGATATACCAGCGATACCGAAGGTGGTGCAAACGACTGAGATCGATGCGCGGGACTGGATGAAGGGGAGCTTGCCCGTTCGCAGGAAGTGAATAATGAACAGCTATTCCGTGATCGTCAGTATGATCGAATTTGTGGAACTTAACTAGGATCGTACCTGTGTCAGAGACCCCTCGAGAAACCAATGGGTCTGTGCAAGGGGAACAAGTGGGTTGTCGAGCGTACGAATGCCGTAGTGGAACCTGGAGCCGCCAGGTAATGGATTATTGTGGATCATGTAGGGATCTACTCACCAGTTGATACTGAATGTGATGATATCAAAAGGGCTTGAGAAGGGACCCAAGCAAATCATGAAACGGATGATCGATTTCGCTCCCCATGTCTTCGGGGCCACCAAGTACTCGGGGTCAACATTATCCCTAACATATACTGTCCGGCGTCAAATATTCAACCAGATGTAGTTATGCATACCAGGGAATCGATGCCTGAGAGAAATCATACAACAGATTCTGGACGAGGAGCTGCAGCGGGAGCATAGGCTGGTATGGAAGCCACGCAGAAGCAACTTCAAAAACATACCACATCAATGGGCATCAGTATGAAAGACCAACAGAGGACACATACCCAAGACCGAAAATATATTACCGAAGTTGGAGGAGGTCGCCATCTTGATGTACTTCAGTGTGTTAATGAGTCTACGCCTCTCATTCAGTGTTTTGCGCAAAAGCTCGCCACAGATGCACTTACGTAAGCCTCCCCTCGACCACACCGTCAGCGACGACAGCTAAGCTCTTCTCAAGTAAGATCACATCTGCCGCTTCTTTCGCAATGTCAGTTCCTGAATCCACCGAGATCCCGACGTCTGCGCCGCGTATAGCAAGAGCATCGTTGACGCCGTCTCCCAAGAAGGCGACTGCTCTGCCACCGTCACCCATGCGCAGAGCTTTCACGACCTCAAGCTTCTGGTAAGGCGAGAGTTTGGCAAAAATGATGCAGCGATCGATGGCATCCTTGTAGGCATCTTGATCATCTGCAAGGGCCGCAAGCTGGACGCCAGTGAGAATGAGGCCTTCCTCGCCCTTAGAAGAGGCAGAAGCCTCCACATCCTTCTCGTTCTCCGCAGTCGACGAATGCTGGCAAGATGGTATAAGCCCGAGGTCGCGAGCCACCTTTGCAGCCACCGCAGGAGCGTCACCAGTGAGGATTCGGACCTGTTGCGAACCGTGAGATTAAGTGTATCAAAGGAAAGCGCGGAGGAAATACATACCTGCACGTTCAATGCGGCCAAATCTTTGATTGCCTGGGTGGCATCAGGCTTCAATGGATCAAGAAGCCCAATGAATCCAATGAAGGTAAGTTCACTCTCGTCAGAGCAGGATATGGTCATGAACGGCTTGATAAGCTGTTCTCGGCAGGCCACAGCGACAAGACGCAACCCATCCTCGTTCAAACGCTGGGCAGTATCAAGAATCTTTTGCCGCTCGTCTGCTGTGAAGATTAACGTCGTTGAGGGGGATATATCCAAACCAAGCGGCTCCGAGGCATCTGAGGAAGGAGATGTCTGGTGGTTGTAGACTGACACGCACAAGTCCAAGACTTCTTCTACTGCGCCCTTTGTTATCAACAGTCCTTCAGAGCCATCGCCACCAGGTCGCGAAACTAAGACCGACAGAAGGCGGCGCGACGAATCGAAAGGAACTTCGCCCTGCTTGACCCAGCCGTCTCTGGGAATGTCTGTGAACATGTCCTGCTCATTTTGATCGACGAAGTCAACGATTGCGTGGTCGATCGGACTACGAGAACCGGTCTGCAGTGAGGAATTAATATAAGCCAACTTGATGGGAAGTTGCGAGAGGTCTCCTGTACCCGTCGTGGACATTGAAATGCGCACGAGATCAGCAGTAAGCGTCCCTGTTTTGTCTGAGCAGAGAATGCGAACTGCGCCAAGGTTCTGGATGGCATCAAAACGCTTCACAATGACTTTTTTGCGTGCCACACGAACGGCAGACAGCGCAAGGTTTGATGTCTGCATCACAAGTGTCGTTGAGAGCCACAGCATCAGAAGCAGTGTATACATACCACAATCATTGGCAACATTTCTGGCGTAATTCCAACTGCAATAGCGATCGCAAACATGATCGCACCCTTCCAGTCCTTACTAACAGCACCCTGGACGATGAACACAATCGGGGCCATAACCTGTTCAAAGAAGTCAGATTCGGAAAATACACAAAATTTGATAAATTGTCGACTCACGCCCGTGAAGGCCATCAAGACATAACTGACTTTCCTGATGCCAATCTGAGTAGCGTTTTCCGGTCGTCGTTTGGAGAGCTCGCTGGTGATAGAAGCCATGTAGGTGTCCTTGCCAGTCGAGACGACGAGGGCGTATCCATTCCCTGTGACAACAGATGTGCCCGCGAGACAAACATTATCATTATGCAGTAAATCAAGCGTTTCTCCGGGACCTGGCGCAGCAAGGCGCACGGTTTTCTCGATGGGCATCATTTCTCCGGTAAGCGAGGCCTGTGTGATTGTGATAGCCTCGGCCGTAATGAGAACACAATCACCAGGGAAGACATCACCGCCTATTATGGAACGCAGGCAGGGTTAAAATGATGAGAAGGAGAAATATAATAACCTACTGGTGACAGCTATGATATCACCCGGAACCACATTCCGCTGATCAATTTCGAGCTCCTCCGAACCAGAGTTTCGATAACGAAGAACGCGGGTATTCGTCGTGACTGACTTGATCAAATTGACTGCTTGAATCATGGACTTCAATTCTTGCCAATACCTGGGGCAACATCAGACCATCTCTGACAGAGACAGGGTCCACTAACCTTAAGCCGGTCGAAGCGAACACCATTGCCATCATGACGATGAACGTGGGGATCTGTTGAGTGGCAGCGCTGATAATTGCAAGGATGGTCAAAAGGATGTTGAAGGGATTGACAATGGCCCCCCAAAGCATCCGGAGCGCGGCGAGAGGACGTTCCGCTACCGGTGTGTTAGGTCCATGAGTTTTGAGAATCAGGGAAGCCTGTTCATCAGAAAGACCTCCAGGGTTCCATCCGGGTTCCAATCTAAAAGGTGGGAAGCGAAGAGATAAACAAGACGACACGGCAGAAATGCTGGACATACACGAATACAGCCGAGACCGGGACTTGCGCGAAACGACTGAGGGTAGCGCATATGAGTTGCTCCTGCACCTCCCTTGCGACCGGTTGTGGCGAGATGGGCGACTTGTTACTCTCGGTGTCTGGAGTGGCTATGTCAGGCCCATGCTTTTCCAAATTTCCAAGGGAGGAGCGAGAGGAGAAGAGCTTCGCAAGTGAGGGCATCGCAAGTAGAGGCATCACGGAGGCTTCATCGTAGACAGCGTGATAAGCACCCTGCACGAGTCAGAAATTTACCCAGCACAAACCTTCTTTGTGGAGCTGGTTCTACTGACGGCAAGAAGACCTGCAAACATTTCGATCATTCCTCTGGAGAAAATACGTCAAAGAGAACACTCACTATAAAGCGGGAGTTGGATGCGAGATACCATGTATATGGATCTAGTAGAACGAGGAGAGAGCGTTTTTATATCTGCGCTGAACCAGCGTGCCAGAAATTTGATCTCCAATCGGTCCCTTGATGATACTAGTCCCTGCGGGATTGATCAGGATTGATCTTGCTGATTTCTTGTTATCCGAAGCAACCAATAGACAGCCATGCAATATTAACCTGTAGTGATTGATGGTTAAAATCAACTTGACAGATGAACCCGACGTGTCGACGTGTCAACAACCCCTTGTCACACATGTCGAGATGTCAACGTTTCGACTCCTCAACCTTTGTCAAGCCGCGGATATGTCGGATCGCTCACTAGCCTCGTGGCACTGAGGGCCATGCTGGGCCAAGTGCATGAGATCTTGAGAGGCCAAGAGCAGCTGCACTTATATAGATTTACCCGACATTAGATAATTACTAGCATATGTGTGACCTCATTCCGAAATAGACCGGCTCGGAGTCAATCTTCAGAAACCATGACAATATTTAGTAAAGGTTGGACCCCGAAAGGTACGAATATTTTTCTATGTCACAGTATCCTCTGCCATTTCAACCCTAGTGCCACCATCCCGCCCATAACCCCTTAGACCTTGACACCAATCCCCAGGACCTATGTCGTCGCTGCCGATTTTTTTTTCGAAAGAACAGCGCATCTGAGTCAAGACCAGGCGGTGCCAGCAGTCGACACCCCTCTTTCATTGCCTCTTGTCATCAATCCTCCTCCATCGTACCTAATACTCTACTATATATTAATGTCTACATACATGTTCCTGTCGTTGGTGGTTATAATTAATTTTATATTGCATCCCCATCTCACCGTGTAGCAAACCAAAAGACACGAGAATTTAAGTTGGTTCATGATTGAAATTTCATCATATGTAAAGGACAAAACGCTCTCAGGGAGATGCTATACTACACACTCAAGTTCTGTATGGGAGAGTGTGTCAAACACGAGGGAAATGGGGACACAAGGATGAATAAACTAAAAAGTGGTGTATGGAGAAGCGCTGCCCCAGAGAATGTACTCAGCCGTAAGCATCGATGTGGTAACTTCAGTTGAGGTCCATCCGTCGCCGCTGATGTCCGTAGGCTAGTGAAAGTGCGCGGAGAGGTTGGGGGCAGAATGCCCTACGGACCGTGGCGGTGGTTTCTGTTGGCGACGTCAAAACGGACGGTAGCACTGCGCGTGCCACGGAGTTGAAGTCAAGGATGACAATATTTATTGTCGAGTATTAGTCGGGTAACTTGTCAATGGGTGTCTAACTGAAGGAGACTCCGGCGTGAACGTGGTAGAACAACACGGGCTGGGAAATGGCCACTCTGGGGCTTTGGCAGCTGGCTTCGGGCGAAGTTTACGCAGAGGCTGATCAACAGTGGTGATCAAAATAACGTGCGCTTTGTCATGATGGCGGTGTTCACATAGTACAATCTTATCATGTCAATAAATTCACAAACACATTGAATTTGAACTGCTCCATGCATGAACTGATTTAAATCGTGAATGTCGCAATAGAGACACGCGCGGGGGGCTCACATGAGTGTATAAGAGTGCATATCATGTACAATGGGGATGGCAGGCACAAGGTGCGGAAGGCCTCATGTAAGATGGTACAAGGGCGCGCTCGAGGAGGCGCTCGATGGTTTCATTGGTTAGCAGAATGGGAAAAAAAACACTGAATGAAAGTGAGAGGACGGCAGGTGCGCGGGGGGGGGGGCGGTAGCACGTGCCCACAGGCGCAAGAAGTTAGCGGGAGTTTGGAAAATAGGGGGGTGGAGCGGAAGTACTGAACACTGACATAGTAGTACAGCAAAACAGCAGGAGAATTCTTTTTTTTAAATGTAATGGTAGGTGGGTAGGGGGACGGGAGGGCGGGAGGAGTAGAGCTCGAGGAGCAGTTGGCAGGGAAGCACGATGGTGATGTACATATCAAAATTGCGATTCCGCTCGAACGCAGCCGCTGAAGCGCCAGACTAGCCAGAGTCTACGTGGAATAACCCCAGAGTGGCCAAACCCTGACTTTCACGGTGGTTGAGGTCTTTGCCACTGTGATTGATGTGTTCAGGGATTCGCCTTTCCCACCCTGTCGGGTGATCTACTTCGGAATGTTAACAGGGCACTACACAGTTGTCCGTAAGGGTCCGTGTCCGTACCTTGTTTACTCAGGGATTGCAGGAACCAAGTAATTTCCGAGTGATAACCGGGTACCATGAACTCTACTGGTCCTGGGTTTTAAGAAGCAACGTGCACGAGCTGACGGTTTTGACAGGCTGACGCAAGGTTTCCATGGATTATCTTACAATCACGGAGATAACCAGGGGAGGCTACAGGCATGTTACCGGTGAGCAAATCACGATATAATTGCGACGTACTATGAATGAACGTTTGAACGACCAGCGGTAACCTTCAATAAACCTTATTTGACCATTTCTCATGATTTTTCCTGGACTTCAATCCACATCTATCCGCGGTGCTGTTATTTTACCGCTATGTATTCACTGGCATCGTTCCCGAACTCAGATGTTGATCATAGATTTTGAGGTCAGCAGCTGTCAATGGTGCTCAGGGATCCAGTATCACCTGGTACTGGCTTAATTACCGCTCACCTGTGATTCATTGAAACCTATAATCAAGCAGCCAGCTGATCAAATGACCTCATGACCATTGACGATATAATACCGATTAGTTAAGATGGCGAGATGTTGAGAACCTGGTGGGTCATATTAATGCCTACGGCTAATCGATGTCCGAAGAAGCACCGTCGAGAAGACATGAGGGCACTTCAGAGGGCCTTTCGGAACCCCGCAAGGTCCTGCCCAAAGAACATAACCTTGGCAGTAGGTGTTTGCAGGGCTGGACTCTGCTATCGAATCTTTCAATACCTCAGAGAGTCCCATCATGCGAAGCCCCGCAGAGGCCAGCTATCACATGGTGATTATCAGTGTGAAGGACAACGTGCTAGGCTGCAAGATATTTTATAGCAGCACTCACTAAGACGTGTTCGAAGGAAATGGTTGCCGCAGAGCGAAAGCGGTAAGTAGCTCGAAAGAAGCAGTAGGACGGTCAGACTCGGATCGGAAAATATAACGTAGAAAAGATGCGATGTGTGGAGGCCGTGCCGCGGAATCTTGGGAGGCATGCCCTGCTTGTGACAACGGCGAGGTGGATACTTGGAGTCTATCCAAGCGCGTCGATTGGCGCGTGATCCTCTTTCGAGGCGTAAGATAGTGTCCTGCACGACAAAATGTATGCCCACTGACGGCAAGCGTTGATAACTCAAAATTGGCTAAACAATAACAGCGAACACGCGTGATGTACTGAAGGGTACCTCTCTGTTGTGTTGATCTGGAATGTAGATTCGTATGCAAGAGCTGGCAATACGAACGGATGTGCGACCATAAATATATTGTTACCGCAACGTTGCCCGGTGAAATGTGCAAACAGAAGTCCGCACGTTCAGGTGTCGATGTCATCATGCACGTACAGCAAAAGACACTGCAATCGACACTGAGCCGCCTGCTATGCCTGCTTAATGTATAGAGTGCATTTTCATGACAACCATATTAGCATGGCAATTTACACGAACTCCACCTTCTGTAAAAATGCTTGCAACGGGTCACAGATCATTCATCCAATTTCCAGTTGTTCTCCTTCACTATTTTCTCGCGCTCAAGAAGGTACTTTCCTATAGCACATAAGATGGTATTAAGCCACGATCTGTACAAGGACTTACCTTCCTTATATTTCTGAGACAAATCAGCTGCCTTATGATAATACCATCCAACACGGTCGTTACACCCCACGCAGAAGATGTCTGCTACGGTGTGGATACCTGTGCTAAAACGTAAGGGTTGGTCAGAAGGGACGAACAGAAACTTAAGGGTTGCGTACTCACAGAAGTGGGCGATCCTCTTTCTTTCCCAATTTCACATTGGTTGCTGAGTGCATAAGACTGGATTGTGAAAAATCGCGTCACTCATTCTGGTGGTGAATTGAATTATGTGTTACTGACAAGCCTCTTCCTTCTCTGCCTGAGAAAGACTTGCTAATAAGTTCGTCCTGCAGCGCCTGAAGATCCGTAATGAATGTGCGGGCTTAGCAGTAGCCTTTTCAACACCATCATGATCGCGCACCAGCACCGCTGAACAGCTTACACAAATGAATCTGGGATGGTCGTGATAGGTAGAGATAACCTGGCCGCGGGTGTCACTACTAGGACTTATGGTGGAAGTCATTGGTGTCAAGCGCCATCTTCAAGGAAGAGAGGTATCACAGGAGTTCAAGTCGCTGAATTTGGTAAACCCTGCATGACCGGAAGCAATCAATTTGGCGTGACAAGTTGTTGGTTGCCCGCAACACTACGTGGAACGGTTGCTCTCAGCAGCTCTTCTGCAGGTTATTACCTCGCATGTCCACACGTTCGACATATGGGCGCCATGGACATGCTGAACTTCCACAAGAGGTCGTCGTTACAATCCAACGCATCCTCGAGCTCAATCCAGAGAACCAGAACGATCCCCTTGATGTTCTGTCTAACGAGTTTAATCCACTAGATATGCTGAACCAGCTTTTTCCAGATGGTATGTTACGTATCGAGGTGTAATCGTGCCCACTGAACAAGGTATAGAGGCCTCACTGAGCCAGCTAGAAACAGTTCAAGCAGGACTATCTCAAAATGAACGCAACTTGCAAGGCGAAATTGATGCACTCAAGGAAGAGCTAAGACATGATCAAGATCCCAACCGTATGCAGATGATTCAGGAAATGATCTCGGTATGCCTGCCGGTCCAACTGCTGGAGTCCTTATTGAAGTGTTGTGACAGGACCTCCTTGGGCAAATGTCACGTATTCGGGAGAAAGCGACAGAATCTGAGGCTGTTGTGCGCGATATCACGAAAGATATCCAGGCTCTTGACCTGGCGAAGAAGAATCTCATCCTCAGTATGACGACACTCAAACGCCTGCAGATGCTGGGTATGTTCCTTTGCATTACTGTCGCAAATATTTCCACTAATCCTTCAAAGTAAATGCTCTGACACAATTGGAAGACCAAGCAAAAGAGAAGAGATACGGGGACGTTTCACAGACTCTTGCAGTCGGTTTCCATCTCCCATTTTTGCAGCAATCTCCTGACTCGTCCGCAGGCTGTGAAGCAGATATCCGCCTCCTTTAAACCTTACACGTCCGTCCATCGCATTAATCAGGTCTGGAGACGGGTACAACAAATCCAGGGTGAGATTCGCACTCAACTCGAAGCAGAGTTCGACGCGTTGTAAGTCACTTTTTGAGTATGCAGAGTCTTTGAATTGTCAATCTGTTTAGTTACCTCCAGGACCCCGCTAAACCCTCGAAACCTACTCAGATCATAGATGCTTGTGCTGTAGCCGACGTTTTAGGCGATGACGTTCGGAGACATTTGATTGACCGTTATGTTGCACTTGAACTCAAGGAGTATCGGCGCATCTTCCGTGCCACAGATGAAGCAGGTCATCTCGACAATATTAGCCGGAGGTACGCATGGTTTAGACGTGTGCTTGGAACACATGAGTTGGAATTGGGCCGCGTATTCCCTTCAGAGTGGAAGGTTGGATGGGCACTTTTCACGAAATTTGTAGCTATCACAAGGTTCGTCACGCCATATCATATAATACACTTCTAATTGATATCTTTATTTCCTCAGAGATGATCTTGCAGCATTGCTCTCTAAAGCAGGCTCCTCTTTGACAATCCAAGCACTGCTCGAAGCCTTAAGGCAGACAATCGAATTCGAGTCGTCCATGACAAAGAAATGGTTAACGCCAGTATGTCAATCTGAAGCATACCTATCGCTACCTTGTTAACGACAGACCTTTGAACAGCTTAATGAGATATTGGAAGCAAGCTCACCTCCGTCGTCAGCGGCCATTCAGTCGATGTCATCTGCCTTTGAACCACATCTTGGTGTCTTTGTGGATGCTCAAGACAAGTCCGTATTTACTTCTCCTAATGCCTACATTTACTATATCTGCTGATCTATTAGAGCTCTTGCTGACATGCTTGCCATTCACCGAGCATCGAGTTCGAAGGCAAAACCACGAACATCCCTTGATACCACCCCGCGTGATTCTGTCTCCACAGATGGGGACGCGGCTACTCCACAGACGGTACTCTCTTCGTCAACAGAATTGTTTTACTTTTACGGTCAGAGTCTCGAGCAATGCGCCAAGCTATCGACAGGACAAACACTCTTTGATTTGTGTATGGTACACAAGAAATGGCTGCGCAGATATGCTGGTGAGATAACCTGGGTATTTATTACAGACATATCTCTGATGTACGATGTAGAGGATGTCCTTGCACCACGATCAAAGCGGTTTGTGACGTGTAGTTAAAGACTGCTGTATCAAGCATCTGACGCATCTGCAGGCCGACAGCACAAACACGGAGGTCAATGGACTCGCGTTTTGATGTTACGGATTTGCAACAGGCCGCCCTGTTGATCAATACAGCGGACTACTGTCAAGCTACAGCTCTGGAGGTCAGTCCACCGCAGCTGTATGAAGCTTTTATTGAGCGTTGCATGGACTTAGCTCGAGGAGAACATCAAAGAGAAGATCCAGGACGGCTTTAAAGAGAGAGTAACATTGCAAGCAGAACGTGATTTGTTCATGACGTATTCCTATTATTCTCGTTGTCCATATCTGATCGCTAATGCGAAGCCAGTGCTATTTCCGTCTCTATCATGACACTTTTACGAGAATTGGAGGCTGCTTGCGAGGGTGCTTTCACCACGATGTCCCGTATGTCGTGGGAGAAGCTGAACCAGGTCACTGGACAGTCTTCATATGTGGATGATCTTGCCCGGGCTGTCGAGAGCTTTTGCGACATTATAAAGCCCTTAATCGAACAGAAAAAGTACCTGAGGAATTTCTTTGACAAGGCATGCAGGTTAGTCTTGTCACTTTATGTAGGGAGAAATGCTGATAGTTGGGTAATAGTCTTGTCTTGGCGAAATTCACCAACGCGACGGTGAAGAGCCGACCTTTGAGAGAAATTGGTGGAGAACAAGTATGTTGGAAGTTGATTAATTTGCTCTTCTTTGACCCAACCCAAAATATTCCAGTTACTGATTGACCTGGGTGTTGTCAAATCTTACCTAATGCGACTACCAGGAGAAGCACTAGTGACGCAGGGGTAACAATGACCCCCGTATCTTAAGAAAGGTTAGCTCATAATTCGTTGCATAGATATACCCGCAGCCTTACGAAGAGCACAACGAGGCTCGAGGCTCTGCTCAAGGTCATTGTGACACCGGTGGTAACTACCTTTTCTCCCACCCATGTTCCGTCACTCACAAAATGTCAGGACCCTCCTGAAGGTTTCATTCTAAACTATACTCTTCTCATTGGCGACGCTTCATTTTCAAATTTCCAAAAGGTTAGGCCACCTTCATTATTTTGGCTGCATTTTGTTCACTGATGGGCTCTTTATTTGCTGTGCTATTACTAGATCCTCGATCTGAAAGGCACACCGAAGGCCGAGCAGAACAGCCTTCTTGATTCATTCCTCACCATTACGAGCACCAAGACAGATCTCGACAGTACATCGTTTCTTTCTGCCCTCGATATGGATCCCCCCTTGACACTTGGTGCGACATTCGGCAGCCCAGGCTCTAGCAGAGTCACCCTTCCGCTGTCAATCACACCAGGCGCTGGATCAGATAGTATATTTGGATCACTTGGGTCTCCGCCCTTGAGTGGACCACCCACGGGATCCAGCACCGACGGAAGTACTTCCAGGGGGCTGGAACCGGGACAGAAGCGAGAAGCCTTTGACATAAGGCGATTTGTCACTTTCGGTTTGCGACGATCGGAGACCTTACCGACTTCCTGACTTCCTAACTTCTAAACATTTTTTACTGGATCGGCGGAAACATATGCATCACAGAAAACAAAAAAAATTGTACTTGTGAAAAAAATGCAGTAGGGTACAAATGCGTGACGTGAATGATAACCTAAAGGGAGCGACAATGAACTTGGCTGTGAGATCAGAGCATGATCAATACAAACTGGGTATCTCCAAAAACCAATGGGTAAATGAGAGAAGCATCGGATATATTGTCCAAGAAATTGTCATCTTTATCTCTGAGAAGGTGGCAGCCTATCATTGATCGTTGTTCGGCTCCACGAGCCTTGTAAAGGTAGTCGCAAGTTTGGCGATCCAGACGTGGAAGGCCGAGGTCTAGGACCAATCAACGAGCCCATCCGATAAGGACCTCTAGGAGAAGATCCTAGAGGGGATGTTCCAGGTCGGGATACCCGTTCCGCAATTGTTGATGACGAATGGCTTGCAGGGACCGGCCGCAAGACGGGCCGCAGGAGAGTCTGGGGTAACGGGCGACATTCCAAGCACACGCTGCACAATATACGGCGGTGGAGTGTTTGGTTGCGAGCTAGGGAGAGGCGGATGTGGAGGTAAAGTAGAGGCTGCGCTTTCTCTTCGCGAATCAATGTCGGTGGAATCGGAGTAACTATGTCGGAAATAGACGTCGGATACAGAGAAGGGTACGCTCTCTGTGGGAGAGGTGGGAGAATTTGCATCTGATGGAAGACCCGAATGTCGGGGTTCTGAAGGGGCCTGCGCTTGCTGGGGTACGGGGGGTGATGGTGGACTAGGGGGTGAGAAAGACTGGAGTTCCTCATGCTCGCTCTCGCGCTGGTAGTCGATATTAAAGGGGTGCGGCATGTGCGATGAAGGCGGAATAGTGATAGGGAAGGGAAACGAGGATCCATGAGTAGTGTGTGTAGCATGCGCAGACGGCGAAGAATGAGCATTAGATTTATCGGAAGGACTTTCGTTGTGAGATCCCTGAGACACAGTGGAAGGTGCATCAGGTCCAGAATGCATTGCGTCACCAGGTTTATCGCGTTCAATGCGTACCATCCGCATGGACGTGTTATCGCTCCAAGGCGTACGGACTCCGCTGTGCCCCAATTCGGCTGCAGCTGAGCTTAGCGTGGTGGTCTTTGATTGCCGACGTAATGATGAATGCGACGAGGTGAAGTCGAGGAAGGAGTAAGTGCCTGAGGCAGGCGCGTCTTCAGCTTGGGGGAGGCTCTGATCCCGATCCTGATTGGAGCATAACGACCGGGACCGACTCAGGGCTGGGGTTCTCAGACTTGTCCTCGTGAATGCTCTGCTTCCCGTCGTCTCTGTGAGCTCTTCGGTAGAGCCTGGCACAAACCCGAGACCAACTGCTACTTCCGCTCCCACTCGTCCGTCGTGAGTCCTGACGTCCCCTGAGCTGGCCGAGAAGAGCTCCCACGTCTACCCTGAACGGGCTGGTCTCTCTCACTTCCAGAAACCGTGAGCCAGGCCGAGACGGTACGGAGGACTCCCTACTATCATTCTCTGTTACGGCACCCTCAATCCCCGCAATTGAGCGCACAGCGGAAACGAAGAGGCCTGGCGCTTCCGACGTCCGCGGGCTAAGGGAAAGTGTCGCTGCAAGTGTTTCATCTTGCCGTGACGTGAGGGTCTTGGCATCCGCATCGTCATCATCATACGCATCCTCTGCTCCCACCTCTTCCACATACAGTTCCGGAAGCGCCAATCTGTGGCTTCCTACTCGTGTGTGTCCTTTTCCCATAGATCCAAACGACGTGCGTGCGATAGGATTAGTCCAACCTGGCGCTAGTTTCTCAGATTCCGGTGGAAAGCCCAAGGCAGTAAATTCTACGGTGAGGGTGTTGGTCGATAAGCGTTTGTCGTCGCCTCGCTCCTCAGGCGGAATTGCAACGTGGGAGACGGAACGCGAGCGTGTGTTGTCAACGTGACCGCTGCTGCTGCCCCCATTTTTCGTTTTGCGGACGAAGGGGAAGGTGCGTTGCAGGCCGAGTCCGAATCCGTACCCTTTGCTGGTACTCAAGCTTGCCACTTCGGTCTCTTCTTCGCATGGAGGGCTGATGTCAATGACACGTCCCGGGTCCACCGTTTTCCTGGTGTGTGAGTGGCTTGATTTCTGCCTCCTACGAGCACGCGGGCGAACAACAAATACCCAGTACATGAGGATACACGCTATGAGGACCACCAAAACAGCACCGAGTACAATGGCGGCAATGGTCCCGGCATAAGTCGAGCTGCTCGATGAGGATAAGACGGTGGTACTTCTGATGAGTCGGTCAGCATCTGAAACAATAGTCTGCAGAAGAACACGACGCACGTAGTGGCATTGCCGAAGGCGGTGACGTTCATCCCACCAACTCTCATAGCAAATGTTGTGTTCTGAGTGTTGGTGAAGACAACTGTATGAGAGGTATCTTGAGACAGTTCCGTAGCGAAATATAACAACGCATTTGAATTATTATATGAGGATAGAGCGGAGAAGCTAGTGGTGATGTTATCGATTGTGACGGAATAATTTCCAGAATACGAAGACACAAGGCCGTAGACAGTTAAGGCCGATCCTTCGGAGATCGAATCGGGAACACCATAAATTCAACATGACTGGCAATAATAGAAGTGACACTTGCCTATGAATGTGGTCTGAGCATGGTCACCGGCGGTGTTGGACACATGCATAGAATTTCCCGTGCTGTCAGTGACATAACTCCATCTGCCAACGAATGCGATGTCGTTATCGTCATCAATGGTCGTTGAGTTAGCCGTCGAGCTGAAAATAATATTATCAGCACTCTAGGAACGTAGATCAGCACTCTGGCTATGTTGGTAAGAGCTCACTTGATGATGCCAGGGGGGGCAGTATAGGTGACGAGAGCCTTGTCGAGAAGTATATATGAGTCCGGAGTCGTTTGATTCGTGAGAGTCGTCAACAACACTGTATGATTTGTGTTGGTTAAATCGTGCAAGGATGCAAGGATGGATTCCGGGTCAGATGTATTGGGAGAGGTGTTAATTCCGTCTAAGGTTATTTGATAGGATGCATTGTGAGCATTGCCCAGGAGATCAATACCAGTGCCTGAGTAAACGATGAGCGACCCAGTTTATGGTTTTGATGTTGATTGGCAAGAGCTGTGCTTACCGTTCCATTTAATCATGAAGCTTGCCTCATTGAGATTGGTACAATGTGTACTATATCCTACACCAACCTGACCTGGAGAAGAAGCAGCACCTGAAACCGAATAGAACTGCTCCCAGCCTGCAGAAGCATTGGGACTGAGGCTTGTGTCTACGAATGGGTAGTAGACGATCTCCGGCGAATCGTCCTCAACGTAGAACTGGGATATGTTACCTGCCATTCATATGACCGATGGACGACAGAGCTACGATGAGGGGGAGACTGAAAGGGAAATGAGGTGTGCGAAGAGAGCCGGTTATAAGAAGAAAATGGCGCTGAGGAACACCAGGAGATTGAAACGCTTGATGATCATTCGGCTGCAAATTCCGCCTCGAGGTTCTAAGCCGTGCGAGTTCTTCAAGCTGTTTTATGAAAACCGGAACGGGCCTTCCTACTTAAAATAATGACTTGTAGTCATTGAAGGTGGTGTGTGACACAGTGTGAGAGGGTGACCTAGAGCAGTCACAAGCTAAATCACCATATCAACAACTACACTGGGTCACTTGACCTCCGAGTCTTCCGGTGGGCTTAGCCATCATCCTGTGTCTTTTAAACACGTTATCCGTACATGTCGCGCGCTCGTGACCCTGATGGTGACAATCATTGATCCTGAAAATCTGCCACATCCTGGTTCCATATTGTTCCTGCCGTCTTTGCTTGCCCATATACGCGCTGCTGCTCCTGGTCTGCCAATCGAACCCGTCATTATCCAAGTTTTACTTCTTTGTATCGTTTCAGGGAATAGAAATCTTATCTTGCGGACCCGCGAAGAGGACATTGGTCTTGTGTCCAGACTTACGACTATCGTGAGCATGCTGAAAAATTTGGCATCTCAATAATAACCCTGTACCTTAAGTCGCTCACATCTGTCTTCGGTCGCATCACCCACAAACTTAGATGTCATGCTGATGCTAAGTCTCAGACACCCGCTACATTTCTGAGATCTCTCTTTATCCCACCCCCAGCTATCATCGCCACCGATGGCTCGCTATCACCCCCACACAGGCACCATCGTTCATCAATGACAGTGCACAGCAGGAAGTCCTCTTTTCCGATGTCTATGTCCTTTTCAAGCGACGTTGCGCGGTCCATTCAGCATACCTCGCAACTAGCCTCTGATGATCTGACTGCCAGTGCTGATGGCGGACCGTTCACAGAAACCCGCTCGATGTCAACGCGCCTGAGCCTACAAACTGAACCCTCCGTACCCAATATTGGTTCTAGTGGCAATGTGGCAATCCATCACCGTCGTACATCCCATGTCAACTCAGATGTGGTTAAGATACCATCTGCAATTGTTGTCTCTGGATTAGAACATACTAGTTTACCTGCGCAGCGGGCTGTCCTACGGACTCTTGTAGAGAGGAAGCTCATCGTATCGGATAACCACTCAGACATCGAGCCAGAATTGCAGTTTGATCTGCCAGACGACTTTATCATGGTCTATGTATGTCGCTTAGATCCACATGAGAGACCGCCTATATACAACAGCCTGGTATGTACCTTCTATACGGTATCATGTGCCATCTTATATGTTCCAGCTCGATTGGTTTGCTATGAGTACGCCTATCAACGTTCAGCTATCCACACGAGCTGCGATGCATAATTATCAACCTCACCGCACCTCAACACCATCCACAGCCCTATCCTCGCCCTCGATACCAGGGTATCCATTCCCCAACGTAATTATGTCAGGCCCGCCAACCCCTCCTCCACCAAATAGCTCTACGCCCATAATACCTGCTACGTTCTTGGCAAGGCTAAAAAGCCTATGCGCTACCGAAGTTCGCATGCGCCCACCGCTCGAAATATACCTCGCAGATTTATTTACTGCCACGCGGCATTTTGGTGCGTTAGACGCTATGATGCTCACTGCGCGTGCACGCCAAGACGCGGAGGTCCTTGCGCGGGCCGCACGGGTGCTCGGTGTCGATCAAACAGGGGCAGAGCTGATTAAGGAAGTGTCGATCGGTGATCCAGAGCGCACTGACGAGAACAGCACCGAATGCGGGTATCCTCGTTCCAGCACGAATACCCAGAGTTTTGAAGCGCTTATCGATGGCTCCCCACTGCCATACGATGTACCTGATGTGACTAGCGTGCATACTCGCCGCAGTATGCGGAGTGCGCCCATCGAAGATGAGGAACTGCTAGAATTGGATGTGTCCGAAGCGGATGTGGCGAGGATCTTTCCGAGGGTGGTATCGCATCGTGTTAGGGTAAGGGACTCACCTGTAGATGAAATTCTGAGCAGCGCAGTTTGCGGGGCTGTAAGTCGACTGGGGGTCATACCAAAAGGGATGAATTCAGACTGGGAAGAGGGACCTATTGATGTGCATGATCCAGATACTGTCTGGGAGCGGGAAACAGTCAAAGATATATTGGTACAGGTACTTGCAAAAGTATGATTATCATCCCCCTGTTGGTATGGTACTAAGTAATCTACCGATGAAATATCTTCTATAACAGTACTTATAGCATGAGGCGATGACTTGGAGACAGGTCCATATACAGCCGTCATTTATAAGTGGCGGCGGAAGCACAAGAACGCTACGCCGTGTGACTAAGTGGCTTGCCTTCCTGGCTTCACTTAACAAATCCAATCAGTGCAGAATTTGAAGTTCTCTATTTTTTGCCCGTGAGCTTTACAGACTATTCGTTATTCAAGGATTTACAATGATTGCCATAAAAGGTAACTTTGAGCCCTGCTATGTGCAGTAAGTCAGTGACTCCGGGAATGAGAAAAATATCATATACGATACGTTAGTGCTGAAAACAGAAGCCTAAATAAAGAATAACAATCGTGTGAAATCCTACTGCAGCAGTCAGAAGCAGAGGAAAGTTTGAGTCCAAAACCGTACATGGCAGGTCGATTCCCCACGATGACAATGCAATGAGCTGGTGATCCTGGAACTGATGCCAGCTGGCGCTGTGTGGACAAGCCCGATTGATCGGGCTCGTAAACGAACACAATGAGGTCCTGGAATAATTTCTTAAAGTGGTATGCTCGTGAAAATTGGATCAGGAGCACCATGACCATGTTACATACAGGCAAACGGTTTTCATCTGCCATGCTCACCCTTGGTGAATTATGTAGGTTAATGCCACGCTTATTAACTTGGTCTCTTGGTGTTGCTTGCGTTCCATCGAATGTTCTGTCAGACGGTTCCAACGCATACCAAGTACTGGCCCAAATCGCGGAATTCTGGTAGCGGAAGGTGTCTAAAACAGGATGACAATGAAAAGGAAGCAGAAGACTAGTTGAAAAATGGAAAACCTGTCCACGCACTGCATCTCTAGGAAGGACCATCGGTATGTTGAATAGATACACGGCAGACAAACAATACAAAATGAGTCCACCGTGTGGGATCTCTGATGCGTCTCACCTTTCCACTCGCTCGCACTAACCGCGGAGCAACAATGTCCGCGCAGAAATTATAGGATCCCGGAAATTGGACACATCCCAGAAAATCATACCTGCTTATCCCAAATTGCAGCAACATCGACAACACGATGAGTTTGACTATAGGAGGCACTTTGCCTTGGACGTTCTGAGAGTTCAATTGCTTCATTGCTATCGGGTGAAGAGCAGAAGAAGAACAAGGATAGGCAGCCGAGGACTGCATCTGGATGTGACATCGACGGCCTCGGGCACTGCTGGAGTTGGGGTGTTTCATCGGTAGTCGGTTAAGAGTGAAGGCGTGAGGACAGAGGATCGAGAAGCGCATGCGAGCATGATTCCTAAGGCACTTGGGGTTGCTGAGTTTCGGTCACCTCATCATTGTTGGATCGAAAGCGGCGGAAGAGCGAGGAAAGACGAGCAAGGAAGGCATGTGAGCGTGATCCTGAAGGCACTTGAAGTACAGTCACCTCATAATTGAGTCCGCAGAAGGAAGATGACATGACCGACGCGATGCATTGGGATTGTGTTTGTGAAACATGGAGCACCATTAATGAGTAGCGGGGTATAATACGTATGCTTACCTAGGAGGTACCAGTTTCGAGCGAGGTAGACTATGACCCAAGTGGGGAATTTTGAACGACGATATCATAGATTTATTCGAGTGGGATGTCAATAAGCCATCTGACAGAACAATTTAACAAATGCGCCTACAGACCCTTGGAAGCGCACTCTGAGACGGCTCTGCGCTGTCGATACGAGTGCAAATGTCGTGTTCCGGTCATGATAATTCTTGTTGGATACGTATCCGTCGCATCTCGTTCACTAGAGTGTGCTGAAAACGAACCGATGTTTGTGAGCAAAGGGAACTCGGGATTTACCGAAGACTTGGATGTGATAATTTAGTGATGCGGCAAGTTGTGACAGAGCGTACTAACGCTACTCATCTCCGATTAATGATTCTGCAAGAAGTCGTCCTATGCGCCACTGCACCCCAGGCCTCTGGCTCAGGCTCAGGCGCAATCGTTCTACATGACGTCCAGACCGGTACATCACTTGCTTCCTTCAAGCAGTCTAGCTCTGCTCCGCACTGCACATCATTTGTCGAAACGCGCGATGGCCAGGGAGGGTTCATCCTCGCAGCACAACAAGACAAATCAATCCTAAATGTCTACAACTTCCAAAAGGTGGGCCCTATGTTTCTGATGCAGTTTTCACCTTTCTCAGTATATCATAGGACCAACTCGCATTTAAAATAGTGCTCCCTGAAAGGCCTTCGTGCATTGCGCTGGATCATTCAGGAAGCTTCTGTGCAGGAGGGACGACCCAAGGTCGAATATATGTGTGGGAGGCGCGTCAGAGAATATAATATGTTAAGTGGACCCCGACTCAATTTTTGACAGTAGGTCGCATCAGGCATCTTGTACAACTCTTGGGACGCCCACTATCGCCACGTCAATGTCCTCAAATTCACCCATGACGGCGCTGCCCTTATTTCAGGCAGTGATGACTCTAGTGTTAGTGTTTGGTCCATGGCTAGGTCTGTTGCAAATTTCTTGTCATTGTCGTACTGCTGACAGCCATGTAGAATTGTCGACAATGACACGCAAAATGAACTTCCGACCCCATATTGTACGCTATCAGACCACACCCTACCAGTAAAAGACATCGTTTGTGGCCTTGGCGCATTCCCTACTTGTCGCGTGCTCACTGCGTCCCTTGATCATAGTGTAAAAGTGAGCTCATCTTTCTAGCTACGGGTGCCATTTGTTCACCTTCAATATGAAGCTCTGGGATCTATCTTCTCAGTCGTTGTTGACTACCTTCCACTTCCCTAAACCCATATCATCAGCAGTTTGGGACATCACCGAACGCTTATTTTTTGCTGCCTCACCGGATGGTTCCATATACCAGGTCAACCTTTTCCGCCAACGAACCGAAAAACACGCTGGTCAGACGATCGAAGCCGTTGGAGGCGCAGGCGTCAGCGATCTCATCCGTGTCGCCGACGAGGACAGCAACAGTCGAAAGCGTCTCATAACAGTCGAGTATGCCTCTCTCGTAATTCCCTTATGTGTATGGCTAGCTGACGCACCTTGAATACAGCCAACCAATAACCGTTCTCACCATCTCCCTCACCAGCTCGCTTCTTCTTGTGGGCACTACTACGGGGCTCATCCAAATCTACGACATTGCCTCTCACCAGCTCCTTCGCACCATCTCAACACACAAGGGCATGTCAATATCCCATCTCGCGACTATGCTCAAGCCGCCTGACCTTGTCGGACACATCAGCCTGTCCCTCAGCGTTGGAAGTTCCGCCGATGCGAAAGACATCATTCCTATGCGCCCTATCGTGCCGTTCCACCGTACAAAAGATTCAAAGGCAAGGGAGGCGCACGAGGTGGCGATGATACTTCCCGTGCAGGATGAGGTAGATTTTTCTTCTGTTGAAATGGGCGCTTTGCTTATGTTGACATTTGCCCCCTAAGACCCCTGGAGGCATACCAAGCGCTTACGACTATCCCGAAGCCGAGTTTCAACGAGATTATGCGTTTTTCGTACAACCGAGTGCGATTGCCACCTCGGAGGCATCGAGTGCGCGTGTTGCCAAACTTGAGGCTGAGGTAGAGAACTTAAGAGAACAACTTGGGAAGGCGAAGGGGATTAACGATGTGATGTGGGAGACGGTTGTGCAGAAGGTCATGACACAGGAAAAACAAAATGCCTCCTGCACTTCGAATACGTTTGAATCTTAATTACTATTTTGTAACGTTCAACATGTTCGGAGCAGGTTGTTTTGGGAAGAGTACATATGTGAATGGAACGCTGTTAGAGTAGCAAAGTTCTATAGTCCCTGTACTGCAGGCTGCAGTGCACGTGCATAGTTAATAGTCCAGAGGTTACCTCACTGGCCAAAATCTAAATTGATAACCACTTTGTCCCCAGTACATCGGAAACGGGCTACTGACTACTCTGTACCAACTTACAGAACAGCTACTCCAACTGCAACTCTTCAAACAGATTCCGATAGAAGAGCCTACAGCGCCATGACAAACGGTCCTCCGCCCTCCCAAGCAGGCCCCTCACAACCATCTGAAACGTCAGCACAACAGCCGACTCACATAGGCCCTGTTCCAGTGTCTAGCACGACTTCGCAACAGGCTATAACAGCAGGTCCTTCCTCGCAGCTTCAGCCCGTACAATATGGGCCTGTGACTCAAGGACAGAATCCTCAAGGCTATTACGCGATGAGCTACACACCCGGTGGATGGCAAAACGCATGGCAGGTCCCCTCTTACCCGTACATCGCGTCCGGTAGCGTACCAGGCCAGCAGACACACTACGCTCAGGTTCCCTATGCTCAATATCAACCTCCTGCTGTGACCTACCAGCCGCGTCAGAGAAACAAGGTTGCACAAAAACCGCGTTCACCAACCCCAGAACCTGAATTACATCGTCATTGGGACGAGGTGATACGGTCGTTCTTGAAGAAGGTTGGGATGAATCAGGCTTTGAAGGGATTCGAAGATGATATGGTAGTTATGAATGCGGATTGGGAAAGGCAGAAGGTTCCTGGTGCTATTGGAGATTTAATGAAGGATCTTATGGTGTGCGCTTCGCCCCTTTGCTACGCTACGTACTGAACTAGTTTCCTTCTCAGAACTTGGGGAAAATGAAAGGCAGCGAAACGCTCCAGGAACGACCATTGGAGGAGCGAAAGCTCGATTATGTTCATCTCTCTGGCGGTGCCAAGCCCCAGTCTCAGGCGTCGGTGATTTTTCTGTGTATTTGACCTTCGTCACAGCGTCTAATCCATTGCAGATAACAAGATCAATATCCCAATTCCTCGCCCAAAATCGTGCGAGGAATGACGCCTCTAATCGCACAGAGTTCCTCGAATCTCTCGCCCAAAAGCGACGGCGACTAAATCTTGATCCAGACAGTACAGAGCCCATACCATCCTGCGCACGAACAGATGCAAAGCACCTTGACCGCGACGTGCAGATGAAATATGATATTGCAAAGAATGAAGATGGACCTCTCCGACGAACCATGAAAGGTGTCACTGGTGATAAGGGCTGGCAGAAAGAGCTTCTCGCGCTACATGATGATGCAGAAGGCGGACAGCAGCCTGCAACAGACCAACGGGTAACGAATATCGAAGAACATCTTGCCGTCCGCTATGGTAGGTATATGATATATTGTATGAGTGGCATATTCTAAAAAGAGACATAGTCCCTGCTCCACCACGAACGCTCCTGTCCCGTCTCCGACTGCTTGAGGACCATCTCATGCAGCTCGAGAAGGATTACCCGCCGTGGGCTGCTTTACATTTCAACCAGCCAAATCGCGGTGTATGTTATTCTTTCATTGGATATGTCAGACATTCACTTACCCGGAACCCAGTGGCCTCCACCTCCACGCCAGACACCGATTATAGTTCCTTCGCACATTACAACAACAACAAAAGAGTCTAAGACTGATACTCCGCAACAGGAACCATCATCTTCCAGCCCCACCGAGGAAACGCCACGCACAAAAGTGAAAAACAAAAATAAATCTAGTTTGCACCGAGCGGTGATGGAGAAATTGGAAATACAAAAGGCGATGAGTGATCTTGCAGGAGTCCGCAAGTCCAATTGACAATGACTATATATTTGTCAAAGGATTAATGGGGGTAACATGCACCTTGTCGGAAACGTGTTCTGTCCGATCCGCAGGCAGTGTCGCCCCTAATCGCCCCCGCACACCGTGATCAGAGTACAGCCGATGTCGTGTTCTCTCATTCCGCAGCCAGTATCCCCTTTCTCCCCTGTGGGTCCGCAGCCAAACAGGAGGTTTGGTTAAACTAAGAGTGGGCGATGCCGACAAACACCTTACCTGCTCTGGGCCTCTGGCAGTACATAGCGACCGAAATTAACACTTGCATAACATAATGTTTAGATGATTTGACATGATAATCTAGTGACCCTATCCATTTACGCCAGATATATTGTCGGCTATTGTTGGTCGGGCCGCGTCAGCCTCATGGTGGATACTTAAGTTACTCTGCAATCAGTGATACGTCGCGCGTGCAGCACTTAATTCAAGCACCAGTATAGGAGTTACGATCGACACGCATGGCTGCACCCAAATAGTACCTAATGATCTCGGCAGGTTAGGTGTAAATTTTAAACATGGCACCGAATCGCCTCAAGAATTTCATTAGCGAGTATGCTTTCTGGAACTGTGTTCAACTTTTCTGTGCAGTGTGAATATCCATGAACTGAGATAGTACCATCCTTATCTCCATTTTTTCTAGGTGTTAAGGTGAAGACTTGGTTTACTCATGGGGGATATTTGCCAACATGAATCATTACTCCTGCAAGGGGGAAAATTTACGACACCGTAAAGATCCGTCAAGCCGGGAACGACGATGAGTAGCTTGAAGTGACTTGAATGCGCATTTGCTTCAAACGTGTTCACTGATAACCGTTGAAATGTCTCGTCCACACAAGTCGGAAGGGAGGAACTGAGCAATTTGACGGCAGCTTACGGTGATGTAAATCAGCGCAAACCGGGGAGATCTATTAATCGCTGCTCGGGTACGTGTCCCAAATGTAACATCCTATCAGTAAGGGAAGTGTTAGAAGGGTCCGGCGATTCTTCCGCGCTTTCTTGATCTCGTGGCGAAGCAAGGTAAGTGTTTTACAAAGGATGAAAGATGTCGAGTAGAGACCTTGTTGCAGATGTTGGTGCATGAAAGTATCGGACACACGCACATTGGAGCGGGTCAATGTGTACAGAACAAGGGGTTAGTAATATACAACGGGCATTCATGAACAGGGGACAGGAATAATAGAAGAAGTGAAACACGAATTATGCCTTCACGGTAGAAGCGTGGTACGGAGCCAACCAAGAACCTGGATAAGCACCTACATAAGCTTGGTTGTAGTTAGATTTCCCACTCTACTAGTACTTACTTAGCATAAGATCGACACATAAAGTATGTTCCTTGTTGCAAATACTACTGCCCATTAATCTCTCTGTCTAGGCCAATGTGACAAGGGATCCGGAAGCACACTCCAGATGCGGGACGCAGACAAAGCAGCATTTGCTATAACACAGTATTCGATGGACACAGCGACTCGATGTAGTCAGTCGCTATATCATCAGATGGCAGGGCAATTACGAGCGGAAGAGGCATGAATCATATTAAGACATCAAGAGCATGTGGAGGGTATTCGAGCCTCTCAGGTTGGTGAAGCATACAGACGTCCTGAGCACACCCATATGAGGTAGACCTGAGTCACCTGACAAATGATGCAATTCTATTCATTCTGAGCGTACTGACGCTATGAAAACAAAATACAAACTGACCGCAAATCGTGAGCAACTGACAGCCAACGCGACTGCGGATGCCCAGGATCAATGCAAACAAATAACGATTGAGACTTGGAGACTAACGATCAAAGTAACTGCTCCCTTGACTACGCAGCATAGATGTAATGACTATCGATGCATCTTGAATCTTGATACATGCCTTGACCGTGATTTGATTTGTGGGATCAACTCCTCCGTGGCCGCTACGAATTTGATGCAGGATGTTTCCGGTTGATTTGATCACAACTTGGTAGTAAGAATCTGCATTGTGCGTCGTGCGAAGGGCGCAGCATGGGACTCTGGGCTGGCAGAGGCTGGCAGCCGCTGACACAACTGCGACACTGACGTCCCCCTGGATACGAAGTATTCTGGGTCGGACATGCTTTCCTCAGTATAACGATATGCTCCACAGCCTGAACGATGAGCTCGCAGACGGGCAGTACCGGAGGGTAAGCCCGACGAATTATTTGGGTCATAAAGAACGTTTCTTCCATAAAAACCAAGTACAATGACACGGACAGGCTGGATATTACCAATGTGAGATGCAGGACTCAAAGATAATATCAGGGCACAACTTGAGGCTCCGAATCATCCAGGGTGGTAGTCATTGATTTTCTTTTCGAATTGGAGTTTCGTTTGGTTGCTCAGGACCGAGGACTATACTCTGGAACGTATGCGTCGATTTAAGTCGTGAAGTTTGCCTGAACGGACTGAAGCCTAGGCTGTACACGAAAATTCTGAACTGAACGATGTATCAAAAGAGGCTCACGTTACTTAGGCCTAGCTTGAAGGTGGAAACATGAAAATAACGTAAATCCAGAATTCTTGTGTGTTTTGGATGATGATTCAACGAAAAAGGAAAAGTGTAGACACCTGGTGGACACAGCCGGACTCTCGGAGCATGAATGCGTTAGCCGACCAGAACTCGTCAGTGTGCTTGCTGTGTAGTTCTGCACTGACTGCGATGACCACGAACCCTTCGCACATCTTAATTGCGCGAAATTCACGAGGGCCAAACAATATCAATCCATCGGCCTCCCTCAGTTCACCTACGGAAACCCATGCAGCAGCTTCAGGTATATTCCGTTCCTCGGGCTCACCTCCGTGGCTGCTCGAAGAATGCGAGACCGATGATCTGGTCACCGAACTGAGTTTGTATGACTCTGAGGAAGGTATAGAGATCGACGAGACATTTACTCGCAAAGGAAGATTCCCCGGAACCGTCAAGATTGTTGTCGAAAGCACCATTTTCTGGTGAGTGGCATGAATTACTGTGACCTACGTGCAAATATTCACCCACGAATTTAGGGCGCATAAAGAAGTCCTTATCTTTGCGTCACCCTTCTTTGAGGCTGCGCTGAGTGGCAGCTGGGCCGAGACGGGAAGACCACAGTCAATGTCCTCAGTTATCACTATCTCGCAGCCTCCCTCCATTCCAGGGGAGAAAGGCATTATCGAGACGCCCACAGAAATGACATTCACGCGTGAAGATTCATCTGATACCGAGTCTCCTGTAGAGATTGAAAACCCCCCGAGGAGCGATACTGACAGTGGCATGAGTGGCAGTGAGGATGGCGAAGCTGACACCAAGGCCTGTGCTCGCAACAACAGTCTTGCAAAGCTGCAGGGTGCAACCAACAGTCGAGAGACCTTATCAAGCCGTGACACCAAAGGGAAGCAGCGAACAGACGATAGACCATCGGTCAGGCGTGGGTCTCACACAGCACATGCAACCGTCAGGCGACGCCGGCGTACTAATTGCCATGACGCTGTCATAGTTCTCAAAGAGGAGAAAGTGAGTTTAGAGTTGAATTACACGTGCGGGTTGCTTATCTCGCATAGGCTAACACCTTTCACGACTTCCTGAAGTTTGTCTACCCTCAGTGAGTAGTGTCTTCATGGTTACCCTTCACTCCAATCTTTTCTCAGTCTCCAGTGCACCATAACCTGGAAGAATGTAGAAGGCCTTATGAACATCTCCCACAAGCTTTGTGTTCCGACACTCCAGCAGGAATGCCTCACTTTCCTCCTGACCCACGCCGCCGGAAAACCTATAAAGGCCATGCGAATTGCAGAACTTTTTGAGGAAGAGGAGCTCTACCGCGAGTCAAGCCGCTTCGTACTTGACAATCCGGGCGGGTGGTCCGAAGAAGAGCTTAGCACCCTTAGCCAAGAGACTCTGCTGAAACTAGAGAAACGGTGAGCTTTCTGGATGATGTGATTATGCACGCCTGATCTTATGGTGCTGTTCACAGGAGAAACTGGTTCCTTGAGCGAGTGCTTAAACTGGGACTAACCCCACTTGCAAAGGAATATCAATGCGTGAGTCCTCGTTGGACATGCGATTGTCGTGTTGACGTTTCTTAGTGCGCTACTTGCCCTGATTCTGCGATTTGTGCTCGTCTTCTTGAGGAAAAATGGAGACAAGCATACAATGCTGTTTTCCGTTTTGGTGGGTTGACATCGCGCGCATATGTATCGCGTGTTCAATGCATCCTTAGGTCCTTGTCAACCCTCTATGGTATATCGCTATTTAAGAAACCTGGAGGGTGTCAGCCCACCGCTCGCTCTAACACACCTTACGTGTCAGACAACGGCCAAAGCTTTCACTGCAACTCGTGAGTTACGCTCTTTCTTATATGAATTGCATTAGTTGATTGCTTCTCAGTTTTTGACAGGATGTTTTCTTTGGGCATCCGCAGCGATGCCAATGTTGCGCCTCTTGGTGCCCGCGTTGCTGCAGTAGCAGCCGCAGCTACTACTGGTCCTCGCCGTCACTTTCTCTTCTGCACCCTGAAGCCTGAAAAAGCTGTCCCTCGCATCAGACGATCTCGAGAATTGCTATAGACACAACCCTTCGATCCAGTGCTTGCTACGTTTCATATCTGCATTGCTTCCCACTGCTGAGATCCATCTGTAAGATTCTTCCATTCATCGCTACTAGAATAAGTGTTATAGGCTCATCATTCCTTCATATATGACTTATGTATTCCATAGAATCTTTATGTATTTTCTTGTGTTCCACATAATGGAGACTGGAATTACACTTCTGATGGTTGTGTGGACCAGAATACAAGTTACTGCTCTCGAAACATCAAATGAAGGAGCCTTGAGCCAGGAGGCAAGTTGACTTGCCATGTGGTTATATCAGAGGCCGTCCTTTTGATGTTTCTTGCGCGTCTGTCGAGAGATCGTGCTGGTGGCGCTTCACGGACGTGATATAATGGCATGTAGCGCCATGAGGATACTGACTCGTCATTACATAGGGACGCAAGGCCTCGCCCGAGGCTCGTGTAAATCCTTATAGCGCCGCGCGTGACATTATCAGTACCAATGTTTCATAGGCCTCAGCTTCTACAGACTCATATATCCACGATTTCTCCCGGATTATGCCGACGAAGTGTTGGCATGGCTGGCCGAGACCATGACTGTCTGTCATTCCAGTCGGAGACGAATATGAATACCTGATTCTGACACGTTGATCAAGGGATTCGGAGTCCCCGTGGGCCGCCGTGGGCTCGCGTAGAGCAACTCCTCGCATTTTCTTCCTCCCCTAAATATGGTGGGGTTTCCTTGATATGCTCATCATACCTTTGTGATCAGATCGAAATTCGCATATATTCAACAGCTCTTTCACTACGACAAAGCGAGTTTGGAAATTTCACTCATCTAATTGCGCGTCAAGGAGTCGCGAGAGATGTAGGTAGCAAAACTTCCCGGAGCTGAAGGTAAGGGTGCGTAACCCCTGTCGGGTTTAACCGAGTCGCGCTTGTGCCCCTTACATACAGTTGGACCCTCTTATCAAAGCCCCTCTCAGTGAGTATCGGGCTCATGTTTATTACTCATACGGAGCACCGTCTGCTCGTGCACTACACCCAACGTCCCAAACACATTCATCCGGATCACTGACCGAACCAGGAGTATTGGCGACTTCATCCCAAACCAATTTCAAGAAACCAGACACATCCCAACAAATAATGGCGAAGAGCTGTCTCGCTTTTGTCAATGACTACAAAAATGATCGTCTCACCAAGATAGAAGCACTCGTCGATATCATCACTACTGTCGCAGGAATGGTTGCAAACACGCCTGGACGAAGAGTAGCTACTGTGGCAGAGCCATACGCCACCATGCTCGACCGCTGGGACTCGGAGAAAGCTCGAGTTAGCGGGAAGTCAGCAGATAGATCCTCTCTTCCAGAGGATAATAGGAATCGAGAAGGACGCGCTGAGCGAGGAGAACCTGCTCAGAAGCGCACCAAACTTGACTTTTCATTCCTTGCTAAATCCGAGACACTCAAACCGCTCTCAGCCAACCTTGAGCGAACCAACAAGATTCTTGCCAACTGGTCACAGGACCAAAAGGAGGTTCTACGCCGATTCATGTATCACAGTTTTGTCCCAGAATTCCATGAGTCTGGGTGGGAAGAAATTATCGCAGGCAGGTGCATCGACCTCGATATCGTCCATACCATCATCATCACTTCTCGAGCGGTTGAAAAGCACACAGTGACCATTGGGGAGGTGGAAATATGTTATGGTACGGAGGTTGCCACTATGAAGATTACCACCGAGTCAGAGTGGATCGCAGCATGGAACCGGGCGGCTCGCGCTCTCAGGTTCGCTTTCCCTCACCGAACGGCTGAGCTCGATGCATACTTTGAGTACATCTCTGGTATGTTCGCGCAGTCTGCCAAAGCCGCCCATGGACAAATCATTCTGTTTGACAAGGCGGTCAGGAACAGAGTCGGGTCATCACGCAGACACGAACTCGGCGACTTTGACGCCTTCCAAGACATATATCGTATGTTTTTCCACCCTCCGTAGCTCTGTTTGTAATAAATGCGACTGATCACGGAGCTGGGGGACTCCGTTTGCCCTAAATAGTGAGATCCAAGTTCACAAAGCGTAGTGAGGTTTGAATAATTTCAAGTATCCGACGATGGCAACCAGACATCCACGCTGTTGCTTGATCGGGGGTGTGAATTGAATGGTCAGGTGCAACAGTATCTGAATGGCCGGTCGAATTCAAATAAAGTACACACCATGTATAAGTTATAAGTTAGGGTGGTAACGTCGAAGTGCACCTTGTTCGATCTGTTGCTAAGAAGTATTGAGCAGATACACTACTCGGTGATAAGCAAAGGACAACCATAGAGACGAATGTCATAGTACCCGAGAAAATACGAAGTATACAATAACATACGGAAAGTCCATCCGGAATAGAGTGTGAGAAATCAACGAGATATTTGCGACTGGAAAATGGAGGGTGCGTTATCTACGAGCCATTCAATCATCATGGCCTTGCCAGCCATGTCACTGAACTCAGAACCTGGATCTGAAGAACGCATTAGCGTGGCTAAATTCAAACGTCAGCTTTGAGTCGAAGCGAACACAAGCGAGAAAGGACGTACGTCCAAAGACCACCCCCAAGTTCCTCGCATTCATGAGATTTTTGTCGCTGTGTTCCAATACACTGTCCTAACGTCAATTGAACGTCCGTGAGAGACGAGCAGATTCTCACCGGTGTAAATGCAATACAAGCAAGCGTAGAGTGTGATAGTGTTCGCTGGGAAGGCGGTTGATCAATTCCTGCATATACTGGGTTTTGAGCCCAGGATCCTTGAGTGAGGTGGCTGAGATAAACTCTCCATGAAGGTCATAAGTCAAAAGAGGGACAGGTAATTGACGGAAATATGTCTTTAAGACGGAAGTGACACTGCAGATATCATTGAACCGATCGTCGTCACGCAGATCGAATGCCCCATAGTCCCCTCGCTCGAATAGCTGCGTGATGATTTTTGTTTGCCCAGAACCGCCAGTTTTGCGATAGATACCCTCGTAGTCCAGTGCTAATATCTGTGTCAACCAGGTACAATCAGTTTAGAACACATTACTTACCGAGTGCCTCTACCGCGTCGATGCATTTCTCAACGATAACAGGGACTCTCCGTTCACCCCGCTTTGAATCCGATCTCACTTGTTCTACAAGATCGCGACCAAACATGGAGGGAACTAATGTTCGACTTTAGACTTGAATATCGGTAAGATGTTCAAATCACTCACGAGATTGTGTAATTGCATCGTCTCGGCGAGGCGGCTGTTGAGAACATGCTGCACACACTTGATTCACGCAGCGAGGATGTACGGATATATGACAGACTGGGGAACCATTAGTAAAGTGGACACGAGAGATCAAGACATGACGTGCCTGAGCATCGAAACTGGGAACCCCATAGCTTGTCTCCACAATGATCGCACCGCGTAAAGCGGAGTACGCTCGTCTGGTTGAAGGAATGAGCCACCCGACCTTTGCCCTTCTGATCAATTGATGAGAGTGAGGGATCCCGACCTCTAGCCATAGGCCACTTGAACTTTGCAGACTTCAGCGTTGAGGGCATGGAATCTGCCGTCTCGAGGCGGTTGGCCTTGTTAAACTTGGCCTCTGACTCCTCAACCAACGTTGTCGTGCTGCGCGCTGCCAAGCCATTGAGTGATGAAGACATTGATGGGAAGTCAGACTGAGGGTGTTCGCGGTCAAACGATGTACTCTTCTCGCGAACGGAGTTTGCTATTGATTCGTCCTTCGAGCCAATGACATCTATAGTAGGTGTTGCAGAGCGAGAGGCCTCTATTCGACGCACATACTGAGCACTAAGCTGCGCCAGTTCTTCGTTTCGAGCGTTAAGGACAGTGGTCTCCTCGAGGAATTGTTCGCGGGCAGCTTTCAACTCTGCCACCTCTCTGATGAGAGCCTCGCGCTGCTGGGTGAGAGGAATGAGTTCGTGCTGATACTGCGTCTTGATGTTGTCTAAGCGCATGGTCAAAGACCGGCTCATCTGTGCGGCAGGTATCTCGCCCGAGTTTGTAACGCTAGGGCAACTAAAATTCTAAAATGAGTGCTCGGTGACTTCAAAGGAAGTATTGCAACATTACTTCTTTGACGCGCAGAGTTCTTCCAGCTCTGCTAAAGTCATATCTCGCTCCGCTTTCAGATGGGACAGATCGTGCTCCAACAGATCCAGCTTTTTGGCAAGGTCCTGGGAAAGCTGTCGTCGTGTTTCCGACCTATTTGCCTCGCCGTTGAGAGCAGTCAACTTTGCAGCTTGACCAGATAGCAAAACACGCAGGCGGGTGACCTCTGCTTCGGCATTCCGTCGAGCAACAAGTTCGCGGTCATGCTCCTTCTGGGCGACGGTAAGACCCTCGATATATTGCTGGCTCGCCCTCTGAGAAGACATTAGAATGAGCGACTCTGAGGTGAACTGTGTCTACCTTTGTGCCGTCATACTTGTGCTTGAGCTCTCCATATTCTATCTGTCGTTGCTTCATCGACGTAATGATGGTCCAGACGAAGTTCTTGTCCAATTTCAATTGCTGATAGCCGTGTTCGCTTGCGTCATCGAGAATCTCATGAAGGCGACGAATCACAAGATCATACGAATCGCTGGAAACAGGCGTTGAAATGGTTGAATCGGGTGAAGTGACGATGATGTGCGCATTGGGATCCAAAGATACATTCGAGTCCAGCGTCTCGTGCCTCGCTCCATGGCTGTGAAGAGAGGGATGATGCGACTCGGAAGAAGAGCGGCCTCTTGACGAGAAGTCGTGAGGCAAGCTTGAAAGCAGGTCTTTCGCCTCGGCATCAAGTGATTGAGAAGAATTCGAGGGATCTTGTTGGTGATCAGTGCGGCTGTTGGGATGCGGTAGAAATGGTTCGCTCCAGAGGATCTTTAGCTCCGTTGATACGGTCAACGCTGGCCGCACTCCTTGAGCTTTGTGACTTTCCATTGGCGCCACTAACTGTTGCTGGACTAGGTAACGGTTCATCCTTGCGAGAGTCATCTCCCTCGGTAATCTGATCGAGCGATTTGAGAGATGGCATTCCGCCCACTGACCTCAGGAAGTCTGAGAAGTCCGAGCCCGTCATGGAAAAGCGAATAGGAGGAAGAAGGGCGGGCGCGATAAACGTTGAGACCGACGTGCGTTCAACTGGCGAAGATTCATCCGAGTTAGAATCTATATGTGATATGGCAGATGCATCGGGATCAATGTCCAGCTTGAGCTCATTTGCGCGTGCCTTTGCCCTGTACTCTTTGGGTGGGACAGGAGGAGCAGGAGCAGTGGGTGAAAGGCTGCCGTCTGAAGACTTGCGACTGCCATCCCCTTCTGCGTCTGTGTCTGTACCACTCTCGATCCCGTGAGGGACATCCGCTCTATGAGATGGGGACGTCGGAGTAACTACACCAGAGCGATCTGATATTGAGCCACTGGGTGCATTATCTATGCGCAATGTTCTCTCGCTCGAAGGGCCAGAGGGAGACAGACGTCCATCGACCTGCTGAGTATGCAGGCCGTTGACTGAGTTTCTCGCATGATTCTGTGAGTCTGGACGAGCAGAAACTTTCTCCAAATTAGGACTTATCCGACGTAACTGGGTCGTCGGGCGGGCATATTGTGGTGCGGACTGGGGTTGAAGGGGGTCATGCGACATTGAGCGCATCCGACCATCGGGTGTTGCTCGCCCATTTTCTTGAGGAACAGGAGCAGGTGATGAAGGAGGAGAATGGTATATGGTCGAGATTGAGGCGTTGTCACGAAGTAGACTGATATTGGATGCCCGGCGAGATGAAAATGAATCGGAAAAGATTGGCTTGGAGGGAGATGGGGCAACGGGTGAGTCGCTACGGTTTGCAGGTAACGTCTGGGACCGAATCATCTGTTCTGGCAGAGAAAGTCCGGCTGTAGTAGGAGGCCGGGAAAATTTCTTATAATCCAGAGCAAGTCCTGGGTTAATGGACCGCCGCTTCTCACTGCGAGACGTGACATTCGGTACGTCCAGGCTAGGCTGGTCCAAAGAATCCTTCTCTGTATGTCCTTTCTTTGCGAAGAGGACGTTCAGTGGCCGAACACCGTCATCATAGCTTTTTCTCCTGGAAAGTGCGCTAGATGGGTCCGTAATTGACGATGGATTTAACAATGACCCTCCAACTCCATCCTGAGTCTGCAGGCTCTCTAAAGGAGTTATAGGAACAGACTGAGACGACACCTGTGGGCTTGACGCATCTGAATCATCAATTATGATCACTTGGGTATGATCAGCGCCACCGTCGTCGCTGTTGTCGGGGGGTGCGATAGTTACTGCGAATGATTGTGCTTGTGCATCACGTGATGATAGTGAAGAGGCGAGAAGTTTATGCTGGATCGGCCGGGGGCTCGAAGGAAAGATCGACGGATGCACACCATTCTTGGCTGATGTTTGAAGAGGTTCATCCTGAAATGTTGGTTTTTGATTTCGTTCCAGCGCTGACAAGGCGTCCTCTCTGGGTTGATTGAGACTCCTCATGGATGGAGTATCCCGAAAAGTCATCGCTGAAGGTTTCAAACGCACAGATGAAGACGAAGGGCGCGAAACAGCTTGTTGTCGATCAGACACCTATGGAATAACGTCAAAAAATCGGTCCAGAGCGGTCAACTCCGCTTATGTCTCTACCTACCGCGTTCTCTGCCAAAAATTCTCGTGCTTCTCGTTCCCGTGTTGAAGATGACGCACTTCCCTCAGCAGCCTTCTCCCGTTCGCGCTTCCTCTGTGCATGGCGGCGAATCTTGGCCATGCGTTCGTTATGACAAGTCATGCAATAGATGCCATGACTGGTCTTGGCGAATACTAGTTCGTCGATTCGGTTATGACAAACCTTGCAATTAAAGCAATGTGCGTGGTATGAATCGTCTCCGGTCATGATAGCTTCGTCGAGGATGGGTTGGTGGCAAACGTTACAATTATACGAACAGTTGGCGCATATTGGCGAGCCATCTGAAAGTAGTAGCAAATTCGTGTCAGCGGTCACCTGTTGATGGCATTTCGCGCATTTAAAGCAGTCGACATGAAAAAATGACTGTCTAAATACGCGATGAGTGATCCGCAACGCAAGTACAGTTAAAGCGCGTATCGATAATAGTAGTTGCTAGCTCACCCAAACGCGACAACTAAACCTCCATTCTCGTTGACGGCATACTGCTTGCAGCCCGGGCAGAGTCTGTCCTCGAGGGACGGGATTGAATTCAGGGCGACCTGTTGAGACATGGAAGTTGGGTTCCCCGGTCAACAATCGAGCAGCGTAAATGAGAGTGATTCGGATATGTTGTTCAGATTCAAGATAGAGAAAGGACAGAAGGGTGCGAGCAGCGGGGGTATGGAATTTGAGCCAGCTCACGTAGGACGTGTAATTGTTGAAGGAAGGACTGTTGGCTATTTGTCAAGTGCCCGATTAATGGTGGTGGGCGTGTAACGATGGCGGGCACGATGATGAGGTATATAGAGGCTAGGGTATTTGGTCACGGTGAGTGCTGTAGCAGTAGACACCGTCCTAGATAGCCAGTTCCAAGTAGTAGAATAAATGTTTTTATGTAAAACAAGATAACCAATTGATGTTGGGAATACAGTTTATCCCACGCTTTCTCATGTTCAACGTCGCAGGTCCGACCTGCCTCAGTCGAACTCGACATTCAGATCAACTTTCAGTTTCACAATCAAAGGCTACATTTCAATTTTCCCCTTGCAATGACCTGTGTAGTAACTTGATGCTCTCAGCAACGAGGTGCTGTCGGCGCTATCAGATCCTTTCCAAGGAGTTATTCACAGTACATAGCCTAATTAATTATAATCAGGGGGTCACCACTAATTCCGAAGTTACTCAGTACATGAGATAGTTTGAAACTTCCTGAAACCTTTCGAAGTTCGTTGGTTGGAAACCGGGATCATCCAGTTCCACCCGTCAAGATTAATTGCCCATGGTCAAATGAAGCCAAACAGTGACAGATACGGTGACTCCGGCCCAAGGCCTGTCGTGCCTAGGCAGCCGCAGTACCTCAGCCTCGAGGCCAGATGTGTGTAAGATTTCTCGTTGTCTTGACAAGTTGTATGCGCCCGCTAAAAGAAAGATGACGCCCAGCGGCGCCCGTTGATGAGGCGTGATTTTTTTGGGGGTTGTCCAAGAAGGTGATGGAGTCTTTTGTGCGGAGGGAGGATGTGCACAAATTCAAATCCAATCAGTATTTCATAATCACATACCTTTTCGGTCGTTGATGGTAACTGTATTCACAGGCCCTTGGTCCGTGCGCAACTAATTTTGTATATAGGGGGCTTACTTGGAAACTAATTCCCCATCTCTTGTGCTCGGGCATGTACTGTCGCCAGTGAGGTCTTTACCGAGGCACAGTCTTTTGCTGATTGCAAATTACACATCCGAACCCGTCTGTTAGCTTCGGCTTCCAGCAATTTTTGGAACACACTCTTATTTCAGGCTTTGAGCCTGAATATTATTATAGCTAGGCATAATGTAATGAACCACAATATATTGTTTTGCAATTAAATTTGTGTTGACAAGAACCTACAGCATTTGAAATTGCTTTCATCGCCTCAGGCTTAGCCCATGGGTATTGGGTAATCGGTTAATCAATCAATGGGCAGTCTCGGCCCCTTCACCCCATCACTTTGCAGAATGGTTCTGTTAAAAGTAACTTACATCAAATAATAATATCATTTATTGGTCCAGCAAAATCGTGCGGAATAAAGATGCGGTGTTGTAACAAAAATGTGGGCTTACATCCGTCCATGATCCAACTCAGACATCACTTCCTCGAATGAAGTTGATGATTCCATATAATCACCCCTTGTTTGGAACTAGAAGGCCATGGTTACCGATGCGCTTCTCAAATCTAAGTTGGAAGTGGGCACGCACTATATTCCTCATCAACCAATCATTTGACTTTTCTTGCGAGCAGGATTATAAGCCGCGGCGCTGAGGAAGCTGGCTGCTGATCCGAATGAAGGAGGAGAAGCTGTATAGTCAGCATCTATGATTCGAATGCTTAAAAAGCTAAGGCTGACCGTTTTAAAGACGTGGCAACATTTCCGTTGCCGAACTACCCTAGATAGGGTTGGTACAGCGCTGGTAACTGGATACGAGAGAGGGGCCCTACTGAGCGTACTAGGGCGAGGTGGTGTGATCGCGAGCGAAATTCTCTGCGGGAAAGTATGACGTTAAGTCCTGCAAAGACATCATGCACTCACGCTGACCTGCACGTTGTATGTGAGCACATGTCCTGACTCCTAAGCACGATTCGAAGTTCTTAAACTTTGATAGTCGACCGTCACGAGCTTCATGAATTTCATGCATGACCGACACGTGCACGGGAGTGCTGACGGATTCCTACTAAAATCAGAAACGACGATCCAGGATGGGTGGGTAGGCGACTCGTCCTCGAAGCAATCGCAGATAGGCTGGCTCTTCGATCTCGAAAGCAGACATGCGTATCAAGCTTCTTGGCGCACCGGGGTAGCTCCATATAGACTTTGGAACTTGATTGTCACTGTCAGTCGACTGTCAGTAACGTTATGGCTATTAGTTCACGAGCCTTCGATACGGCGTGGCACGGCTTGCTCACGGTAGATGCGAAATCGTTAGATGAGTCATCCAGGTAGACCACCATGGGTTTCATTTTGATCAAGCTGTGATGCACTTCATGGCACATGGCTAATATACTTACTGCGCCAGTAGTACCTAGTGCTGTCTGCAGCCTGTCACTGTTTGACGGGTGGAGCTACGATCCATGGATAAGACCGATTTCCATTTTGAGCACCAAGTAAAACGGGCATCGTGAAATGACAACACCGACGGAAGCAGTTTGGTCTGCTTCTGCTCTTGTTTCTCTAGGTTTCTCCCTCCTTCGTTCTTCACGTTCTCCATCAAGGCACTCAGCAGGGATCGACGCTCATATTTTTATTGCCACTATCGACAACGTTGTTCTGCAGCAAGCTGCAAGGCTTCTAGCCCGCCGCCACCTGGACGTGTCCTCCCTGTGCTACCCACGTTCTGAGCGTTCCCTGAAGCCTGTCAAGGATAAACTGAACCTGTGCCGTTGACTAGCACATCGACATCATGCCTCTTCCAAGCGGTACGCCGCTGTCTCTCCAAGGACATTCTCGCCCTGGAGATACTGTCCAGACCAAGCCTAAGCACGCTATGATCGTCCGTATGTCAGCTGAGACATTAGAAGCTCTGGAAGACTTGTCTAGCAACCCTGTGATGAATTTCGAGTTTGGCGATAGTCCAGTCAGTCCAAGTGCTTACGACTCGTCCATATCTGACATTCAATCTCAGGGCATCTACATCGGGGAGACATTCTTTCCAATGCGTCCTCTGAAAGAGAGTACTCCGCACGAAATTTATCTCAGGACGTCCTCTGCAGCCAAGCCAAACGCTCCATTGAAGCTCTATGCCAATGTCATGGGCAAATTCATTGTTGACCGACAACTTGGCGAGAAAGTCACTGATAAAGTACGGCAGCAAACCATTGAGGCGAAGAAGCAACATTCCGAGCGCCAAACCATCATGCTCGATGCACCGCTCATATCTGCGGCAGGCACGAAGAACCTGAAGCGGAAAGCGCCAGGTTCGGGAACGGTGGTAAAGAAAAGCGCACAACGCGACACTCTCCGTACCCCTGCTGCATCCACCCCTGTTGCACGCAAAATCTCGCCGATACCACAGACTTTGTCAAAGGCGAACGCGGATATTCGCAGGCGTCTTATCCACTTCCTTGCAGTTGAGAATCGTGAAACAGACCTGGCGGTAAGCAGGGTTTGCGGGAATAACTGTGATGACACTGCAAAGGCTAATCTACTTAGTATCTTGGAGGAGGTGGGCATGCATCACTCTACTTTGACTCTTTTACTCAATCGTGAATGTACAGGTCGCTGAGCAAGCCCTAGCCCGAAAAGGCGACAACTCTCCTCGGAAATGGAGTCTCAAAAATCGTACATGGCTTGAAGTGCGTCCATACGAATGGGAGATGTACAAACAGTCAGAGCGGACCAACGTCGCCCGACAAGGCAGAGTCGTGCTCAGTTCCCTCAGGATACCCGAGTCTGACTCTGTGTGGGATCATTTTCGCTTTCGCAACGTTGCACCTCCCACTGGAGCTGCTCCGCATCCAACCCACGGAGGTAAGACTATCACCGGCCCACCTGCGGGTCTTCTCAAGCCGAAGCCCGAACCAAAACGACCTGCTATATCCAAAGAGCTGAAGCAGAAAGCGAAGGTAGATTCTTCTCGAATAAAGGGCGATATACAGATGAAAGACGAGAGTGCGCGGCAAAGGGGTGACATACAGATGAAGGACGAGACCGTTAAGCTCCCTAGGGTGGCTGCCATTAAGCGCGAAGAAGCCAGTCCATCACCCAGTAGCAGCACCAGCACCAGCTCGAAGGGGCCGTCCAGACGATTACCGGGCTCTGGATACGTTGCTAAGAAGTCCCCTCAGCCTTCTCCTGCCGTTGAGACGGCATCTCGTGAAGATGCAGGTTCAGCCAGTGTGCGTCCTCAGCGACCGCTACCCCGCTTACCTCCCAAACCCGTACCGGCGCCCCCGCCGCCACTCCCAAGTCAGGAGAAGACGCCTATCACTTCGATGCCAACGAAGATGACGAAGAAGATGCTTCCACCCGAGGAGTCCGATAGAGAGCGCGAGAGACATAGAGATAAGGATAGACCGCCCAAGGATAGAGTTACCGCTAGTGTGAAGCGGAAGAGCGCCACCCATGATGTAGGAGATGCGCAGGACGAGGAGGGGCTCAAGGCAAACTCGTTCAAGAAGCGCAAAACGGAGGAGGGTCCATCACATGCTGCACCTTCGTCTTCATTAAAAGGTCGAGACTTGTCTCTTCCAAAGAAGCCGGTCGAAGCCACATCTCCTGTACCACCACCGCCGAAGAAGATCAAGAAAGAGCATTCTCCGCTTCCACTTCCACTTCCACTGCCTCGCACCGCCTTACCGACGCAGCCACCACCCCTAAACTCACCTTCCAAAATAGATCAACGACCGAAACTCAATGGAACGTCAAAAGCCAGACGAAAGTCACCGATATATACCTCTTCGGATGAAGGAGAGATACCAGAGCCGCCACGGAAGCCCGCCCAAGATCCTTCTACGAATACTGATCGCTCAAAGGGCAAGGACGGACGTGCCCGCCCCCGATCCTCATACCCACTACCTCCTGATCGTAACGGGCTACGTTCGCGGTACCAGTCCAAGTACGGACATTACCTGGGTACATATTCCCAAATCGTCGCACAGAAGCGGAAGATCGAGGCCATCTTAAACGGAGAATCGGAAGCGGAAGGAGAAATCATGGATCCGGAGGAGCTGAAGAGGCTCAGTGCCGAGCACAAGAACCAGAAAGAGGAGTTGGAGTCCATCCAGGAGAAATGGATGAACGGGTCTGTATCGGAATAAAATGGATCACATCGCGATTGTAAACTTCTTCAGGACTCAAGGCGGACATGACCTACTCATTAAGACCATCAGTATCCACGCCAAATTTTTTCTTGTTGTACATCGCTTTCATATATTTTTTCGTTAATTGTTTCAATGTTCGACTGTGCTGTCGCCTATGGAAGTTATGCATGTATACGCTGATATATAGACTAATTACGACTGTTGCCTAATTTTTGGCTTGAATAAGTAATATCCAATGCCCTCCACATCGGCGTTCGCTCAGCCAGGAAATACGCATTAAAGAATTGGTCACACTCACTCTTCGCCGCTATGAAGGGCGAAAAGTTCCGAACAGGCCGAATTGAGAACCAGTTAAATGTAGATAGTGATGCTAGCGAACAATCATCACCTATGTATAGAAGACTTTATGGCCCTCGCCCTTGTTAAGGCCTTTTGAAACTGCGTCTTCCTCGAGTTCTTTGATGCCGGCTTTAGCATTACGACCCTGTTTCTCGACCCACGCTTCATGAGTACGGGAGTAATTTGGGCCGTTAATGTACTGCCTTCTGATGAGGGTTAGATCTGATTGGAAGCATGCCTAAAAGGATGACAAGGTTCAGTACGTAAAGGGGTGTTTCAAAGGGTGAACACCTTGTCAGTGAAGAATGTTCGAGTCATCCATGATCCATTGTCCCATTCGAAGTGATGTGGGGTCAACTTATGGCAGAGCAGATGCACAAATAACAAAGATTCGGGTGCATGATTTGATGTGCTCAAACATCTGTTCTGATAAGGGGACTAGCCATTTGATATGGCACATAAAACTCACTTTGATGGACAAAAGCAGTGTATAGTCTACACTTGACAGAAATCTGGTGAATACTGTAAGGACAAGTACAATCTCAGTCTCTTCCAGAGAACTGAGATGTCCATGCACTACTAGAGGCACTTTTGTAGTAAGTACATTGCTAACTGATTATATCAAAGAGAAACATGAAAATAATCCAGGACACAAGCTGACATCAAAGCATTGCTCACCTTAGTCCAATTTTGGCTTGTGCTTGTACCTCTCACTCTCTCTTCATTCCTGTCTCAGATTCATCAGTCTTTGTCAACTTGGATCTCTCAGACTCCAACAAGAAAGGCTGTCACCACTAGGGAATGACACAGGTACCAGGCACCTGTGGTGGGTCACAGGTACAGGTGTCATGTGGGTGTGGGTGGGGGTACAGACTTCAGACACCTGTACCCATACCCACACCCATATGGTGGGTCAGTCCACCAATCTGTTACAATACACCCTGCCCTGCTGCACTTTTTCTTCTCTTTCATCATCTATTGTTTCTGTCTTACTTGCTTATGTTTACTGTATTACATTGTGTGCTGCTCATGCTGCCATTAGACACCATCTATGTGTCTTGCTACATGTCTTATTTCTTTTCTTGTACTTCTGACATTGTCACTCCATCCTTATTAGGCATATGCTTGTAACATTACTTACTCGCACCTGCCCTAAACTTCCCATTGCTATTCATTATAAATACACGACTTATCACTGTGTAGTTCTTCACTTTAATTTTACTAGGTTTTACCTGGAACTTCCTTCACTTAAGACCTCCAATCTTAAGTTGTCTGAATCATACTTTAAGTTGAAGACACTCTCTTCATCTTGAACATCTTGCTTATTGTGAGGTGTAGAATCTCAACAGAGGTCTTGACTCTTATTGAGTTGTCTGTTGTTAGAACTATCCTAGTTCATAACATGATCAGTAACTCCAACTATGCAGAGCCTAAACCTTAATGTAAAAAGTAATAACAACAACATCAGTACCCTACCAAGCTACAGTATGCATCCAACATTTATCAAAACTGCTGCAAAATGTATTACAAAACTTACAGACAAGGCCAAGGCTGCAATAGATGAAAGACTCAAGAACTCATCCAAAAAAACAGAAGACTGATGATAGTAGCACTGTCACCACACATGCCTGACACAATAAGACCAGGCCAGCAAGAGAACATGGTCAAAATGTTGAGGAAGCAGTTTCTAAAGCACCCATTCAGCCTCTGGTTCCCAGAAAAATAGCTGAGCAAGCCCCACCTAAAACCCATCAAGCCATAGCTCTCTCTGAAGATGATACATCCAATGAAGATGCTATTGTTATCAGTGATGGTGAGAAAGATCCAAACAAAGGTACCATCATGGATGTTGATGATGAAGAAGAAAGTGCTGAAGATGAACTCAGTAGGAGGCCAAGCTTGTGCTCTGAGCACCAACTAACATTAGTAACTGTAGAATGATTAATGAAGGATTGGACATCACCTGTTTATGCATTTTTTGATCCCACACCTATCATTGAGACTCTTCATGGTTGTTGTGCACATGCATTCAAGTGCATGGGCAAAGGATGCAAAGTCTGTATCTGCTGATTCCTTGATACATGGTGCTTTCTGCACACTGTGAACCTTGTTGCAAAGTTGTTGATACAAGAGTTTGATGTGTTGAAGAAAGATGGCAAAAATGTTAATGACAAGCTCATCAAGCTGAGTGAGGGCATTGAGAGGGAAGATCAGGAGATGATACATCAGCAAAATCATAAAAATTCTTAGCCAACTTATCTTGCTTATTTTAACTTAAAACAATATTAAGTGCACCAAGTTATCTAAGAAGATCATTTCTACTTAATTTCTACTTAATTTCTACTTAGAGAATTCTTCACAAAGGAAATGTAAGAAAGAAATAAAGCTAATGCTGTGAATCAAGTGCAATTCAGAATTTTAAGTAGGCAGGTGATGATAAGTGAAATTTGAGATCTACTAAGTAGTGGAAAACATAAGTTGATTTCAGCTAAACAATACTAAGTACTAAGATAAGTCAAAATGTGATCTCATATGCATGGTGATCAATGAAATTGTTGACATAATAAGTGCAAAAAGCATTGAGTGTCTGTGAGTAAGTGAGATTGGTTGGCACAAAGTCACCCCAAAATACTGGAATAAGGTGGGCTGCACAAAATATACTATCAAGGTGGATGACAGACACAGTGTGCTCCATCTTCCAGAAGCTCTGGCTCTACAACCCACATTCCCATAAGTTCATCTGGGGAGTCAGCCACACATTTGAACCATTGTACAAGTGCACAAGGGTACATGATACCATCATGCTTCAAAGAAAAAAATAGTCTCACTCAAGCAATGTTGAGGCTGTGCATGCCATTGGCAGATGAATCAGTGCTAACAAAGATGCAATCATAGTGCCCAGGGCCATTTCTCCAGGTATCTACAGCATGAATACACTTGTAGCACATACTGCTGATCCCTGATAAATCACTAGGAGCAAAGAAGGTGGCCATGGCTGAAGTGTACAGTGTGATCTTTTCGTAGATCTCAGGAAGTGCAGACCGGGATGAGTCAGAGCTAGATGAGTCAGAGTCAGAGCGGCATTGGTTACTGCAGAAAATGCTGAATCAAAGTTGTGAAGTTGGGTTGACCTATCTGATCTGCAATGAGCTCTGGGTAGATCTGTTTGGCTGTAGTAAAGTGTATGGTGAGCAGAAGCATGCAAGTATGCACAAAACTACTTACCAGCTGTCTTTGCCAGGTCAACATGGGCAAGTACCATTGGCCCATCAACAGCATCAGCATCAGGCTCAGCATTGGTTTTACCCTCATCCTCATCTGCATTACCTTTGGCATCATTAGTTGCATGATGGTAGTGCCCAAAAGGCTCATCTTGTTCTGGGATATCTCAGTTTGATGTGTGCTTCCAATGGTGCATTTAGTATCCCTGTGAATTGTGAAGGTGGTGATTAGCATTGGCGAGCCCAGCATCATGAAAATCACATACCAAGTTTGTTGAGGATGTATGACAAACACATCCCTTATAGCATCCCATGGTCAAAAAATTGATGCATTGTGAAGAAGAAATTGGTACTAGGCAGTTAGCAACTAGCACTACTTATCCTAAGAGGCGCAAGTTAATTGATCAGCCTAAGAGGACTGCTATTGAAGCACTTCCTTTGATTATGTGTGAGGGAAGTAAGTGAGTGAAGGAGTTATAACCTATGTTGGCCTAAGAAACTTGAGCATGGACTGTATGTATACCTTTGAATTTCTATGCCAAAAAATTGACTGTGAGTGTGGGCAAAAATTGACCGGTGTTAGTATCACAAGAGCAGGATGAACCATTGGAAGATATGAGCGAGTGTATTGGATGTCAGATGCCAGTGCAGCAGATGTAATGCGCACAAAATTGACCACACTCTATGGAGCGGCTGGTTGCAAGGGATATAGTGTGAATGAAGAACTGTGCTAAACTACTGGTCATGGGTTGGGTATTCATGCAAGAGCTTAAGGGTAAGATCCTAGTGGTATGGAACTTCAGAGTGGTTGAAATGCACAGGATTGCCAAGAAAGAGCAAAATAGATGGATTGTGCAAGGTCTACAAAAATAACGCAAGAATGACTCTCCTATAGAGCTGAGTCCAGGGGGGGAAGGGAACTACTCAATTGTATGTACTGTGGTTGTTTATATCATAGTGTGTGAATGTCCGGAATGCATAGGCAAGAATTGTAGTGTAGTTAGCAAGCATGTGATGAGTCTATAGGTAATAAGACATCATGTGCTGTGGAATGTGAGTAGACATGTAATAAGACCTGCAGCTCATTTAGCAATGATATTTGGGAAAATAATGCACCAGTGGAGATAGGTGGACATGGATAGGACATGGGAGGGCAGATTCCTAGGACTGGACCGGAGTAAGAGTGGATGGGTTGATATATATGGATTTAATGATCCATGCTTTATCTCCTTTCCTGAAGGTGAGAAGAATCATGCTATTGATCATACGCACCTAGTGCTGGTATGATCGTCACAGCATGAAGTGGCTAGCTTGTCGAGATGTTGATTGGTTAGTAACATTTGACTGAGAGCTTTGAAACAACTTGACCAGCACCATGGCTCCTTGACAGCTTTAATGTGTTTGGACTCTGTAATAGATGAACAAAGCCCATTTGGTGTGCTGAATGCTTGAATGAGCTTATGGTAATGGATGAGTGAATGTTGTTGAGGGTGATTAAATCCTTTGGGCCAAACACTGGATGTTTGGAATATCTTGCAGTACCTGTGGAAATGCTTCAAGGTGTCATTCATTGTGTTGAGGCTGCTAGAGCTGATAATGTTGTGATGAGTGATGTAGATGAAGTTGAGTAGTGCTTGCAAGGTCTGTACCATCTCTGTGGGTATGTGACCTTCAATAGCAGGTATATAGACCTGTGCAGTAAATGTGCATTAGAAATATTAGTACTGTTGCTATGAAAAAATAGAGGAATATTGGTACAGACCTTCATGAGAGCTTTTGAGTCATCACCAGTCCACTGTTTGAATCCTCTACCCTCTGGAAATTATCAAAGGCCTGCAAATGCTGGAGCTAGAGTGATGCTAGTAGTGTGACATGTGTTCAGCAGCAGCAGCAGCTAAGTGAATTTGAAGATAAACTTACTGATGGTCAATGTCATCCAGTATCCTGTTCACATTGGCTTCTGTATATTGAGCCTCAATATAGTCATGCACCCACTGAACTAGGTGGTCCTTGAATGCTCCCTTGATGAGCTGGTGTAAGATATCTGGGGAGAGGAGCTTGTGTATGTCAGCACATGGAAAATAGTTAGTGAATGGCTGTATAAATAGTGTAAGTTCAAAAGAGATGAGTAGATAGAGTATTGTACATACCACAATGTCTCCAACAAGGCTGTATTCATCCCACAGAACACCTAGTTTGAATTCCTCAACCAAAACTTTGGTGTGATCATGGGAATGTCCACCATATGTGTCATTGAGACTGTCTGCTGGTGTGGTGCATCTGCCTGTGTAAGTAATAGTAAAATAGCACCATAGTAGTCATACTTAGCATAGGGACATGAAGAATAAGACAAACACATACTTTGAACACCAATTTTGTACAATACATGCAAGCAGTGCTTGCTCAGGATAGTCTGCTATGTATGGTCAAAGACCATACACAGCTCATCAAAAGTGGCCATCAGGGCAATGGACAACCTCCAGTTTGGTCATGCCAGGCTTGAGGGTTTCAAGCATCTTTGCAAGTGATGAGTGTAGAAGTTGGCAGCAGAACTTTCGGAAGTGTGCATCCTTTGTGGCTTCATTATCAGCTAATTCAATCAGTACCATATGAGTAACAGCAGTGCACACAATTAGAATAGAGTACATACTTTTTGGAATGGCTAAGAAGCCAAGTAGTACAATGCCATTGCAGTGTGTGCACTGCACATTGTTGTGGATGTTGCCAATAGACATGTAGACTGGCCAATATTGGTTATGGCCGGTGGTGACAGAGACTGTCATCTTGTCACTTCCAAGGATGATAGGAATGAACATTGCTCCTATTGTATCTGGATCTTGCACAATTAAGTCCTGCAGTGAATAATAAAAGTGAGACAACAACATGAAGAGTGAGTGAGTAATGCTTACAGCCTGTTTCCAACACCAGTCACTGGACATAAAGTCATGAAATTGATGTGCTCCATCACTAACACTATACTCCTGTACCAGTGCATAGTTGAATTCATCCTTGAAATCCAGGTTTGATATGATGTTGTGCACCAGGAGCCAAGGGTCTCGGAACCATATGTATGTCATACTCAGACTTCATCCATGATGAAACATCATCTGAGTTATCAGGTAGAATTCCATTGTACTGCAAACTGAAGCTTTGCCAGGGAACACCTACCAAGAGGAGTTGAATTGATGGTGTCATACATGTCAGTGTGGTTTGTGAATGGTGGGGTATCACCATGAGCTGCTAATGAGGCTGCCCACAGATTGAACACAAAATTGATGTTGCCTGCAGACATTTGGTTGCAACGGTGCAGGAAATCGGTAACTTCAAACTTGACATGATCATTGTATGGTGTCCAGTCATCAGATCCATGATCTGATGGGTGTGGAGGTGGTGGAGCATATAAGGGTATGGGATTCCCTTGATCATTGCAAATTCTTCCTTTGTAGAGGAGAATTGAGCACAAATTGTGTGAGTATCAAGAGAAGTCATGTACCATTTATGATGGGATAATATGTCCTAGTTACCTGAGGTTGACTCTGAGCTTGGCTGTCAGAACTAGCACTGCTACCAGGAGGCTGATCTACATCCAAGCCACCTGTAGAGTCTGCTGGTGGCTCAGCAGAATGCCAATCCTCGAAGGCATTGTATGGTGCATCATGTTCAAAATCATGGCCACCACTAGCCTGAGTACAACTGTCAGAAGCTCCCTCCAATCTGCTCTGGCTGTGTGAATGATATGTTGTGTCAGATAAAGGATGTCCAGGGCCAGATTGAGACACTGATGATAGACTGCGCTTGCAACTAGTAGGTGGGGGAGAACTACTGGAACTGGAGGATGAATGGTGTGGCAGTAGGAAATTTTGTGGTTCATGCTGTGATCGCATGTGGGAAGTGTGCCTGGACCTATTATGGAAATGGCAGGTACAGCCTACTGCTAAGCAAGGTAGTGTAGGTTGACAATGGCTAAGGGTGTGCATTTTGTGAATATGGAGGTTGGTACTAGCTGGTATTGTGAGATGGTGTAGAACTGGCAGGGTAATGAGAGCCTACGAGTCTGAGCTTCAGAGGTGCATGCAGCATGAAATTTATATTCAAACCTACCTTAGCATAAGAGCCTGTGAAGGCACCACTTGAATCACAAGGTGTATGCATTGTTGGGAGCAGTGAGAACCTTCCAAAAATTACATGAGGCAATGATACAACAAACATGTGTACTATGCACCAACAATGAGGCAGCCAAAGTTGGACAGTGTGAATGATCACCAGGAGATCCAGATCGGGAACAGGGTAGGGTAGTGGGCTCTTCTAGAAAAAGTGTTTGACATGAGGTTGGCAGGCTAGTAAAAGTGGCAAGATTATCACACACAAGTTCAATCGCAGAGTTCCATTCAACATCCAGGTGAACATTAAGAAGACTGCAGTATCAATCAAGACAGGCTGGCATAATAAATTCAGATTAGCTTTCTCTGAGTCACTGAATAGACATGAGCACTTACTGAGGAACATGCTTGCCTGCAGGCACAAACATGGTGAGATTGTCACACACACAAGTTCAATTGCAGAGTTCCATTTGACATCTGGGCAAACATTGATTAGCTGTGTAGATAAAAAAAGATTGATAGCAGTTGTATAGATATCATTGAACACATACCAGGGCGGGAGTCCAATGCCAGTGTGCCATGTTGGTGAGGTGTGGCAAAACCCTAAGTCCCAATTTGAACTACTTTAGTTATTATGACTACCACCATTGTAAAGTTAACAAAATTTTCTCACCTTTCACATCTTGCTTCTTCCACCACTCTGACTTGCCAATATGTCTACTTGTCATATTACCTGCACCAAGAATGCAACTCAGCATCCTGGTCTTGTAGACATGGTCCTGAAGAAGAAACATCACACAGCTGCAGAAGTAGCTGCTGAGCGTCAGGCTAAGTTAGATGCCAAAGAAGAAAAGGAACATGCCAAGGGTGCTAGGATCAAATGTGTTGCTGAATATGAGAAGAAACAAGCAGACAAGGATGCATTAACTGATGCTACCCTGCAGGCTGTAGCCTTACCAAAATCAAAGCCCTGTCCAAGGCCTATTCAAAGAAGACTTATGCAAAACCCTCTCCACCTCCTGAAGATGACAGATTCATTTCTGATGTTAAGATGGAGGATGCCATCAGCAGCACCTTTGACCCAGATCCATCCTAAGCCTCAGAAACAACTGACTCCCACATGGAGGGCTTGGAGCTGAGTAAAACTCCTACATCGCCACCAAAAAAGAAGGCAAGGGTTGACAAATGGGAGGGTAGGAAGGTGCCAGCTAAGAAGCTTAAGGTATGGGAGGCAATTAAGGCAGTGCAACTGGAAGAGGCAAATGAGCAGGAGAAGAGGAAGAAGAGGAAGATAACCCAACCTCCCAGCACAATAAGCATTGACTCAGATATGGAGTCAAATGTCCTGGTCATTGATGCAACACCTACAGTGACTCACAGCAAAAGATCAGCCCTTCAGCAGGTTAATCACTCAGATGATGAACCTATGGATACTGATATCCCCGATAAGCTTCAGTGGGCAATGCCAGCCTTGAGCAATGAGAACACACCTAAGGCACAGCCTTGTGGTAGTCAGACTGAGGAAAGGGGTAGCAGGAAGGAGAAAATGATGGAGAAGGCAAAGGTGAAGGTGATAGAGAAGGCAAAGGAGAAGTCAGATGATAAGGAGAAGGGGAAGCAGCAACATGATAAGAAATTAGTTCAGCCAAAAAGGTACAAAGTTCCCTTTTTCTTTTCCTGTTGTCACTTGTCCATCAATATCATGCTCACTCTCAACAAAACAACACTTTATTACTTTTTTCTCAGTGATTCTACTAGTACTATGGACTCAAAGGAATTTTCAACTGGCATCAATGATTGGGCTGCGAGCATCCCAAAGAACTCAAAGCCTGGTAGTAAAGCCAACACCAGCCAGCCCAGCATTTTTAAAAATAGCTCAACCTTGCATTGCAATGGATCTGTTCTTCCCCCCCTGACCAATGGCAGCACTCAATCATTGTCCAATTCAGTCTTGACTAACAATGTTTTGATTTCTCATGCAGAGCTGGTGATTCACATCAAAGAAGAACCCAAGAACTATCACCTTGGAATCATTGATGGGGGGCTCTCTGACGAGGACGAGACCCAAGGTCTTGAATGTGAGGCTGCAGTTGCCAGCCCTCTGAAAGGGAAAAAATGAGTTACAAGCTCAGTAAGTGTCTCATTTTGATATCATGTTTATTTCTACTACTACTGACTACTACAGGCTCTTATTAAAGATTCCCCTACCAAGCCCACAGCCTGTCAAACTGAATGAGTGAAGAAACCAAGCAATGACAACCTCCCTGAAGGTATCAATCCCAAAATCTGGCACCATGTCTTTATCTCGACATACATACAATATGTTGCAACATTGGCTAATCCCTGGGAAGTTCCTGCCAAGCTGGCCTGTGAGAAGATGCAGGTGATTTGGGATGCAATCTTTCCCCATATTGCCCACACAGTGACAAGCCTTAGTTCAGTCTACTACATTGTAAGTGTGCTCAATTTTATTAACACAGTACTAACTTAGATCTACTTCAATATAGGCTGTCCAGTGAGTTGCTGACTCCTACTGCAGCAACATCAGCTTGGCAGCTATTGCAATTGTCATTGCATACCTTGAGTCTCAGGACTTGCTGAGGGACTCTGATGACAATTGTGCAGAGTTTGTGGAGTATGCACTCAGCAGCCTTCAGTTCTTATACAAGGCAAATGGTGATGACAAGTCTGTACATACTCCTTTCATCTCAATCAATTCCCAAGTTGTTGTTGTGCTAACACTTAGCGCAGAAATTCCAGGGCCTTTATCAAGGTGCATTTGTTGTGCAAACCTTCAGTGTGCACTTCACTGCAACCTGTGGTGCCCAAAAGATACCTGGGGTAGACAAGCCAGGTGTACTAGCAAATCCTGCTGGGGGTCTTGCATTGTCATGTGCCACAGTAAATACTTGTCATCTTATTTATTCTCAAATCTCACAAACTAACAATTCTAACTAGGTTGAATGAGCTTTAACTCTCTGGTCTACTTGTACTCTCACCATCAAAATGGTTCAGGCAGCAAAGAACAAAACCAGCATTTCATTGCTGAAGATGATGAATCAGTCCACTGGCAAGATGTCCTATCAGCAAACAGGATTCAATGACATCTCCTGGGGTACATTGACGTGTGCCTATGTGAAGGCTATCAGAAGAACCTCCATGAGGACAAGTTCGAAGTCATCATTGCATCTGCCATGGAATTCTCAAAGAAGAAGAGTCATCCTGGTGATGACATTGATGATGCTGCTGTGGAGGATGACCTTGATCTGGATGAGCATGCTCAGCTGGTGGATATATCTGACACTGAGTCTGAGGGAGATGACAGCTCTGACATGGAGTAGGAGCCTCAATGTGGCTTGTGCATTCCTCCTTGAAGCCTATGCCAGTAATTCTTATTTTTTGTTGTTGTTATTACTACTGAGGCTAATGTTTAGGGCTGCTAGTGCTGCTGCTGCTGCCACCGCCAGTGTTAATATTTCAACAAAGTCTTCCTGCCCAGGCCATCACATGTAAATGAGCCTGACTTATTTCTTCCAGTTGTTCACTGTACTACTACTACCATTTCCTTCTCTAGCAATTCCAAGTCAGAGACTCAGAAAGCTGCTGCTGCTGCTGCCATCTCAGGCTGGTGATACTATCATGGACCTACTACTACTAACTAGTTGAAGTACTAGCCTATAGCCTAGTACTATGTTCTTGCACAATGCTAGTACTACTGCTTCACCACATGACTTGAATGGATGCTTTCTCACTGCTTGAAGGCTTCTTACTATTATGCTGCTTTTGGCTTATCTCACTTTCTGTCCTTAAGGGTGCACTCAAGCTCAGTCAGGACCACTCAGAGAGTAGTAAAGTAGTGAGAAGTACATTAAGTGGTGTGCATGCAATAAATAGCACTAAGTCACCCATGCAAAAGTTTAGTTGTTTTTGACTTAATGTTGACTTTTGAACCTTTGGAGCCTGAAAGTACTTTGAAACAGTCTTCCTGCTAGTAGTAGCCTTAGTAGTGCTATTACCTTTCACTTAGCTCGAATAATAAGCACAGCAATCAGAGCAGCTAAGTCACATTCATCTGAAGACCCTACTACCTTTCACTTAGCTCTGATAATAAGCACAGCAATCAGAGTAGCTAAGTCACATTCATCCGAAGACCCTACTTGTGGCAAGTCACAATCCCCTTAATGTTTCTTGGCTGAATCCAACTTAAAATATTTATTAAGTGATGCTAAGCTGATCTAAGGTTCATTAAGAATTTTCTTGATTTTCCTGATATAGTGAGGAAACTTCAGAAGATGACTCACAACTTGAAGACAACAATGAAGGTTGGGTGAATGATGCTGCTTTGTTGCTGAAGGACCAATCTGTTGAGCTGCAAAAAATATCTGGCCTGTTAAGTTAGCACTTGTCAAGGTAGGTTAGGATACATACAAACTCACCTCTAAATTGAGGGTTCCCTTGTTCAGTTTTGCAAACTTGCCTACAAGCTCATCAACTCTACAACACTCCTCCTCCCTGCCTGGCACAAGATCCTTGGTGAGCAGAAAATGTTGATAGCCCACATGCCACATGATGTCTCCACCTGGTGGAATTTGACCTATTGTTACAATCAATGTATGCCCCTATTCTTTTGTTTCTCTTATCTCATGTTGCATTACATCATGATTGCTACTTGCTGTCATTAGATGATCTTACAGTGACTTGCAAAACTGTTAAAGGTGAGGACTAAGGACTATGAGAGAAACTGACTACTACTAAGGGAACTCTACAGCAAGACCTGGATGCAAGACAGAACTTGACCCTAAGGACAGCTACTGAGAGAGAATCCTTGAAATGACTGAGGGAGACTCTGAAACCAAATGGGCACTAGAGGATGTGCAAAGTGTGAATGCTAGAAGAAGTGCAATCAAGATGTGCATGAAAGTGTGCTGGGGCAATGTAGAGACTCATGCCTCTATATCACCGTTATAGGATGATATACCACCCCTTCCCACTGATACTCCAGCTCTGATCCTCAGGATAAGTCACTCGTGCTATTGTGCACTAATGTGCAACCACTGCATGCATGCAAATGCACTTGCATGTCCTGTGCACCTGCTCTAGGTCCTCCACTGCGGTCCATCCACCTGTCCATGTCCTCACTAAAGTCCACTAGTGTGTTCTTATTGTATTCTTATCACTCTGACATATCTTCCAGACTGATGTAAAGAATGAGATTGCTCTAGGCTTGGATTACCCATATTATGACTCATGACAATTGGTACAGTGTGCAACTCACTAGCTATGACTTTCCTGCAAGATGCGCCAGAGGCATGATGCTTTCCTGCATTATGTGATGCATTCCCACACACACACTTAGCATGCTCTTCCTGTGCTTGGTTGCACTTTGTTGTGCAGCATCCTGGAGCATCCATTCATTGTCCAACCAGTTCCCTAGTAAGTCCCTTCTTGTTTATACCTGCTATTAGACTATTTCTGGCATTGTACAATATATTATTCCATTATGGACCCTTACATTACCTTACTTACATACATAGAGCACTCCCTATTTGCTTCCAAGCCCTGGGAGTGTGCCTAGGCACAGCTTACCTGTGGCCTAGGAAGTTTTCAAACAGCTACCACCATCATGTCAATCAGTGTCTAGTAGTCAGAATCCATCATCTTCAGTCAGTATGCATCAATTATTGCCCTAGTCCTCAGCAGCAAGTCCATTATCATCATCAGTCTCCACTCAGCAGTTCCAGTTCATGCCATCATGACATCTACCAGTTTCTTATACATTCACGCACTCCTTGCACCTTATTCCCATGCTTTGCACTCCTATGTGCTCCATATTCCTGCACACATGCTCATCACACTTCACCAGAGTTGACCTGGCGTCACCCTGTGGATCTTGCTTTCCTTGCTTCCTCTAAGGGTTGAACATATTGCCTGGTGCACTTTGACCAACACTTAGAGAGACAGTAGGCTTTCCTCTCACCCCAGAGTGAGAGCCCTCTTTCTTTCTTCTGCTCTGTACTGCTAGCAGAGTAGTTAAACCTTCAACTGGAGCCCACTGTGAGGGAAACAATCAGCAAATCCACACACCCTTTCAACTCCATTCTACCTTTCCACACTCCCAACACTTGATCCACACTTTTTCGCCTTTTCCTGCACTTCTCTTGCACATTTGCGTGCCATGAGCGACCTGGTCAACAGAGATGGAATGCCCTGGCCCAGGTACCCAAATGTGCCATGCTTTACAGGAGACCCATTTGGGGTCCTTGCGCACTTACAACATGTAGATCAACTTGGCCAGATGAATAACTTCTCAGGTGCCCAGCACATTAAGTATGTCATCAAGTATACTCATGATGCAGACTCTAGAGAGCTGTGGCAGGAATTGCCTGAATATAAAGGAAGTAGCTTCGAAGATTTTGCTAATGAGATTATATCTATGTATCCAGAAACAGGAACAAATGCATACACACAACCTGCTGCCAAAGCACCCACTGTGTGCACACCTCAGGAGCTAGAACACACCCTAGAGCAGCCAGAGATCATGCCTATAGCACCTCAATGTGCCCCAAGTATCACTAACCCCAGTCTAGATCTCCCAGAAGCACCAGTCATCAAACTCGCCCCACCACCAGCCATCATTGAAGCACCCATCATATGTGTGCCTCAGCAACCAGAATGTGCTCCAGTGCGCCCCTATACTGCACCTATAGCACCTCAAAGTGCTTTAAGTATTGCTAACCTCATCCCAGTCATCCAAGAAGCACCCTTTGATGAAATTGTGTCATTACCAGCCTATATTGAAGCGCCCATTATGTGTGCACCCCCAGAGCCCATACCTGAACCAGTGTATCCATCAGCAGAAGTCACTCTGCCCCAGCTCGAAATATGCGAGCCTATCATCACCCCAAGCCTTCCAGAAGCACCTCTGGAAGAGATCTCATTGCCTATAGTCAGGGATGACTCTAAACATCTATCGCACATTCACACGCCAATTCATGCGCCCATTCTGGAGCTTTCTATAGCATTAGAAGCTCATTACACACCACCAGTTGACCAGAGTACAATTCTGGAAACTCCATTAGTTGCTGACAATTTTGCACACAGTAACTCATCACTGCTAGTCAGGGATAACTCTAAACATCTATTGCACATTAACACGCCTATCCCAGAGTCTCCTGCAGTGTCAGAGACTCATTATGTAACACTTTCTGACCAGAGTATGTCTCTGGTAACCCTGCTTATCACTGATGAGTCCACACCTGTCACATTTTCTTCATACAGTGACTATTGTCTGCCAGTGAAACATCTATGCATTGCATTGCATATCTGCCAAGTAGAGTATGTCTCAGGCGACCCTGAGGTGCCTTCAGAGTGCTGTATTGCACCTGAGGTCACGCAGGTTGCATGCTTAGAGGCACTGTATATTCATCCTTGCTCATCATCACATTTTTCATCGCTTTCACATTTTATACTCTCAAGGAGTTATTTATCTTTCACACATGTTTTGCCTTTGTCTTTACATAAACTCACCATTATTTCATCATTCATGCGCTGCATTTGCACACCATGTGCCTATATTCCTGCGCTATATGTGCCCATCGTTGCAGAAGAGTCTTCCTGCTATTGCATTTTTACTGCTTCATCAATTTCAAGCCACTTTTCTTGGACTTCATATCAGTCCCACCTTAATCTGACACCTATTTGCAACTTACACGTTTGCTTTGTGCATATTCACATGCCTATCACATTTATCATTGTTTTTGATTTCGCATATTTCACCTTTATTCACATTTTCTGCTCCTCCACCTACAGTGGCATATATATTGTAGGAATCAGACCATTCACACATAGTACTCTTAATAGAGGTGGTGCAATAATGAATATTTGGTCTGATTTTAATATTATTTGCATATATAAACCCACATAACATCATGAACTTTAATATAATTATCATAAAGCTCATCTCCTCTGCTCAAAAGGATAATATCCTTATTCTCTGCTCCTCTAGTTTGTCTATGAGGCAAAGTGCTTCCAAAACTGGTCCTAGCAAGTCTACTATTGCTATAGTTATGCTGCTCATGATAGAACATTGATATCATGGGCTTTGAGCCATTTTGTAGCTAGCTGTGAGGTATGCTTGGAGTCATTATCCAGTTGGAAGATAATGTCTTCTTCATCAATTCCTGACTTCTGCATGCTTCTGAGTAGGCACTCCTCTAGAATGGAGATTTACTGCTCTACATTCATCCCTCCTTCCACCTCACAAAGAGTACTCACATCATTCCATCTCCTACAACCTCTACCATTATACTTCATCTTTCAAACTTTAGTACATTCTTGACTTCTCTTTCCCCTGATGGTTCCCCTGCCTTTTTTGACATACAGTGGCTCAAAAAACTGTCTGCATGTTTTGACATTTTTCACTATATATGATATTGTGCGAGAACAAACAAATGCCTCAAGGACATGCTTATAGCACATTGTAGTATGGCTTCAGGGCTTTCATTTGAGCCCTACACCGTGGGAATCGGTGGAGATATGGTGGAGATACAAGGCTCACAAAATGGTGACTCATGTGGACAGTTTTTTGAGTGTATATTAAAACTATATAAATCATTATTTATGACACTACAAAAATCATGCCAGTATTATATAAATTATGAAGTGGTGTCATTATGTTATTTTATGACTATATCTAACTATATAAACCAGAATATCTCATGTATCATAGTCATAATCACCATGAAAGCCATCTCCTCTGCTCAAAGAGATAATATCCTCTCTCTGTCTTATGCTGGCCTCTCTGCTTGCCAAATTTCCTCTAGAACTGGAGTATGCAAGTCCACTGTGGCCAAGTTTATCAAAGAAAGCCACCCAGACAAGGAAAACTCTTGTGGAGGACGTCCATCCAAGCTTACCTCTACTGACAAAAGGGCTATTATCCAACATATCACTACAGGAAAGGCTGATAATGCTGTCCAAGCCACCCATTATATCAATTCCACCATCACTACCCCTGTCTCTTCACAAACTGTGAGGAATGTTCTCAAGGCAGTAACAAAGAAGAAAAAGCCTCTTCTCTTCATCAAACATAGGCAGAGAAGACTAGCCTTTGCCTTAGCTCATCAACACTAGACTGTAGAGGACTGGAAGCATGTTATATGGTCAGATGAGACCAAAATCAATAGGATTGGGTCAGATGGGAAGGTATATGTATGGAAAAAGAAGGGAGATGGCCTAACAGACAGAGAGGTTAATGGGACTGTCAAGTTTGGAGGAGGTTCTTTAATGGTATGGGGCTGTATGGGATGGAATGGTGTGGGAATGCTTGCTGAGGTTGAGGGGAAGATGAATGCTGAGCAGTATGTGGACATTTTAAATGACCACTTGCTGCCTAGCTTGGCAGAATCAGGGATTGATGAAGAAGATATCATTTTCTAACAGGATAATGATCCCAAGCACACATCCAGAAGAGCTAAGGAATGGTTTGAAGAACATAACATCAATGTTCTTGACTGGCCAGCACAGTCTCCTGATGTCAATGTCATTGAGCATCTCTGGGGAACACTCAAGAAAAAGCTTCAAGCCTATGAAAACCCCCCTAAAGGAGTATGGGAGCTTTGGGAGAGAGTAGCAGTGGAATGGGGGAAGATCACAGCTGAGGATTGCCAGAAATTAATTGAGAGTATGCCTAGAAGGATAGAGGCAGTAATTAAAGCCAAGGGAGGTCATACAAAATACTAGAATACCTGGTTATTATTGTAAAATACTTGAGTCAAAAAACTGTCCACATGAGTCACCATTTTGTGAGCCTTGTATCTCCACCATATCTCCACCGATTCCCACGGTGTAGGGCTCAAATGAAAGCCCTGAAGCCATACTACAATGTGCTATAAGCATGTCCTTGAGGCATTTGTTTGTTCTCGCACAATATCATATATAGTGAAAAATGTCAAAACATGCAGACAGTTTTTTGAGCCACTGTATGTCAAAAAAGGCAGGGGAACCATCAGGGGAAAGAGAAGTCAAGAATGTACTAAAGTTTGAAAGATGAAGTATAATGGTAGAGGTTGTAGGAGATGGAATGATGTGAGTACTCTTTGTGAGGTGGAAGGAGGGATGAATGTAGAGCAGTAAATCTCCATTCTAGAGGAGTGCCTACTCAGAAGCATGCAGAAGTCAGGAATTGATGAAGAAGACATTATCTTCCAACTGGATAATGACTCCAAGCATACCTCACAGCTAGCTACAAAATGGCTCAAAGCCCATGATATCAATGTTCTATCATGAGCAGCATAACTATAGCAATAGTAGACTTGCTAGGACCAGTTTTGGAAGCACTTTGCCTCATAGACAAACTAGAGGAGCAGAGAATAAGGATATTATCCTTTTGAGCAGAGGAGATGAGCTTTATGATAATTATATTAAAGTTCATGATGTTATGTGGGTTTATATATGCAAATAATATTAAAATCAGACCAAATATTCATTATTGCACCACCTCTATTAAGAGTACTATGTGTGAATGGTCTGATTCCTACAATATATATCTTGGATTATAGCTATGATGTTAAGCTTTTAGACATGTCCCTATGCCTTTATATTGTACTCAGGTGCTGGCTTGCTATTATCCAATTACAGTGGCTCAAAAAAGTGTCCTGATGTTTGTGGATTTTCATGTAATTGCTTCATTGTGAGTCAGGGTGTGGGAATATGACTAAGCTACAGGGAGGTGTCAGAATGCTCTGCTTCTTCACTTTGTCTTTGTTCCCCATAGCGTGGGAATCCGATGTCATCGTGTGAATATATGGACATTTTAATTTGGTGACTCATTGGGACACTTTTTTGACTTTCAATTTGACTAATACATTCTCTATAATTCTGGTACTTAGTGTTTCCTCCTGTTGTTCTAATCACTTCTACCACTCTTATAAACACACTCTTCATCAATTCCTACCATTACCCATTAGTAATCTTCCCCTACCATGCTGCAACTCCCTCCCATAGCTGAAATAGCCCCTATGAAGGATCTTGATATATTGCAAGTAATACCCTGAGCAATTTCCAAAGTTGGTCAATAGGGTTGAGGTCTGAAGACTATGCTGGCTATTATAGAACAGTAATATCATAGTTTTCAAACTATTTGGTAGCTGACTTGGAGTATATTTAAGATCATTATCCTGTTAGAAGATAGTGTGTTCTTCATCAATTTCTCATTTCTGCATGCTTCTAAGCAGACCCTCCTCCAAAATTGAGATGTACCACTCTGCACTTATCCTCCCCTCCAACTCACAGAGAATCCCTACTCTATTCCACCTCATATAGCCCCATAGTATCAAGTTTTCTCCTCTAAATTTGAGTGTTTCCTTGACTTCTCTTTGTCCCAGTAATTCTTCTACCTTTTTTCATACATATTCCTGGCCATTTGATCCAATCCTATTGGTTTTTATTTTATCTGATCTGATAGCTCTATTCCAGTCCTCAAAGTCCAATACTGGTACTTTAGAACACAGGCTAGTCTCCTCCCTCTATTGGCTGAAGATAGAAGAAGCTTTTCCTCTTGGTTATAGCTTTAAGGGTGGCTGCCTTAAGAACATTCCTGACTATTTGAGTGGAGACAGTGGTGTGGATGATGGACTAAATGAATTTGATGGCTTGAGTAGCATTAGCAGCCTCCCTAGTTAAAATATAATACACAAGAGATCTTTTATCATATAGTGTAAGCTTAAAAGGGTGATGTGATTTGATATTTTCTTTATTTGGAATGGCAATTTTGATGAATCTAGCAGTAGTATTCCTGCTCAGACCAGTTTTAGTAGAATTCTGCCTAGTAGACAGATGAGAGGAGCTGAGAATGAGAATAGGGGCTATTTCAGCTATGGGAGGGAGTTGCAGCATGGTAGGAATTGATGAAGAGTGTGTTTATAAGAGTGGTAGAAGTGGTTAGAACAACAGGAGGAAACACCAAGTACCAGAATTATAGAGATTGTATTAGTCAAATTGAAAGTCAAAAAAGTGTCCCAATGAGTCACCAAATTAAAATATCTATATATTCACACAATGACATTGGATTCCCATGCTATGGGGAACAAAGACAAAGTGAAGAAGCAGAGCATTCTGACACCTCCCTATAGCATAGTCATATTCCCACGCCCTGACTCACAATGAAGCAATTACATGAAAACCCACAAACATTGGGACACTTTTTTGAGCCACTGTACATATGTTTGGATGCTGCTAGGGAAAGTAGCTCACCACTTTCATGAGTAATCAAGATGGTATCTCCCCTTCCAAACAGCATGGAAGAGCTTGGTGGTAGTGCCTGGATGGTGTGAGCAGGACTAACAATACAGCTATCTTGTGTAGAGCACCGCTGCATACAGAATCTTTGCCAAACATGAATATAATCAAAAGAGAGGGAACAGTTGGAGCAACAGAATTGCCTTCCATTGCATTCAAGGTAGGATCTACCAGAGATCAAGTTGCCAAGCACTGGATGGAGATCAGGAATATGTAAACATTGGGAAGCTTCTTCAATAGTTAGATGAGGAAAATGCAGATAGCAAGTAAGGAGGATGGCAACAGTGTCATCAGAAGAAAAATGAGTGCAGTTGTTGGCAAAAAGGGAGGTGATTGGTTTGCCAGCGCCAACATACTGCTCACTGGGCAGAACAGTAGAGATCCAGGTTGCTTCTGGATAATGAAGTGCCATAGTATTTGCTTCCTGGGACATTTCATAGATCAAGCTCACATGATGCAACTTCAGAACTGTGTAAGGCTGGAAGAATTGCAGTTTTTCCTGCCAGTCAAGGAAGCAGCAGCACTGACTGTGGAAATCTCTGCAATTGGACATGTGGTAAGGCTGTTTCACATGGGTGATGTGGCAGCACTCAGTGATATCACTGCTCCATTGATATGGAGCACCCATGGCTCAAGTACTCAAGGTGACATGCTGCATTAACTCTAGCTTGGGGATCTCAAAGTGATTAAGGAAACCATTCTTGCCATGGTGACCACCCACTAGTAGGATAAAATCTTTGTAGTGGTGAAATTCACAGAGGGCTTCAAATAGAGAGTGTAGAGTTTCATCATGAATAAAGAAGTTCTGTGCTTGGAATATAAATTCAGTGATAGCATGTAGTGCACACACAACTTCATTGGGAACAGCACCAACAATCATGCCAGGAAGGAGCTTCTTGAGGTCTTGGTGTTCTCAACCAGTAAGTTGCTTCAGCATGGAGATGCTGTTCACCCAATGATGCACTCCTACACAAGGTTGTACACAAGGTTGGAGAACTGACAGTCAACAATCAAGTTCTGTTCCCCCCATAATGTTTATTGACCAGTTGATGGGGTGGTCAAAGAAAAATTTGTGCCACTGATGGAGGCCATCTGGCATCAAAAAGAAGGATGGGCATGCATGGCCCCAATCCTTCCAGTATGGCTCAATGACACCATTCAGATGAAGGGTTTGACACGTCTTGTAGAAGGATGTGATGTTGCAGGGGTCAGAAGTAATGCATGCCCTCTCGATAGTGTCAAGAGTGTAAGAACAAGTTTGAGGAGGATGTGGAAGAGGATCCCCAAATTGGGCAGCAGTAGCAAGAGAAATTAGAGAACATTTTGACACCATACACATGATGAGTAGTTGCTCAGGGTAGTTGGCTATCCAAGCAACCAAAGGTGTGTGGATCATATGCAAATCTCCTCTTGGGTCTGACATAGGGCATCCATTGTGAGTGGCAAGCTTCAAATTATGGATGACAATTGAAATTGTGAAATAATAAACTCATGCAGATAAAATTGCTTGGACAGGCTGTGAGACATCAAGAAACTTTGGTATTGGCAGGTAGGTGACCAAAGCAAATGCATGTGATGTCACTTTCATGCGAACACCTGCATGGATATTAGCAAGCAAAATTAGTAGGGGATGCATCTCCTTGTTTCCAGTGTAGAGAACGAGATCCCTCCAGGCATATATTGCACATATTATGACTCATGACAATTGGTACAGTGTGCAACTCACTAGCTATGACTTTCCCATGAAATGCACCAGAGGCATGATGTATTCCTGCATACACACTTAGCACACTCTTCCCGCTGTCTTCTTACTTGAGGGTCTTATATAAGTTGAGGTGAAATACAATGACTATCACAATTGTACTTCAATAAGACTAAGGTGCCAGCTCCTCAAGTTCACAGTCAACGGATTTTCTACTTCTTGGTTGATAATGTGTTATTTGTGGGTGGCCAAAGGGTAATAAATTACTTCTTTACTAGATCACTTCTTGATAGTAAGGGGAAGTATATATTTTGTCAGGTTAACTTAAACCTAGTAGGTAATATGGACCTCTGCTGGGTCAAATATGATAGACTGTTGTATAGGCAATCCCTGTAAGATAGTATACAACCAATCTAGACTAGAAATACTATAGTTTTCAAAGGCAATCTCAAGGCCTTCATTTTCTTCATAATCTCACACTATTGAGACAGAAAGAGGGAAAACTCCTGCACTTCAAATCTTATGAATCTCACAGTTTGAGACAAGAAAGAAGAGGGAAAAACTTGTTGATTATGTGAGAATGGAGTCCTTATATACATATTAGAAACCATCCTTACTAAGCAATGACTCATCACTGGATTGGTAAGAATATGCTTACAAACCAAGCCTTTTGGTGTGCTGAATCAGCTGCTTACTAAAGTACATGAGTAAAATATTACAAAGCACTGCAAAATATTACAAAGTATGACAAATCATGACAAAACATGATAAGTCATGGAAAAATCCTTACAAACCAGAATATTACCAGTCACATGACATGCTTACAAACATATCTGAGTGGTTCACTGATGTAATCAAGTGGCTAAAACTATAAATACAAGTAAATAAATAAAGGGAAATAGATGACTAAGCTCATGAGTGAGAAACATATCCTCATACACTCTCCTAATCATCTCCTTCTATACTTCTTCTGATATATGTCATGGTATGAACTCCATACCATGCATGACACCGCACTTGGTTGCACTTTGTCATGCAGCATCCTGGAGCATCCATTCATTGTCCAACCAGTTCCCTAGTAAGTCTCTTCTCATTTATTCCTGCTATCAGACTATTTCTGGTATCATACAATATATTGTTCCATTATGGACCCTTACATTACCTCACTTACATACATAGAGTGCTCCCTATTCACTTCCAAGCCCTGGGAGTGCACCTAGGCACAGCTTACCTGGGGCCTAGGAAGTTTTCATACAGCTACCATATACAGCAACCACCATCATGTCACTTAGTGTCTAGTAGTCAGAATCATTATCTTCAGCCAGCATGCATTAGTTGTCACCCTAGCCATCAGCATCAGTCCATCAGCATCAGTCTCCACTTAGCAGTCCCAGTTTACATCTTCACACCATCTTTCAGTCTTTACACATTCATGCACTGCTTGCACCCTATTCCCACACTTCACACTCCTATGCACTCCATATTCCTGTGCACGCACTTTCAGCGCACTTCACCAGAGTTGACCTGGTGTCACTTTGTGGATCCTTGCTTTCCTTGCTTCCCTTAAGGGTCAAACATATCGCCTGGTGCATTTTGACCAACACCTAGAGAGTTAGTAGGCTTTCCTGTTGGAATAGCAAGTGTGCCCACAGCCAAGCACATCAAGTCTTCACCCTTGTTTGTCATCTCACCATTGTCCCATGACATGTATGTTGTCTGCTCTTATAATACTCTTGTAATATGACTCGCTATTGTGTACTGAACTTTCTGGACTGCTTTGGCCAGTACCATTTCTTTTGTTATCGTTTCACTTACTTATTTGTTCAAACAAGAACACTCACGTCTATTTAGTCTACGCAGATATCACGCTCGAACCTCAGACATTTGCATTCACACACAACGACCGAGGTAAGACATACTATTACTTTAGTTTATGTTTACTCACACTACATCAGTGTTACAGTAACATATGCCCCTATTCAATTAGACCCACTTTCTATATTTGTATTACATTGTGATTGCCGCAGCCATCATTAGATGACTCATCTCTTATCTCTGACTCATCCCTTATCTATGACTCGTTACTGACATATGTGTACCTGCCCTAAAGTCACTTACATCTTATATAAAGTCGACAATGTACTTAGTAGTTCCTCACTTTAATCTACTAGGTTTTCACCCAGATATTCCTTCACTTAAGACCCCCAATCTTAAGTTGTATAAGACCGACATTCAAGACAGAGACACTCTCTTTGTCTTGTCCTATGACCCTTGTATTCACAAGGTCTAGACTATAACTTCAGCTGTTGCTCTTATCAAGCTGCTGTTACGACTATCCTAGTTCATAACAAAAGATTAAAGTCATACTCCGACCCTCTCCATCAGGGAGGCCCCAGAACCCAGAAAACCAGGACCAGACAGAGAGAGTCGTAACATCCCCTGTAACCAGATGCATCACTAGACCAGATGATCAGGATGTCAGCACCTACCACCACCTCAGAACTTAAAGCTGGAGCTCCAACATCTTATGATGGAAGCCCTCAGCAGGCTTTACGATGGTTGTATGCAATTAAGGCATATTTTGCTCTTAATGCTACAATCTATAATACTGATGAAAAGAAAGTCATCACTGCTCTTGCGTATATGACTGAAGATAGCGCTATGGGATGGGCCCTCACCTTCTATACCGAAGTTGAAAACTCTGTCTCCAAATCCTATGGAACCTTTGCAAACTTTGAAACAAAGTTCAAAGAAGCCTTCATACCAGCTGATGCCATTGGCACAGCTATGAACAAACTCCGCACCTTGAAACAGACAGGCAATCTCACTTCCTACATTGCCAGCTTCAAGACCCTCACTGCGCAGGCCTCTGTACAGCAAGACGCTGTCTTGATCACCTTTTTCAATGATGGGCTTAAGAAAGGAATTGGTAATTCCATCTATCAAATGGAAACCATTCCCATGGACTTCAACAAGTACGTCACTGCAGCCATCAGGCTCGACAGTAACTGGCAAAGGGGTGTCATGTTCTGACAGAACAATCGCACTACCACCAAGCCAACTGGACAATGATACATCCCCAGACCCTCCATTGATTGACATGATCCAAATGCCATGGAGGTAGATCAACTTACCAAAGCCGAAAGAAATGATCATATGAAGAAGGGATTATGTTTCACGTGTCACCAGAAAGGACACATGACTAGAGCATGCCCCCAGAAGAAGAATGGAAAGACCCCTGTTCATTGTGAAGAAATAGAAGATAGCAACAAAGAAGATGAAGATACAACAATCCATCACCTAGCTGAGGATTTTTGATGTGGAAGACTGGATTGACAACAGTATCTTCCGATGTACCCATCAGACTTGTACAAGGTATTGGAATCAGAAAGGAACTCCATGTTCCCATTTCCCTTATCTTGAAAACTCATCTGAAAACCATCAAAACAACCACCATTATTGACTCTGGTGCTGCTGGAACATTCATTTCCGAAGACTTTGTCAAATTCCATAAAATCAGAACACACAAACTGACAAAGCCATTCTGAGTCACCACTGTGGATGGAAGTTATGCGAGAGGAGGCACTATCACTCGTTATTGCATCCTTATCATGAAAATAGATGAACAATCCATGATTGGAAAATTCAACATCACACAACTTGGCCACCATGACCAGATCTTACTCGGTATCCCTTGGTTACATGCCATGGACCTGACAATAAGGTGGAAAGCAGAACCATTAGAACTCCCCCGAACCAAGAAGAGTGATCAGATTGAAGAAGAAGTTGATAATGAATGAGATAAAAACAAACTCCCGCCTCTCTTTTGAAAAACCATTACAGAACCGCAAATGCCTCCTGCGGAGCCTGCTCCTAATATGTTGTTAAAAGAACCACTACCACGAGCCACCATCAAAGAAATCCCAGATGAAGAAGAACCCCCAGCATTACCTGATCTTGATCCCATTCCTGATGATGACGATGAATCCTTTGACACAAAAGAAGACATATGGACCCAGGATTATGCACCTCCCAAGTGAGAGCTCGTGACTTACCATCTTAATGATGATGAGTACTTAGTCGAATACCCTGTTGATGCTACTGAGCTCCAGGTCTTCACTAACATCTCCATGGACACACCGTTAACTAAAGATGGTACCAGTATTGCAGAACAGAAACCTGCAATCGCACCTTTATCAAAACCAGCTGAATATATCAAAACCAGCAACAAAGCCCAGCAGTTTGCATTAGCAGCCAGGATTGAGCAGAAAAAGAAAAAGTTCGAAGAGCTTGTCCCTTCCTATCTCCATGACTTCGCTGATATCTTTGCCAAAGATGGCCTCAATCAACTGCCGCCCGAACAACCTGGTATTGATCATTGTATAGAGTTGTTAACCCGGGTTCATACCCAAGACATCAAAGATCTACCCACTATCCAAGACAGAACGCACCACCGTTAAAGCGTTCATTGATGAAAACATAAAGAAGGGTTTTATTTCTGAATCAAAGTCACCACAAGCAAGTGGCTTTTTCTTTGTAGGAAAGAAAAGTGGGGACCTTCATCCATGCCAGGACTATCAGTATATCAACAATTGGACAGTCAAGAATGCTTACCCCCTCCCACTACCACTTTCATTGGTTGCTCGATTACATGGTGCAAAGTACTTCACGAAGATGGTTGTCCATTCTGGCTATAACAATATCTGGATCCATCCTGAAGATCATTGGAAAGCTGCCTTCACCACTGAATATGGACTGTTTGAACCAAATGTCATGTTCTTTGGCCTTTGCAACTCTCCTGCCACATTCCAGGCGTATATGAACTGTACTTTCCAACAGGAGATTAACAAAGGATGGCTCATCATATACATGGATGATATTTCAATCTTTTCCAATGATCTTACCTCTCACCATGATCAAACCTGCCATGTCCTCAACAGAATCCCAATTTGTATCAAAATTCTCAAAAGCCCTTGCCAAGCTGTTAAAATACGACATAGCCACATCAACCGCTTATCACCCCCAGACTGACGGTCAGACTGAACGACTTAATCAAGAGCTCGAAACCTACCTCCACATCTATTGTTGTAACCACCCTGAAGATTGGGTAGAACATCTCCTGATGGCAGAATTTGTTCATAACCACCGGAAACATGATTCCCACAATGCTTCACCATTCTTCTTGATGATGGGATATGAACCAAGAGCTCTTCCACATACACTCCCTGACTCCACTGTTCCCACTGCAGAAGAAAGACTTCACTCACTTCAAAAATCCAGAGAGGAAGCATTATCCTGTCATAACCTTGCTATGCAACAAATGGCAGAATGAACTCATGGACATAAATATCACCCATGGAAAATAGGAGATAAGGTTTGGTTATCTGGAAAGAATTTGATCATGCAACTACCTTCACAAAAACTTGCGCCAAAACAATATGGCCCCTTTTCCATTACAGCAGTGCTATCCCCCATCACATTCACCCTCAAGCTCCCACCACAGTGGAAAGTTCACCCCATGTTCCATGCTTCTGAGTTATCTTCCTATCATGAAACAGAAGTCCATGGTCCAAACTTCCATGACCCTCCCCCAGATATCATCAATAATGAAGAAGAATACAAAATTGATGTGATCTTATCGCACAAAGGCACAGGAAAACAAAGATGCTATCTAGTATCCTGGAAAGGATACTCCTCTGCCAGTAATGAATGGATCCCAGAAGAGAACCTTAGTAATGCTGCCAAGATCCTCTCCATATATAAAAGGATCCACCATTTGTAACCCCAGGACAATGTCTCTTGAACACTTATGCCTCTGCATCCAATGAATTAAAGAACTCACCACTGTTATGAATGCTGTATCTGAAAATGTTGCTCACCCACTATCTCTCATTGACTACCAGAATGCCACCATTGCCAATTCCACCGCTGCTGAAAACACATCCTCCCCAGCCACTTCTCCACCATTGACCAACTTCACTCTAACTAACAACTCCACCCTCACCGACTACTTCTCAATCATTGATCAAGTTGAGACTAGTGCCTTGTTTGAATCTGCTATCACGTCCCAACAATATGCCATAGAGATAGATCATCTCTTAGGAGAAAGAGGGGCAATCTCTAGTGGGCTTATTATCTGAATCATCAGGGATGCTAGCCTCATTGAACAAACTGCTAATCTTCTCGATGATGAACATCACAAGACCATCTTCCGTCACCTTCATATATGCATTCATAATACTGCAATCCATCTGTTGCCTGATGATACTAAGGAAGCTATCAGAGAAGCTATCCACATTGTCACTGAATGGATTGCTACCAATCCAGTTGCATGACCCCCTTCCCCACATGTTGCCATTCCAATCCCACTGCCAGTTCTTCCAGCAGTTACCATTGAGCATCAGGATGATGATGTCCCTCCTATTGCTGTACTTGACATACCAACTTCTCCTTCTCCTACCCCCATCGCACCCACTACACGTCAATACCCTACCAGGTGCAGATCCGCCCACATCACCAAACACACCACATCAGCTTCCCCACACAGAAATCATAAATGACGATCTAGATCCCCTTCCCCACCAGCACAGTTGTCCACCATCACCACCATGAAAACGGCAACCGTCAATAATGTTGTATGTTGTAACTGTCGCACCACCGGGCATCGTCACAAGAACTGCCCAGCATATTACTGTCGGGTTTGCAAGGAATATGCACCCAGACACTTATCGGTCTTTTGTAAAGACCTGAAGGGAGAAGCAGTTATTCCACTGGTTTGGACTGACACTGGTTTCTATGAAGCTCTTGCTTGTTGGGAGATCAAGCAGGATGCCATTTATCATGCTGCTGAGTTAGCTGATAGATCACTTCCCATTACTGAGGAACAGGACGACCTGCTAGACTCAAACTACGATGCCAACCTGATTTATTGGGCTAACCAGGATAACTGAAGTTGGTGACTTCATCCCTAATTGAGGGGTAATGTTACAGTAACATATGCCCCTATTCATTTTCCTCATTATACTTGTATTACATCATGACTGCACAATGCTGTGCCATCATTAGACCCACTTTCTATATTTGTATTACATCACAATCGCTGCAGCTGTCATTAGATGACTCGTCTCTTATCTCTGACTCGTCCCTTATCTATGACTCATTACTGATGTATGTGTACCTGCCCTAAAGTCACTTACGTCTTATATAAAGTTGACAATGTACTTAGTAGTTCCTCACTTTAATCTACTAGGTTTTCACCCAGATATTCCTTTGCTTAAGACCCCCAATCTTAAGTCATATAAGACCAACATTCAAGACAGAGACACTCTCTTTGTCTTGTCTTATGACCCTTGTATTTGCAAGGTCTAGACTATAACTTCAGCTGTTGCTCTTATTGAGCTGCTGTTGTTACGACTATCCTAGTTCATAACAGTCAGAGCATCTGTTTGTAACAGATCTGTGTGAAATCAACTTGTATTATTCTTATATTTCCTCTCACCCCAGAGTGAGAGCCCTCTTTCTTTCTTCTGCTCTGCAACCTAGCAGAGTTGTTGAACCTTCACTGGTCCCAATGGTCAGAGGTGTTTTGTCTGAAGCACCAATCACACCAATGAATGAATGACCAGGAGGAAGCCAATTCTAGATTACTACAGTGAGCCTAAGTCCCCACCATCGGTGACACCACCTACCTGTATCTCCCATGCAAGATCAGCACTCATAAACTCTCCATAAGCTCATTGATTGTCTGGGCCTTCAAATTCCCAGTATGGCCAGAAATCCATATAATGCGCAAAAACTGGGTTGGTGAATAGATGTTTTATGACCTCGAGAGAATCCCTCCAATAGAGCATTAAGGGTGCTTTCATCTTATAGGAACCAACTTGAATCCATTGGTGGTACCATTGAGGTACTTTAGGTAGTCCTTTGATCCAAGTGTGCAGATCCTTCAATGTGCTGAAAGAAGGCGGATTATTCTTAGTCTGTATCTATTATTAAGATATTGATGCAGCATGAAGTATTGTCAGGCAACTTATGTGCTTGAGATGGAGAAAAAGATCAACTTCTTTTTGCAATAATGCCCCCTCTGAAAGCCAATATCCCAGGTTGAATTCAGCTTTTGATGTGAAAGGATAGTAAAGGTTTTCTGTGTGATGGATGGCAGCATGTACATCACAATCCATTTTCTGAAGATGGTTCTCCCCTCCAGAGTGGGTGACTGGCACATTGGGATGGTAATCCCTCAATGTGCCAGGATGTGGGCCTGCAGAGGGGTCAACAGATGCGAGTGGTGGTGCAGATGAAAGGGGAGGGTTATTCAAGAATGATACATTATTATCTTCTGCATTGTCCAGAGGATCGACTTCTTTGTACTCTTCATAGACTAGGTACATAGTAGTAGGATTTAACCTCCATTAATCAAGTGAGATACATGCACCATCTTGCTCATGTTCTAGGTCATCATGATCAAAGTCCAATGTAAGACCTTGAACAACCCACTGACCACAGGTAACAGTAGTTGACAGATGACAGATGACATTGTCACTGCATGTGAACATATCTGTGCAATTGGGGCAAGTAAACACATGTCTATCATCACTAGTAGTCATATGGGGAAGATGCAGAGGAAGTGAGGATGACATGCTAGCTTCAAGTGATAGATGGAATTTTGCTGCTGTGACTTACTAGTATTCTAGAGTTGAGGAAAACCCTTATAAACCTGATCCCTGGGCCGAGTCCAATTTGACTGTCCTCCAAGTCAGTATCAAGTTGGTAGGCAATGAGTCATAGATAGGCTGATAATAGTCACTGTCCTCCTACTAAACAGTCGATTGCTCTGCTGGCATCAGTCATCACACATAGTAAGCATATTGGGATTACTATGAACAAAAACTGTGATAGCTTACCTCTAAGGATCTTGTCCTCTCTGTATTGCTGTTGTGGATAGTAAGTGCAATCAGGAGCTGTCAAGAACCATGAGAACTTACTAGTAGTGCTTATCTCCCTTGAAGGCTCTTGAAATGGTGAGCTGCATTGGAGTTGCCACTGGACTCAGTTGGGACTTAGCACAAACTCTTGCTGCAATCTGTGTGAGAATTCTCTGTTTGGTTGATTCAGCATCAGCAAGCTTGAACCATGACATTATTGCATCATGCCTTGCACAAGCAGCACCAGCAGCTCATTTGCATCAGCAAGGACCTCCAATGATCTGAGATCAGTTTTTTTGGACATCATGTCATTTCCATGACCAGATATTTGCTAACTATACACTGTAGTGTTTCATCACCACCTATGTCTGTGGCACCAAATGACTCTCCTATATGTGTTAAGGTCATACTCAAGGGTTAACAGATCCTAAGGGCTTCAGCCTCAGCTCATGCGCTGTGCCCCTTACTTGAGTATTGCCCCTTATTTCAGGAAGGCAAGACTAATGCATCCAGAGGGTTGGATGGGTAGTGTAGCAAATCTGGATGACTTCCGGATGAGGGATAAGTATCGTAAGACTAATCTGGACAAGTCCAGACTAGAAACTAGCAGTAATGGCTGTCATAGACAGAGGCAGATGCAGATAGACTATAGGAATCAATCCTAAGTCTCGGAGGGTGACGAGAGTAGTGGTACTCAGGTCTGGAGGATGGGAATGAGCAGAACTAAGTTGATATTTGAACTGAGGTACTACAGAGAGTTACAGGAGGTTATATACTATAGGTATCTAATGGAATGATCAATCAGCAGAGTCTGAGGCTATGTACAAAGCATATGGATGGTCTATTGGTAAGTAGAAACAGATCACAAATAATGAAATGGAAATGAAGCATAGGTAACAGATCAGGGAGCAGGACGGATATACAGTGGCTCAAAAAACTGTCCACATGTTTTGACATTTTTCACTATCTATGATATTGTGTGAGAACGAACAAATGCCTCAAGGACATGCTTATAGCACATTGTAGTATGGCTTCAGGGCTTTCATTTGAGCCCTACACCGTGGGAATTGGTGGAGATATGGTGGAGATACAAGGCTTATAAAATCATGACTCATGCAGACAGTTTTTTGAGCACATATTAAAACTATATAAATCATCATTTGTGACACCATAACAATCATGCCACCATTAAATAAATTATAAAGTGGTGTCATTATGTCATTTTAAAACCATATCTAACTATACAAACCAAAAATTTCCATATGTCATGGTTATATTCACCATGAAAGCCACCCCCCCTGCTCAAAGGGATAATATCCTCTCTCTTTCCTATTCTGGCCTCTCTGCTTGTCAAATTTCCTCTAGAACTGGAGTATCCAAGTCCACTGTGGCCAAGTTCATCAAAGAAAGTCACACAGACAAGGAAAACTTCTGTGAAGGGCATCCATCCAAGCTCACCTCTACTGATAGGAGGGCTATTATTCAACATATCACTACAGGAAAGGCTAATAATGCTGTCCAGGTCACCTATTACATCAATTCCACCATCACATTCCCTGTCTCTTCACACACTGTGAGAAACATTCTCAAGACAGCTCATCTCAGGTCAGTAACAAGGAAGAAAAGGCTTTCCTCTCCATCACACATAAACAGAGATGACTAACCTTTGCCTTAGCCCATCAGAATTGGATTACATGGACTGGAAGCATGTTATATGATCATATAAGACCACAATAAATAGGATTGGGTCAGATGGCAAGGTATATATGTGAAAAAAGAAGGGTGCTAGTCCTTTCTGCATATGTGTGATAGAGAGGAAAGCCTTTTCTTCCTTGTTACTGACCTGAGATGAGCTGTCTTGAGAATGTTTCTCACAGTGTGTGAAGAGACAGGGAATGTGATGGTGGAATTGATGTAATAGGTGACCTGGACAGCATTATCAGCCTTTCCTGTAGTGATATGTTGAATAATAGCCCTCCTATCAGTAGAGGTGAGCTTGGATGGATGCCCTTCACAGAAGTTTTCCTTGTCTGTGTGACTTTCTTTGATGAACTTGGCCACAGTGGACTTGGATACTCCAGTTCTAGAGGAAATTTGACAAGCAGAGAGGCCAGAATAGGAAAGAGAGAGGATATTATCCCTTTGAGCAGGGGGGGTGGCTTTCATGGTGAATATAACCATGACATATGGAAATTTTTGGTTTGTATAGTTAGATATGGTTTTAAAATGACATAATGACACCACTTTATAATTTATTTAATGGTGGCATGATTGTTATGATGTCATAAATGATGATTTATATAGTTTTAATATGTGCTCAAAAAACTGTCTGCATGAGTCATGATTTTATAAGCCTTGTATCTCCACCATATCTCCACCAATTCCCACGGTGTAGGGCTCAAATGAAAGCCCTGAAGCCATACTACAATGTGCTATAAGCATGTTCTTGAGGCATTTGTTTGTTCTCACACAATATCATAGATAGTGAAAAATGTCAAAACATGTGGACAGTTTTTTGAGCCACTGTACAGATAACCAAAATGCCAGAGTTAGGGGATTACTGAAAAGAGACGAGTGCTGGTTGTGGATTCAGATGAATTGTGGACCAGACTGGATGAGTGGACAGATTGAATGACAAGATGTTGGAGGGAGATAAGATGTGGATCAGATCTGAGATCCGGATATGTGGATATGACACACTGTACATACATATGTACATATGTAGTCTTGTGTAGTGCTGCAAGGCAGTACAAGTATGTTATTCATTTGCTGCAGTGAAATTTCTGGGGTAGCCCCTATCAAATCTAGAAGTGGTGAGTCTTATGACTAATCAGGTATACTGTTGCCTTAGGGTTGGATCAGTTCAACTTGCTGTATAATAATATGAGGAACACCCTCTTTTCTCTCAATTCTTTGCTATGCCTCACAGCCATGGTGGTTCAGGCCATGGGTGTGGATGCAGCACATCTATAGTGCAGGTCACCATCCCAAATATTGCACACACAGGATCCATTCCTCCCTTCCAGCCAATTCCATTCCAACCCAACCCAAGTAATACCATGGAGCACCTCACATCTGCCACCACTATGATAGAGGTATCACTTCCTTTTTTCTTTCCCATTTTCATACCAACTTGACTATTGTTCTAAGACAGATGGAGATCCTACCGACACTCTACCGCAATACCAATCCTGCCAATGATCCTCACAGTTCCCATCCCAAGAATGTTTCAGCCCATATTTGATCCCATCATCATGCACCACCAGCCATACATCAAGAACATCAGCAGGTGTTTGTGATGTTGATGGCAATGGCAATGGGTGCCCAGATCATGCTAGGTGGGGCTTCAAGTTGGAGCTCAAACCCACCAATATGAGGTATTACAGTGAGCCTGATCAAAAAAATATTTGACATGCTCATAAACTAATCATCCTTGACATGCTCATAACTAATCATCCTTGACATGCTCCTGGAGAGTGGATGGCAGAAGATGAGCGAGCTTGTGTCCATTGCTGTGGAGTGTATTTCACAAGCATCTTCCATGTCTGGCCATAGAGTGTCTATTCTCTGGTACTCCCTGCCTATCAGTACTTACCCCTACCCCATCACATAGTCACTGAGCCTACAGAAGGCATCAATAAACTAATCTTCAATGTGCTATCAACTATTAGAGGAAAATTGGTGAATGAATCAGAATGAGTCCTCTTGGCTCTAAATATTTACTTGCCCAATGATAGCACAATGAGCAATGAAGAAAAAAAAGATTATATTCAACAGCGCACAACTGTGTTACTTGATGACAAGAATATCTTAGAATATGCCCTTCACAGTTATGACCCTGACAGGGGGAAAACCCTCATTTATTCAGCACCCGCCTTCCTTGACCTACATGAGGATTTCTGGTTTGGTTGCAACTCACCATTCCTCAATCCACAGTCAAGAGCACTAGTCTCACACATCTCATGGTTTATGTATGCACTAATGGGTGCTGCAGTAAGTGAAGTTGGCATCAACTAGGACTAGGACTAATACTATCTACTACTACTAGATTATGTGTGTCATTCATTGTGCATTGGAAGGTCAACTATCAAAGATCAAAAATGTACTCCAATTTACTATGGAGGATAATTCAGGGGTCACAGAAGGAATTTGCCAAGCCATGATGGAATATGTGGCTAAACCCAAGCTAGATGAGTATGAGTTTTTGCCCCACATGCAGGCTCACCATGGCAAATGCTTGTGAGTATCTGCAGCACACTCATATAATGTACTGACCCCATTTTTTTCCAGACAAAAACTATGAACATGCATGGGAGAAATGTCACCATAAAAAAAAAACACCATGAACTATGCCACCTCTACAACTGCTGAGCTATACCAGCATCCACCCATGAACCAACCAGCACCAATTTCCACCTCCTCCTTGAGTTCATTACCATCATCCACTTTTGATTACCATCCCACTCCAGTCACATCTTCATCGTCTTCATCAGCCACTTCATGGTACCCATGCCAAGATGAGCATGATTCTGTGGTCACCAACTCACCAACAATGGTGCCTTTCCAACACCACTCAGCACCATATTACTCAAGTTCTGGACAGCATGGTCTTGCAGATGCAAACAGTTCACCAACACTGCCATATAATTCACCTTCTGATCTCCATGGATTCAACATCAACCCTGATCAGTATTCAATCAGGGGCTCATCGAGTTGGAGTGAGGCACCTGGTATGAGCTGGGGTGGCTCCATGGCATGATACTTTTTTTCACACATTGTGAGCTTGAAGTTGTGGTTTTGTTGCTGTTTTGTACATGTAGTACTAGTAGATCATCTTATTGTGCTTGTCAATACTATCTAAGTATTTGCCAGACTCAATTGATTTCATCAATGATCATTGAACTGACATATGTATATGGAATGAGTTTGGTCAAGCAACCTTCAAAATTAGCTTTGACTACAAATGGTTTAGTTTGGTTGGCTACTACATGCTACCTGAGCTACTGTAGTACTCAACAACTACTGTAGCAGAGTTTTGCTACTGCGCTTCCCCTTGCTACAAAGCACTATATAGCTCAAAATATTTCACTGATGTAGGAAATAGATGTGAGATAGTGTGTTTGAAGCCATTCAGAGACCTACAAAACTCGAAACTGATTTAAATGAATATTCAACATTTTCGCTATCTTTAAACCGCCACAAACACGTGAGTCAAGACTTTCCGAAGAGAGTGTAACAGTCATTTGCCAATGCAAGATGAAATAAAAAGACTGGTCTGTGTTCAATTCGATGTGAACACAAGACAATGATGAAGTTAGCAGCCGTGAGAAACTCCTTCCTATTATACGACGTTTGTCTAGATTTTCCTTTTGGCTCCTCCACCGTGAACATGTGCGCATTGCGCAACATGACTGCACCACCATCCTTTGCATTTAGGACTCTCGGAGTCCAGTTTAACAAGCGCACAAATACAAGCTTGCTACTGCATACACGTCGTGGATCTCTTCACCCCGATGTTGATCGCTACAACACTATCCGCCTGTTTTTTCAGCGGCAGCTTGCAACACATAGTTCTACGCCAGTGACGCCACTGCCGGCCCGCAGGAGATCCATGTTCCACACGATGTTCACTCCAAGTTCTTCTAGGTCATTTACTGGACGTGACTTTCGGGAACTGGGGTCGCGGTCGCGCCATAGCCATTTGAGCAAGGACGACAGAGGTAGCATACACGAGAGCGACCGCTCTCGCCAAGAGAGCAAAGCACAGTTCCCCGGCTCTGCCGGTTCTGTGCGAAGCGATTCAGAACAAGATACAAGTGTTCATCTTCCCCCTCCACCATTAAATCTCGACAATTATCCCCGCCTGTACCGCAGATTAGCTCTATCTCTTTCGCACCTCCACCGCCCTACACGAGACGACTTCCTGAAAGTAGCCAATGGTTTTTGGCAACGTCTACGGATCCGCTTTAAGTGGTTTACTATACGTTCTTTTCGGAGATTTAATGCAGATGATATCTCCGCTTTCATAACATGGTTCCTAATGAGCCAAACTCTGTGGATATTGGTCGGAACGTGAGTTGAAAATATCTGGTCCGAAAATCTGATGACATCCTATTCAGAACAACATTCTTTTCCGTGGTTTTTGCCACTGCTAATAGTCTGCAATTGCAAGGTATGTGTCGCCCCTATGCAATCATACACGTCTCTCACTAGACATTGCAGAATATGTAGCACGCGCCATAAGCAATTATCTCACCAGTGAGACTGGCGTCACAGTCATATTCGAATCTGCTATTGTTCCTAAATGGAAAGACTCTCGCATCTCCTTCAAAAATGTATACGTCTCCCGCCGATCATCGTCCACCAGCCGCCCACCAGCGCCAAAAAAACATATTGGACATAAAGCGGCCGTTGGATATGATGTCAGCAGCCATCCCGCATACAACTATTTTGTGGATGACGACGAAGAAGTAGTCGAGAGTCACACCGAGGACGATGTCAACTATTCCATGTTTGACCTCAACGTAGACTCCATAGACGTCACTTTATCGCTCCAACACTGGCTGAATGGCAAGGGCCTTGTGGAGGATGCTGTGATCAAAGGCGTTCGCGGAGTACTAGGTGAGCATCCTTATCAGTCGAAAATCAGATGAACTGAGGTCTGTAAACAGACCGTCGCTCTGTTTTCTGGGACCCAGAAAACCCACTTGACCCGGCTGCATTCCGTCATGTTGGTGGCCAAGGCGACTTTGAGATAAATTCTCTGCAGCTCGAGGACGTCCTTGTGACCGTGTACCAACCGGCCGATTTTAGGCCTTATACCGCCTCGATTTTTCGTGCAGACATAAGAACTTTCCGGAAGCAATGGCTCTTCTACGACTTTTTGCGTGCGGAAAACGTCGTAGGGCAGTTTGATAACTGCCTGTTCAGTTTGCACAAACCTCAAAGCATCGGCCGAACTACTGAACAGGATCTCAAGGATGGCAAATGGTCGCGGATGGTAATGTGGATTGACCCCTATCTGTGGCCAGTTCTGACATGTTAATTATAGTCTAGGATTCGCATTGATGGCGTCAATATTGATCATATGCAAAATTCCACGACATTGGAAGGCGGTCCCCTGTCGTGGATAACATCTGGCAAAGTTGATGCAGTACTAGATATAAAATTCCCTAGGGATGCAGAAGATGAATTTGCGTTGAATGCCATTCTCGGTGAGCTCGCAGATGCCATCACCACGGCGGCTACCGCTTCTCTACCCGTTGAGAGGATACCGGGGCAGCGAGAGCTCGCGAAACCACCTCTGACTGCACCTACGACCGATAACGAGAGAGAAGCCGATGATAGTCCTAAGGTCGTCATCGACATAGATCTGCGATTTAGGGATCTCAAGGCTGCTGTTCCGCTATTCACATCGGATCTCTCATATGTCAACAGCGCACTGATAAGACCTATAGTAGCATTCATGAAGTGAGCGAAACATTCTATCTGCGCTTGATTGTCTCTTTGATTTGTTCAGCGCACATCATACCTTGGTTCCTATTCACTGCAGAGTGGTTAAAGATTTGAGCGATTATGACGGTGCATGGACTGTGAGTATCTTTCTGGAGTCTTCGCAATTCCGCTCATACTAATAGGCATTACAGATGTGGGAGAGTATGTCGTATTGCTCATGTAATGACCTACCACCGCTAATCATTTCCCATTGTAGCTGGCCTCATGGATGAAATTTCACAGAAGGTAGAAATAATGCGATTACCAATCAAAGCGATCTGATAAGCTTGCTTCAGATATATGATGCGCTCGCTTATCACGTCTCCCAAGTCAACTTGAACAGGCGAGTGAAAGCAGTCAGCATGTGGTCATTGCAGATGACTGCCAGCGCTGTGCTGTCTGCGCTGAGGAACATAGTGGATCCAGTATCCATGCAGGTCCGGGATCTGTACTACGTGAATGGCGTTCCATATGACTCCTTAATTCCTGGACCGTAGACTGGTAAATGTTTTGCAGCTATCGACAACTATTTTTTAGCTCATTCCACATGGCACCTCTATCTGTCGAACAGGGATTCTACGAGACATGTTCGTAAATACGTTTTGATGGTTCTATCCTCAGTCGTGTTTTCCAACTTTCCAATTGAGAGATCTTCTGACACGGGAGTCACAGAGAACTGCGGTTTGCATAACAATATTGACTTGATCCTCGTTTGCAGCGCTGCTAACGGTCGCTTCTACTACAATTCGACGAGCTTTCAAAGGCCCTGGAATGTAACTCAATGGTAGCATATTACGGGCAGAATTATTCAACCATCTCTGCCAGTGGAAATGAGCAGAAATGTCAATGAACAGAATTAACACCAATGGCCGGAGATGGCGGGGAGCAATTGATAGAAACGACGTTACAGACCCTGCCAGTGTCTGCGATATGCGCATGTTGATCACTCCTAGGACTCGTCAACGCTTCAACACTGACAAATTTTGGCACAAGTACCTCCTCTCGCAAAGTTTGGCATCAAGCTAGCGTCGGCAAGTTAACTTTGCCATGCGGTCATATTAGAGACTGTAAGTTACTAGCCAGGTCCTTGTGTGGCGAAGACTTGCCATCTTCACAAACGTTTCTTGCGTGTCTACCGAGAGACCGCGCTGGTAGCGTTTCACGGACGTGAGTGACGGGATGGACCCTGAGGCGTGAGGCTTTTCTTCACAAACAGAAATCCTCGATTGGAAAAGAGGAGGCTATATGTGATGAGCCAGTAAAACATCATTACGTGGCGCGAGGCGTCGTCCCAGGTCCCCAGGTTCGTGCCACTCCTTTTAGCATCGTGACAACTATCGGTACCAATGCTCTCTTCGCTTCTGCAGATTGCCAATTATCTACGATTTCCCCACTTACGCCGACGAAGTGTTGGCACCGCTGCCCGAGACCATTCATGTCTGTTAGATGACTTGTTCCCGGGATGGGTTATCTAACTCTGACATGCCGATCAGGGATCTCGAGACTCCGTGGGCACCCGCAGAGCAGCTTCTCTCGCGGTTTCCCCCGCGCATAACGGACCGAAGTATGGATGAATGAGTGTGGGGGACCTGGTGGAATTTCCTCGTCGGTAAGTAATTGATCAAATTGATAGGCTGCCACCAAGTACTTATTATACCGTGCTTCAGCTATAAAGCGTGTCATGTTCTAGACCTGAACATCAGTTCCTCCCCTCCTTGCAATACATCCTCCAATTGGGAGAACATGCCTCAATTACTGCGTTCAAATTCGACTGTTTCCAAGGAAGAGGTTGGGAACACTGGCAGTATTGTCTCTGACTTGGCCCTCGTTGGGCCCGAAGGTCGCGTTGGATTCAGAGGTCTTTTTGGAAATAAATTTATGTGAGTGGTTTTGGAGGATGGCGTGGATTTAAATGATGGGATGTATTTGTGGCGCAGACTTGGTATATCGTTGTTCTCGACTCTTGGAGGATTCGTAAGTTTTTTGTCACAGTATAGATGACCATCAGTAACATCGTGCCTTGTCGCATATATTCAACAGCTCTGTGGTTACGGCCTGGTGAGTTGGGCAATGTCCTCACATGGTACTAGTCTAACTGTGCATCAGGGAGTCCTCAGCGGGGTGCTCACCACTGAATCTTTTGGAGCGACGTTCCCAGATATCTACGTGAATCAAAAGCTGAAGGTAAGGGTGATATTCCAGTAGATTTCGGCCCTGTCAGAGTAAAACTACCTTTAGGGATGGTTTGTCTCCACATTTGTGCTAGGCAAGTCAACATGGCATGTCGCGAGCGTCTGCCAGTTGATGTACGTCCACAGCTGCCTGGTTCGGAGCTAATGTGAGCGGCCCTGTCTGTGACAAAGTGAGATCTATTATTGGGCGAGACAGGACAAATCATGATCGACTACGACCCAGATTGGACGAAAGATTTGTATAATATGCAATGCTGTGATCTTTCTTCTTGGTGGTTCACTCCAAGCAGGTGCCATGTCTCCTGGCAAGTTCTATTCGTCACACTTCTCGGCTTAGCTGAAGATCATTTTTCCAGTTTACCTGTTCGCCGGTCGCGCTGTTGCTGGCCTGGCAATCGGTTCCCTGACGCATGTCGTCCCAATGTATCTCGCTGAGATCTCCAGTGCCAACATTCGTGGAACTTTAGTTTCTCTGCAACAACTTGCTATCACATTTGGGGTGAGTGAAACAACTAGTACTGAGGTTATGCATTTGACGCCACAAAATGTAGATTCTTGTTAGTTGTGTGTGGCAGCCTGCTTTCATATATTCGTATGTGCTCATTACTCGAAGACTGGATTGCGTATGGCACGTCGCATATCAGGGGAACCCAATGTGCCCCGAAAATACCGTACACTGAGGTGCTTCCAAATGGCATGCTTGCGTCCAATCCCCACACCGATGTCCCTCCTGGCGGTTGCGCTGGTCAAACACAAGCGTCATGGAGAGTTCCGCTTGCGTTCCAAATATTACCTGCCTTGGTGTGTTGGTTGTATTTTCTGCCTCCCTCTCATACCTATGGAAGTGCAGTGTCTTGCCATTGGCATGCTCTTCATGCCATACTCACCTCGTTGGCTCGTTGAGCAAGGCCGCGAAGTGGAGGCTCTGGAGACCCTATCGCGTCTTCGACGAAAGCCCACTGAAGACTGTTCGGTTCGCACTGAATTCCTGGAGATCATGGCTGAAGCTCGTTTTGCGAGAGAGACCATGAAAGCGGCATATCCTAATGCGGGGCCAGTCAGACGGATAATCAATAAATACACGGTATTAATGTCTAGCTGGCCAAAGTCCAAGCGTATATTTGTCGGATGCCTTATCATGACGTTCCAACAAAATATGGTGGGTTTTCAAGTTACAATCTTTCCTTATCATGTAGTGATGTATTGTGGTTTGCCAGGGGGTGAATGTAAGTCGTGGTTCATCCTTCTGGAATTAACGTCGCTTACTTCGCTTAAGGCTCTCATTACTTTATTGCCTATGAGTGAGTTTTACAAAAGATCTTAACTGTTGGGTTCAGCGTCCACTCTCATCCACAGTTTTCGGCCAACTGGGCCTTGACCCTAATACTACCTCTCTGATTGCCACTGGAGTTTATGGAATTGTCAATGTGAGTCAAATTATGGATAGCATCATGTATAAGCCTTCTAATTTGTTCCAAGATGCTCGCTACTTTACCTGCTATTGCTCTTGTCGATAGTGTAGGCAGGCGACCTGTGTTAATCTCTGGTGCCGCCGGATGTCTAATTTGTCTGGCAATTGTGAGTATTATCATAACCGTGTACGGCAAGGATTGGCCAGCACATGCAGCAGCGGCTCGTATTGCCATTGGTAGGTGCGTTGTAATTACATGCAGAACATATTGAACTGTGTTACAGTCTTCGTGTTTCTTTACGACGTCATCTTCTCTTACTCATGGGCTCCGATGGGATGGGGTACGTGACTCACAATTTGCTTCCTTCGAGGATTTGATATCTTGGCCAGTTGTTACCAGTGAGATATTCCCGTTGCACCTCCGGTCCACCGGTACGTCCATCACCACATCGACCATGTGGTTATCGAACATGTGCAGTTTTATCATCTTCTTCCGTCTATCTGGTACTGACGTGCTCTAGTGCGATTGGACTCTTTGCGCAGACGACGATGGGTCCAAGTGTGAGTGGAATAGTGTACTATGTATATGCCGTGTTTTGTCTTGCCGCGTTACTCTCAGCTAGTATGTTAAATCTCCAAATTGTGTCAAAAGTATGTTTAGCTCGTTTTCCAGTATTCATTATCCCAGAAACCAAGGGTCGGGTAAGTTCTTTTACGTGTGCTCTGTCGAACATAGCTGACGATGTCACACAGACCTTAGAAGAAATGGACCCTGTGTTTCGTGATAATGCTACTGACAGTCAGCGAGAACACAAGGAGGGTATTCGTCGGGAACTTGGTCTGCCCGACCGGGCGCTTTTGAGTGCAGCGTAAAGAAATTTTTGGTTGACCCAGGTCATCATTTCCCCATCGAATCGATTCATCGTGTATATTATGAACTCCTCCTGTCTTTTTCTGTCCTGAACATTATTACTCCGGCATGTTCTTTTCACGACATGATAGGTATCGAGAACGCCGCACCGTAAGCCCTTGACAAGTAACGCTTTTGAAGACGGATGATCTCGCGCTGTTTGAAACGAGCCCCACTTCCGCTCTCTTTCATGTTGGACTCATATCAGCGAAACTGTATATGCGTAAGCTTGATATTCTACCCCGAAGCGAGGTACGAGTGTAGGGTTAGAATTAGGACTTTGCAGCAGCGGCAGTGTAGCACGTGGCCCACAGTGAGAAGTGGTTAATACGATAAGCTGAACCTCGTCGATTCCTGTCCTTTCTTATTCGCAAAATAAAATTATAATTTAGGTCTTACAGTCCTCGCGACGTTATGTAACTCATCTGAGTATACCAGTGTATACACACAGCAAATGTAATTTACTCCTCTGCATCATTGTTTATAATGTCTTGTTCTCCACGATTGGTTAAAACATCTGAAGGCGAGCAGATCACTTGTATTTTATGATTGTATCAACAGCATACGCGCAACTTGAATAGAAGTCCAAGTGAGCTCGCGAGTTTGTATCAAGGATATGAAAATGGTCACAGAATTGAGAAATATCTGATCCTGTCGCTGCGGGTTTCAGGGGAGGAACAACGGCATATTGCCCTAGAGCCGATCATCGTATTTCCAAATACTCATCAGTATACATACTGCTTGCATACTAGTGTGTTTAATTCTGGCGTTCGTGACATCATCTTGCCCCTCTGTCTGCGGTCCTAACCAGTGGGTGAGGCAAATTTCGCAGGATGGGTCTTTGTGCCTAGCCCTAGCCTGCCTGTAAGAAGTAGTACCATTCAGTACTAGTATCCATGCATCACTTTTTCCGGTATTCAGCCTATTTGGAAGTTCAACGTTCAATCATCCTGCAACCCGAGGTCCGATGCAGGGACCCAGAATACACATCTCTGATTGACTAGCGTGTGAGTCGGGTTGACTTCACCAGACCACACACGCTGTCGTGGTGTGGCCCTTGCTTAATCACCTCATCTGGGGAAGCAATGTCGACACAGAATGTATCTGAGTGGTTGCAGAGTATCAAATGATATCACGGAGTTTGAGTGCGAACTCCGACTGCCAAACATATTATGATACAGGTACGTGCTACGTATTACCTCCATATGACCGTCACGGTCAGTGTACATGGGTACATCGATGTCCCTCACCTATAGCTAGTTGGCCCTTACGACGTAATGTTATGATGCTGACAGCGATCTCAATTATGAAAGAGCATGCGAGGGATTTCGCTGTGTTGAAATTAGCGCAGGAGTCGCTGCCAGTGCTTGCGGGCAAGGACTGTTCCGAGGTCTGAACGCTACTTGCCAGAGGACAGCGTGACGTGTATTGGGTGCTGTCAATCAAGCATGCAGCTGTGCAGCCTGAGAGACTATGGGGAATCGTTTTTCCATGACAGTTTCTTGAAATGGGGTGTTGTCGGTGACAGTCTCTTATAGTCAGAGATAGACCATCATCAATTCATTCCTCCCGAATTAGTAGGTGTTGTCTTGGGACTGTAATTGTACAATGAGCGCTGAGCCCCCACGCGCCAACGGATCATTGTCAACCTGATTAACATCAAGGAACTAAAAATTTGAGGGCCACCAGTACACATTTGACGTGCCGGATTGGTCCAATTGTCAGGAATTTGCACAACAGAAACACCAAACAATTTGCATTCATCGCAATCGCATACACTACAACAGAGTTAAGACCTGACATCCAACAGAGAGGGATGGAGACCCAATCCTATCCACAAGCAGCCCAGGTCTCGGACTACAACTACACTCAAGCGCTCACCACACACAAGCTCGCTCCATTCATCAAACCCTAGGGCGAGAAACAAGCGGAACATGTGGTGGGAGACAGCGTCGAGGAAGAAAAGCCAGGAACAGACGTAATTTGCGGGGGAGAGGGGGTGGAACGATGGAAAAGGGGGTAGAATCAACAAGGAGTTGGATGTAGGCGTATAGGCGCAGGTAAGTGTGCATGGGTGACAAAAGCGAGTGGTGCCAAATAAAAAAAACGAAGACCAGGAGACCAGGAGAATCCGAAATAAAGCAAGATAGAGTAGGAGATAGATAGAACATAGACAGCTTTTATGGGAACGAAAATGATGATGACGAGTCCGATGAGTGATGAGATGGATGCGAAAGACGATAACAATGATAGATATGTCGCGGAAACCGATGTAGGTCAGGCGCTTGATGAAGGGTGGTCTAGAAAGGTTTAACATATTAGTATACGCTGACCTCGTCCCATACTAGCGCATCCGAGAAGTCCATGCCAACATCGAAGGTAGTGCTCGAGTCGATAGCGACGTCCTGTGTACTCGGCAATATCTCTAGCAGTCTTTCTATCCCCATCTCTACACCGACTTGTTCCGCCCAGTTAGCTGTGTTGATCCCACTCGTAGCCAGCCCTAAGCCGAGCTTCTCTATGGAGATGGGCTCACTCAGCACCTGCGTGCTAGTTCGCGTCTTCTGCCGAAGGACAAGCGCCTGGAAGAGCGCAAGTGCCAGTCGGCGGGGACGCGAGGATCTCTGCGAACAGGCGCGTAAGGACAGCGTCTGTGGCTGCCTCGTCTTCAGGCTAATATAACACAGGATGAGTTTGATTTGTATGTCTAGGAGTGGTAGCGGACTAACCTCGATCGCAGCACTGTGGTACATCTGGTTGCTCTCGCCGGTCCCATGACTAGACGTGTGCTGCCCACCCGCTGCAGGGACACTGCCGCGTGAACGGTAGTGGTCGCCACCCGTGCTAGGTGGCGAGTGGGAGCATGTCCAATCGAGGAAAGGTCAAGAGCTTCCTGTGGTGTATGAACAGGTGCTGGTGAGTCGGATGGGGTGAGATCTGAGAGAGAAAATGCGGGACTGAGTGGGAAGTCGAATGAGTCGCCCAAAAATAGCATTGGGCTGTCCGTGAGTGTAGAATGCGTGGGTGCAGGAGAAAGTGGGTAAGAAAGAGTTGCAAGGGAAGTCGATTTAGGTGACGAGGGGGTGGGAGATGCAGAGTCTGCCGCTGAAGGAGATTTTGCTGACGCAGGTGATGGTGCGCAAGTAGATGAGAGGATTGGAGTTGAGCCTGAGGTTTCGTGGAGAGCAGACGGGTTGGCGCCTTGGGTTGCCAGGGTCCGCAACACCGCCTCATAGCCCATCTCAAGCGTTCGAATGCGTTCACGCAGCTCGAGGTTTTCACGTTCCCGTTGTTCCTCGGCTCGTTTTCGCTTCCGTTCCTGCTCCCTGCTCAATGGTAACAACCTCGGGCTCTGAGGTGGAGAGCTGACCGAGGGTGAAGCGGGGATGGTCATTGGAACACCAGCACGAAGACGTCTGTTCTCTTCCTCAAGTTCAGGCGACTCTGCGCTCAAGATAGGAATATTGAGCTTTTCTGCGGTCGCGAGAGTTTTGTGCCGCTATGCGATTGCGGTGTGCACGGGCCTCTTTGCGCTCTTCCGGTGTTACGGCTGAGCGAGGGCGCTTACGTGGAGGTTCCTGCCTGGATACATCTGGAGAGTCTGCACGAGATGATGAGGGAGATGCAGGACGCTTGAGGGAGGAAGAGGACGGAAGAGAAAGATTGGATGGGTCGACGAAATTTGGAGAATGTGATGGCGACATGGTTACACGTATGCAGTCAACGTATTGGACTTGGCGAAGGTGCTAGCTAGTCCTTGGTCGTATATTGAAGTTAAAAAGGATGCTAGGGTCAACTACAGAAAACGCTAGGAAACTCGAGAGCAGGACGACGTGGCCATGAAGAGAAAGAACACGTATCCAGGACACGTAGACAAAACTACAACACAGCCACAAATACAAACAAATAAACTGCGCCCGCCGCAGTTAATATTTCATAACGCGTAGCCAAAAATAAATTAATAAAGGCCGGCCTATCAGGCAATCCACTCAGACAGACCTATACCATATGTATATTGGGACATCTCGCACCATCTCGCCTCCCTAAAAAGTGCGACTCTCTTATGATACCCACAGAGGCTCAAATAATTGAACAGATCCCTCTCTCTAACTCCGCCGGCGGAGGATAATTCGGATCCATTCCTCGAACACTCCTTACCCGAGATAATTCAGTTTAAAACCTCACACAATAAATATGCTGAGACTCACTAATTTCGCCTCTCAGATCGCTATCGTGCGAGAAACTAGCGACCCGTTCAAAAGATACAACAGCCGGTTCAGTATGTGCGTTTGAATGGTGAGATTGCCTTGCATTCAGTTTCATCCAGTGTCTTATCAATTACACCACGGTACTTGACAGTGACATCGGGTGAGTCGATATTATCCTGCCACGTGAGAGTGTGCTTCATCCACTTATCATCATGACGCTACGGATACAGGTTAAACAGATCCGCTGAAATGATATGAACACCAACCTCAGGGTAGTCCTCACGAGCGTGAGCACCTCGGGACTCCTTACGAGCTGCAGCAGCCGTCATAGTTTGGACTGCACACTGTAGAAGGTTGCGCAGCTCAAGAGTCTCAACCAGATCACTAAGATAATGACATGAGCAAGGATTCGGCACATATAAACACAGACCGTACGAGTTCCAAATCATGCTTCTATCCTTAATACCAACATTGTCAAACGATTTGTATATCTGATGGATCTTTTGAACACCTTCGTCGAGACTCTGCTGCGTGCTACGCGGATCGTCAGTTTCGCTTTTGGTCGCACGAAGATGGCAGTACACACCGGAAGAGAGCAGCATCAGATTGCATGGCTTTTTGCATCTCCAACCTTAAATCAGCAGTAGTTTTTGGGCCATTTGCATTTCTGATTTGGTCTAAGAACTCTACGGACTCGAGGCCAGCTTCCTCAGGAATAGCCTGATGAGGCTTTCCGGGAGTCAAGTTCTCCGTGATATGTTGAGCACACGCACGACCGAAGACGACGAGATCCAAGAGGGAGTTTGCGCCAAGACGGTTCGCGCCGTGAACTGACACACACGCAGCCTCACCAGCTGCATACAGACCAGGGACAATTTTGTCCTTGCCGTTCTGACCACGGTTTATGACTGGATACGGCGAGTACAACTAGCGCAAGCTCACCTCATCAACAGTCAGCACCTCGCCAGTATATCGAGTAGGAATACCACCCACTGTTGAGAAGTCAGCTCAAGTCCAGACAGTACAGTAGAGACACTAACTGTTGTAATGGACAGTAGGTAGCACTGGGATGGGTTCCTTTGAGACATCGACTCCAGAGAAAATGGCAGCAGTCTCGGAAATACCGGGCAACCTCTCGTGGAGAATTTCAGGGGCAAATGGCTGAGCTGAAGGTGTATGTGATCCTTCTGCGGTCCGGCGCCACGTCCTTCACGAATCTCAATTGTCATCGAACGAGATACGACATCACGGGAAGCAAGATCCTTGGCAGTGGGTGCATAACGCTCCATGAAACGCTCACCCTCGGAGTTCAAGAGGTAGCCTCCCTCGCCACGACAACCTAACGCACGTTCAGCCACAGGCAGATACCTTACAGAAAAGAAAATCACCCTCAGAAATAAGGCAGCCAGCGCCATAGATACCGGTTGGGTGGAACTGAACAAACTCCAGGTCCTGCAAAGGAAGGCCAGCACGAGCAGCCATTCCATTACCATCACCCGAACAAGTGTGTGCACTCGTGCAGCTGAAATACGCACGACCGTAACCCCCTGTTGCGAGGACCGTTTTATGAGCCCTGAAGCGGTGGAGCGTACCGTCCTCCATGTTGAGCGCGATGACTCCAACACACTCGCCATCCTGCATAATCAAATCCAGTGCAAAATATTCAATGAAGAACTGTGTGTTGTGTCGGAGTGACTGGCCGTAAAGGGTGTGGAGGAGGGCGTGACCGGTACGATCGGCGGCCGCAGCACAACGATACGCTTGACCGTCTTTCCCATAATTCAAAGACTGACCACCAAGGGCACGCTGGTATATCTTTCCATCCTTGGTACGGGAGAATGGAACACCATAACGCTCGAGCTAGAAACGGATATAGGCCGAACAAACAGGTATGTAAGATCTAACCCTACCTCAATAATTGACCCAGGAGCTTCGCGGCACATATAATGAATAGCATCCTGGTCACCAAGCCAGTCAGAGCCTTTAACCTGTTGAAAACCGGCTCAACTAAACGACTCGGGAGCACAACACATCAAAGGACACGAACCGTATCGTACATGTGCCATCGCCAGTCGTCTTCCGTCATGTTCTACAGGAAACCCATCAGTGAAAAGACCATAAAGACCTTAAGGTATACTTACACCGAGAGCAGCATTGATACCACCCTTGAAACCGTGATATGAGTGTGTCAGATACCACTGAACATCGCTGTAACGTACCTGCGCTGCGACAGTGTGACTCCGGGTTGGGAATAGTTTGGTAATGCAAGCCGTGTTGAAACCAGCTTCCGCAAGTCCGAAGGCAGCGCGAAGACCCGCGCCACCAGCACCACTAAAGGAACATATCGATGAGTTTGTCAATGTCTCGTTAGTTCGGAACGCTACTCACACGACGATAGCATCGTATTCGTGTTCGATGAGAGGATATTTGCCTGAAGACCATGACTAGAAAGCTGTTAAGATGCCGGAAACGATATGGGAGCAGCTGAGAGATATACTTTGACGTGCTCTGCCTTAATCGGATTAGTCGCAACGATTCTCTTGACGGGGAGTGAAGTGGAAAAACCGCGGTGGGGACGAAGCAGAGCCCTAGAGGGCACCACCTTGGATACTGACTTCCTAAACATCGATGATGGCCTGTCGTCGACGGCAGCGAGGGTTATAAATAAATGAGCAACTTCCACGGAAAGGTTGATACTGGAGGCCTTCTTTCAATTGAACTAGGTAATTTCATGAGCCGAGGACGCTCACGGCACCGTTCGACAAATCCCGTAAGTCTAGCCTAGGCTCTATACATGTCGCGATCAAGTCCAACCAATCACAATAGGAGTGTATGTAGCAAGAGAAGCCACCAACTTCCCAACTAGTTCAGACTGCGCATGTTTCTTAAAGCCCCTCATCTTGACCTCGCGAACAGGCATACCCGCCGCCTCCCTGATCTGCAACAGTTGGATTAGCAACGACCACTCGAACTGCACATCATCAAACAACAGTGTCCGCAAATTCGGGAATGCATCTCGTCTCCCCGCACATGAGAGGAAGCCCATCAACTGGTTCATGATACATTTGGAGACCGAGAGTGTCGTTACGCCTGAGAATGCGTGGGCAAGGGCATGCCACCCGTCATATGCCATGGACCTGCTGCATAATGTGAGAAGGCGTACAGAGGGGAAGGGCGGTGCTCCACGCTTCAGCTTGTCCACAAGCGACTGGATATCACGTGACGAGGTCGTAGCGTGGAAATCCAATGCTAGCTCACGTAGCACGGGGGCACGTATTGTCCGAAAGAGGGTAGGTAGATACGTCCTCGAAATGTTTGGTCCGGGTTTTACGACCATTGTCTGGAGCAAAGGTATTTCGACGAGTGGGATATCCATGCTGCGAACATAATCCACAGGTTCACCGATCAATGTGAGATGAGTCAGTGACGTGAGATGAGAGAGTAGGCTGCTGAAATTCTCGGGGGAAAGACCAGAAACCCACAAGCCGTTTAAGGTGAGCACCGTAAGACGATCTGCAGATAGGAACAGGTCTGAGGAGATAGATGAGACATTTCCTAGTTCCACAGACGTGAGTGAAGGCAGACCTTCAGTGAACAAGATATGTCTGCTATTTGGGATGTTAAGCGGATAGTGCACCATAAGTTCTTCAAGCATTGGTGCCTTTATGCGCTTGAGCCCATCTAGAAGTTTTGGGAATGGGAAAGCCCCGTGAACTTCCAAACGGCGACAGACATGAACGTGCAAGAGAATAATGTGGGATATGCGCAAGTAATCTGGGTCAAACTCAGGCAAGCCCTGACTGTGAAAATCGCAATGATTGCCAATGAATCGCATGTCAAGCAGCTGTCCTTGTGAGCGGGTCAAGTAAAGATTGACAAGATCTACATTCTGCCGGAGGAAAAGTCGGATCTCTGTCCAAAGCAACGGCATCCCGAGCGCCACAGCTCTCCAACGCTGTGAAACACTCGTAAGCAAAAGCTCAGGCCTGGAACGGAGGCGCAATCTGGTGAGGGCGCATGAAGAAGAGTAGTCTTCATCTGCTCTAATGGTTGCTTTGACTGTCTCTACAAATATCATCTCGAGAAGCTCGTTCGGGATAAACGAGATATACGACACGCCATACACCAATAGTGCCTGGTTGAGGCGCAGCGCCTGTGTGCCCATGATGTGGCACAACGGTCGCTTTGTCTTCCCCGGCAGTTTTGCAAGCTCTTGCGTCGTAGCGACGTATTCTGGCGTTAAAATCCTAATCCACCAATTTGACTCATCAGACGTGCACATACACAAAGCAGGTCACCCACATTGTCTACCTCTTGGTAGTCTTGGTAGAAGCTCACACAACGTTGTCAGTGGTTCTCAGCATTGAGAAACCAGACGTTTTTATAGTCGATAACATCAAACCACATGCAGGCACCGGATAGCTATGTCACCCAATCACCAAGTGACACCGGACTTGATGAGGCATATCTCCAGGGCTTGCTTACCCGACTAGGAGGAGCGGAGACGAAGAAGCGGCAAAACGAGCTCAGTGGAACTTGTTATCTGCAACATGAAGGTTCTGCTATTACGTGAGCTTTCCCCAGCTCATGGCGAGTGTCAACAAACGGCATATTCCGTGGACTATTACTAACCCGGAATGGGCGCCTCAAGAACCCTGCTTCACCGCCCTCCATTCATACGGCATCATAATCTCACACGGTCAACGCCCATGCCGTCTGATAGGGTCAGTCTCCTGATTCAATAACAGCTGCAAGTACTCACTTATTGAATATCCATATAGTGATTCTCCGAAGTTCGCATTGTGCTGTTCTTTGATTTCGCTATGTTCTTCACACTCTTATCCTGATGGCGGTGGGAGTATGATATTCTTGATTCCTCACCACGTTGGCACTGGCAACAGCACCGCCATTCTTCAACATGTAATTGGTCAGATTCGTTAAGCCTAGTATGTAATCCTCTTGATGCGCGGTCTGCATCACAGACTCAAAGACGGCATCTCACTGAGGGCACTTCCTTCAAGGTCGGAGCAAAGCCGTTGATAATTTGCGTTGAACTCCTTATCCTTAGGCACTTCGTGGTCAGACTTGACGTTCTTCGAAGTTCGAACAACAGAGACATTCGAGGGCGCCGCTTGTTGTCTAAATCGAATCCACACGCTGTAACAGCAGCCTACGACATGAAACATAATTAACAGCGGAGCGTGAACCGATCTCCCAAACTCGGAGTCGGAATAGCCATTTAGAGCGCGCCGCCATATTGGCGAGCCACTGCAGCAGATCGAGAGCGCCGTGTCAGTGGCAGGCTTGCCAAATGGCTGACTTTCCGACTCCACCGCTACGTAGAAGTGCCACGCAAACGATGAGCCACGCCACATCCTTTGACCATCGATAGTTCAAACTGAAGGGAACAGCCAGCTTCTTTCATTAATGTGTTTGTGGCAGTCCACCGAGCGACTGTGACGGTGTTCAGGTTATCTTTGTGACCTTAACAGCCGTTGCCAACGTATACGCCATGCGCACTAGAAGAAACCCCTTGGAACTGCTACGTAACATTTATAATTTGACTGAAAACTCTCGATAGGTTGTGGGCAGGCGCCCTACATGGGGTTCATGTTGGATCTCGAGCCTTAGCACGGTACACAGTTCTGCGAGGATTGTGCCTTACTGTAAGACAAATTCAGTTGTTCATGGGAAAGGAAGCAACACTCTTTTGATCCCTTCAACAAGGGAATATATCCACATGTTAATGTCACGACTCGCTGACGAGTTAAGTTTGCGACTCGCTCTCAACTCCGGTGTCTTAACGATTGTCCCCAGGGATGTTGATGATGGCGTGATGTTGTGAGACCCAAGATAATTCACTCATTGCAAATGTACGCTCGGTCCACAAGTTCTCCACAACTGTTCATCCATTAACTTCTGGCTGCGTCACTACAGACGTGCCTTTTCCGCCGGTCTTAAGTTACGCGCTGATCTAGTTATCCTGTCAGATGCTCGAAATTCAAATGTTCTCAGGGTTTCTCTTCCTGGGGAGACATCATTAAGTTTAATCAAGGAAGATAAAACTTGCGTGAGTTTCTCCCGGAATGGGATTTCTGTTGCGGTATTGGCGCAGCCACGGTTGCTCGCTTTCCAAGAGATCAGAATGGATGGTATTTTTCGGTACTGCGCACTGCGGCACCCTCTGAGAAGTCGGCGCTCAACTTACTACACGGATTCCCCATGTTCTACTAATTTCTGCAACAAACGTCGAGACGTCTCGTTACCCGTTTGAATCGCGATCCGCACCATGATCTCCTCGTACAGGTGTAGGTTTAATGTTTCCAGTCAGGAACGGTGAACGCCCCTGCAACTTTCACAGGAACGTACCATTCCGGGATTTTTTAACAATGTACACCATGATGCGCCTATTGATAAATGAAAACTCCTTGTAGGTTGATGATGTTTGACTAAGATACGATTGGTCGAGTCAGCAATGTAAAAATCCAGAGTACCTCTTCTGATATGCGTTGGTGACCTGAAGTTGTTCGATGCCGACATGTAGTAGGTGATCGCACCCGCAGTCGGTTTAGCTATCGAAGTGCGAGGTTGGAGGCCGCACTTTTTTTTCGAATCCGGTTCCCCACTGGGGTCATGCCTCTCACCGCCTGAAAGAAGTCGCTAGAATAGTCGCGGAGCACCGGAAGTATAATCTGAGGATGTACCACTGCCTACTATCGATGAATGACAGTATTACAAAAGAATATAAGCCCTGTGTAGTGCGCGGTGTGCACAACGTGACTAGTACTGATCCGTCAAGAACAGGTTCACGTTCAAATTGGCGACTGCACTAGAGTGTGAGACATGAGACGATGGAGTGAGAAGAGGTCAAGTGATCGGGCCAAAGTCGCGTAAGAAGACCTTAGCGGAGACTAGCGGAGACTATAGCTATACACTTCCTTTGGTAGTGACGAAATATTGCGCGCGCTTTACGGCCACCCATCATGTCCTTGTCCCCATCTGCGGTAACATCAAACATCTCAGATATCCCATCTAAACGGCGCAGGACACACAGTCTTATCGCACAAAGCAGCAACAACAATCATCAAGACATGAGCCAATCTCCTGCGGATACAGCCCATTCGTCACAACCGCCACAAGCCGCCGCACACATACCCAAGAGAGGCGCAAGAGCTTGTACTGCTTGCAGGAAAGGTAAAAACAGATGTGAAGGAGAGGTATGTCTATTCAAGACTCGCTTGTGATCATCGCCCCCTCTGCTCACTGGCCCGCCTCTCCCGCCCCGGCCCGGCGTCACATTTTTTAGGCTCCTTGTCGTCGATGTCAGTTGAGTGGAACTGCTTGTGTTTTCGAAAAACCAGAGAAGAAAAATGCAAATGCCATGCCTGGCGCCAGTGTTGAGTAAGCTTCAGATGGCATCGGGCAAACTTTCGCCATCATCACTTACACTATTCAATAGGCGCTTGTCTCGCCTCGAGGGTCAATATCTGGTAAATGTCCAACGCCTATACTTTGAGGATATCTGACAATATCGCATTTAAGGTTATGCAGAGTCAGATGATTGGCATGCAATCCTCCTTGGACCGTATCTTGTCCACCGTTCAGAGCCAGGCCTACGGTACTCAGCACCAAGGGTACTCTGGGGGCATGACTTCTGGGCCCAGTCGCGATGGCTCTGGATTTATATCGCGGAACGGGTATGATGCGCACGGACATGTGGGAGGGCAAAGCTCCCAGCCACGCTCCCAAACGAGATCATTCCCGCCACTTCCGGGATTCGCTCCACCGGTTGGTCCGCTTGCGAGATCAATCTATAAACATCCCTAATAAACTTTTAGCCTCACAAATATGCAACTTATGGTATTGTGCCCAGCACTACACCATCGTCAGATGACGAGTCTGAGGAAACGCTGCCTCGTGCCTCGCTCAACGCGCCTATTGAAGCTCTTCAAGGTTTGGCAAATGCTGCCGCAGAAGCAGCCGCTGCGCCATCCGCGTCCCCACCAAGGTAGTTGTTTCATATCTGTGGGCTGCACGATTATCCTGATCACTTGGAAAACAGGGTCAAAAAGCGCCCGCGGGTGGAGCCCATTCCCCGGAATGCATTCCCGCACGTCATTGAAAAGGTGAGCTGACGAAATGCCGGACTTGTGCACGGGTCATAATGCTATGGTCTAGGGCCTTGTCTCTGAAAACGAGGCGCGGGAACTCTATCATATGTAGGCCTTTCGTGGATATGGTCTTTTACTTCATTCTGATTATTGTCAAAGTTTCTTCGCTGGTTGTCACGTCTTCATACCTTTGTTCGATCCGAATTATGACACATTCGAGAGCTTGATGGAACGCACTCCGTGGACGTTTGACGCGATACTTGCTATTGCAAGCAAAATCAGGAGTGGCAATGGGCCGCTCAGCCCAACGTTCTACAAGTGTCTAGAAGAAGCGCAGGGCATTTCCCGTTCGTCATTATTTGGCCCGGTAGTGAGGAAGGAAGCTGTTATGGGTGAGGGTTTCGTCTTGTATGTTTTGCTACACCACGTCTGATCAGTTTCATAGGGATGCTACTTTTAGCTGCATGGAGTACGAATGGATGGCTCCCTAGTGGCCACGCAATGCGGATGGCGTTAGATCTTGGTCTTCACCGAGCATTGGAGAAGCTCGCTGATGACTCAGGGAAAAACCGCACTGAGGAAGAGGAACGTGACCTGGGTATGTATAAGAGTAACTGTCTACCTGTTGTCCAAAACTAATTACCATCTCAGTCGTGTCGGCGCGTATTTGGCTATGCCTGTACTGGTTTGATCACCAGTACGTCGAAGAATTTTGACATCTTCAATTGCGTCTAAACAGTCTTTTTTAGGATGAGTCTTGGCACTGGTCGCCCTATTGTACTGCGAGATGAAAGCTCCATTCGACACTGTCGTATTCTTTTGTCGCATCCAATGGCATCACCAACGGATGTAAGGCTGATCTCGCAAGTGGAGCTTATTGCTCAAAAAAGTAAGGAAGAATTCATGAGGGAATATTAATACTTCATTCGTTATCTGCAGCCCAGATCTACGAAACTCTCGCGCCCCTCAATGGACAGGTTAATCACAATACGCTTGCCTTTATCCGGCGTGCAAACGTTGCACTCGACAAGTGGTGGCAAGACTGCGACAATCTTCATCGTTCGTATTTGACCTTGTCCTCTCTGCTTTCCTGATCGCCTATCCAGGCCAGACGATGGACGAGAATTCTCTTCCGAGAAAAATACTCGTCGGAGAATTACATTATGCTAAACTCTGGCTCGTCTGCGTAGCTCTTCGAGGTGTATCGTGGGATAAGATGCCTTTTGAGCAACGTGAACTTGCGTTCCAGGCGAAGGATGCTGCTTTTAACTGCCTTTCTATCTTCCTCAACTCTGCTGAGTACCGGTGAGTTTCTGCTTTGATAGTGTCCCGTTGCTTCGCTTAAGTAATAATCGCGATGATCACAGTGCGGCCTTGAGATATGCAGTCCATGACAGTCTCGTAACGGCGGCATTTTCTGGCCTCTTCCTGCTCAAGATGGCAAACTTGTTTCCTGCCGAGCTTGACCTCACCGCGATCACAGCGCAAGTCGAGCAGCTCGCACAGCTCCTCTCTGATGTTGCAGCCGAACGGTGTGTCCCCCTGCTCTTTCTCATTTTTTCCAACTTATCCTCGCTTCTAGCTATGCCCTAACGCTACGTATAATGCTTGCCAATCTCCGGCGCAAAGTTGGGATGATTGCGGGGCTGAGCGCGCCTATGACCACCATGCCCCCGCCGACCTTGAACGATGGAATTGTTGCACACGGCTCAGGGCCTTACATTGATCAATCAGGACCTGCACCTTTCACAATGGAGGAACTGGGCCTTGCATGGCCAAACGAGCGTATCACATTCAGCCCAAGCGCGATACCTATGTGGTTGCAGGAGAAGAACCTGACGGACCTGGGGCTACCTGTAAATGGGAGCGATGGAATATTCATGGATGTCAATGGCATGCATGGCTGGAGTGGAGACTTTGCACCAATGCCAGGGGCATGGTGAGGACGCGATTGTACATATGGCAGCGACGATTCCGCGCGCTGAGGGCTGGTAATATGCACCATTTTTGTCTGATATTATATTTATCCGTCGGTCTTCCTTGCTCGCTTTGCTTGTTTGTGTCCCGCTTTTACCTGTTCATGCTTTTTTTTCTTACATCAGTATCGATAATGGTATCCTACGATTTAAGTTGTATCACGTGCTGAACAAACATACATTGCAAATACGAATTATCCTACGGCGCACATACAGGGAGAGAAGATGAACGGCAGCACGGCAATACACATCTAATTGGATAGCGTATTGGCTCATACGTTATTCTTCGTCTTCGTCTTCTTCGCTTTCTTCCTGCTCCTGAGGAACTGTCAAAGAACCAGTTCGGTGCGTGATAAGACAGAAGGGCAAATCTGTTGACAAACCTTGACCAGGCCCTCGGTGGCCTTCAGGAAATGCTGTCTTCCTTGTGGCTTAGATCCCTTTTGGTGCCAGTAGATGATCGCCTGGTCAGAGACACAGTCCTTATTGTACAAAACCTGTGCGAATTGGTAAGTTATGAATGTATTACTGCATTACCATGTTCGTATCTAAACAGACTTGGAAAAGGGGTGGGATACAAGCGATATGATATGGTGCCTGCTGCCAAATAGGTCGACATCGCAGCCGCAACGTCACATCCCGAAGGACCGGTGACAGATGAACGAAAGTAGTAAGACTCGAAACACACCTTCAAGATCTGTGGGAAGGCTTTCATGACACGTGTGTCGTCATAACAGTAGACCTGCACGATATTGATCAAAGCAACCTGGGTTTTGGGGCCTTTACAGAAGGCCACGAGAACTGGGGCGAATTTCTACGGACGGAAATGATATCAATAGAAGATTCAATGATAGGAGAATCGGATCACTCACCCCGACCTCACGTAGTGCGAGGCCTTCGATCTGGTCAGGGCGTGCACTCCAGTCTACGGAAGCCATGAGGCCCTGCCAGATGCTCTGTATGAGCTCCGTCTCAGGGAGCCGCTGCTCCTCTAGTTTACTCTGAATTGCAGATATGATCTGAGTGAATCATGAGTTTTATGACTCAAAACGGGCGATACATATGTAAAGATGACGCACTGATTCACTATCATCACTGCGTTCTACCACCTCCTTTAGTTCCTTCATGATTGCGTCTTTTGCGATCGCATATTGCTTCTTCGTGTACCAGTCGGCCACAGTAGGGAGGTTTTTTTCCCGGAAGAAAGCATCGAGAACCTTAGCATCCCTCTTATTTGGAGGAAAGAAGAGGAGTAGATCTTTGATATTGCCGCGTTTGAGAGTTGCAGCAAGGTGATCGATCGACTGGTCGGTGAGGTATGCGCTAAAGATCAGTGCAAGGATGTTGATGGACTGGTCTGCAACCGATGAGATTCTTGCAGTTTAGCATGGTGCTGAACTTACCGTTCTTGATGAGGTGGTCTTTGGTTAGACTCTGCAGACAAGCTGCGGTCACGAGGCCCTGCGAAAGGAGGAGACCAATTGTCATGGCGAGCTTGTCGCGCTGCTCGGATGACCAACGGCCGATGTATTGCAGGAGAGTGGGGAGACTTTGCTCCTCGAAGGGTTTCTGAAGATATTTGAACCTATATTCATCATCAACACCGTATACACAATGTATTACACGAGACCACGATCGCATGCACCTTCGATTCAATTTGTTAAACACATCGACATACTTCTTCAACTCTTCGATGTCGGGCGGGTTGCGTGCGTTGAAAACAGAGAATGGCGACATGGGCGCGCCATCATCAAGATATGACCCACCTGGCTGGATGAGCCCGCCGACAAGGAGGATCTCAAACAAGGTGTCGGCATATTTGAGATACTCGAGTGTTCCACCAGCCTGTACAAGTTTAGCGCTGAATCCCTCAAAATCGTTCTCTGGGACTGTTTCAAGATGTTTGTAGAGTTGGTCTCTAAAGACTAGAGGTCGACATAAGTAGCATTATAGATTGATCGGGACTTGGTAGTCTCACCCGCTGGTTCGTGCTTTGCCTGTGCTTTGACTTGGCCTTTGCGTACTTTTGTGCGGACCCCCTGGAGTGAAGGCTTTGGGACTGCTGATTGCTGAGACATCCACAGTCTGCGAGCGATGTCGAGAGCGTGGATCAAACGATGAAATTGGGCTCAGCGGCAGTTTACCAGGATCCAACAATTGGTGCTTGTTCGGAGATACCCGACTGATTAACCTCGATGAGCATGTCTCGCGTCCTCTCGCGAGTCGCCAGTCGATTTCTTAAGCCTCAAACGCACTTATACTATACATGTAAGAAGCACGAGATTGATGTCCAAATAAAATAGATTGTTTTGATTGTGCTCTTCAAGCAGTTGTCGGCGCCAGCAACTAATAGCTAGGCCTGAGGTGTGGTGTCACACGTGTCCTATCTCAGAAGTTAGTTCTTGGGAGCGACTTTGTTCCCTGGTGAACTCAGGTTCTTCAACATGACTCCCATGGGGCGCACCCATCGAGGTCGGCGGTGGCAGTCAGCAGGTTCCGCGCGATATTATAGTCATGGCAATAATCTTGGGTACCTCATGGTCAATGATCTATTCAATGATCTACCTATCTGAGCTGTGAAGCCTGTAGTGGTACTTTGCTATCCGTGTGGACTCATGCATGCACTCTGAGCAGCACTATGTCATGCACATGATTAATCATTGTGGATTCAAGCTCACGTGAGGAGGTGGATCATCGTGGCTCAGCCGCTCAAGTGCTCATTATTGTCCCTTAAAACCAGCAACAGCTGTACTAGTTATCCTCTCCACTTATTATCATAAAAATTTCGAGCTCGACGACGGTGAGCGACAATATTCGTTGTCATCGTTAGCATTTAACATTTATGAACGTGTCCATGCCGTAAAGGAGCTGTGACATCGCTTGCTGGTCGCCTCAACGTATGTAATCATTCCAGCTTGACACTTTGTTGACCCTACTGAGTACCTATCCTCGATAAGATCTTTCAACTAACGCGCAACACGAACTCCATGAACCTCCGTTTCACAGACTCCCCAAATGCGCGCTCAAAATCAATTACGACTGCCGATGGCATCGACACCTTTGGTGTGCGTACTCTCCATCCAATGGCACTAGTGAACGCATCGGGGAGACTCATTGTACACCTAGATCTTGAATCAGCACTCCACAGGAAACGGTGCCTACCAGGTTGGTATATCTGAGGACGTGGGTACACGACGATATATGGAAGATGCCCATTCCTTCGTCGTTGACTATGCTGGTGTGCGAGGGCAGGGATTCTTCGCTATTTTCGATGGTCATGCAGGAAAACACGCAGCCGAGTGGTGTGGCGCGCATTTTCACGAGGTTCGCATAGCCACTGTATCTTTGTGCTAATTTAAACGCGTGATCATGTGCAGTACCTCCTCGATGCCCTCCGTACTTCCTCCAGTGCCACTATCCCGGACGTTCTAAACGAGACATTCCACAACGTTGATAAGCGCATTTCTCGCCTCAGCGAAGAGTCCGATGGCAAGATCCACTCAGGATGCACAGTTGTAACTGCCTTCCTTCGCATCGAGGATGCAGATGGGCGGCAATCCTTCCTCCCCGTTTCTCCACTTTCTCCGCCATCCCCTACTGACAGCGGGAGCCGAAGTGGCAGCGAGTCTCCGACCGAACCCACGGATGAATCTAAGGAGGCAGGCAAGAAGACAAAGAGCAAGTCCCCTGCTTCGGCTTCTCGTTTCGCTCGGGCGCTAAAATCCCTGAGCGGCTCCTCGCCAACCTTACCCTCTCCCCCTTCTGCACTCACCGCCACACGTAGCCAGACATCTCCACCTTCGATGCAAACATACACGGCCCCGATCGATGCGCCACTCAACTCACGGCGCGTGCTTTATACTGCCAACGCTGGTGATGCGCGCGGGGTACTCTGCCGTGCAGGCCGGGCAGTGCGCCTCACCTATGACCACAAAGGCAGCGATAAGCAGGAGGCGAAACGTATCACTGATGCTGGTGGATTCGTTATGAGTGGGCGCGTGAATGGCGTTTTGGCAGTAACGCGCAGTCTTGGAGACAGCAGTATGAAGGAGTATGTCGTTGGGAGCCCGTACACGACTGAAACTGAGCTAGGAAGCGAGGACGAGTTCCTGATCCTCGCGTGTGATGGGGTACGTAACCTCGTTAGGTGCCTTTCCTTCAAAGCATTCATTGTCGTGTGACCCTGTAGCTTTGGGATATCACAGGCGATCAGGGGGCAATCGACCTCGTGCGGCATATTTCGGATGCGCAAGCAGCCGCAGAAACGCTCGTGAAGCATGCCCTTGAACGACAAACCAATGACAATGTAACTGTCCTCGTGGTGAGGTTTAAAGCGCTCGGATCCACAGAGTCCATGGGACTCGCTTGAGTATGTGAATGTTGATTTGCTGTTCTGCTTAGGTGGGGGGCAAATGAGGGGTGTTATTTTTGCCATGGCCGATGTCTTGCTGTTGTTTTAGTCGGTTCTTGTAATCGCTTTATTTTGCGCACGAGCATTCCGTTTACCTTGACTGCACCCGTACTCTACTAATATCCGTTCAATGTAGATTTGATGTGTATCAGAGCTTATCAATATTCGTGAATTGCCACACAACACAACGAGATGCAAATCGCCTGGGCATATGGGGTCTGCGCCATGAAGCATTGAAGTTTGTGTTGAAAACAAGAGAAGGATAGCATTATGTGAGCACATTAGCCCATTATACAACCGTACGATAGTTCACGCGTAGCCGCACATACTGTAAATACCACTGTGACGAATCGAGAGGCTCGGACTAGCAACGGGAACGGGACTTTGTATCGAGTCAAAAGACTACAGAACGATATTCGACGAGGAGAGGTATTAATACGCTGATTGAGACGGAGAATCAAAGGAGAACGTGTATGAGGCATGTGACGAAGAGTGACTGCGTATGTAAAAGAAAGGGATGAGTACGTGCGAGAGTGACGTCGATAGTCATATCATGATCTTGACACTACAGTAATATAGCGGCATTTGCGTTTGTCTCGCACAACACTCCACTGCGACACTTTTTCATCAAACTTTTTGGTGGTTTACATAGGTTTCATACGGGACCATGTGTTGGCAGCATTAATAGGTACAAATGAGTGTAGATTCTTGTGCGATGTTATGT